ATTCGAATGCCCGTTGGTCGCCATGATGGAAATGTTGACTTTCGCAGAACTTCAGGTGCCTTGCTAGTCGGGCGCTTTGAGGCTCAAGACTGACGATGAGCAGGTCGTTATCGATGAAGCTCCAGCATTTGTTCAGACCCTGATTTCGACCAGAGATCAATGCGCTGTATCGTAGAAAAAATAGATTGATAGTCGCGTTGCTTTGAAGAACAGATTCGAGGTCGCGAACCTGAGCCTTGCGGAGGTGGTCCGTGCGGTATGGTAGAACAATACATCCTCGTACTCGATTCTTCATAGATCCCAACGACCAAATATCAGGGAAGCAACTCCTTTTCTCATAAAGCAATTCTTAACAATCTTCTCCCCTTTACATGATCATTAACTGCAAAACTGCACTCAATCAATAAAATTATGAATATACAATTCCAAAACGAAACTCCCTCTTCCTTCATACCCTCCCTTCAAAGCATGATATCCTAACCCCATAAACCTAAAAACACACGTATCACACTCCCTCCTCGCTAAAATATACACATCCCACTCCCACTTCCCCAAAACTCGCCTTTCCCCCTCAAAAACCGTATCACCGTCCTCCAACCTCCGCCCCCAAAACCGCCGAACTTCCAACCCCCAACCCACCAGCGGCAATACTCCCCCAAGCCAAAGCAGCAACCTCCCAATCCTCCTCCATCTCCTCGCCTCTTTCTACATACTGATCTCCCGTAGGTATATACGCTTCATCGCTTTTCTTGGCGTTTATGGTGTCCGCTTTACGAGGTCGACCTGGACGACGCTTAAGTGCCGGGGATGGACTGTGTTGTTAGTGTGAAAGATATGGGGAGAGGTAAGGGTAGCTTACGGGTCTGCTTTAGCAAGTGATTCTGTTGGTTCTGCATTTTTCTGAGTGGTACCAGCAAATGGGACGCTTGTAGCGATCATTTCGCGGGGTTCTAATCCTCTGACAGCAGCCCAAATACCTAGACTCAAGCCCGAGAGAATGACATCCCAGCCCACCGCACCGACAGCGGGATGTTCAGTGATTGCTCCAAGGAGTCTGCTTAATGCCGTAGAAGTCTTGCTGGTGGTAGATTGGTGATGGTCTTGGAAGGGGTGGAGGATGGCGTGACGGTATGAGTGGTCTTCTGGGAAGTTATAGAAGAGGCCTAAAGCGGTGGATTTGGCATGAAGGAGGTAGGAGATGGTGGAGATGATGCGGAAGAGAGTACCGTAGTGTGCGTGGGGTTTGTTGGTAGTTCCCAAGGATTTGGGGATTATGTAGGGGAGGGCTAGGAAGGTGAATGGGAGTGCTCGTGAGAGTATGGCGATTGTTGGAAATGAAGGCGTATTTGAGGCGAAAGGAAGGAGGAAGATGGAGAGGTAGTTGAAGGTCAGGAGCGTGATGTATAAGCCGGTTTTTGGTACGAAGCCTTCTGGTTTAGTTGGAACTAACTTCTCCTTGATATTTGAAAATCTAAAATTGTCAGCGCAACTCATGCTTTCAACTGAAATAACGTACCTGCTCGACGTAACCACCATATCCGCCCTCGTAATCTCCTTCACATTATCCGGCAACGGAACAGGCGTAAGCAAAACCGCCACAAAGAACAAATTCTGAGCAAAACTCAGATTGACCAACTGACTCAACGCCAAAAACGCCCAGAGATTCGAGATCTTTCGTCGTTGTCCCTCAACCGCAAGAAACAAACTCCATGAAACAAGACCGAGAGTATTTTGCTGCGCCCACCAGAAATGACGGGTCTTCTCGGTCACGATTTCAAAAGCATCACGGTAGAGAGGCGTATCATCAAGCCATCTCACAAGATGAACACGTCCTGGGTGTTCACCTCCTCTAAAAGCGCCTTGGTCGCCAAAAATCCTATTTCCATTAGCTCTCTCACCCCATTTAATTTCTCCAAACATTTTCACTTACGATTCAGGCAAACCAATCCCCCTCTCAGCAGCCCAAACCCGATAAGACAATCCCGCAACACTAGCCGCAAAATAAGAAGCTCCTAGCAAACTAACCGCAGCCAAGATCGAGAAAGTACGCACATGACCGCGTCGTAGATGCTGCCGATGTCGAGTTGATGAAGAGGGCGTAAGAGCGAGTTTGGATCGGTAGATCGTTCTACCTGCTAGGAATGTGAGGTAGAAGATTAGGTAGATGTGTGTGAATGTTATTGCTGCTGGGATTCGGCTGGGAGGTTGTTAGTGCTTGTTCTACGAGTGAGAGAATGCCTGTTGATGAGCACGATAATACTTGATAAACAAGCAAAGAATCATTTCAGATCTACTCAACCAACATATGAAAATAAACTAACCTCGCGCCCCTCCAAACATCAACAGGGGCCATATCCTTCAGGTTTCCCTCAAATTCAACGACCTTCACCTCCTCAATTGTATGTATCTCCCGAACCTCGTTATCGTTTCTCACTTTCGTAAGCACAGCAAGCACATACGTCGTCATATACCAGTTCCAAAAACAAGATACGAAGGTCCAAGTCTTAGGACCGCAAAATCATTATTTACCTGGCTAAAGTCGTTAGCTTCGTGATCAGAACCTGGAAACGCGACGAATAGTAGTTCAGCCACATCACGAGGACACGGGAAACTGCGCCACATGCAACGTCGATCTTGGTGAAGTGAAGGGAAGTTCAGCCTTGTGGATAGGCAGGCTGCGTTTGGACGACGTTTTATATTGTGAGTTTGCGAGTGCTGTTATACAGGGTATTTCATGGGATAGGAGTCAATGGTTCTGGAATCTATGAACGTCTATCGATGAAGAGGAGAGTCAAGGTTTAGCTTGCTGTCGCAACGGACGTAGTTGACGAATTATCTGGGATCGCGAAACACCTTCAACAATGTACCACCTAGCAAAAGGACTGTATCTCTGGGCGACATCTAAAGAAGGTATTTCCCCCTCCTCTACCCCCGTCTCCTCCCTCTCTCACCTCATCCCCTCCCCCTCCTTCGCCCAACCAAATATTTCCTAACACCCCCAGAATACTCCATCCTAATCCTCGGCCTCGACAACGCCGGCAAAACGACCTTCCACGAACAAATCAAAGCCCTCTTCCTCCCCACGCACACGCCCTCCCTCAAAACCGTCCCTACCGTCGGTCAAAACGTCACAACCATAACCCTTCCCGACATCTACCTGAAATTCTGGGACGTAGGCGGCCAGCACTCGCTCCGTCGACTCTGGCAAAGTTACTACATATCCTGCCACGCGATAATCTTCGTCCTCGACTCGACCGACATAGGCGACGGCTCTTTGAACTCCGATTCCGGCCGGCTGGAAGAATGCAAACTCGTGCTTGAGGAGGTGTTAGGGAATAGCGATACGGAAGGGATACCGCTTTTGATCCTAGCGAATAAACAGGATCGCGAGGACTGTGTGGAGGTGGTGCGGATTAAGGAGGGGCTTGTGAAACAGGTTTTTGAGGGCGAGAAAGGGGGGAGTATTAGGGATAGTAGGGTGTTGCCGATTAGTGCGTTGAGTGGCACCGGGGTGAGGGAGGCGGTGGAGTGGGTTGCTAGTAGGGTTAAGTGGAATAAGGAGGGGAGACCGCCGGTTATGAGGTAGGCATAGGAATTGTGGTTTAGTGGGTGGAGGGGTCAAGGGGTTTGAATTGGTGTTGTAAGTATGATGTTAATCAAGCTATATCTGCTATCGAAGTACCTCTTATACAACTCTAGAGCCTGAAATCAGGAAGAGAGAACGCTGGCTAGAAGAGTTTTTGAACTTTGGAGAGGCATGGCGTCGAATGGAGAAACATCATTTCTATGGTATTGACTTCCCGTCCGCACATCTGGTTCGTTAGAAAGGAGGTCAAACCTCCAGCTGTGAACCGATATTCTAGTCCTCTCAATTAGGTAAGAAGTCTTCCGTTAGATGTATTTGCACCCTCAACCACCCCTAACCTTCCTCTTCAAAAACGCTAGATGCTGAGAAAACGGAACAGAGACGGCTGCTTATGAGGTTGGAACCGTCGTTTGAGGTTGGAAGGAAGGAAGACTATTAGATCCTTTTCTCACGAAAAGCTCAAGTCCTCCGCGTTCCACCTCCTTCTGGCGTCAGTTAACGCCATTGCACGATTCGTACAAATTATCATTTCAAATATTCTATCACATACATCAGATACTCCGTAACCATCCATATTCCCTCTCACCACCCAAAACCCTTTACTAGAAACCCATACCACCTAACCTCAAACCCCCCCATCCCCCCCATCCCCCTATCAACCTCAAAAATCGACCTCTCATCCAACACCATCTCATCTCCCCACATCCCCATCAACCCCCCTCCTCCAACTCTCAACCTCCTCCACAATCCCCGTCTGCGTATCTTGCACAAACCCCAGGATCTGCATCCCCTTAAAAAACGGACTCCGCTTCAACATCTCTACGTCTTCTGTTACACTTTCATCTGGTCTGTTGCCTTGATCAGCCCTAAAACCCCCTAAACATACCTAAACCTATACCCACCCATATCTCGATACAATCATGAGGTAGATAGTCACAGAGGAGCGGAAGGAACAGGAGAACATACCGTACAAAAGCACCCAACTGCACACCCCACCTCCCACCTCGGAGTCGTTCATCCGCTTCACAAAGATCATCGGTATTTAAATCCTCTCTTACACTATCTAAGAGGACTTTTCGGATTTCGACGTCTGTTGTGGATCTGTGTTTTGTAAGCCCGCTATTCTCTTTCCTCCCTCTTTCCCCCCACAGATCAGAGATCCAGAGATACATACTGTAACCCACAATCCGTATGTCCCACCACCATAATCGTACCCTTCTTCCCTAGATTCCCCACCGCGGACAGGACGTACAACGTGCTGAGAGCGGGTTGGGCGCGGGCGCCGGCTGTGCGGATTATGGTTGCTTCTGGTGATGGTCAGCGAACATATCATGGAGGTGATAAAACAAGACGAAGAAATTGGATGGAGGGTGAGGGAGGGGAAGGGAATGGTAAGGAAGGGGAGGAGGGAAGGGAATGAATTAGGAGTGGGAAGAGGAAAGGGGAAAGGGGGAAGGGGGGGTGAGAGAAAGAAGACTTACTATTTCCCCTCTCCGAACTCATGCCAAAGAATTCTTCTGGCGTGCAGCGGGGATCCGTACATGCTACTGTGGTAGTTATCAGTCTTTAGATTCTGACTCTGCAAGTTCAAAACGAAAGGTATGAGAATGGAAGGTGTGAGATTGACAAGCGAAGAACTTGTGAAGCTTGAAACCGTAAAAGGCACAAGTTGCAAGACACAAAAGTACCAGGAAGAACAAAGATTCAAGAAAAAACGCATGGAAGATCAAGAACTAGCGGTGCGTATAACAGATCAACGAAGCCACAAACACAATCCCGTTTTTCCTTTCCAAATGAGAAATGCGAGAACCCATTATCAAAGTCTTTATATCTCATGATCTTTTTTTTTTCTAAAAAAAACCAAAAACACAACTTGGACGAATTTCTATTAGTAGACTAGTACGCAAAACCATGACATAGCCAGCGATGTGATGAAAAGTCCCAATTACAGAAATCCAAATGAAAAAGGGCGGAATTCGTAAACTCCCATCCGTTGAATCTAAACACGAGATGCTAGTGTGACGTACCCTTCCACATGGTAGGAATTATATAAAAAGGGGACGTACAAATGATGATGGTTCCGTTCTCCAACTCGCGTCCCGCTTTCTGCATCTCCTTAAACCTCACCGGGGTTCTATATTCCGGGTTTGCGGCCCATTTCCTACACCAGAATCAGTGTCACCTAGCCACAAAAAAATCGAGTAAAAGGGTTGAGGCTATTCAAACAAGTTTTATGTTCAACAATGAAGGGGGGCGGATGGCAAGGGTGCATGTCAAACAAGAAAGTATATATATGAAAGGTTTATGTGTGTGTGTGTGTCAAGTAAGAGTGCAAGAGTCCTACACGTACCGGTTGTTTTCTAGGTACCGGAGGACTCTAGGATCCATCTCTGCCTCCCGCTCTATTTCCATAATGATCGGGAATCCGAACAGCAAGTCGGGGGTGGAAAGCCTATTCTAGAACAGGGACTCTGGGTTTCCAGGTTTCTTCAAGGAGTTGTGACTATATCGTGACTTCCAGGTTGTTGCGTGGATGTGCGTCGTCGTCGTCGTCCCAACAAAGTGGGGGCAGCATCCAAAAACATCACGGCTTCACTCCACCACAATATGACCTATAACATGTCATCTCAACGGTCAACCCCAAGATCGTTTCTAAAAACAGCGCTTCTAAACCCTTATCACACAAAATACACCCAAATCCCCATTATTCGCCACCCCATTACACAAGAACCTCCCCAAACCACCCCCATCCCCCGCGTCGCGTGGGATATTTTCCGACCAAGTGTCACAAGACCTATTACCCATTCGGAAGGTCAGGTCTCAGAATGGGCGTCATTCTATCACACATAAAAGCTTTCACCCCCATCCCCATAGACATATATAGATAGTAGGGACAGACCCGATCGCCAAAAATCCAATCTACAAAGCCTTTGGAAATCATGTGTTGTAGCAAAATAATCTTCCAATTCAATCTATATACCCCCTCCACATGTCACCACTACCACCTCCACCTCATATGCCATCATATCAGCAAACCCCTTGCAACAGCAATAGCAACCTTCTCCTAAGCGACAGTCCATTCCTATCCCACATCCAAAAACCCAATCCATCATTAAAACAAACGCCTGCCCATCGTCCTCCGCCAATTCCATCCCATCCGAATCCCGCCTCAAATCTTCAACTCCCATCCATACCGTCTTCCCGAAAAGATCCCTTACCAAAATAACGCCCGAAGCAACCAGTCCAGCTTCCCCACCTATTAAATCTAACCCTTAAAACAGAAAGCAGCAAGTCTCGCTAATCCCTCACCACCCTTCGGTCATAGGAAAACCAAAAAATCCACATCCTCCGGTAAAAGAAATCGTGTCTAAAAAGCTCTCAGGCCACGTAAGCAATCCCGTTGTAGGGAAGCTCTGCTTTGGATTCGATACAAAGAAAAAACGCTAATTGAAGCATAAAAGGAAAGTCGTCCAATGGAATCGACAACAGGAAAAGAAAATCTGGGGTATAAAATAGCAACCGCAGTATAGCACGCAGTAGATGGGGTATTATCAACCGCTACAGCCAATTCTGACGTCCTCCCCTTGAGACAAGAACCAGATACCTCCCAGTGACAGACGAGCAGCGAAACAGAAGAGTGCGATGATGAGGTCGACATTCTAGCTTGGTCGTGGTCGTCGTGATGGGGTTGATATGTGGTAACGTATGTGCGTTCGTTATAATATGTACGGTTTAAAAGGTGCTCCAATTCCAATCTCGTGGGACACTGGCAGCTAGGCTTCCGACGATCCCTTGCTTCTGGCTTAACTCTCGAGCGGCATTGCCATGGCAGTTGAGGGTGGGAGTTGCAGGTTGACCTTCAGAGGTGTCACTGTTCGATCGACTGGATCTTGCAATGTGCCAGGCTCGATATTCTCCCCAGCAATGTTCGCATGATCGACTGCGGTATCCTTTGGGATGATAATTTGCTTCCTGATCTAATGGGATCGAGTACATCGAATGAAGGTCGCAGAAAATATTTCCGCATCTCCGACAATGATGTCTGCGAGTGAAATAGGAAAAGTATCGTGTGCACGACGGCTCGTCGCATATGGAAGATTCGGCATCGGGCTGTGGTAGTACATTAGCATTGACCCAATACGTAATACCAAGTATGCCGAGGGATGAAAAGAGACGGATGTTTTTGGAAGTATGCAAGGGAAAGGCGGAGTAGATGAAAGGTTGAGAATTTTCTCGACACGCGAGCAGATTCTCCGCCAAGCGAATCGGTGAGAATTGTTTGTTACATGGATTGCAACATGAACAATTCAGCACGCAATATCCATCCAGGTATGGCAACATCGGGGTATCAATACTTGTGCTCGCTAGTGGGTGGGGTATAAAGTATGAAGCATTCCCGACAACAATGAAGATTGTTAACATACCTTCCAGTGTTCTTTGGTTGGCAACGCCGTCACTTTTCCGAGGCCTTCGGTATTGAATTCGGATTCGACAATCGATCCCAAACCCAACTTTCCATTCTCGTCGGTCGATCTTCGATTTAAACCCCGGCTGTTATCTAGGTCGTCGAAACTACTGTGCATGCTCTGGGGTGGTGTAAGGGGAGTAGGTTTGGCTGCTCTCTTTGGAGGGTCGGTTGGTCGCAAGACCGCTGGCACATATAATGGTGATTTCTGTGGTCTCAATTGTCGATGGACGGCAGGCACATGCGCCGGGACCGCGGTTCGAGGAGAGGTAGGTGAGGCGCCCGGGGTGGCATTCGCCGAGTTGATGGGGGAGATCGGTTGTGATTGTGTATTATTGTAAAGGGTATACTGGGTAGGCGATGCTGTGAATTGTTGCACGGGCATCGCAAAGTCGGTCGCCATGATCGTCGTTGGCGTGGTTTGGAAGAGGAAAGTGTTTGTGAGGGCTTATCGAGAGTGGGCGGCTTCGACTGGGAGATGGTATCTCTTGGGGTTCGCGAGGACGAAATTCGGCCCAGGTAGGATTGGGAGCGGGTGCATAGAACGGCTCAAATGTAAGAGTTGTAATAGCGTAAGACAACAGCTGCAGTCTCACGATGTGAATCGCATTGGCTTATCGTGGACTCGGTTCGGTGGTGTTTGCGGTGGTGGAACAGCCTCGCAGGTAAATTTAAGGAAAGTCGCCTCGATGATGCTGGCGGCTGGCGGCTGATGGGTGAATGGTCTCTCTTCGCGCGGAAGAAGTGGCGAGACGGATAATTGAACAGTTCACGATGTGCTACGTCGGGATGAAGTGGGCATGCGGTGCTGCACGGGAGTATGATTCTCGTGGTGGTGGTTTGGCAAAGTGCTTCTGGATGGCGGGCCGGGACGTTTTTGTTGCAGGGCTCGCGGAGGATTGCTAATCGAGGAAGGGTGTGGCTGTTGATGTTGTGGTCTCGAACGCAGCGGCAAAAGAAATTATGACGGTGGTAAGTTGAGTGGAAGATGAGTGAATGGTGAAATGTCGTAGATGTCGACCGAGTAGGAGGTTTCTATGTACCAAGTAAATATGGCAGTGGTTTCTTAGAGCCGGCCAAGTACTATTTACTATTGGGCAGATCGGAGGCGGACAGAAATCGGCAACAGAGTGGGATGCGCTCTGGTGGGATCAGGGTCGATTGCTTTAACTTCGAGTCTGCACTTGCAGACTGCAGCCAGGTGCAGCAGTACATCCACTTCTTTCAATTTCTTTCGTAACTGCTTGTATCTGGTACTTGTCTGCGCACCACCATCGCCAACGGGCGCCCTCTCATTGGACTTGGGACAGACAATTGAGGCAACGGCCATATTAAATTTCCAGAGCTAAAGTGCTCCGTACCAGGGCCCAGCTGGGATGGCTCCGGCGAACACGAACCCACTCGAGAAAGCATAGGGGTCGTGCTGGGGCCCCGTGCTGGCCTTTGCTCTCGGTGTTTGCCATTCAGCCACTCGCCTCACGTGTGCCAATTTGGACTTCCTCAGAGGAGGAAGGCTGACGCTCTTATGCCGTGGGAATCCGAGGATAGATGACTCTTCACACCCTCTACGATATTGCCTCTTGAGCCGCAGAATGTGAATATGACGGTCAGCAATACATCCCCCTTCACCGTGTAGCAGAATAAACCGTTGAGTTTTGACGCCCGCGGCACTTCATCGCGATGATGATGGACCGTTCGGTTGGCGACCATCTGGTCAAGCAGTGTCGCGTGCGTTCTGCGCTAGAGCTTAATCCAGACTTCGAGAAGCGATGATGATTGGTTGCCCTCATTTGCTTATCGGAGCGAGGTGAGTGGCTGTTGATATTTTACTGCCTCGGCCTGTTCCGAGCACGCTTGGGACTTCTGACTCGTGTGATACAGTACGGAGTGGCCGGAATCAAGACTATGTGAAAGATACAGTATTTTGGTTTTGCTGAGCTCTAAAATCTACAAGTACGTTCCCATCTATCTATTTAACTAAGAATACTCTTCTAATACAAACACAGGTATTATATTTGTTGGCCTGGGTATCTATTCCTCACCTACGACACAGGTGTGCCCCAAACCACCCCGCTCCTCCCACCCCGCATGCATGTCATACTATCGAAACGATCTTCTTCCCATCGGAAAGGCCAACCACATCCAGAATAGCACAATTTCACATAGGCGAGCTTGGCGATCAACCCAACCTCAAGCTTGCCGTCTTGACGCGCCCAAGTCACAAAGTCACTTCACCATCCCTCCATCGGAGTCAACATTTCCGCTCCGTTCCCAAAGAGACCGCGAAAACAATATATCCTCCCCAAGTCGTATCCTGTTATCGTCTGGTAATGCGGAGTGCAGCTCGACACACTGCCGGCGTTGTGGGGTACAGCTGGTGGTGGTGGCATCGTGAGGCCGGCTAATGAACAGGTACGTAGTTTTCGGGCGGTTGATTGGGGACTCGACCCGATGTGCGCGGGTTAGACGAGATTAATTATATCTATGAAGGAGGAGCGTTGGTTGTGTGAGGTGATGAGTACCGCCGAAGTAATATCTGGATTGCATGAGGCCGGTGCTAGGTAGGACGATCGCATGGCGAGAGGCATGAGTGTAGATAACCTGGTGAGTGGTGTTTGTGTCTGGTACGTCGTCTTACATGTGTAGGACTTGATAGAATGGCTGTCATGACGTGGATTTCATGTATTCTGATTATGATTTACGGTCTTGGTACTTTTGAAGCATATTATGATTAGATTGGTCGGTGATCAACAACAACAATTGATAGGAGAATGCCACTTCTACTCCTCGGAGGCTTGACCGAACCAGTTATATCGATTACTGTATCATGTCAAGTCATGTACGAGTGTGCTTGTACAGCAAAGAAGTCGAACGACGTAATATCGCTTTCTCAACTCCACGGGCTCCTAAGCGACATAATACGAGCAGAAGGTATAGGAGACTAGACTCTAGTCTTAGAGCAGAAAAACATATAGAGAAATCGAAGTCGAGTGGTAACCTCAAGGGGCTGTGCACCGTCACATGAACTTTATTTAATGTTGAAGATGCAGAATATAAAATTTACAATAAATGAATATATTAAGCGCTTTAGTCACCTTATCACATGAACGAGGTTGAATCTCAAACTGTTGATTTCCCAAGACTTAAGAGAAACTTTTAATCTTCAAAAAGTCAATTGACGTTCTACTAGTACGCTACCAATAAGCAATCGATATCGTTGCCCTCGTAGCCTCGGCGTAAGCAGACTGTAAGCTGACGAATTTTCCTCTCCTTCTTTTCTTCTCTCGTTTCCTTTCATTTTGTACGACCATAACTTTTACATCTTCACGTTGGATTTCAAAATTCCCCAGATCAATTGGTTCTCCTGTACCTCCTGCAATACCTCAATGCGAGTCATGGGAATAACCCAGCCGAATATTCAGGGACCAGTCCAGTTTTCCGACCCACCATAAACCTATGTAATTGTCCGACAAGCATGGCTTTCTCATCTCAACAACAGACACAAACATTTCCATTCCAGGTTATAGATGCGTTTGGCGATTATGTTGTGTATTTTGTACCCCGCGATTAGGGGTTACGAGTACGATGCGACTGCCAGGCACAGGCACGTTCCCCACAAAATCGTGGGGTTGGCATGCCGAGGTTTGTACAACGTCTGAGAGTGTGAAAGAGAAACGGACGACCTACTACAACCGACTACAGGAGCAATACAGTAAGGAGTTATACGTTTCTTTAAACATATTATACTACTTAGTTGTGTCGAGTTTTTTTTTTGTTATATCTGTTTAAGGTAGCTGCGCCGTTTGTATTGTCCCTATACCTATTTTGGAGACCTCTTGCGACAATACCACAAACGAACTCGAATACCCTCACAGGAATAAGTCAACATGGCAGCAGCAGAAGGACCACCTCTTCCCATCGAAGTGACCGATGAAAACGTCGCGAATCCATTTTCAGACACGCAATGGACGACATTGATGTCGATTATGGATACCATCATTCCTTCAATCCAGAACGACTCCTCCACCGACCAGAACGCACATAAATCCTTCTCAGCAGAAGAATTCAACACAGCGGTAAATTCATTGAGGGATATTTTGGAAAAGGAACACGATATCAAGATATACGAGGAATATCTCAACCGGAAAGCATCAGATGAATCAAAGTTCCAGAACACATTGAAACATGCATTTGGGAAGCTCTTGCCGGAGTCTGCGAGGAAGGGGATGGCGTTTATATTGTCTACACTGGAGTAAGATATAATACTGTTTCGGTTTATGATATGCAAGCTTACATCACTGTAGCACTCGAGTCGGATCCATGCTGTTAACCGGTTACACTACCTCTTTCCACGACCAACCCATTCATATCCGCGAAGCTATTTTGGAAAGCTGGCGCGTCTCGTATCTTCCTACCTTAAATCTTGTGTACAAGCAGATGATGGTGATTGCGAAAAATGTGTGGTTGAATACTAGTCCTAGCTTTCGGGAGCTTGTTGGGATTCCCGGTGGTCCAGAGTCAGTTCTCTTGCTGTACATACTTGCTATGATACTGATTTAAATAGTCACGTCAAATTAGAGAAGCCGTTTGAAAACGACTTTCTTCAATTTAACAGTGGTACTGCCCCAGAGATTGTCGAAACAGATGTGGTTATTGTAGGATCTGGATGCGGAGGAGGGGTTTGCGCCAAGAATATCGCTGAAGCTGGACATCGCGTTTTGGTGGTGGATAAAGCATATCATATTCCCGCCGCTCAACTACCTCTTTCCGAACAGAATGGACTTCGGAAGCTCTTTGAAGGCGGGGCAATGCTTACATCTGACGATGGATCTATCGCAGTAGCGGCTGGAAGTGCCTGGGGAGGTGGAGGTACCATCAATTGGTCGGCGAGTTTGCAACCACAGGAGTTTGTACGACGGGAATGGTCACAGGATAAAGGACTAGAGGTTTTTGAGTCGGCTGAGTTTCAAGACTGTTTAGATACAGTATGCAAGCATATGGGTGTGTCTTCGGATCATATCAGACACAATCACGCCAACAACAATCTATTAGAAGGGTCGAGGAAACTCGGATTTAGCGCTAAAGCTGTACCTCAAAATACGGGAGGAAAAGAGCATTATTGCGGTCATTGTACTCTTGGTTGTGGATCATCTGAAAAACAAGGACCAGCAGTTGCTTGGTTACCAGATGCCGTACGTGCTGGTGCACAAATGGTTGAAGGCTTCAGAGTCGACCATGTAATATTCGACGAGGACGACCCTACCAAAGCAACCGGAGTCAAAGGTCTATGGACAGCACGAGACGACACCGGCGAATTCGACTCAGAAGGACGAACAACCCGCGAAGTCATAGTAAAAGCCAAAAAGGTCATAATCTCATCAGGAACCCTCTGGTCCCCCATAATCCTCCAAAACAGCGGTCTCCGAGTACGTGCTCCCTCCCGTATCTCCTTCATATATTAACACATACCCCTAGAACTACCACATAGGCCGCAACCTCCACCTCCACCCCGTCAACATGCTCTCCGCCATCTTCCCCACCTCGACCCGTCCCTGGGAAGGCGGCATCCTGACCTCCGTCTGCACCACCTTCGAGAACCTCGACGGACTAGGCCACGGCGCCAAGCTCGAAACCACGGTAATGCTCCCGTCCATGTTCCTCGTCGGCTTCCCCTGGTACTCCGGCCTGCAATTCAAACGCAACGCCCTCAAATTCCGCAACATGAACGGCTTCATCTCCATCGCCCGCGACCGCGACACCGGCCGCGTCTACCCGGATCCTACGACCGGCACGCCGAGGGTGAAATACACGCCCAGTGTCTTCGACCGCAAACACATCCTCGAAGGCGTGATCGGGCTGGCGAAAATCGCATATATCCAAGGAGCGGTCGAAATCCATCCGTTCACGTCCGCCGGCCGCCCCTTTATCCGTGATCCTAATGCTAATCCGGGTGCTGGGATCACGGATCCGCATTTTCAGAATTGGATTAAGGAGTTTAGGGAGGGCGGGAATAAACCGCCGGCGACGAGTTTTTCGTCTGCGCATCAGATGGGGACGTGTCGGATGAGTAGAACAGAGGCGGAGGGGGTTGTGGATGATAAAGGGAGGGTGTGGGGGTGTAAGGGGTTGTATGTCGCGGATGCGAGTGTGTTTCCGAGTGCGAGTGGCGTTAATCCTATGGTTACTAATATGGCGGTTGCGGAGTGGATTAGTAGGGGGGTGGTGGGGGAGATGGGGAAGGTGGAGGTCTAAGAGAGGGTTGAACGGAGGGGAGGGTTTGGGGATTATGGGTTATAAAATCTGGCCGGAAGGTCAGGACGTGAGGGCCGGATGTGTAATCCTGAACACCTCGCGGTCTGGATTGTAAAATGTGATGGGAGAAACACTGGGTCATCTAGGCAGATATATAGAGCGGTGCTCTGAGCTTTCGATAGGATCTTCCGTGTGTAATCCTTGGAAATGAGATTGCATATATCCAGGGGAGACATGTGTATTTCAACTACCCCAACAAACGTAGTCTCTTAACCATCAAATACGAAAAGGACACTTGTGAAAGCTTTCGTCGCCATGGAGCGAGTTGTCTCATCTGCACTGTTCTACGTGATCTTCGAAAAGACAAAGGGAAAATCCCAACGCTTGATTAACAACACGAGACGTCCAACTATCCACCCACACTAAACTCGACGTATATCACCTCTCATCCTAACCCCATCCCACTCGGCCTCTGGAGCATGAAGCTCAAGCATCTCTAAACCCCATACGATATGACAGGGTATGAGAAGGGGGGAGAATGGAAGAGCGCGATTGGAGAGGAGGTGGGTTATGGATGGTAAGTATTCCTTTTTTTTTTCCTGGGGAAAGGGGGAAGGAATGGAGATTAGAGGAGTAGGTGGATGATATTCAATATCAGGCTAGCGTTAGATTAGACAGACGTGAGACCTAGCTGAGCGTCTTTGTATATCGCTCGACTGGATATCCTTTGTATATTTCATATTTTTATACCTTGTTGGCTGGCTCAAGTGACTATAGTTTGGAATCGCCATGAAAAATGCATGGTTTCTGGTTCTTGATGTGGGCAGGTTTTTGTGCATCTGGATTTAGAGCTAACTACCTTGAGGTCTGGTATGAAAGATAGGAATGTAGGCTTGGGGTTATTTGAATCATAAAGGGATGAGAATAAGTTCATGATTACAAATAAGTGTCGAGGTTAGGACAGCGAATCGTCTGTTTATCAGATTACATGAAGGAGTTGACTTAATAAACAAGTCAATAAGGTATAACAATCAGCAGAGGAGTAGTTGGCCTGTATTAAAGCTTTACGTTAAATGTAATTTGGTAAATGGTAGTAGTCATCCCTAGATTAATAGGTCACTAGAAGTACTTGACCAGCAGTTTCTAGCTGAGCTTTTTGTAATTCGGTAAATGACCGTCCAAGTACTTAGTGTAATCAACAACTTAGAAGCGACTTTCGACAATATCATGCACTATTGTGTTCATATAGAGAGGATATCACTAACGGCAGTAGAGATGTAGATTTCAAAACAATCAAGATATATTCCACAAAAACGATGTTAAGTAGAAGTAAAAGAAGGTTGATGTTCGTAAGGAAATAGCCAAGTTTAACACGCAATACATTCCCCAAAACATAAACAAAAACGCGAAAAGTGACAAAAGAGCAAAGGTGGATAAGAATTGAAAGTGTTAAAGAAATGAGATACGACCGCGAGAGAGATTGTTCACTGATATTCTTGACATGTTTCGGAGGGCGATGGAGGTTGTTGTCGTGCTTGGAATTGGTGCTGGGTATGGGAAGTTGACCTTTGACCTGGAGCTGAGGGCCTGGTGCTTGATTCTCCTCTCCTTCCGCGTCCACATTAGCTTTGTCCCCCTTTCGCATCGTTTAACACTACTTACCAAATTCAACTCTACTCCCCCGCGCCATGTGTCCGTCGGCGCTTAGTCGCTTGCGGACTATCCGGACCGACTGCAGCAGTTTGTCGAGCTGACGCCTCCGGGATTTGAGCGACAGAAACAGCATCTAGTGAGGTATTGAGAGCTTGTTCGAGGGAAGACGAGCCTGAAAGTGCGGTTATGACGGCCGTTGAGATGAGAGATCCTATGTTTGAGGGGAGGAAAGAGCGGAGGCCGGATGGTTGAGTGGGAGGGGGATTGATTGATGGAGGTGGTGCAGGTGTTTGGTGGGTAGCTTCGTTTTGGGTTGTGCTGTGAGATGGAGGTATTGTTGATGGAGGTGTGATTTGGGTTTCTGGTTGCGCGGTGTTGGTGGGGTTGGTAGTGGAGAAAGTTGGATTTTGAGTTGAACGTAGGGTTCGAGTTTGTCGAGTAGTGTTTCTGCTGTCGACCACAGGTGGATTGCTTCGAACAGGAGCAGCTTGATCGTTGCGCGGGGACGGGTTCGCACTCCTTTGTGTTTGGTGAGGCGGAAGTGGCCTATTGACAGGTGGAGGCGTGGCGGAATACAAGTTTGATCCGACCGGAGAGTTAGGGGCGTTGGAAACAGTGTCTCCAGGTGCTGTAGCGAGAGGTACGACTGGAGATGGCGTGGGTTCATCATGCGGGACGGTCTGGGTAGGTTGATGGAGTGGAGCTGTTGCTGTAGATGTTGTTCCTGCCACGCCATCAGTCGTGCTGTTGTCACCACTCCTATCTACCCTCTCTTGTTTTATTTTTGACTTGAGGACAGTGGGTTGAGCAGTACCGGGAAAGTGTATCTCTCCAGCGGGCATGGCAGGTATTCCACCCAAAACAACCCTGTCTGGCATATCTCTGAGGATCTCAAACCACCTATTCGCAACGATGATAGCTTCAATATCAAATCCATTTCCAACTCTCGAAGAGGGATGTTCATATCCACCGTAACGATGTCGTGCGCTGCAAATTGTCATGGTAGCAAGGAGATGCAGCTGTGGGAAAAGCCATCCTTGATATACAATTACACTGAGATTGTGCCAAGAATCCCGAAGCTCATCGAGTATCGCTCTTGCTACTCTGGTATTCAGAACTGGAAGTGTTGTTCCTCTACATCGACGTCCTGTGTCTGACGTTCCTGAGCACGTGAAGCGAGGGGAACCTGGGTGGACATCGAGGACCTCTTCGGGGGACCAGTTTGGGTTGGTTTGTGGTGGCATTTGTGAAGGAATGAGTACCGTTCAAATTTGTAAAGAAATGTATGCCACAGATGAGAAATAGAAAACTGTACGTCTTCGAGATCGACAGAGTTATAGAGAGAACTTTCGCTGCGGTGGCTGCCCAGTAGCTCGATTTCCCTATCTCGGTGAGCCTTTCCGGTAGGAATAGAATGAAAGCTTGTGTAACGTGATTATTCAATAAGAGAAAGAAACCTACCTCTTACTTGCCTTGATAGGCAGAAGTCTTGCGAAAGCACGCACCCTCGTCCAATATTTGGAAATCCTTCTCTTCAGCACTAAATCATCTGGTCGGAATTCTGGCCACATCTCGGCGCAGTCATCTGCTAAAGTTACTGTGCCTTCGATAGATCTATGAAGAACCAATCTAGCATGCTAAGTCATTCGCTGTCGAAAGTTGCAACCCAGGATGTTGAAGTGTTCCTGGTAGCATGTGGCACTTCCCCGTAGAACCTTCTACAATGGAAGAAGTCTAAGCCGAGAAACGTCGGCACTCTCATTGGTCTTCTGTAATTAGAGACTCAAGCCGAGCGCTTAAATTTTGCACCCTGTATTGGAAAGGCAGACTTCGAAAGAGCTGATGGTGTTGCTCAATCGCGAAGAAAGTGGCCGGCGAAGTGGCCGAAACGGGTATTGTTGCACATTTTGTTCAAGGCCACAAGTCCACGACCACACCAGGACAAAGAAAGGCCATCTCCAGTACGACAACTTGAGAATATTCTGAAAAATTGGTCTGCTTTTGCGTGGGATTCCAAAAATAGGAGTTCCTCGTAGTGGTGGGAACTGGTCGCATTTATTTGTAGCAAGGTTGTAGATGTTGTGAGCTGAAGAGAATCGTGAGGGCTTCACTGGAGCCTTGCGAGTTCTCTCATTCAGGTTGCGTGCGAAACAATGGAAAGCTGGGGTGTACACAATGTAAATTGAGGATTCGAATTGCTGTGAGAATGTCGATGGGTTCGTGGACGATGTCGAAACTCTAGGCGACGGGTTTGCGGGTGTGAGCCAATTGATGGCCAATTAAAAGTGGGCCTCGTCCTTCGCTTAACCCTCCTTTTTCCAAAAGGCAGGTGTGACTGGCTCGATGGCCAGAGCGGGTTGTAATTGTTATGGGAGTTGATTGCTTGAGATTGACTCACTGAACCTCCTTTAGTCTGCGATTTCAATTGATGAAGGAGAAATTTGGATATAGGAGGAGCTTGGGGGGATTAAGACGAAGTGTTCACACTCTACTTCATCGTCACCCCATAACCTTAACTCTGGTCATGAATGATACGATAAATCACACAACTCAATTATGTATCAATGGAGAGTTCTTTTTTAAACCAACATCCATATTAAGTCCGAATCTATTGCGCCAAATAAAACTCCACCTCAAAGAAATCCCATCCCACAAACAATCTACTCTTCCCAAATTGCTCGACTATTACACTTATCAGCATTACCCAGAAAAGGTGGAAAGAGTGTTACTAGTTACCAGAAAATACACTTAAGTTGGCTATCTCTGTTCTCACTCGCTCCTGTCCATCTCTCCCAACAATCTTTGCAAACATTTTGCCCGCAAACTGCTTTGCACCACACTGCATCAGAAAGGGATGCAATTTCTAGCAGACAGACTAGACAAGTTTCCGGAAGAGGTTTTCGAGACGCTTCAGTCTGTTGTCGACGAGTGGGGTGGGATATAGAGGGTGGTGGAACGGGAGGTCTGCTACTGGAGCTGTTTGTCGGGAATGGTCGTGGGGTAGATTGGTGTCGTGATGATCGAGGAGGAGAAGATGGACTAGCTGAATTCGTTCCATCATTTATCTCTTCTTCTGCTTCGCTGCCTACCGCTCCGCCGTTTCCAACCTCTGGTGTTGACGTTGACGTCGACGCAGTGATAGAGCCAGGTCTTGGTGTAGAATGTCCACGACTGGAAACGGACAAGCTTCGTGGCGGATCTACGAGCGAGGATCTAGTTCGCTGACGGGATGCGAATGCATTTATTACACTGACAGGTGTTCGATGTCGTGCAGATGACGAAGATGTAGTAGTGTCGTATGGCGATGAGCCATTGCGAAGGTCCTGCGAACCTTGCGTGGTGGAATTTTCTCTGCTTGCGGTGGAGAGCGTGACACGAGGCATATTACCAGCGTCGTTACTGTTCGCAGAAAAATGGATAACAAAATTTGGTCCAGAACTCGACCGAGATGTCTGGGGTGGTGTTGCTGGTGGGGTCGGCAACGAAGATACTGCTCGGGAGTGATTTGATGTAGAACGAGAGGAAGTCGGGAGCAAGATAGGTCTTGTGGGCTGGTTACGACGCCGTGTAATAGTGAAGACAGATGGGTTGACGGTTATTGTGGCCGGTGTCGAAAGGGTTTGTCTGCGTGTTCTTGTTGAGTGGCTCGACTGCCTTTCAGGGTCCAGGGTTTGGATGATCGATAGCCACTTTGCAGCAACGTTCTCACCTTGGGACCTATGTCCTGTTCGATGCCATCGTGGACACAAAGTAAACTCTGCAAGCCTTTTCAGGTCGGGTAGCAACGCGCGAGGACTGGTGAAGATATTGTCGTTAGTAATTAGATCTTCCAAGATACTGGCGGCCTCCACTTTGTCCCTATTCGCAATGAAAGATTGCCCACAACGCAGGCCCTTTAGAGCCATGCCGCAGCAAGTGAAGCCAGGTTCATCCGGGTAGAGATCGAAGGCTCTTCTAGGATCCCAGATGCTAGGCATAATTGTTGCGACGATGGGAGGATGAAAGTTGAGAACAGGAGCCGAGCGAGGAGTTGGAGCGATTTAGAGGTGGACAAGCGACGCAGAGATAACGAGTAAAACTTCAGGATAGGTTTCGAATCGTAGACTTGTAGTAACTAAGAGATGATAAAGATCTCTACTTGATAATTTGGTGCGCATTCATATTACATTAAATAAGAGTGTTGGTGGAACCATGAGAAAGAAATCATTCGTTTGAGCCACAATCTCAATTCCCTAGAATTAAAAGACAAGCGTTTGACTCTCTGCAAAAAGCTGACCGCTAGAATAAAGACTGATGAGCTACCCAAGCCACCACCATCCATGGCTGTCTTGAGCAAGTCATGCGGCTAGCCGTTTACCAACATGTAGCAGTTCTTTGACACTTGTCATTGGTCGAGAAGGAAAAACTGAAGCTTCCTTCAAATTCTGTGAGGGGAAGACCACTTTCAGTGACCGAAACCGAACAGGGATTCACAACACAGACTTACACATCCTTAAATAGCCAGATCATGTATCACTCTCTTCGGCAGTTCCGAAGAGATACAGCTTCTTCAATCATGACCCCCAGCTCTCTCAGATACTGGATTGGGTGTGAGCATAGCCACGCTTTTGGGCTTCCGCGAAACGTAAAGGGTTGCTGCCAGCGGGTATGGCCCAGTAAGTCGAGGCCAGTCACGTGATTTTCGTATGCCAATCACTTCGCATCTCCAGTTGCGCAAAATGAATTATGGAGTGATCGCTCAGGGCAGAAACCAAGTGATCATAACGGAATATTGCTCTCTAACTAGACCAGGGTTGCTCAATTCTGTACGGCATCCATAAATGCAACAATAGTTCTAGACTGCCGTAAGTTGCCAGATACCTATTCGGAGACGAGAAATATAATTTGGGTGATTTCCATTCGAGTAAATATTGATTTGTCCAAGCCCATATTTTCATTCTCCATACAGCTGCCACTTGGTCGACGTCTTCAAAATGGCTGCTTGTAGTCCTAGGGTCTAGTAAGCAAGATGCTGTCTCGAAGGAGGTTGAAAGCCATCGGTACAAAAATAAAACTCGGAAGGTAGTTCGAATCGTATATACAAATCAGTTTTCTAAAATGGATTCTCCCCTAACATCTGTAAGGTCAACAAGATCTATCAATTTCACACCAAAAACTTAAGCACAGTGCATCAATTCTGAGTCTCGAGCTTGTCATCGTGGCCACGAGCAGAGCAACAAATAATCAAAATTGATGCAATATGTCAGAGAGTTTTGATGTTCAACATAGATTTGAGCATTCTGTACGAACTCAAATAGCAACCAATGACTCGGAGAGCGGAGTAAAGGTCCGACAAGCATGCGGGTCTCGCTTAGCTCTACTCTCGACGTCAGCACTTTGCTTTCCCATCCTATCTGGATCAGAATCTACGCAATTCGGATGCTTGATTTCGCCGGATGTCCTTGCATAGCTCTAGTTGTACTCAACAACGCAGCTTGAAACGTACAGCTGACGACGTTCCCGAGAGTAAAATGGCATTTGTCAAACCCCGCGTACAGGGCCCTTGACATCATTGGTATAGCTGGCATAATGTCATCACTTACACTTGTTATTCATTGAGTATATAAGGATTGGTTCATACAATCTGTTTAACTTACTATACATATATTGAATAAATGCTCATCACCTCATTTACACGCACAGCTACCAAATCATACACTTCCAGATTATTACCAAATCTACACCGCACAATGGCCACCAACTCAGCACCAGGAGAGGCTTTTGAAGTCCGCCAAACATCCGCTACCGCAGATTGGAAACCCGATCCATCTAAGTCTATTCCACTTGATAAGGCGAGACAAGCTCTAATAGACGATATCATTGAGCTGTACAGCTGTAACCCAACTGTTGAGCGTGTAAAGCGATATACCCCAGATTGCGTTTATGATGATCAATTCGTCTACGCGAATGACCGGTAAGAAATTGAATGTCTGGTAGTCAGGAGAATGAATCTAAATTCTATACAGATACAAGATGGCTGGTCAATGGTTCGCGCTACCAAAGTTATTCAATGAATCGAAGAACGAAGGTTACGAGATCGTCCGCAGCGACGACGAAGTAATCCAATTCAAAAACGAACAAGTAACTCCCCTTTCCCCCTCAAACCTCCCACCATACTAACCCACCTAGTCCTGGACCTTCAGAATCATCCCCAAAACTGCCACCATCAACGCGCTCGTCACGCTCTCTCTCGACCCAGAGACTGTGCACAGCGATTTCATCCGTGTGAAATATCACAAAGATCAAGCTAATGACAAGGATTACAGCCATGAGGGTGTGGGCTTTTCATTTAAGAAATGGCAGGCTGATAATGTTGTAAAGTATATGAATAGCCCGGAGGTGGCGGAGTTTGAAACGGATAAGGATGCTGCGAAGGAACATGTTAGGAAGTATGGGTCGGGTGAGGGGAGTGCGCCGGAGAAGAATTTGTAGATGTGATGTAGTAATGTGGTATTAATGATAATTGTTTAACTATGTGGTAATTTGATGACTTTATGCAGACTTCAAAATGGTTGTTCCAGTCCTCCGATCACGTGTAAAGATACAATAAGCAATTTGGAGAACCTCATGGTCTTGTGTATGTGAGAAAATATTTTACACCAGACGCTACCCAATCGATACAATCGTTATTCCATTAGGGTATACATGATCTAAACGCTATGCTTCCCCGAATTATTTTGCCCTACTCGAACACCAGCCCAGAACCCATTCTATCCATTACCCAACCCCCAATCAGCCAACCCAAGCGTATCCGCCTATCCACTCCCTATAATCACCGCAAAGTACCCCTCCGTTCCCTCTCATACTCCCGATCTCTGGCTGTAGGCTGCCTTTCAAAATCCCTATACTCCTCTCTACTCCCCCTTCCATACTGACTCCCGCGTCCAAACTCCTCACGGCTCACCCTCGCGAACTCTTCTCTCCCACCCCCGGGCCTCTCAAAACCGCCTTCCCTCTCCCTGTCAACAGCATCAAACTCCCTATACCTCATCCCCGCATTAGAAGATCTTGGAGAATGCATTTCCGGCGTTCGATTCTCCCGTTTCTCATACCTCATCCTCTCTCTTCTTTCATCAATTATAGGCGGCGAGGGTGGTACAAGCGGTGGTGGAGTTCTCGGGATCTTCTCACGAAAAGGGGGAGGTGGACCACGAGGATCATCAACATATTCATCATGAAGTTCTTCCTCGTGGACGATGATTTTTTCGCGGAAGCGGTCTTTTTCGCGGTAGGGAAGAGGCGTGGGTGTGCCGCTAAGTCGAGCTGTTTCTTCTGTTATGCGTGTGGTAGTGGTAGAGATGCCTGTTGGGGCTTTTCTGCGCTTTTTGCGGCGTTTGGTTTGATTTCGTCCTGGTTTGGTGTTAGTATGCGGAATTTTGTAGGCTTGCAAGAAAGTCCGAGCTTATTGTTAATTCAAAAAAGAGTTACTTACCCTTGTTCATCAATAGCAATTTTCTTTCATATGGACCAAGACTTTCCTCCACCATGTATGCCTTTTTGGGAGCATTATCTTCTGGACCACAATACTCCCAGATCCACCTCATATCGTCTGGCTTCCTATCAGACGGAGGCGTGCCAGCGCTCCAACTAGCATTGGGTGGAATAGGATCTTGCACCTTAATCCTGACGCGACGAAGGTTCCAAAGCTTCTTTGGTAAGGCGTTTGCTTCATACAGCCCATTATCATCAAGTCCAAGCCCCTCGAGCTCTAGCCGAACCCGAACGGAGCTATGAATGCGTTCATTCGTATTCTCCAATGGCTTACTAGTCGGTAGACCAGTTTCTGGATCTGCGCAAAAATATAATCCAGGAGTCCGCCACTGCTTACCAGCAAGTGTATAGATGGCTGACGACGAATCGTATATCTTGCCGAGCGCCCATGGTCTTACCGGTCGATGCTTCTCGTAGATAGGGGTGATCGCCCACTGTTTCTCTTTTCGGCTCATGCGGGAGTTTTGACTGCTGCCTTCCCTCACATAATACTGGGCATTTTGCTCATAAGCGATTTCAATAGCCTCATCTAAGAATGATACACCAATCGAGGCTAACTGATCCATCATCCTGTCAAAGTTAGATTCTGCGATATTCGCTTGGCACCGAAGTTTTGACATTAGAGAAAGGAAAAAGGGTATACAGAACTGACCATGCGAGGGAAACATTTGCTAGTTCCTGATCATCATAACCACCCCCAACATTACTGTGTGCCCCAGGAAACCAAACTTGTCTCAAATCGGTCGACACGTCTCTGCTGGTACTCTTTCTTTCCCACACAGCAGGAGCAAAAGGACGACGACGCTCATCAAGCGCTAACGCCTGGAAGGCATGCTTGACGATACTTGAGAGATTAGTGTTATAAAACTTGTATTCTTTTGACGAATGGGACAATCCGAGTCTTGATACAAGAGACACGCTGGGTACTGTTATAGAGGTCAAAATTACTGTAGCAAAAAAGTGGAGAAAGCATGACATACTGCCGAGAGCCCCTACTGTATCCCAGACCGCAACCGCTTTCACGCAGATCTTGCTTCCATTGGGATCGTATACTCTGGTGAGGTCCATCTGCAAGATTTAGAAACAGTCTCCAAGAAGATTCACGAAATCATCAACTTACCTCCTCCAGTCGCCGCTTGTATTCTCGTCCTTTTCCTGGACCTCTTGGTTTCCTCGGAAATGGTACGTCTGGAAATATGTCTGTGTAGCTCGGTGTACTAAAATTCTCCTGATCTTTGAAGATAGGATAGAAAGACTCCATTCCAGATCGAGTAAGTAGACCAATATTGTCTATCATGCCTGCGACACTTCGGACCGTAAAAGCGCCTCGACTAAACCCGATCAGGATGATTTCATCACCCGGAGTGTAGTTTGTGACGACGAAACTGTAAACTTCCCGGATATTCTAAGTGTCCATTAGTGGCTGTTTCCACCAGATATGACATACACATACTTCTGATATTCCTCTACCTAAGGCGCCCCCAGTGAAAGAGTCTAGAAAGCCTTCCGAAGTTCCTACACCCGCGTGGTAGAAAATGATTTGATGGATCCCATCTTCACCAACTCTAGTTAGAGCACGTGAGATGCGTGTCACGTTGGAAGGTACCTGTACAGTTGCATAAGGTTGGTAAGGAATCAGAGTAGGTTTGTTAAATCCATCATCACTAGGTTGTCAGGAGTTGTTCTTCGGACAATTGGAAGTCGATTTAACTGACCTGTCCATCCAGGTTCCATCGCAACAACATATTAGACGCTTGTGAACGGTAGGCATGTTTACCGGGCTCCTTGATTCAAGTTGCGACTACGCAATAGCTCGTGAAGTGATCGATTATAGATACGTGATGGTGTTATGGTCGCTCAAAAGCAAAGTAATCTCAGGAGTAATTTTGACTTGTGACTTGAAGAAACGCGTTAGAGAATCCACTTGTACGGGATGAGTTTATTCGGGGTTCAACGAGGCGTTTTCGAGGCTGATGAGGCTCGGCGGGATGTCCGTGGATGTTGACAGGTGTACTTCGATGCTCTTCTCCTCTTCCCAGTATCCGGTAGGAAGAGCGTCAACAATATGTGACAAGCCGTGGTTAATTCTCCTCATTTCTGCTCAAGATGCGCTGCGAAAGAGAATACTTCTGAAAAAAGACAGTGTGAGAAGCGCGGCTGACAGAAGTTGGGCGCGTATCACGTTACTGACGAATAAGGCAACCTATAGGTCAGGAGGTTATAAGAAACATGGCTGGGTCGGTGTAACAATGAAAGAACGACAGATATTTTAATGAGTGTGATAGGTTGGAAGGAAAATAATATTAGGAGGTTGGTGATAATAGCTTGGGATGAAATGCTTCGGGATCGATTAAAGGGGCCGAGCCCGAATCCATCTCGGGGCCAGCTCCCACCGAATCGGGACGAGATCGGCCAGTAAGCTGCCAAACCTCATGATGTCAGTGCCCAGCTTTAATTGATACCTTGCACCCGGACATTCAAGTCCTGCAAGTCCAGTAGTCATCAAAGATGCCAAATCGCGTGAGTTGTGAAACCATATCATCTGGAGAGGATGGAATATCTTGATCTTCTACGCCTCTAGTCTTCCTCTCGTTTCCTCATACTCTGTTCCAAGATGCCTCAAATCATACGCGGTACACGATCTCATTCCGATTCGGGCTCACCCCCTGCGCCTCAAAGTCCTCCCGGCAGGATAACATTCGAAAATCTTCGCAGACCGTCTTCTAAAAGCATACCACCAGCCGATCGAGACCACAATGGCGTTTACTACGATAGTCGAGCCGCAAGTCAACGAGAATATAATCGACGCGCCAGCACGCTTCAATCGTATTACCTCGAACATCCGGAGCTTCTCCCACAAATTCCCTTCACTTTTCGACATGGCTTCAAGAGATGGAGACTTGGCGGATATATTGCATTGATGGTATTCGATGCGTGCATCGTTCCAATTCTGCTATATTATGCCCTGACATTTGGAGGAAATGTTGAAGGATACATTACATTTGCAGTCATCACAGCGATATGGGGTGGCCCAACATACATTGAGTTCGCAGTTCGATCATTCCGGCTGGTTATCATCAAGCAGGCACGATTCTTTAAGCCTCTAGGGACCGATAAACGATGGGCCTTCGATATTACCAATTGGATCCTCGTCTTAGTGATCGCTGTCGTCACCGCGCTTCTCATTGTTGGCGCAGCACCTCACGATGTCTTCCTTAGAGTTCTTTCCATGCCAGGGCCTGCGATTCTTTACTGTCTGGCGGGGCCAGTTTTTCTGCTCAGCCTTTACCACCATTTTGGCTGGAAAGCGCCTTTCAGAATTAGCTCCACTCCAAAAGGGGAGCCGGTCTGGCCGGGGGTATATTACATTGTTGAAGATGTTGTTGCTGTCAATGCACGAGGAGGCCGGCCTTTCCGGGAAGGTATGGCTTCACGATACAAAGCAAGTCCGATATTCCGGAAAATGATGAGAGATCTATCTTGGTTTTGGTCCATTGGTGGACTTATCATGGCCGTCGCTTGCACTGTTGTGGTTGTCATCAACCCCGTCCCAGAAGAAGTTGCTTATGGAATTGGTGAGTTCATACTAACTTATCGACTTACATTGGCTAATACATCTCAGGCTGGGGTGTTCCATTCCTCTGGGCAGGCGTGTGGGGAGCAATCACTATACCCTGGGTGCGATCCGTCATGCGCCACGAGAGAAACACCTGGGAACAAGAATCGGATATGATGAAATCTACCATGATGCCGACACCAACTGAAGAAAATATTTTAGCAGGCGATACGACTGCAGAGAACAGAGTATGATGACTCTCTTGAGTCTGCAGATCTCATTTATGTACGGAAAGGAGAGACTTCCTCGTTGATTCTGTAAATCATGATTTTACGAATGGGACACCTTAAGGGTGCATTTAGAGGCGACGTCCTTATTGATAGTAAGTAAGCACAAACATTAGCGAAGTCCCAAAGTTGTACGATAAGCATATAGATACCTTTTCTCTGTTAAAATTGAAGCATTAATTTACTGGCGTAGTGGAGCCTCTATTTGTGGTGAGCGAAAAAGCATCTAGAAAGACACAACATTCAATCTAGATTGAGTAGGCTGTGTATCTCTCCTCTGTATAAATGGAAACAGCGTATACTTTTGGACTAAAGTCAATGTTTTGCATCATGAGTGCACCATATATTGCTCTATTCTATTCTACCTATTCTAGTACTATTCTGATCACGCTGCAACCGGTTCGTCCCGCAAGCGTTTATTTTCCCCAGCCGAGAATGGTAAAAACCCCACTAGTGCACGGACCTATACATTTAAACATCTTTGACGAACTCCAGACATCAACTTCATGATCATCTTGCCTCTAACCTCATATTGACACATATCTTAAATGGTCAGGCCAAGAACACAAAGGCACAAGCTCGAATTACACGATACATAAGATTCGAGGTCTATTGCGTTTGTTATTGACAGCTATGTACAGTCCAAAAAGCACCACTAAAAGATTGTATGGTCGTTAAAGCTGAATGACTTGTTGGTGTCATCCATTGGCAGGGTCTCGCAAACCTTAGGCGTGAGCTTCTTCTCCTTCACGTGGTTTCGAGCTTAACTAATAAATCCTAGGCTTATACCCCCTCATCCATGTCATTCGAAGCCTAACTAATAAAGTCTAGGCACCTTCCATTTGTACCAGTCTGTCAAAGTAATGTTTCGGGAGGTAACAAACACCCCATCCGTATCAACTTCTTTATCAAACAGCCATTTCTTCACAAACGCTTCTAGTTGTGGTTTCTGAGAATCAGGGAAGAGGCAATGGTTATGAGCTCCAACGTCTGAATACCCAAATGCATCAGTCTCACCCAAAGCTTTGTACACGAGCTGTCCGACACCCATGCAGACCGCGGTACTGGTAGGGCCAAGCCAGTCGATATCGTTGTCGATGACAAGCAAGCCACGTGGTGCAACGAGTCCGGCGAGTAGGTGGTGATCGATTGGTAGCGAAGAGACCTTTGTCGTCCATGGATCAAACCGCTGTGAGAGCCAAGTGTTCTCCGTTATGATCTGGGCTGCAGTTTGGATGTTGGTGCCAGCAGCTTTCGTTGCGTCTGCTACTCTCCAACAGCCCGATCCTCCTGTTCCACTTTCTTGTGGAATGGTAAGTCCAATACGGTCATCCAAAGCTCCAACTACGAATGCGCCCTTGCCGTTACGGGAGCAGCCAGTTACGCCAATGAACTCGACATTGATCTTTGTCCCCCGGGTTTCTTCCAAGGCGTCGATAAGTCGGCTGACACCCCAAGCCCAGGCAGTGAGGGAACCTGCACTAGCATTCTTGCCGTAAAGTTCGTAAAACAGACCTTGGCCACGATAGCTTGCGCCGATTTGACCGGCAATCTGATCATTGGGGAAGTTGATGAATGCAACACCATCAAGTTTCGGAATGTTTGGATATCCCAAAGTTATGATAGCAGGGTATGGCGCCTTTCCCTTCTCGGGATATGTGATGGTCGCATTGAATGCGATCGACTTCTTGTTGTTGGTGACTGTAACTGTCAAGATGTTGTTGGCAAAAGAGCCCTTCACAGAATCTGCAGCTGGCTTATCACCAAGCTCAAATCGCGCAAACAGAGCGGCAATTTCCTTTTGTCGGCACCTGAAATCCCTTTTCGATTTGACGCGGTCGCCATTGATAAACGTAAAGGGATCTGGTAAGGTGGTAATAGAAGGAGGCTGATAGTTGCTGGGAATATTCCCACATCTGGCTTCAACAGCTTCAGCTTTTGGATATGCCGTTGCAAGTGGCGCCACTGCAAGACAAAGAACGGTTGCAAGAAGGGAAACCATGGTGATGTTCGCCAACCACAAATCGGATGAGACTATTCTGTTAATGATCGAAAGAGTGAAACCCAGGAATACTTATACCTCATTCTCGCCTCCTAATAATCTGGGTTTCGGCAAATCGAGAAAAGCCTATACCCTCATCCCAGGAATTGGGGCATCTTAAAACTCTCCACGAAACAAATGCTCACAGAAAATATAATGGCCGCACCACTTTGCCTAGCCTAATTATTAGCAATTTGACATTCTGCCTTGAAAGCACGTCCATCTACGCAGTTGAGTGGTGCTTTCTGAGGAATTGTCGTCGAAGAGTTCGCAATTAGTCTACAGATTTAACCGTACTTCATAGAAGTCATAAGAACACGCTCTGCGGGGTTGACGAGAAGTCGAGATATTTGAGAAGGGTTTCTCAATCCCAGGATATTAGTTTTCCCGCAGTATTTGTGGACACACATATTTAAGGTTAATTGTGGCTTTCGACGCAGGCTTGCAGCACGTTTGACAGGCTATACCAGCTACTCATTGGAGGAAATCATGGACATAAGAGAGGGCCAGCTGCAGTCCTGAGGCGTAGGAAACGTTCGCCAACTGAGCAATAAATGCTTACTTATGGTAAATTCTAGCCTGAAGGAGAAGAGGTGGTGTGAACAAGCAATGAGGTGCGGCAGTTGTGTTCCTACAGTTCTCTGCAACGTATGATTGTTTCATGGACGCATATTGCAATGACTGACTGGACTCTCAGTTCTATTTACATCACTCTCATTGGGCGACTCGTACAAGTGGGACAACTCACCCATTGTGGGGTTTGTGGTATTCGTAAGCACCACGGTGAAAGTTCAATGCTTCCACCGTCTTGTTTCGGGTAACAGAGAGCTTAACGGTGGACACGCAATTTGACCCATGCCAGAATTGCAGGCAGGAATGGAAGGTGGTTGCTTTAACGAACTTATCCCCTGCTGACTCAAGAACTTTCAGGATCAAATAGTTCGTGGGGGCTATGCAAACTTTAGCAAGCGATAGAAAATTCGGTATAGTAAGTTTTGCTGACTATCTGCTACTGAATTCTAGGAAGAGTGACTTCGGAGATATTATTTTGAGCAAAAGTGTGCACAAGCAGAAAGCTCAATGGTGGTACAATTTGGAACCTAGAATCTGCCTGTCGAACCCATTGATCTTGTTCTAGGCCACTTGATACTCAAGAGACTTGTCAGCACACAGAACTAGAGTGCTTTTCGCTCGCTACCGCTTGTCTCATTTCATCATTAAAAGCATCATTCCCTCAAACTTCCGATTCCACAAACCCTCTCATAAGACATGAGCATCTAACTATGGAAACAATCAGATCAACCGTTATTCCCGCTAACCTCTTGTCCGGTGTTAAGTAGGAGCATTATCCGGGCTAGACGACTTATCACGGGTCAGCTAGAAAATTTGGTAAAGGTGTGAAGCAGTGCGTAAGTATCTTCATCCTTTGCTTGGCGTGGAGATCGGGTGACAGGTTTTGATGACAGCAAGCTTTTCACCAGGTATGTACACTAAACTTGCGGCTTCCCCTATTGCAGCTGGGATTACAACTTCTGTCGACTTGTCTTTCTTTGTCTTGGATGATTCGTATTTTCCCTCATTCATCACGCGATGACCCTTACTTTCGTGGAGCAAAAGACAGACAAGAGAGTACCCAAGGAAACTGGAAAGAAATCAGAGCACTGTACAAGTCCCTTCTACGGTTTGCTTGGACAATCTGCACTTATGATTCATGAAGCCAACTTTGCAGAGCTCGTTGTCTCCGCTGTGTGGCTAGCCGAAGGATCACTTGCAGATGTCAAAGCCAAGCGCTTCGCCGCGAAGGTTGCATTGTGCAGTACCAGCATATCAAGGCAGAGAACTTCTTTCCCGGTGACATACACAGCAACGTCTTAGAGGCTGGCTACTTGATCGATCAGAGGTAGCCCCGAAAATGATATGCAAGGCTTGTGTTATTTGAGACTTTTCTGGATGTCGCTTGCCCTAGTGGTTGGCTTGACAGTAAAACTTCCATTGTAAAATCCAGCAAACCTGACAATGGCAGTCTATGCCCCAGAATTTATGATCCTGTGCAGTCTTGCTTTCTCTCTGTATATGAGAAAAGAACTTGCGCTTATCTAAAAAGGGAGTCTTAACCGCATAGCAAATAGCTCCATGAACAGTAAGACCAAACCCATACAGATAGCATTGAAACATGGCATCATAAATCTCGATGTTGCGGTTACTGTTCATTAGATCAGATTTGTGGCCATCCCGGGTGTTTCACAATAACTCGTCAGTCTATAAGCTGAGAAACACCATCATTTCTGTCAGTCGTTAGTTACAACATCACGTTATCCTCACTTGTCTGGGAAAATGTGGCGTTTAATTCCTATCTACGCATATAAGAATCAACACCTTAGTCAAGCTGAGGACTTGTTTGTCAAGCTTTTTTTGATTCGAGGAAATAAGTTCATGGACTCCGTTCAGGCATCATCGCGGCGTATGTGGTCACAAAATTTTCTATCACGGTTATATGTAGCTCTTACTTCGTCATTCATTACATTAAAATTCAAACAACTCTTACGCACCAAATTCGAACTCCTCCCCTCGATCCTAATCCCCAATATCCCAAGCGCTCCATCTCGTCCCCGTCGACCTATCCGACTCTGAGCCCAGCGATTGTCTCATCCCTCGCATGATATCCGAGCCCATATCCTTCCCCGCCCCAGTCCGTCGACTACTCCTGCTCTCCCTAGGCATCATCTTTCTCCCTTGGTTCTTACTATTATACATACTTGGCGGTGGTTTTGGTCTGATGCTCTTACCTTTCCGGAGAGACTTGTCGCTCTTTGAGATCTCGAGATCTTTGTACTTGGCTTGGAATTCAGCTTCAGTCAGGCCGTTTGTCAGGTTTCGGAATACTTCATCGCGCTCTTCTTGCGCTTTTTGCTTCCATTCGAGGTAGGATTGGGATGATTCAGCGGTTGAATGGGTTGCGATCGATGCGCGAACGTCTTCGTCGATCCAGATGGACTCGGCTCTCGAGGCATGTCCGTACGGAACATTGAGGGTTGATTGATCTGCTCTGGTTTGTTGTTGTGGCAAAGAAGTTTGGTTTAGATTGCTCCTAGAGTCTAGTGAGTAAAATGGCTCCTTGTAAAGCGCGATCTTAGGTCTGGAACTTTTGACTGAGCCTGCTCGACTGATCGATCCTGTTCTCATAGATCCCCGCTCTTCGTTTTGTTTGGAATTACGAAGGTCGTATAATCCATAGGGATCGCTGTCGCTTCGAGAAGTGGTGGATCCTCGTCGAGTCGGAGGTCGAGTCGCAGATGATCGTGGTCTTCCCTGGTCGAGAGGTCTACTCAACTCCACTCTCTCCTTAGTCTTAGGGAGATCGTTCAATCCATAAGGGTCATTGTTGCTTCCAGAAACTGAGGAACCTCCTCGCCGTGTTGGAGGCCTGGTCGCGGACGACCGTGGTCTTTCACCGTCGAAAGGTTTACTCGAAGGAGCGAAGTAACCTTTTGAAGGGGCCTGACTATACACGCTGGCGGTATAGGCGCCATTGGCTTTTTCGGATTTGATTTCGGCAGGAACAGGAAGATTTCCAAACTTGGAAGTCGAAGGGTGATGACGGCTTTTACCCCCAACATTGCTATACTGACCAGTCGGATCATTTCCAAACATGGTGTTGCGAAATGCTGGATGCATACCCTCTGCCAAGCTCGTAATGTCCATCTCCTCGCCGGCCATCATCGAGTAACGAGATAAATAGTAGTCTAGTATCGAGTCTGCTATTTCATCTACTGGCTGTTCGTTAATGTTGTTTTCGGTGCTGTCTATGTCCTCAATGCCACTGCCTGCTGGAAGATCAGCAGTAGGTTCGGGGTAGGAGTAGGAGGGAGTAATCTCCGACTCAGGTGTATCCTCATAAGGATTATGAGACGGCGGTACGTACCGATAGGGAGTTCCACCTATAGAATGACTTTTGGGTGACCCGACAGTCGGGCTTGGCGGGGTGTCTTTGGTCTTCTGGCTTGGTGTTCTTTGAAGCTTGGATGATTTCATTGAGGGCGACCTCCCAAGTTTAGAGAAAGAACGTGTCATTGAAGGGGATCTTCTCTGCCCATCCTTGACACTTTGCTTGGAACTCCTCTTAGCTTCTTCACTTTGACGCTTACCGTTGGGATATCTTTCCCGACGCATCGTCTCACGGAGCGTCATAAGATGGTCGCCAAACTCTTCGTTCCAAGGTATCAAAGCCGATCCGCCGATATTATGAAGCCATTCTGTGACGAATCTTAAGAGATGAGGCTCATGATCTGTCCAATCACGGCTTATAAGGCTTGCATGCAAATCCAAGATGATTTGCAAGTTGCTACCGACTGTAGCAACGATGCAAGCCTCGCATCCCGAAAGAACACGTTCGTAATGCGGACTTTTAGAAGATGCATTGAAAGTATAGAAGTAAAGCTGAGGAGACATCCACAGACTGTTGATAGATTCTATACGTCTGGTCCATACGTATACTTTGTCTGGTAAATCCGTGCCCTTCTTCTGAAAATATTGATTTCGAATTGTACATTCTTGACTGATACTGAGGAATACACGGCGGATTAGCTGTGGGTTCAAGGGTTTGTGTACTTTACAAAGCTGCGCACCTTCTTCGCCAATTTTAAAGTGTATTAGCGGTCTCTTCATGGCGCTCAGGGTTCGTGCTAGAGGATTAGAAGGCCGGAGGAGCGCTTTGGGTAGGTTTTCGATTTTGTGTTTTTGTTTTGCGAACCATTCTGCATCGTGTGGAAGTCCACTGGGTCCTGAAAGTAGGCGAATTAGTGCAAGGCACTCTTCTTTTGAAAGGGATGTTAAGCGGCTTCTGTCTGGTTGTGACATGCTTGCTTTTTGTTGTGGTTGTTTATCTTGAGTGTAAGTACTCGAAAGACTCGGTCAAATTATTGAGTTTTATTTGTATCATAAAATCATAAAATGACAAAAGATGTGGAGCTCGAGTAATTATCTTATTTAGACTGGACAAACTGTTCAGTTGATTGGGCTGTTCTAAGCGAGCAACAAAGGGGGCTTGTTGTTGTTTCTTTCAGACGAATTCGAAAACAAAGAACAATTTTCCTTTCACATCTAGCAATATGTGGTAAGAGTGACGAAATTCTTTCAGAGTACGACTTTGCTACATTAATCCTTCAATATGGAGTTCGAAAGCATAAATCTACTATATTATTCAAAAACAATGAGAAATTATACCGTTTGAAAGTGGTGTACATATTTCATTACCGTTAGAAGATGCCGCTTAGAAGTTACATCACATTAGTGCAGGAAACAAAATTTCGAATGGAGGAATTCAAGTGAAATATTAGAAAAACTATTTTTGACATCAAGTGTTGCTACCAATAGAAAGATATTCATAATTGTTACGTCATCAGTTGACGATCATTTTGGAAGAGCAGAATATTGAACAAAACGTTGAAAAGAAGTATTCGGCGAGCAAAGCGAACCAGAAAATATTGACCGCAACACATGTAGTGTCGTCCTAGTCTCGAAAAAGGAATATTTCCCCACTTGCTTTATTAAACAGGATGTCATAAATACTGAGACGACGGTGCGCTGGCATGATGGTGTGATGTTTCTGTATGTGATTGGAGGTTTTTTATTAGGCGGAACAATTGTGCGGGTTTGCATTTATGAAGATGGAATTTTTGATCGGGGGTTGGTGAATGGGCGAATATACAAGGATGAGGGAAGGGAAAAGAAGTGATTATTTTCAAACAATTTTATTCATTCATGCTGACTGTACAAAAAAAACCAAACGCCTTATTAATCCATGCGACATTTTGATCCTATTGCTTACAACCATTTAAAGACCAGATCCAACGCTTATCGAAAAGCACTCCATCTCGTCTCGTCAGTGGCAATAGAATCTGCGGAAGACATTCTGACATGGTTCCACTGCTTGTTATTCATAGAAGGAGGTGGACCTTGATTATGTCGTTGCCGTGCAACCCCCCGAGAGTCAGGAATATCTTCTGGTTCTTCTCCGGTCAGGCTACTGTAGGCATCAGCACGATCGCGAGCCAATCTATCATTCTCAGCTTTGGTGTTTAAGGCCGAGCCGTCCGACCACATCGAGGCAGTGGACGGTCCTTTGCGTGGCATTCGAGCAATTGGAACCCTAGGCGGGATGTATTCGCCTTCGTCATAGGCTCCTCCATAACCACTGGGTTGCGAGGGCTCGTCCGTTGGATGATATGAATGAGTTGGTCGACCTGTACGTGGAGCGCCATATTCATTTTCGGCTTGAGTTGGTAACTGTTCAAGAGATGAGTTTCTAAACTTGCCATACTTCGGGAACTTAGAAGATCCATCGCTTGATGGATCTTCTCTCGCACTATATGGAATACGTGTGGTATTCGCACGCTTGGGGAAGGAAGAGGAATTTCTGTCATAAACAGAGTGAGAAGACTTACCAGTGGCTGGACGTGTTGGCTCAAAGACCATCGATGCGCGAAAAGCAGGATGCATTCCTTGTGCAGAATATCGTACTATATCTCGATTGTTTCCGTGGGCGAGCTTGTCGGTGTAGAAGATCCCGATAAGTTCCTCCCCTCCTTCTGCAATTTCCTCATCCTCAAATTGTTTTCGGGCTGGCTTGTCGGCGAAAGTAAAGCCCAAGTTTCCAACGTCAGACTGAGCACTGAATTCATTGGTCTTCAATGTTCCCCGTTTTCGTTGATCCCGTCGTGCTCGTCTCGCCTCTAGTTGGGCTCGTCGAACTGTTTTGATCTGCTTCATGATCTCAAAAAACTTCTCCGGAGGTTTGACTCCATTGTGATTCAACCAATGATCCGTAAACCGCATGATTGCAGGTTTTCGTTTAGCATCCTTCTTCTCTCGACTGAGCGCCGAATTATGAAGATCCAACAACATAATTGGAGCGCCTCCAATAACCGAAAGAATACAAGCCTCACACCCACTCCTAATTTGTTCAGGTCGCTCATCCCAAGGCATAGCGTCGAAGGCTGAACGATAGAGTTCTGGTGACATCCATAGAGCGTTGATAGTTTGAAGGCGTTTGAGCCATAAAGCTACTCCGTCTGGAAGATTCGTGCAAGTAGAAATGGCAGAGTTGCGAACTGTGACCTCTTTTGACACATGAATGAAGATGCGACGAATCAGATGAGGTTCGAGTCTCCTGTGCGTCAAGCACAATGTTGCTTTTTGGGTAGGATGTAGATCCATAGCTTCTGAGACTCTTGTTAAAGCTCGCCCAAGTCCGCTCCTTGGCCCAAGAACTTCTTTAGGAAGGGTGTTGATTTTCGTTTCTTGTTTAGCGAACCATGCTTCATTTTGAACTTCTCCATCATGGAGCATAAGGACTCTTGTAAGTCTTTCCACGTCGCTATCACTCAACTCTGTCAGTAAACGTCTGGAAGGAGGCTCTGCTGGCGCCATGATTGGTGTTTTCGACTCTTGGGTAATCAAACAAGACTTGGCGTGTAACAAGCTGGAAGCTTTGGGTTGTAGGATTGATGAGGGATGATGTTGCAACTTATACTTATTCGTTTGTCTGGCTTAATCATGGCTGTCTTTTGAACAATAACATTGTTCTGGCTCTTTGTTGTTTGTGAAAACGCTCTTCGCTTTCTCTGTCTTTGTTAATGGATCTTTGCGCCCTAAACTGAATCAATGCTTCAAGCGAAGAAATGATCGTACAACCCAAGAATATCCTTATTCCGTTGTTTTCGAAACGTACTCGTTCGCAATGGGAATTGAAGTTCTAAAGAGTCACTGCTCATGGGTGACCCCCAGAGATTTATCGCTACAGCTTGTGAAATCGAACGTACATGACTTCTTTGAAGAAGTAAGTTCATACTGTGAAGCCGAATTTGATGGAGTGCAGTAGAAAGAAAACCGCGCATTGATACATAGCATATTGCCAACATTCAGAACATGGTCTCGGAATACTCCGAATGCACTGATTTATGTCGGACTCCGTTGATTCAATGAAAAGAGTCATTTTACTGGCCAAGTATCGAGGTCAGTGCCTCTACTGTCTCACTCACGGCCAAATCTTCATTGTACTGTGTCTCAATATACTGTTCCTAACCTCATGATAAAGAAACAGGTCACTGCTTTGTAACCCCTAAGCTTTTGTAAAACAGTTAGTTTAGTAGTGTTATATCCAGTCTCAACTGAAACCGTTCATCGAACTTTTACATACCTCAACATTTGTGCTAAGTCGTCTTTGCATAACTGCCCAGAAGCCATCCCATCACAGCCATCAACCCCACGATCATGGCGTCCCAAACACAAAACGATAACTCTCTTCCCCCTAATCTAGACTGCTCCCAACTCCACACCTGCTTCCATCATTGCGGACACTTCGTAACAGAAACAAATCACCACTCTGAGTGTCCATGTCCCTCACCTAACCATGCCTGTCCTACAATTCTTTCTGTCTCAGAATCTGATCCTGGTTGGACAGCGCGTACTCAACACTCCAGATCCAAGTGTCCGTGGTGTGAGTACGACATTGAGTTCCGGAGGAAAGTACCAATCCACGATACCAGAGCGTTTGAGTTCAGACGCTCGGATGAGGGATGCGATCACTTGCCGAAACCGGTTGCGATTGAGAGGAAAGAGTATTGGAATGAGTTATTGTGGAACAAGGTTACTGAGTTGGCTAATGCGGAATATTTAGAGGATTTGAAGAAGGACGTCTGGCATGTTCTAGAGAGTGCAGATCTTGAGTATGAGGTTTGGGGGGAAGAGATTGAGGACTACTCGTACTTCAAGTATTGGGAAGATCTTGAAAGAGCTGAGTTTGGGACTTACGAGGAAGAATGCGACAGCCCTTTACATATTCTTGATACTGAGACCCAATTCGAGGCTCCAGGGGGCGATGAAATCGATAAAATCGTCGCCGAGATCGAAAGAAACGCATCTTTGCAAGCGATGCAAGCTGAACCAACCTTCTCGACACGGATCCCAAATAATCCGACATTTCAAGCACAGCACGACACTAGTCCTCTCGATCCATCAACGGCCTCATCATCCTCTGTACCCAGCTCAAATCCTACTACACCCGAATCGCCAAAAGCCTCCCTAGCTACCAGACCGCCAAATACTCTGCTAGCTCTCCGAGCGAGTGTAGAAAGCTTTGTTCCTCTAGATTTTACAACCAGTTCTGCCGGCAACGGCAACTTTCTTGAAAATGATGACTGTTCCCACCAGCAAGCCACCAACTGCAACACCCTGCCAGTCCCGGAGACATGGCGTCCTGAAAGCTTGGATGTGTTCGTCGCTAATGGTAACTTCCACGAAAATAACGAGCAATTATATCGTCAAGCGTTCAACCCCAACGCGCCGATATTTCAAGGGCCATCGAACTTCACCGAGTTCGAAAGTAGACAGAATTTCGAGGACAATTTCCAAATAGCCCAGTTCCAGTACCCGAACTATGACAGCCAAGTCATCTCGGAGAATTGGAATCCTAACCATGAGTTCCAACGCACACAAAATTTTGGCCACGGCGTTCAACAGAACCAGTTCTACTACCCGGAGTACACCAATCAAGTCATTGCAGAGCAATGGCACCCCAACCAGGAGTTCCTCACCAACCAACACCTCCAGCATAACGTTCAGGAAACCCAGTTGTACTACCCCAACTACAACACTCAGGTCCTCCCAGAGCAATGGAACTTTAACTCCGAATTCGAGCCAACCCATCACCCGGCTCAATTCGTCCCAGAGAACCATTTCCCCTACCAGGACCAAACCACCCAACCCATCCAGGAGCCACAGCACACACAACCTCCTCCTCCCCAGCCCACCGCCCAACAACTCCTCGCCCGCCACCGCGCCCGCCACAACTTCCACACAACGCTATCCTTCTTCCAACAACGCGCCCGTAGCCGTAATCCCCCCACATCATGGGACACCATCGACGCGGAGGAGCACGACCAGGAAGCGGCCGACGAGTTCGAGGACATCACGCGGTATGTGCATGAAAAGGTGCGGTATGTGAGTGAAGAGATTGTGTATGCTGCGATGGTGGAGTATTGGCGGGGGTGGCCTTATGGGGATGTGCCTAAGGTGTTTTAGGATGGGGGGCGTTGATGGGATGAGGATGGTAGAGGGTGACGGGAGTGAGAACTAGATGTGAAGAGAATGTATATACATACCAACCAAAATTTTGTGCAATATGTGACGCTAGACAGTAATGCAAGTCCCATCGTGTGTTCTTAGTAAAAATAACGACTTATGACTTAGCAGACCCGCGATGAACATGGTGGGTGAGTGATGGTCGGACGTGAATATCCATTCATTAGATTGGCGCAAGAACCTATGTTTCGTCTAGTGATCTCTGGGGGCCAGAACTACCCGACTCTGTGTGTCACTTATTCAGACCAAGGGCGGAAAGTAGTCGAAAGGTACTGCCAATTGTTTCGTGCACAGCGACGTAAATCGACCGAGCACTTTGGATGCAGAACCCAGAACTTCTGTAAGGAAGAAGAGGCTTGCCATCAAGTGGCAGCTAGTATATAATACAGTATATTTTATCTTCTAGACTACCAACACAATATAGGAGCTGAAATGTGGGACACAATGCCTCTAATCCTCCATGCCAACTCTCTTAAATATCTCATACAGCTTGTGACCTCCAGCAACTCCAAGCAATGCATAACCACCCCCCAAATACAACATCAACCTATGTGATTACCTCACCTCCTCCTCCATATCCTGAATCTCCTCTTCATAAAGCTTCATCAACGCCGGCTTAAACTTCTCCACCTTTGCAAAATCTCCAATCTTAACTCTCATATAATCAAAAGCCACGATAGCAATCTGATCGCGGTCGCCGGCATCCATGACGGGAATCTTCTGATATCGTTGCGAGAAATGGGTCAGGAGGATGCGGCGCGCGTTCATCTTTCTTCCGATCATCAATGCCTCGCCGGTGGTGGAGTGTTTCTTGGCAATCGCATCATTTCGTAACTCATCGTCGAAAGTGGCTTCGTGGATGAGAAGAGTGGCACCTTGACCAATGCGTGCGAAATCATCAGAGGGTCGACAGTCACCTGAATAGGCGACCTTGAAGCCGTTGGGGAATGTGATGGCCACTGCAGCGGCACCGTGACAGTGAGAGACGGAGCAGGCCTGGATAGAGCTAATGCCAGTTTCCTGCTGTTGCTTTTCAGTGAAATTATTAGTATATTTGAAGAACTTCTGTTTGGAGCTCGCTACGGTGATGGTCTCAACACGGTCGATGCCTATATCATCCATTTGTGAGTACTCGCGTACCCATTCTGTCATTCCGGCGTGAGAGATTATACAGAGTCTGTTATTCTTAAGCTTCACGTCTTTCGCGGTTTCTTGGGACCATGCTTTGATGATAGAAGTAGTTCCAAGATGATGATCTGCATGGAGATGACTGATCCAGATTGCCTTGAGATCACGAAGAACTTCTGCGGTCTCGTCGCCAAATACTCTCTTTATTTGTCCGAGAGTGTTTTCTCCCGCGTCAAGAAGGTAACTGCCATATCCAGGGACACGAAGAAGTGTCGCAGATACATTTCGGTACTTTGAGGGTAATGCAGAGCCGGTACCCAGAGTGATAACTTCGGCATCTTTGCTGGGAATATCTTTCTGCTTCTCCTCAAGCATAGAGAGGTATTCAGGGTCGACAATTTCCGCTTTTGCTTTGCTGGCTAATTCGGAAACTGTGAGATCATCCTTGGCCTCTTCAACAATGCTCTCGCTGTTGAAGGAAGGGACTACAGTCTCATCATGCCGCAAAAATTTGGGCTCAATATCGAAGGTTAGCCCTGGCCGGGCGATTTCATAAGGTAGAGAGCCTTGAGTTTGATTTTCTAACACATTACTGAAATGAGGTATCGGAAATCGGTCGGGGTCGATGTTATGGAGTTTGATAGCGGCAGAGGCCGCTGATTCCATAGCTAAGTAGTTTGTGCAACAGTCCTTGGAAGACACAATATGCTCCCATCCCTTGTGTTCTTGCATAAACTTCTGTATTCTCGCATCCTCTAAAACCCCGGGCCCGAGAATCCAGAAGATGGCACGAACCCCGTCCATCAGATCCTCGGAAGACCATTCTTCTCTGTTTACCAGAGTTTGAATGTATGCCACGGTTGGTAACTCGACGACGGCAAATCCCGAACCTTTCCTAGAAGCGCCCATCACCATATCTGGAGTAACTACGGTGCCATCTTCGATTGTGACGGAGTTCCCTTCCGTCAATTGTCTAAACAAAGGCCCTGGTTTTACACCGAGTTTTATAGCAGTCTTCGGGTCGAATTTGCCACGCTGCATGTGGGTTTTTATGAGATAGCAAACGGAGCTTGTAACAGGCGTTGCATCAGGAAGCTTGTCGACCAGAGCTCCAGGCCAAGGATTTCTGACTAGTACATCTACGTCGGGAACATCCTCTCCCTCGGTTGGCATTGGACCAGTATACTTCTCTATTTTGCCCTCTTCTGTCCGTACGAATATCGCGGCTGGGAGAGCCACCTCGGATAGCTTCTTAACGACGAGTGCGTCCATTCTCCAGTTTGAGTCAAACATATCAGCAACTACCGCCTGTCTCATCTGAGTCTTGATATCCTCATCTTGAAGATCAGCCTCCCCAAGTCGCACAGCTTCGTCATTGCCAGAAAATTCTTCATGAGTTCGTTTCTTAGGGCTACTAGTATTTGTCACTTCCGGTTCAACAACCATAGCCCAAACGTTGACAAAATCATCCTGCATACTGGGCTCCCAATCCTTCCTACCCCCCTTTCTAGAAGTGAACTCATTCAATCGTAATGGCATGCCCCTTCGAAAAATAAATCGTCTCGCCGTAGCAAGCAGATGCGTGAGGTTCTTGCCGCCATGGATGTTCATCCAGGAATTCCTTTTAGGTTTCGGGGTACTCTCCGCACTCTTAGGCTTTCCCCCCATATTCGATTGTTTTCCGCTTGGATTTTGTCTGTGTTGCATAGAGCTTGCCGCCGAGTCCGCGACCGTCAATATCAGGCCCAACAATCCACCCGCTGTTTCCCATCCCACATTGCCAGTCAAAAGGATATCTCCGACCTTTATTAACCCGACCTTCCTCTGGATCACATTACGTTGTGTTCCTTCTGCGATATTGCCAATCAAGTATCTCGTCTCGTTGAAATGGAGTATGAGTGTCGTGCCCGGCGTATCTGCCGTAGGCGTGCTCAAAATCTGTATGGAGACCTTCATTGGATTTTGCGGCGGATATTGGGCCTTCACCGGCAGCCCTTCTACTTTGTCGAGAAATGTGAGGTAATAACCTGTTTCTGGCGTTAACTTCGGGAATTCGAAAGATGTTTTCAGCGTCCTTGGAGCTTCATCAGGAACCAATCTAGTACCCCAAAATAGACATGGACCGGGCGATATCAATCTATTTGGACTATTGGGAGCAAGCCTTGAATCATCAATGATCTCTTCACAATGCTCTGCTGGGTTGATCGAGGTGGGATTTGGGTTGTCAAATTGATCTTGCAAGGCGCGTCGAGAGGCTATCGTCCTGCGCGGAAACGAAGGTTGGAAAATGAGTCTAGAAGTGAACTGATTGGCTCTAACTCGATTTGCTGAAATGAACAGTCTGCGTACTTGATTATGACCGCAGTTAAACCGCAATATGCGAGTCTGAGCCCAAACACGATCAAGCATAGGAAGAAAAGAGGATGTTTGTAGAGAGGTCGAGACTACCTTAGCATTCTCAATGGAGAACATAAATTTTGGTCGCTTAGACAATCTAATCGCCGATGGCGACTATCAACAGGTGATGCTCACAATTGCCCTTGTGAAGTCGTTGCAGGTATAATTCCATACAAGCATTGAAATGTTCTAAAAACGCATTCTGATTTACAAGAAATCATCTTTCTGGAAAGCATATTCTGGGTATGGTGCCTGAGAAAAACTGCGTAGTATTTTAACTGAACCTCAGTGCAGATTCAGCAACTCTAGATTTTTAGAGAACCATAGTAAGATTACAAACGATCAGGTTATGTAGAGTGAGGTCATTTGATTTACTTTGTCCTATACTTTCGCTAGGTATTTCATTGCTTTGCGTGAAAACACCGCTGTTTTATGCCACAACGAAGAACCCCAGGCACAACGCCTCTCACAACACCATATAAATTGAATACATTAAGCCCGCCCCAATGCGTGGTCCCAACAAGTTGTGATCCAAACGTAGTAATGCAGTTCGCCAGATAGACCCAAGTACGCCGTCATTTCATGCATCATGTCCAAATCAACATTCAATGGCGATAGCTATTGATCCTGGCAGCTGCCGCTGCTTCTGTTGTTGCTTGTTCTCGTTGAAGCTTAATCTTTGTAGCTTCTGTCCCGTCATCAGGAGTAGCTGCCTCCTTGAACCACGGGTGTTGGAGAGCTTCCTTTGCAGTTATCCGCTTAGATGGGTCATATACGAATATCTTGTGTAATAAATCTAGGAAGTTCCGGTTAAATTTGTTGTTTTCAGGGATTATTTCCTACATCTGTTAGCACGTCGATAATCACACTCCCAAGATCGAGCTTACGTCTAATTGTTTCATCGCCTTTACGAACCTTCGCGAGGCCCGGGTAGTCTCGGGCTGGGGATAGTCTAATTTTAACCGCTTGAAGAATCTAGCACAAAGTTAGGATATGTAACAAGGAGGACAGTGGGAATGCACTTACTTCGCGGCCGGATTACCACCACTACGCTTCGCCATGCTGTTAACTGACTGAATTAAAGTCGTATCCAACTTAAGACCACAGACTGCTTCCATCATAGCCAAATGCTCCAAGTTGTCGTGGGTCTGAAACAAGGCATCCCCAGTAAAAAACTCCACTAGAATACACCCAATACTCCATATATCACAAGGAAAGGACCAACCGAGTCCCAGTATAATCTCTGGGGCTCTATAATGACGCGTCGAAACAACAGAGGAGTGATATTCGTCCTGGAAGGTAGCAGAGCCGAAGTCAATTAACCGAATGTCTGTACTGAGTAGCACTTTTCGTTGAGCCGCTTGGCGGTTCTGCGTCGTTGAAGACGAAGGAATCCGACGACTGTATGTGAATGCTTGGTAGCTATTCTCACATAGGAGAATGTTCTCTGGTTTGAGATCAGTGTGGATGAGGTCTAAATCGTGCAAGACTGTAAAGTTGTTAGCTAACACTTTCTGCAATCGATGGATCAACTTACAAGCAACACTGGTAAATAACTGCCTGGCAAAATTTTGGATCTGACTGTTTGGAAATGGCACAAATGAATTTGCCTTCAGGAAATCAAAGACACTTTGACCCAGTAGGTCCATGACAATACAGATATGCCCCCGGTAATCGAAACAGTCTCGGAGGTGTATACATCGGTTGTCGTTATTCTGATCGTTGGCTTTCAGGGTTGATAAGACTCGCAACTCTATCCTGGACGCATCACGGTATTTCTGGACGGATCTAATGATCTTTATAGCCACAAGTTTGTTCTTCCTCAAGTCTCGAGCTTGAACGACCTTGCCAAAGGTTCCTTGGCCCAGTAACTTCGTAACTTGATCTATATAGGGATAAGCGGAGGAATTGACCGAGTGGAAATGTCTTAACTTACATCGATCGGTGAGATTGGTATCGGGGACCACAATGTAATGGCCATCGTCGTCATCAACTTTGCTATGTTTCGTGTGCGAGTTCTAGATTGATTAGCAAAAGCGATTTATTTTATACACAGTGGTACTCACATCTGCCACAACCTTAACATGTACATCAGGTGCTTTTATGGGCGGGTTAGGCGGGGGTTTGTAATTTGTGAATGGATCGCCGTTCACTTCTAGCTCTCTCCGTTTTGCTTCGTTGGCGATTGAGAGTCTTGTGGCGGTTCGTTTTCTCTTGTGCCCTGGCTGCACGTCTGCCGCCTCGTAGCCATTCTGACCATTCGACGAATGCGACCCCAGAGAGGTCGCCGCTGTAGTATGGATTGCTGAAGTTGTCCTGTCAGTCGAAACTGTGGACCCCGACGCCGAGTTCTTGTAGTCAGGAGTATGGTTTAGAGAACGGGAATGCCCGTATACGGGGTCATAAGTATTTCCGACGTCATCGCGTTTCCTCTTCTTCTGTGGTTGCCGACTATCCCCCCCAGAATGAACGTGTTGATGCGAAGGGAGAGATTCTGAGGGAGGCGGCGTTGGGGAGTCGTCGATGACAATGACTTCTTCCGGTAGGCCCTTCTCGTAGAATTTTTTCCAATCGGGCTTTCTTGGTTCTCGAGATCGCTGTCTCTTTCTGGCATTTTGCGATTTGGAAGTAGGTACTGAGGATGACGAAGGCATATTGTCTGGTCTGCTGCTATATCTAGCAGATGCGTGTGTCGCGGTTTGACTCGTGCGTGAGGGGTCGGTTGCAATGATGCTATTCGACGAGGTGTCGTTACTCGATGGAGTCGGGAAGTTGTAAGACGCCCCAAGACGGTTGCCGCCGTTCAAAAGGGTATTGTTTGCTCGATAAGTCCCAGTGGACTGGTATGCCTGATGATGAGGATATCCGTAGTTGGGATGATGGGGAGGAAGAGTCGATGGGGTAGACATTGAGATGTCGTCGTTTCGCACCCGTATGTGTCGTGGGCTCGCAGGTACGTTGAGCCGGCCGAAATTTGGATGGTGGACTCGCCCCAAAGCTTGACTATGGTGAATCGGCCTTGAGCATTGAATCTAACGAGGATGGAGACTCGAGAGCTTTCGTCTAGATCGAATTGCGAGGTCAAGGTTGGTTGGGGGTTTTTTGCGTCGTTGACGGTCGCGTTGCTGGGGGGTAAGTGAATGCACGATTCACGGCTCAGACTCGGGACTTTTCGTACTGGTATCGAGTTGGATGGAGATGGCAGCAGGATTCCAAGAGATGGATATTGTATGCCAGAGGTGATTGAATTCCCAGCGATACGAACGTGACGTCTTGCTGCGAGGACGACTTTTCTGGAGTCGTGGAAGTTGGGGTTTCCTCTCTTTCGCTGCAGTCTGGTCGCCCGAACCCAAGCGAGCCGTGTTCAGGCAAGCGCGACCTGTGGACTCCTCACTCTATCACCGCCGCTCAGTGGGTAGAAATCCACTCGCAGCTCCTGGGCACCCGTGGACGATCCAGGGCTGCTTACTCAATGGCAGGATGGACGCTGAGGTAGAGCTGCAGCCGACAGAAATGTGAGTTGATACCGCCATGGAGATTGGCTTGTACTCCGTAAGGAGATTCCTAATTAATACAGATAACTGTATCTCTCTTTATGTTAAGCACCTAATCATAGAAACATCACATTGAAATAGAGCCCGATCGCAGTTAGAAGACACAATTCTCAAACTGCAACACCAACAAGCAACAGTTTTACCGCTAGGCTTTACGACATAACCTTACAATGTTTAAATCGAGCCGTAATACTGTTACATCTCTCATCCTTTCTCTTACAATATTACGACGCAGCCCGCTTGCCCCTCTTTCATCACGCAACAACTAGCAGCATAATCAAGGCGCTCCAACTACAGTATGCGCAGTTAATCAGAAGCCATGGCTTCTTTTATTCTTGAACACCTCGAGTTCTTCTGGAGGGGGTACAGAGACCAACTCTGATATCTGCATGGCTGCGTTCCATTTATTCCCTCTCCCAAACTCTTCACGAATAGACAGACCTTGTCGCTCGCTCAGCAGGACATGAAAAGGCCGGCATTCCGATTTCCCCATCCCACTCCACTTGTTGGCTCATCGCCTCACATATCTCACTGCCTACGTGCAAGCTTGACATTTACCGGCGCTGGACTCGGAGTGTTCCAATCCTAACTAAGCCCTCCTCCACCAAGCCCCCTCTATCAGATCTCCTTATAGAGATGCAATACCTGGTTTAGATGCTGGATCGACGAACAACGTCCTGGAGCCTGAGAGATAACGGGCACGTCAAACAATGTCCGTAACGCATTCCAGTAGCTTAGCTAAACTCTTGGCCGGCTTTTTCGATATTTTACCGGACACAACCTTCTGAAGCGACGTGGTGGCAATTTAGACAAAGAGATCATCAGTCGCGGGTGATAGACAACACCACTCGACGCCTAACGAATGGATCGTACAGTAGTTCTGTGATAGAGCTAGGGTACACGAACGCGAGTAATCAATGAATCCGTCTGATCGTCCCAGGTTGGTGTGGTCTCGATTTCGTTCCCCAGAAATGGTGTGGAAGCAAGATCTGGTTATGATTGGCTGCTTTCGTGTGCGACACCACGTGAATCACTTCGTCATTTCGCAGCTTTGAAACTGGAGCGCTGAGGTGGGATCTAGGTATTTTCTTGACTTTCAGTATCAAATGGTCATTTGATCACCTAGAAACCAGAACATTGGGAACGTGTTTGTTATCAAACTACTCTTATTCCTCCAAGTCTCACTAAATCACTTTCTACCCAGGTAACTTGGTGGACAGGTCCAGGACCACGGTATTCTGAATCACGGATTGGCCCAGATAAACGGAAGATAAGTAGCGAAATCTCTGTATTTGGGTATCATCATGACATCCATTCCTTGTAAACCGAGGTAGGTACATCCACGGTAGCTACGGACTCTAAATTCGTCGACGTAGAATAATAGTGCCACATCAAGCGATGAAAGCCATATGAGTATCGTGCCGTTCGTGGAGAAGCAACCCTGTATAAACATATCCATAGCACTTTGGTGTACTAAAACTTCAGATGCCTCTATTGAAGACAACCTTCCCATTCTCACCTCCTTTGCCCCAGAATTCCTCTTCGAGACTAGATGCATCTACAGCTTGTCTTTGGGGAAACGCGGCCAAAGCCAATGGCAAAGCAAAGAGACTTGTCCCTAGAATCAATCCGAGATTGACAGGTAAAGTGAGTCGTGAGTTTCGCTTGAGCCAATCCTGCTTCTGAAGTCGTACTAATGCCAGCGCTGGAACAACCATGACCGGTGAGCTGTTGAGAACTCTGCTCAAAGCAGTCTCAGACACAGCAAGCGTTGCGGCCTTTTTGCTCTTCCCCAATGATGCCACCTCTGACTCGGACTTTCCTTCCGCCGCGAGTTTGGCTTTGTCTGCTTCTGACAGGACAGGATATACATCAATGCCTACTCTCATCTCTTCTCCTCTCATCAAGAAGACATTTAGAGCTCCAGCACTTGCAACGGCTGCGAAAGGCACAAGTCTTCCGAGTATGGTTTTCGCCGCTGGGCTAACTCTCTTCAATCGGGGAACGAGAGCATTAAGACCAAGTGCGACTGAGCACGAGGCTCCGACGGCTGTGAAATACGACTGGGCTATTTTGGAGGTAGATAGTGGGGTGGATTTATTCGCATTCGCATTGTTGATTGCAACATTTAGAGACTGGTTGGTGATCTGCCAAAGAAGAGTTCCAGTCGTCTATGTTAATGTTAGCAATTGAATTCATATGGCCTATCTTTTCACTTACCCCGAGACCAGGTGTCAGCATACCCGCCGTCACGACCAAGTTTGACAGGACAAAGCTTGACATGCGAAACGGTAGAAAGACGGGTAGGCCAGTATCTATTTGTATTGAGCATTTCGTTTCTGTATTCCGCAATTGGGCGTCGAACCTGGGTGTAATGTCGAATCCACAATCTTCTTTGCCTTCCAGAGCTCATCATTCATCTCTGCCACCCGCCCTTGTTTGTATCCAGCTATTAAATTCTTCGCATGTTCCAATCCTGCCGAACTGACGAGTAAAGTTCTGTTCTATGTAAGTCAACGTCCTCAGCAGATTATCTTCCAATTAAACAAAAGTGCACCACCAACTTTTTGTTGCAGAAAACAAAGCAATTCCTCCTCACCTGGGATCTGAAATGTCTGCGGAATGGCGTACTCGTCCCCAATATGTAGAAAGATCATATTGAGAGGCAGGAAGCTCACGGCGACCAGGAATTGAGCTCGACATTGTCGATTCTGTATCCAACTCGAGAATCGCAAAGGGTAAAAAGCTGGAAGAAGCGTTCCGCGGCGCTTCACGATTTAAATTGGAACATACAACATGTACACCTCATGCTAAGGTACGGTGGAATATCCTGAATCAAAGCGGTGTAGATGGTGGGGAGCTTTGAATTTTGAAGCTGCCGCAGAAGCACGGATCAAATTACCCCCGATATCGCTTTCCTTATCACACAGGGACAAGAGTCATAAATGTACGGAGATAATTCGCTAGGAGACAAATGTCAATTGAAGGCTTCCCAGGTATCAAAAGATTTATCTTCAAAAAGAATTAAAGTGGAAGAAAGGGCAAAAGCGAACGACCGCGGGAAGAGTCGAACTCCCAATCTTTGCAGTGATTCTGAACCGAAATGCAACGCCTTAACCATTAGGCCACGCGGCCAACCGTATTGTGATTGGATGGCAAACTTTCGCCAGGTAGTGGATATATTGTAAGAAAGTATTATGCTGTATCATGCTCCTAAAATATGGACCGAAATTCCTTCACAATTATTCTTCGTCTTTTTCAACATTCGAATTACCTAGGTAGACCTGGGGGTTGGGTAACCGGAGAGCTGAATGGCCAATGTAGCAGAGTGTTAACATAATGTGGGCCACCTCTGCAGCAAGATCTGGACTGCCTCAACTAAGGCGGAAACTCATACAAATTTCACACATGAACGGCCAATATGAGCTACTACGGAATAAGCATGGAGGTTGAAGCGAACTTGAAAGAGGTCTTTTGAATAGGTGTTTGCTGTTCTTGTTTGGGAGCCAGGATAAAGACACCCAATATCAGACTTGAGACACCTAGGCGTCTCCTACTCTTTCCTACGTCACCTCGTCGCAACAATATGATAGTAAACAAGTTTTATACGCAATGTCGAAGTTTAAAGATATCGCCAAAGGTGGATGGCATCCCGAGAAGGGAAAGGATGGCAAAACCAGGAGCCTGAGAGGAGAGAGCAAAGGCATAAATACTGTGGCCGGATGGATGGGGAAAGGGAAGGATCCAAACGAAGAAGCTCGAGATCATGTATCTCGTCCCTTGTCCACCTTGAAGGACCCTTACGCCTTCGGTCCACCACCAAAGAATGTCAACTACCATGGAGGAGCGGCTCTCCCAAACCAGATAACCCCCGATACTCGAGGTCTAGGAGCACCATTATCCCGAGAAGAAATCGAGGCAAAGCGACAGGCGGAAGAAGCGGAAGCACAAAGAGAAGCAGAGGAGGCTGCAAAGCCAAAAGGCCCTCCAGTTCCTTTCCGCGCAGATACTACTGGTCTCTCTACCTCCCATTTGCCGCCTCCTCCAGGTCGAAAGGATGGAGCAGATGGACGATTACCTCTTGCACTCCCTGAGCCCGAACCTAGAAAGCCCACCAGCGGGCGTGCTCCTCTACCTCTTCCATCTGGCAAGGCCCAACCTCCTGGTCTACCGCCACGGCTCCCACCGCGGCAAAACTCGAGTCCAATGCCATCCCCGCCATTGGCTACAAGACCACCAAGGCCACAGCCAGAATCTCACAAAGGAATACTCAACCAGAACTCCTTGAACAATCTGGGAAACGCAGGTATATCTGTAGCTGGACTAGGTATTGGGGGGAAGGAAAAGGAATCGCAGCAAACCTCCACAGATTCGCGAAGTCCAGTGATTCCAGCAGCGCGTGCGAGCAATCCACAACTGGGCGAGTTGCAGTCCCGTTTCTCACGCCTTTCCCCCAAGCCCCAAGGCGCGGATGCCCCAAGTCAAGGCACTACCTTTGCTCAAAAGCAATCTGCTTTGAAGACGGCAAGTTCCTTCCGCAATGATCCTTCTTCAGTCTCCTTCAGTGATGCCAAAGCAGCTGCTGGTACTGCAAATAATTTCCGCGAGAGACATGGAGAACAAGTCAAGTCCGGTTGGCAGTCTGCCAATAAGCTAAATAGCAAGTATGGAATTGGAATGGCGGCAAGTCCAAATAATGCGCAGGCTCCGGCCCCGCCCCAGGAACTCACAAATTCTAATGGTTCTTATAATACGAGCTTCTCTTCAGCAGCTGCGGTAATTGCTAAGAAAAAGCCACCACCTCCACCACCCAAGAAAAAGCCGGCGTTAGCTAGCCCGGTTGTTGGACATGATCCAAGTTTACCGCCACCAATTCCACTTGCAAGTAAGCCTAAACCATCTGTAAGTAGCTACAATTAATCAGAGAATATGTTATGATCTCGCATTCCCACGTCAACATCAGCGGCGCTCAAAACATCCGTTATGTCACTCAAATATCGTGCCACCAAGTTCGAGACAACGACCAGTTCGTTGCAAGACTGACAGGACACCCTCTAAATTATGTAATATCAGAAGACGATCCCCTAGACTCTTTCCTCGACAGGGGTATTCAGCGTAATCAGAGGAGGTAGTGTGGCATATTTACTGCAACCAGCCAAGTAAACATAACTTACTTAGCAGAACATATTGTCCATTTATCACAGAGAGGTGTATCGTCAGTCTTGCAACACACTGTCGAGCGATCTTCTATGGGACACTGCAAAAGCCCTCATGGCTATGCCATAAAATGAAGCGTGCTCTCAACGCAGCTTCTCCAGGTCTTGAGAATTGGGCTTTTGGGCTTTTATTGAGACAGTGCGCTGCCTGCTATGCTTCTAAGAGGAAGTCATCTCTCTTATTCTACGCTATTACTGCACCAGCGCACTTCACTCTATTCACAACGAAAAATCGGCCATCATCTCTTTCTCATCTGATGTACCTTTCATTCATGATCCATACCCTTACCACGGACTGAATGTATGTTCCCAAAGCTTCAGTATTTATTCTTATCAGCAACCCTGAAACCTTCCATTGCGTTTTTCAAATCATCTCCTTACGACATGGCTCGTGACGAGAAGGCCTCGTCTAGTAGACAAGGCCCCTGGGCAGCTTATCATCCTCGGGTCCACTCCAGGCAAAAAAGCAGAAGATTCCCAACCAGTTTTCATCCTACAGGCTTTGTTCGTTATGTTACATCAAATGTTTAAGAACTCCGCTGACCACTAAGTCGTATGCTAAAACACGCGAGGCACCCGTTCCCCTCGATCTCGACCTAGATCTGGCGTCCCTATGGTTTGCTCAGAGTCCACCTGTGTTTCCTCCGCGAACGATAGACAGGTCCAAATTCATTTACGCTACTACGCGAGGTTATGTGCAAAAAGGTGTTCGAGTTACGCACACATTCTCTGCTGTGCTTCAAGATAACGGTACGCTCGGACGAACAAAAGTACAATTGACCTGGGACCAAAATTACCCCGAGGGAGTCCAGTCCAAACAAAGATATTTCCCTCCTCCGCCGCCTTTGAGTCGTGCTGGGTTAGAAGATTGTCAAGAAAGGTGAAGCATTCACAACGTATTTCTTAGCTATACTAACGTATACAGATATGCATACCCGCTAGCGAGTTGGTGCGAATCTCAAATGGGAAAACAAGTTGGAAATGGAGAATGCTGGACGCTAGCGAGTGACGGTCTGAAAGCTGTAGCAGCAACTTGCTCGGCAAGCGGTCAGGAACCGTGTATGTCCTCACAATCTTACATCCATGGCATTGCGGTGTACACCCTGGTACCTGCGGTCACTCCAGATCCAAATCCTGGACGTAGCGTCCTCGAAGCTGGCGTTGGCCGAGGTGATATCGTTCAAATATTATCAGCACACTTCAAATCCAAAGATGGGAGAAGACAGGCGTGGGCAGGTGATCCTGATCATACTGCTGTGGTAACGAGTGTGGACCGGAATGGGGTACTTAAAGTCGTTGAGCAGAATGTTGGAGGCGTGAAAAGGGTTCAACCTGGATCTTATGACCTCTCTGAGATGTTCAAAGGTGAGGTCAGGATCTTCAGAGCTGTTGGTGAGAGCTGGCTTGGCCCTCTTGATCCACAGTGGGAATAAGTATGGACAACCTGAGCGATAATTGCGATGGTCATGTTGCTCGATGGATTATTTTAGATCGTTGATAGATGCATAGATGATAACTAAGTCCAATCTATATATTTAAACTGGTGGCTCCCTCCTGATATACAGATGTTTCAAGTACATACTTGTGTTGCACCTTCCTTTCAAGTTCCTTCCTAATTAGATCTTCAGCCTGTCCCTCGTTTATCTAGCTTGGAAGTCCTCAGGTTTCCTGATTCGATCTATAAATTTCGTTTTTCGACCCTCGATCTTCTTCTCTTCTTACACAACCACCACAACCTCAGCTTCAGACTACACCACCAGCGACTACTAACGATCTCACTACTAGCAATCTCACCACCAAAAATCTCACCACCAAAAATCTTACCACCAAAAATCTCACTACCAAAAGTCTCACAGAATTCTCAGGACTCTACTACAACTTTACTTCGCCTTTTGCAAGAGTTTCATTTTACGATCTAAAGTATAGTTTCTGCTCCTATACTACTTTAGATTATAACTAACTATATCTTAGATTTTTTTCATTTTAGGGCCTCACTTTAGAGACTTTAGAAAAGTAGAAAATGTCTACTCCCTTAAAGCGAGTTAATCAAAAGGCGGGTTCGCAAGGCCGACGAGAGAATCCTAAGGCGTCGACAGCTACGGGCTCGTCGATAAATAGTAACCCGACGAAGCGTAGGGTGGACGTATCTAACGACCCGTCGTCCTCGAAGAAGAGGAAAACGGCCGTGTCGGAGATAACGTAAGCTTTTTCCCTTCTTAAGATTTCCGATCTTAAAATTTGAGAGTGAAATCCACCTGTCGCTAATAAGTAGTAGAACTTCTTTTGACAGACTTGTGCCTATCCTAGTAGGCGCCGGTGAGGAACAAAGAACTATTAGTGTTCACGAGGATAAAGTAATTCGGAGATCACCATACTTGAGAGAAGCATTTGCTGCACTGGAGCGAAGCGTTTTCGTCGATGACAAAACCACAATAAGTGAGCTTCTTTTGTGACAGTCAAAGGTTTTCGTTCTTACAATCTCTAGTTGACCTATCCAACCATTCCACTCGTATCGTCCTGCTTTACTTCCACTGGTGTTACAGCAACGAATCTTTAAAGCCGGATTCAAAGACGGCCCCAGTAGACGACGACTTAGTACAAGTTTGGCTGCTTAGACAATTTCTTCGATGCTGTGAACTTCAGAACGCAGCCATTCAATTATGTTTAAAAGTGGATGGCACGGGGGTGGAATCCAACGCATAATTGATGTATATCGCCAGACCAATACTGGTTGTCCTCTGCGAATGCTCGCTACCGCAAGGATGGTGAGAAAATTCAAGCATGGGCAGTTTCTGAGAGCCCTATCAAATAGAGATCTTGATTTTCCCAAGGAGTTGCTTGCAGATCTCTTTCTCGCGCAGGCTTGGCTGGCTGAACACCCGGAGGAAGATATGCAAGTCTCGGATTATAAGTTGACGGAGGTGATTGAAGTATAGGAGAAGAAGGGAGTTCGAGGAGAGCGCTCAGAGATCATATCAGGGGCAAAGATCGATTTCAAATTGAACGGTGTTTGGAGTGCGGATTGATTGGGAAGATTACCTTATTACCGGATGGGTCATCATTTGATGTTCACTAGTGAGGTGCATTGAGATATGGAGAACGGGCAATGGATTTCAAACGGTTGGTCAGAATGTGACTTGGGGGGAAAGGTTCTTGACATTGAAAGGACTCTGGAGTTTGGGCTGCGAGCGAAGATTTGGGGAAAGACCGAAATGGAGGTTCACATAGTTTCTTTTCAGCTGCTTTCATTATTAGGATCATTATTTGACACAATCTCGGTATTCAATTCTTGAGAATCGAGGCTGCGCTGATTTTTTAAGTAGTTTAGCGCTTCAAGCTTTCTCTGAAGATCACAGAAATGATAACACAATTGTCCGCTCATTGATTAATTTCCGGATTCCCTCCCATGCCTTGAAAAATCATACATCACTGAGAAAATTATGTTTCAACCCTGTGTGACTTGTTGAGCTAGCTTTCAAGAATTTGAAACTTTTAGTGAATTTAAACTACTGCTTGCCAACCGATATCACCTGGTTAAATGGTTTTGCAGGACTCTACATTCACTCAGATACTTGTGTATTTATGTGCTGTTTCCACTTTATCTTCGCAATTTTGTTCTCCCCATCTCTATCTCCAACATCGACACAAAGCAAGTCAGGACGCGACGCAACGCAACCAAGTTTCAAACCGTAGGCCAATTGCATTCCAGCGTGTTATCTCCACAGCATCGCGGCCATGGCACCGATTGCACCTCCCAAGAAACTTGAGCTCACAGAATTGATAGAGTACGCATCTTTCCCCTCTATAACTAAAGAAGATCTAAGACAAAAAGTCTAACATGATATAGCATGTTACGTGGTCCCTACGTCGAAATCGAAGTAGGAGAAAAGCCAGATTCCAAGATATTCAACCTTCCGAAGCTAGTACTGTGTCACTATTCACCTTACTTCGATCGATGCTTCAACGGTGGCTTCAAAGAAGCGACAGAGCAGAAATTGCATCTCCCTGAGGATAATGTTAAGTTCTTTGAGCCTTTGATGAATTATATGATTCAAGGCAAAGTCCCAGAAGAGATGTTATTCGGCGGATGGCCTACGGACAGGACAGGTAGGGTGAGGGGCCGCGAAATTTGGAAATGGGAAATGACTTGCGTCAAATTCATGGAATATTCAGACAAGTATGGATTGGGAGCCATTGCATGCGATCTCCTTTACAGCTTCATGGATAGGGCATGGCGTCCCCATAATGATTTCAAGAGAGTTTGGGCATGCCCTCCGGCGGAAGCAATCAGTGCCATCTTCAGATTTGCGCCCGCTGGACATCCTTTGAGAGCTTTGGCTGTAAGCGGTGCATGCTACAAATCTATTCCAGGTCCCCATGACTGTGATCGAAAAACGGCTAAGTATACGTGTCCCAAAGAATGTCTCAATTTCGAACAGAATTATGATGGATTTGCTGCTGAGATGGTTTTGCTACTCCGATCTGAAATTAACAAACAAAAAAATTTCATATGGTCCAGTGATCTCAGATACGACCAGAAGCCTCTGGATTAAGAGCAAAACGTTAGGATCACCTGCTGCGCTGTTTTTGAACTAGGGTGGAACTTGGTGGTGGAAGAATACGAAAGCTTGACTCTTATCCTTCTCAATCAAAATTAGAGGGGAGCGAATGTGTGAGAGAACGAGATGTGTGAGAATAACAAGCTTTCAATATTATCTCATTGCCGTTTTAACAATCACAATGGAAAAAATACCTTTTTCTGTAAGAAACCCCAGCTTCATCCATAAATCTTTAAAGTACAATTACTTACAGTTAGGAAATGCGGTCTCAACAAGTTGTAAAATATTTCATCACTTCGAGATCCACCCAATTACGACATACACACCAGTGCGTTCGAAGTCTGAAGGGACACTCCTGGTCCATCTTATGGCAAGATAACGGTGGTCTGCCTAAAACGCCATAATTACTGTATATGTCTGAGCAGGTATCCAATATTTTGTCTGTTGAAAATGATATATTTACCTATTGGGGAGTGTTTAAAAGTCGTTCTTTCAACATTATACCTTGGAGAGTGTCCCGTCAGTCTAGCAATGCACTGACTGGTGATGCATGTAAAACAGGCGTCCAAACTCAACAGTTTTCAAAATGGTCTTTCAAGTTCAATAAGCCCAAAACATTACCAAAATTTATAATATTATAAATTTTAATCCTACAACAACTGATGGCTAATTGTCATCTTTCCCAAAACCATTCCCATCTATCGAAGCTCCACCTCTATCGTAGGTGCAATTGGGTCGCCCGTATACAGTAAGCGAGGGCTATGATGACTACCCAAGGCCTTCCTCCAAAGGCACTATTCTGACAGCTCTGCGACTCGTAAGAATATTTTAAAATTCTACGTGATTGTACCTAGCAACTACATAAGATGGCCAGCGCTTCCTGGCCAGTATAACTGGTGGATGCTCTCCGGATCGTCTTACAGGCTCCTCTAGGCCCAAGCGAGTGGCGCATCCCCAAATCCGTCGTCAAAATAATCTCTACCCATCTCACTTCACGTCAACGAAATAGGGCTGAACACAATCACCCACTTGATCGCTTTACATCGAATACTATTCACATCGAATTTGAGCAATCTTGTACTGATCTCATCGGCATACCTGATTTCGGATCGATTTGTGTACCTCCTAGCCGTGGGATGACATGCTAGTCTCAGGGGCGATGCCGTTTGTTCGGCCCTCACAAATCTCGGGACAGAAGCCTGGCAACCAAAATCTGTTCACATCATTTGACTGTCAATAATATTTGAATTCAGGAATTCTGAAGGTCTGCCTTTGCTTCAAATAAGGGTTTCGCTGTAAAGCTTTCACCAGGTCATGATCAATCACCCACAACGCGGACGAAATCCCCAACTACCAACAACGAAGCCTAAAAAATACCGACCTCGTCTAGATTCTGTTATCAACGTTATTCGGATGTATGCCCACCGGATAGAGATCTCTCGGAGACCATTCAGTCGGATAGCTTGCGATGTGACAGAGTCAGAGTGCGGATGAAACGCCAAGATAATCCTATTCCAACCAGCATGCCTTCGCTACAGATACGGCTGCTCACACACATCAACCTTCAAATGCCAAGATGAGTACAGCCTTCAAACACTTCTTAAGTTAGACGTGACGGCTGTGTGATTATTTGTTGGAACTGCGGGCAATCGCCAATCTTCCCACAGATGACTTCCTACATTGCACATCTCACGCCAAATATGTGCGATCGGGACATCTGCACAGCAGTCCAAACGACACTGAAAAGAAGATGACGATCTTGGCAAGTCAACTTGTCTTCAACAATATAGATGCTCGCTTACGGGCCGCTTTATGAAGGTAGTAGCCGCACCCCACGAAGTTCGTATTTTGCTAACTTCCTTAAGGACCGATGCATTCACTTATCCTAGATAATTCCAGCTCTTTACGATCAAGCGTAAGAATTCGAGTAAGAAGAGGGAACCATTGAGCTTATATGATACGTACAAATGTAGGTGTGGCTTTTGTTCGATAACGACTCGATGCCGATAGGTATCAATCCTTCTTGGGATCCACTGCGGCTTCGACCTCCTCCTTCTTGCACATAGCGGCGAGGTTACCAAATCAATATGGTCTGGTTGCGCTTTACAGACTCTTCCACATGACTTGATTACACTCTAATAATCCATCATCATCCAAATCATCCCTTCGATGCAGGATTGAGAAGTATGTCAAAAGGTAAGTCATGTCATCATTGGACTTACAATGTTATTGTCTTCGTCGATATAATCCAGACGTTCTCCAAAGACCCTCCAAAGCAGTCCACATTCATTTACATACATTTTCCCATCACCGCTCTCTTTGTCCACCTTCTATAATCTTAACACTCGCTTAGCTATACTGCTATACATGATCTAGTATTGGGGTGATGTCGACGACTAACTTTCGGAGTGGCTTGCCCACTCTGCTATCAATATTTGTCTTATTTGCTGTCTCTTGGACGGCTCAAGCAGAGCCGGAGTACAGTGATAATGGCAATGTCATGCTTAAGCCACTTTTAGGCAGAGACCTAGGCATTCATCGCAGATCTGAACCCAACCACAAGCTGCAAAACCAGACCAGCACGCTTTACCATTCCGGAAAAGGAACATGTAAGTCATCACCTCCATTCATTGAGTCCCTATATTTTTCATATCGCTAATCTCATTTATCAAACAGCCAATATCCTTGCCAATGTCACGATGGCCACGGGAAATAATGATATGATCATCTCCCTGGATCACTTTGCAGAAGAACTCAACACTATTAACTGCGAACCTGACGCAAGAAAGCTCACGTTGACTTTTGATAACAAAGAAGTGTACGATAACTCGGTTGATGATTGGGAATGGGTCAATTTCGAAACTGAACGAACATTTATCATGCTTGTAAACGGCTGCCAGGAGAAACCGGAAACGATAGAGCCATGGGTCATAAGCAATGCAACCTACGACGATGCTCATTTCACTGTCGTTTTTGCTGGCGAACGGAAAGAATGGGCCGAACTACCCAACGAATACACCATCGACTTCGAGCCGGCAGAGCACCCAGCTGATGTTGCCGCAAGACTTGCACGTAGATGGGACCCTATCGGATGGGTTAAAGATAAGGCCAACGATGCAAAAGAAGCAGCTGAGAAACTTGCAAAGGAAGCTGAACAGAAAGTCAAGGATGCTGCCAATAAGGTTGCCGAGGAAGCAAAGAATGCGCTCAGTGCCGAAGGAGACCTTGATTTCAATATTCCCATGAAAGTTCCATTCCCTTCAACAATCGTCAAGAAAGAAGAACAAAGTGGATTGACATTCGGCGTTGAATGCAAGGACTGTGGAATGCAGGGAGGTATTGACGTTAAGGGACATATCAAGGTTGCATTAGCGTCAGACGACAAAGTACCGGAATTCTACATAGACATCATGCCCAAAGGCCTTCGTGCCGACATCAATCTAGAGCTGGATGTTGCTGGAACTTTGGATCCCAATACTCCATGGACAAAAGAATTACCGTTTCCGGATGCACCACTTCCTGGCTTTGGTATTAAAGGTATTGCAGAGCTTGGTCCGGTGCTCGGTTTGAAGGCCGGAATCAAATTGACCAAGGTCAAGGGGACCACGCTCATCAAGACTGGTGTAGCATTCTTGGTCAACGATGATGCGAAGACTAGACTCAATATCGTCAAGGGAAAGGATGGAGAGTCCAAGGACTGGAATCCAAGGTTGGAACAGAAAGACCCTGAGTTGAACTCCCCAGTTGATGGGGAATTTGAAACCTACCTTTTATGGGACTTGGGTATTGAAGCATCGATCATGAAGAATAAAATACCAGGTAAGCAAGTCAACTTCAGCGCTGCCTGATACGGCATACTAAAGTAGATCATTCAGGATTAAATAAACTTGGCCTTACATTAGGTGCTGGTTTGACAATGAAGGCACCTATGATAACCCTTAAAACGGAAGCAACATTTGGTACGTCTTTAACCGCATTATGCCACCTTTTGTCGTTTCTATCATGCTGACTTATTTGATTAGAAAACGAGGGTGCGTGCAACACGACAGACAATTACGCAGTCAATCTTGCCATGGGTATGGGGATAGATGTAGGAGCTCGAGCTTACTATGGTATGCGTGGGCAAAAGGAAGAGGAGTTCTGGAAGAAACAAATCTTTGCAAAAGATACTAAGGATATGGGCAAGTTTTGTAGGTCCTTCAAAGACGGCCCAGAGCCGAAATTTGATATGCCAACAAAGGGATCTCCAAAGGGTGCTAAAGAGACTGGAACTTCGGACGAGGATGCTACGGGCACTACAGATGAAAAGGGTGCTGCTAGTCAGACCCCAGCGCCTGGAGAGGAAAACTCCGAGGAACCCGACGATAAAGAAGCTGATCCTAAAGATGAAGAGGCTGAACCTACTGACGAAGAGGCCGAACCAACGGATGAAGAGGCTGAACCTACTGATGAAGAGGCTGAGCCTACGGACGAAGAAGCTGAACCTACGGATGAAGAGGCTGAACCTACGGATGAAGAGGCTGAACCTAAGGACGAAGAAACCGCCCCTGAGGACGAGGAGGCCGAACCTAAGGACGAGGAGGCTGCACCTAAAGACGAGGAAGCTGAACCAGATAATAAGGAGGCCGCACTCGAAGACGATGAGGCTGCTCCAAAGGACGAAGAGGAAGCCCCCGAAGACGAAGCTGCCCCGGAAGATGAGGCAGCTCCTAAAGACGAGGCGGAAAAGCCGCTTGCTCGTAGATTCGCTAGGGGGTATTACAACTAAGCTACCTATATTTTAGCGATGGGGAGTTTGGCTTAGGTGTTGTATATATTGTGGTTTTAGTTTCGTTGGCGTAGTGTGTTTTATTAGAATTTTCTTTTGTCGGGAGTTTGTTGAGGGAGTATTGGAAGGTGTTCTAGAATTGATATTGTGGTGTTTTGAATAGATGGGAGTTAAGACGGGTCGGGGTGTTTTGGCTGGGTATACCCTTGGGTGGATTATTATTGAGATACTGTTTGAGGTATCTAGTTATTAGGAGAGTTTAAATGAATACACAGTACACTAATTGTTCCTCTGGCATTTTCAAATGGAAGGTGAGCAATTCAATTTGCTTTGGTTCTTGGTAGCTCTAGATAGAGTCAAGGGTACTAAGAAACCACCGTTGAGGGGTCGGTATTGTCAGCAAATTGATGAGTCTGGCCGCGCGCTATTCGTTCGATTAAATAACGGGTTCGGAAAAATCATTAGGTAGTGGTATAGGTAGAGAAGATTGTGAGGTATCAAACACATCTTTACTCCCTTGGACTATTCCACTTTTCCCTCAAATATCGACCATGTTCCACATTTTATCATTAGTTACGTATTTCAACTTTAAGTCCATTTGCATACACCTCCTTCAGTCCAGGTCCCCTCTTTATATCCCAAATTCCTTAAGTACCAGATCACCACTCATCAAAAACCACCACCTCGCCGTAATCTGGTACGACAAATCATTCCAAATACTCCAACCAGGACACATCGAGTAAGTCAAGCTTATCCTACCCAGAAAAGTAAAAACATCAACAACACCGTCATAGCAAGCAAGCTGATCATCACAGAGCTGTTGGTTAGGCAGTATGAATAGGAGACTTCGCTGAAGTGGAATGATATGAGTCGATTTTTATTTATACGAAGATAAGAAGGAAGATAGTGAGCTTAGAAGGCTGGTTACGATGGTGGCCTTGAGGGATGACATGTACAAGTCTGTTGGGAGAGTTGCAAGGAAGGTAGTGAGATTTACGAGGATGGAGTTGGCTAAGAGGTCTGTCGGCACTAGTTGGTTGTATTGAATGGTGCGGGGGATTGATTTGAAGAGAACACTTTACTGGGAAGTAATCTCCTGGTCAAACGGGAATTGCAAGCCTGTGATGGCGTTAGCTAGGATGAAAATTCCACGTGTCAATCATCTAATGATCAAAAAGATAAAAGTGCTAGAAATGGATGGGTATTAACGACCCAGAATAGGGATTATTCTTCACATTGTCTGCCTATTCATTCAAGTTATAGGCAGTAAGTTCTTAGCAAAATCTAGAATGTTAAAATTCCTGGAAATCAAGTGCTTTACGCGTTTGTATCAGGGAATTATGCAAAGCAATGTGTGAAATTAGTGCCTACTCAATAAATCCTCCTTTCGTGATCTTCAACAGACTCAAGCAAGCGCTTCCATAATATTATCAAAGTTTTCTAATCTTCGATAGCTTATTTCAGATATTATTCGATCAGGCTCGCGAAAAGACGTTTCTCGGTTAAAGGTACTACTACAGGTAGGTTCTCGTCCATAATAGACAGAATTTCACGATCGTCTTATTGTTCTAGTAGTTAAGATGGTGACATGGCCGGCTAAATCTAAACTAGGAGTGTTGTACGTCTGCGAAGCTTCCGTACTATTGTAGTCTTCGGCTACTCCTCCTCGGTGTTATGCGTCAACTTAATTACTTAGTCTTTACTTCTGCCCTTTACGTTATTATATTCTTCTTCGCCTAAAAGTGTTGTCAGGTCGATGGTGTGAGATCCTACTGGAAGCGACTTCGATAGTCTCTTTGATATGCTTGTGGCCGGGAGCTACGTCCTCTCGTTATGACGAACTCGTGGAGACTAACTTCTTCGTCTTATTTGTGTAGTTCTTTCGTTACTACTAGATTGGTGCTTGTTTACGGAGCGAGGTGACTGAAGGCGTCCACGACATCGTTAATATTCCTGCGTGGTAAATCGAAAATTGTGATATCACTTAGTGTTGAGAAGATGAGAATGAAGACAAGATATCGACGATAAAGTAGAGAGTGACCTAGAAATGGCTATTGTATGCCCATTGAGCCTAAGATCGAAATAAGTGCTTTCAGATGTTGATTGTCAACGTGAGCTTCTCAAGTGGTGGAAAACATCATGTGTGTTGTTGGTATCTAGGAGAAAGAAAGCTGAAGTCCGAGTCAAGATTTAAGGAAGGTTTGAATCGTCGTATAGTATTGCTAGATCTTCCTCGCTTGTTCTAATACTTGACCGAATATTTAATGATGTGCCAGCTTGACACTAACTATACCACATTTCGTCAGTTGATTTGAGCACATAATGTGGTTCGAATACCACATATTTTGTCCACTGCAGTACCAATTCACTATCGCGGGCTGGCTCGAGTACATACTCTTTTGTCAACACAGACGAAAACTTTTCAATCTTCCATACATCAACAATAACAACAACAACAACATCAAAAATGACGTCGAGACTTTCAGCCGCCTCGCCGGCTGGCAAACCATTAAAAATTCCTAAGGACGAGTTCATTGAGTGAGTGATAACACATTACCTAGAACAATTTCCTGACATGATGCGTTAGGAAGTCTCATGATACGAACAGAATCACAATCATAGTCGGTAAAGAAAAGAAACGATATATAGTGTCCAGGTCTTTTCTCAGATACTACTCGACCCTATTGAACGCCATGATTCTTCCAGGGGAGAGCGTCATCGAACTTCCACGCGACAAGATCGAATATTGGGAGATCCTTTACGAGTTTGTCATTCGAGGAGGCTTACATGATGGTTCAGTCGATTTCAAAGGAGACTGTGGGCAAGTGTTGAGAGAATGTATGGATTTCCTGAACTACGCCGCCAAATACGGGAATGCACGCCATCGCTTGTGAGCTCGTCTACGGACCCATGGAAAGGCTATTCGAGGATAGAAAGCGTAACAACAGCTTATTTTATGGTGGATTACTTGATGGTTCATCTATTGAGACAGTTTTTCAATATTCGCAGCAGAATAGTCCGCTCAGGGTACTCATCACACGGGCCGCAATCCAGGCGGATGGCATGTGGAAAATTGAGCGGCAGGTTTGCAAAGCAAGAGCTAAAAGTCGAAGGCTTCGCACTCGAATCATTAAGACAAATTCGGGCGAGGGTACAGACCAATCCTCCAACGTGGTACGAATTTTCGGTAGCAAAGCTCCGAGAAGGGATTGAAGCGAATTACAGAACTTGAGGCTGGAGGAAATCCCATGGAAGTCGGCCTATGGACAGCCTCGCGGTGGACAAAGTAAGTCGCAGTTGAAATGCGATATTTGCTGAGGGCAATTGACGAATCGCAGCACCTTATCTGTCATTTTTCGGAACATGGGATATGATTTAGTCGAGTGCTTCAAGGACGACTTAGAAAATGCTAAAATGGGTGGATATCAACGACTTCTTTTAGATGAGATAATGCAGTATATGCTGCCCTAGCGTCTGACAGATTGCCAGAAAGAAAAATCCCATACATAACCCAAGCAAATTAGACCTTCATCTCAGTGAGACCGTGTTTCCAGACAGTGACGAATGGTGTAGTTCCATCCTCGCGGTAATTCATAAGTACAACCCTTTACTAATTAGTACGGGATCAAATTTGTTGGACCCAGAAAGACTTACATTCCGTCCGGATCCATAGACTCGCCAACGTAGAAATCGTAATCCTTGAAGTTGGTGACAATTTTCTTTGCGTATGCCTGAGCACCCTTCTCGAACTGGGTGATAACAGATTCATCTGCTCCCTTCTCCTTAAGAGCCTCCTTGACCTTCTTCATGTAACCTGCCAACTATTAAACAATGTCCACCCCATATATTATAGACTGTCGCCTACCTTTAAGATGGCTCAAATAGGTCTTCTTATCGAAAGAGGTCTGCGACAGACGGAAGGAGTTTACGACATTGTTGACCTGGACAGCTCCATCTTCGGTACCCTCGTCGGCTTCCTCAGCAGAGGCGTTGGCACCAGTGTCTGCGCAAACAATCAGTATATGGTCAGACTGGAAGATCGGCTGGTAACCTACTGACTTCGACGGCGCCAAGAGTGATCATAGCACAATCACACTCATAGACAACACCATCGACCTCCTTCAAATCGTAGGAATCGGAGATAATCTCGTCCCCAGTGATAAGGTCCTAGAAGAACGTCGAGTCAGTATCTTCATTCCCAAATGAATGTTGCTGCAACGTGGGACTTCCGTGCCACTTCTGACAATCGCGAAGCGGGGTCGTTGTGCAGTTGGATCTGCGTAGGTCTAGGAGGGGATTCTAACCTTGAAGATAATCATGATTATGGTATTTTTATAAGTGGGAGATTCGAAAGTGTATAGAAGAGACTGGGGTGAGCGAAACTTCAAGATCAAAGTCTGCAACAAATGCGATAGGAATCTTGGTGGGCTGGATTGCACTTGGGAAAATTATGGATTTGTGGAGGGGCAGTCTAGGCGACTTCCAGTTAGCGGGGGAACAATCATTTGTGCCTTGGTGCCTCAAATTTAATGATAGCGAATGCCTTATTTCGATAATTCGCCACATGTTGGCATGATGCTTTGCCGACCTGCAGACGGGAACTTCACATGTTCGCGAGTGAACTTATATTTCGAACAACAACAACATTTGTCTGGAAAATCTCATAACATAAACTTCAATTACCCGATTCTCTCATCTCCTGTCTTTATGCGCCTTTCTTACCAAGCTGACTCAACGTGGAGCCACAAAGGAGTCGGCGGGAGTGACGGATGTAAAAAAGCTAAACGAGATTGATAGACTGGGATGCTGAGCTGACTTGTGGCGCGCAACCAGCTCCCTCTCAAAGTCACTCCATCTTCTCTACAACATAACCACAACCTCAAGCTCCATTACACTCCTTCGTGCGCAACACGATAACTGCATATTTCAGTACTTCCTCCAATATGGCCAACACAACTTCTTTCAGCGATCCATCAGCGATCTTCAATCTTCCGACCCTTCCGAGTTACACCCTTACTCCTGTCAAGCCTCTCCTTCCATACGTCGACGACTTCTACCTCTCCCTAATACTTCCAATTGCGGCATATTGGGCACTTTCTATGGTCTTCCACTACATCGATGTATACGATATATGGCCACAATACAGATTACACACACCTGCCGAGATATTAAAGAGGAATCATGTGTCACGATATGAAGTTGCACGCGACGTCATCATTCAACAAGTAATTCAGACAGTTATGGGAGCGATATTGGGTCTTACAGAACCAGAAGAGATGGAAGGAAAGGAGAATTATGATATTGCACGATGGGCGACAAGACTACGAATTGCACAAAGAGCTCTGCCTAAGCTACTCGGACTGGTAGGATTGAACGCCGCCGCGATTTCGAAGAACGTATCAGCATCACATCCAATCATTGCTGGAGTGTTAGCAGGTGGAAACTATCCTCTTGCCATGAGATATAACAGCGTCAGCGGTGCGCAGGTTCCTGCGTTTACGGAATGGGAGATGTTTACCGCAAAGGGAATCTACTGGTATCTTGTACCAGCATTACAATTCGCCTTGGCAATTGTAATCGTCGATACGTGGCAGTACTTTCTTCATCGTGCTATGCATATGAATAAGTGGCTATACAGTGAGTGCGATTGGTGTGGTCGTGAAAGTAAGATTTGTATGACTGACTAAATATAGCCTCTTTCCACTCACGTCATCATCGCCTCTACGTCCCATACGCGTACGGCGCATTGTATAATCACCCATTCGAAGGGTTTTTACTCGATACATTAGGAGCCAGCATTGCCTACAAAGTGGCGGGATTAACGGCTCGACAAGGAATGGCTTTCTTCGTTGGATCAACATTCAAGACGGTCGATGATCATTGTGGATACGCGTTTCCTTGGGACCCTCTGCAGCATATCACAGGCAATAACGCCGGATACCACGACATCCACCATCAAAGCTGGGGAATCAAGAACAATTTCTCACAACCCTTTTTCACATTCTGGGATCGTGTTCTTGGGACGGTCTTCAAAGGCGATGTCACCGCACGCTACGAGCGTTCACGAAAAGCTGCACAGTTCAAAGTTGACGCCGACAATGTAAAGCTCCAGTAATACTACGGACGCGCTGGGCAAATTTGTATATTACGAAACCTGATTAAAGAAGTGGATGATACAAGGGAAGGAAGGAGGGAGGCTTTTGCATTCTACGGCTGATGGTGTTTGGGAGGGCTTTGGATTTTTCTTTGATTGTTGAAGATCAAGTCAGGCGTTTGAGGGTTGTTTTAAAGGGCACACACACATGAGGTGTAGAGTCAGTTCGTTAGTCGATCGGTCTTTGATATGTATAGTATGAGTTACAATACCGATTAATATGATCTGGGTGAGATGCCGTGGGGTTGAGATTAGGTGCAGGATACCTTAATACTTAATACATGTGCTTGTTTAAAATTTTGGTTCAAAGATGCTGTGTGATGAGAACACATCAGGTAGGGGTTCTAGATTTACTAAGAATCTAGGTTGGCTTGGATGTTTTGAATAGAGTTGGTCAAAGTGTTCGTATCCTAGCGTTTAGGCCAAAGAGGCTGCATTAACTTCGTTGCTATGCAACTTGAACTTAAATTTTTATTAAACATTGGAGTTGGTGGGGGTAAGTACATCATAGCATAATTAAGAGGATGGGCTGCAGTCTAAGGTCTTGGAACTCGAGGTTGACTGTGTACTTTAGAAGTTAGATATTTGATCAACAGTTTCATGTTTGTTGAAAGAAGATGAGGGGTGTCTAAAGGTTCGCACTCGCGACGCTTCTAATCGTGGAGGAGATGTAGGAGTATGCAATGATGTTCTAACACCGAAAATGGAATTTGCTAGTTTCTGTTTGGTTTAGAGGTGCTTTGACTTTAATTCTAACGTGTGATTCTGATAAATATAGTTGTAGTCCGGGAAGTTGTTGGCTTTGAGAAGGCGACCCGATTATGGAATCAAGGTTTTTTCATACTACATTATGAGAGATATTTTTTTCCATAGTAGACAATCTTTTATGACATCTCGACTTTCCAGCTATCACACATTGAAATTCACACATTTGGAGAACTAAAAAAGAAAACAATATTTTATATTTCTGCAGGTCTTCACATTTCCAAAATCATTTCTCTTTCTTCTTGCTCGTATATGCAAGATCTTCCTTCTCACCTCATTTATACTTTATTCCTAATTTCTCACCTACTTTATAGCTACCCATCCTAATTGAAGGTTCAAACCACAAAACAAAAAACAAACTAAATGGACTACTCCAGCAACGCAAAGTTCAGAACTCATCAAGTCCCTAACAGAATACATCCTTTACATCGCCCATGAAAAACTCAGATTACCACGAAACGGTGAAAAAATGCCACTCCCATTTCTGAAGAAAATTGAATATTCCCACTCTCGAGGCACCTAGTCTTATTTCGCCTTCCCATACATCGTACTAGATTCAATCCATTCTTCTGTGCTTGAAACCAACAAATCTATATCCAACGCCAAAGGTTTTCGACATTTTCTGAGCGTATGTTAAAAAAAAACATAGGGTCTCATAGACACTGCTAAATCAGTCGGAAATTGAGAGGCTTTTCATGACTTAGGACTATGTAATTTTTCCTACTGAAAAATATTTTTGTTTGGGTGAGAGAGCAACATTGGTAAAAGCGAAGTTTGACATAAAATCCGTCTTATAAAAATGGAACCACAGGGATATACTCGTGCTTCATTAGCGAATACGTACAACGTTGTAGATCAATCTCAAAGTGACGCACTTAACCAGATGGACTTCTGACTTTCCATTCTTCTTGGAATGTTCGATATAATTGTTCCTTTTAAGTGTTTCCGACCATAAATCTCATACCCGGAAAGAAAAAATGAAATAGGACGATAGAAACCCTCACCATGGAACGCTCAACTCATAGCTCAACGAGCGACACCTCCTCAACCACACAATCATTCAACATGCACATCGAAGAAGGCACTCCTTCACTTCGACGCTCGCGACTCCTAAACCTCACCACATCAAAACCCTTCATCCCGAATCACCTCTTCAAGACCCTCTTCTTTATCACAACCCTAATGTACCTACAACCCCTCACCCCCTCACCCCCCTCTCACTAACAACGCAAATAGCTGCATCGCCGAATACCTCTACATAAACCACCTAACCACCTCCAACACCCGCATCCCAAACGACCCCTACGACAACACCTTCGCCCTCATAACGAACCCCACAAACCCCTCCCTCTGGTCCCCCTCCCACCAGAACTTCATCCACAGCGCCGTGCCCGTGCCAGTGCACTCCCACAACGACTACCTGCATCGGATCCCTCTCTTCGAAGCCCTCGCTTCAGGCTGCATCAGCGTCGAAGCCGACGTCTACTTACAAAATGCCGACTTGCTGGTCGGTCATAAAGCGCGGGATTTACAACCCTCCTCCACGCTGCGGTCGTTATATCTAGAACCACTCCAACGCATGCTCGTCGCGCAGAGTGGACGCGGAATCTTCGATCGCGCGCCTAGCCAAACAGTCGTCTTGCTCGTCGACCTGAAATCCGACGGGGGAGACACATTCGCGGAATTACACGCCCAACTGGAACCATTGCGCGAGCTCGATTATCTCACGTACTGGAACGGCAGCGCCAGAGTAAACCGACCGCTTACCATCGTCGCGACGGGGAATGCAGAATTCGTATCCATCACCGCGTTGAATAGTACGCACCGGGATATATTCTACGATGCGCCCCTCCATACCCTGCGTTCCAGTGCTGATGATCTAGATATCCAGCCCCCTCGGTATGGATACAACACCTCCAACTCGTACTTAGCATCCACGGAGTTCAAGAACGCGATTTTGTATACGCACAAGAATGAAAGTAGTGCGTGGACGAAAGACGCGAGTCAGACGCAGATAGAGCAGGCGCAGGATAGGGGACTGGTGTCGAGGTATTGGGACACGCCTGCTAGTCCGCCGAATACGCGGGATATTGCGTGGAGGGTGTTGGTGGAGAGGGGGGTGGGGGTTTTGAATATGGATGATTTGGGGATGGTGAGGGGAAGGGGGAGGGGGTGGGGACGGTTGGAGTTGAAGTAGTTTGATGGGTGAGGAATACATTGATATTTGGGGTTAGGGTGATGGAGTTTAGGGGTTTGAGGTGTTCATATAGTTTTCATATATTGAGCAGGACAAAACCAAATCAGGGAATGAACGATTATGTAAGGGAAACTAGAGTTCCTTTCCAGCTAAGCTGACTACAATAGGTGATACTAGAAAGTTATAGAATTAAATATATAGAAAAAAAAAGAACTAGGTAAAAAAAACCTTCTTTCTATTCAATTTTGTTTTCACGTGTATTGTAAGACTAACGAGACACCCTCCATCTATCGTGATAGTAGAAAGCACTATACTCTAAAAAAGGGAATTCTAACACTTCTTCCATTACAGGCATAATTAGATTTGTTTTATATAGACCTGGTTGTATATTCAATTACAATAAATCAAGTAGATACCTATACCTCTTTTCGGCAGAATATCTTTATTCTACCGCAAGGACGCCTTCCATCCGACACAAACACTGGGGTTGAGTATAATGTAATATTCCACCAATTTTTACAAGGTGTACTCATAGAAATATACCGCAAAACAACGGCTTCTCAACCATAAGGATTGAATATGAAACAAAGGAATCGCCACTCACCACCGAACTCACCATTCCAATTACCTACACAGGTAGGTAGCTCACCCCACCAGCTACCTTACCTCACCACCTACCTCACCTCACCCTCCACAACGATGTATTCCCTCTGCGCTTCCGCGGCTGAAACCAACCCATGGTCAAAAAGGATCTCGAGGTTTCTTTGACATGACCGAGGTCCACACCATCAACCACCGCGCTTGTTACAGCTCTGCAAGTTCTTCAATCCTTAAGCGCCGTCGTGGGGTTGTGGGAGAAGGATTTCGGGGGGATCAGATTCGGGGTCCTGTAGGGATGTGGTGTTGTTTCCTCGCGAGATTTCTTGTGCTCTGTGGGGTGGGGTCTTTGCAGGTGGAAGCGAAGGTGGGGTTCGGAGGTTTTTTGTGAAGTTTGTGAGATGTGATGGTGTACGAGATGTAGGTATGCCTTGATGCAAGTACATTATCTAGGTCGGAGAAATGGTGGGGTTGGATGCGGTTGACTGCAGTAGAGCAGTCGATAGTGAGAGTCTTGGAAGGGAGAAGTTGGTGGAGGTGCAATTTCTTCTGTCAATAAAGTTAGCTTGAATAAACAGAAAGTATTGTTTCGCCTGTTTGATTTAGTGAAATAATGAAATTATCAGTCGGGAAAATACGCCAAAAATCTGGGGTCCTCAGCTGCAAGTTCAATGGGAAGACCCGTCGACGGCAGCAAATGGTTACACAAAATAAGCAAACGGAGGACGCCGGCAATAACCCACGGCATCAATAATAGGCTTTCTTTTTCGTTTCTCATCTGAACTGACGCGACAGATTTGTCAACAAACCTTTCAAAAGTGCGAGTACGATACTACCAAAAGATAAGCCGAATGAAACTCGCACAGAGTTACCCTAAATGATCTTCTGGTCCCTGCGTACTCACAGATCTCGGGCGGCAGCATAATTCTGCCTAGCAATGCGAGATGTAGCGAGCAGCTGGAGCAGCAGCGCAACACAGCAAAGTTTACCGCGAGGTTTCGACGATCAAACTCTGCATTGTAAGCTCGAGGCTCTGCGCTCGCTGCAGACGCTGAGCAAGAATATGCTTTACGGCCCAAAGGTAAATCAATCCACAGCTGCGCAGATCTCTGAACGCCTTCTCCATTCATGGCCTGCCGAATCTTCCCAGCTTCCGATTCCTGCATCTGAATGCGTCTGGTTCTACGGCGTCGAATGAGAGCACCGATAACCGAACACCACGTCATGTTCGAAACTTTCCGCAGAAGATCTGTGGTTGTGTTTCCCGAATAAGGCTGCAGGGTTGCAGCTTCTGGTCGGTGGCTGCAGAGGGAAGATATTTGAGACTGGAGTGTCATTGGATGGGATCCGTCGAGGTAAGATTTGGGGATGGAGATGAGAAGAGGAGGAGATGGTGGGTAATGCACCTTCGGGAGAGAGACAATGGCAGCTGTGTGTTGTTCAAGACACGCAGAGATCATTGGAAAGAGCATTGTTGCGGGTATCGAACCGGTTCTCAGCCAACATCTGAGATGTTGTCGTTCAGATAGACGAGAGCGATATAAAGCTTCATCCATGCGATTGGACAATGGATCGGTGATGTTTCTTAGGCCACGTTTGGCAACAACTTCAGCTACCCAATATCCGGGTTTCTTGGGAACGCTGAACCCGCGCCACCAAACCACGACAGCTGCTCGTTGTGGAAGGAATGGCTTTGTGTGGAAGGAAGAGGAGAGCTGGTCTGGTTATTGGCAGGCCGGTGTTGGCTCGCAAATGGTCCGTTGGATGCCGCCCAAGACATTTGTACCAGTCACATCTGGCAGCTCAACGTTCGCGATGACGGCAAGGTACTCGTAGTCTCAGATATGCCTCCTTTGTGCTGGTAACTATCGATTTCCACTCAACAGCAGCCTAGGAGATAGGAGATAGAAGTCAAGCAAGGCAATCCAAGGGGAAATGGCAAGCACGAACCAACCCATGAACAATACTGACAATCATGATGGTACCGTATGCAGGCACGCCCTGGTCTTATCCGTGCTTCCAACTCTGATTTATATCATGATGCGACTTTCCCACGGAAAGTTACAATTCGCATTGACGCACATGCCAAGTTCTTGTCTTGAATAGAAACTTTTCTTCAAACCCGCAAATTTCGCGAACCTCGGGTTTGGTCTGGTCTGGTCTTCCATCTGAGTTGCGTCTCAAACTCAGACCCCTAGAACCCTACGCACCGCAATCTCCAGCTGCACCGCTAGCATCGACATTTCCAGTTAGCCAAAATTACACCTTCGACCAAGTATCCAGTCTCCTTTCCAAACAAAAAAACAAGCACCCTCAGCCATTGGCCTTCGTGCGCCCGTTTCCAAGTTACGATCATCAATCTCCCTGCGGCATATCAACTTTCGAAAGCTTACCCCCATACATAAAGATTCTCATCTTCCTCAAACCCAGGTCAGGCATCGCCACAACTGCATCACGGAGTTGGCCTTGATATATATCCGATACGGTGTCGACAATCTACATACCGAACAGTCTGTTTCGCGTCCTATCTGGTCATCAAAATTGTCCGATATCATCAATAATCAGTCTCACACACGAATTACCTTATGCGCCAACAATTACGATTTCGCATCTTGACTGCATTGGCGAACAATACCGACAACTTGTTGCGCTGACACCAACAACCGCCCCGTTCATCTCCTTAAACTTTCTGTCGCAACTACACCAACAACCGCCCCGTTCATCTCCTTAAACTTTCTGTCGCAACAACACCAACAAACCAGACATAATCGGAAAGACAATAGGTCGAATTAAGGGTCTTCGACCGGTCTGCATGATACTAAATACGAAATACGGTCTATTAAGCCGCTCCCGTCGGCCGCCGCCATTTGTCTTGGTGCGAAAGTATTTCTCCTGGTCAACAAGTCAACAAGTCAATAACACTCGCCATCTGGTGTATAAAGTCCGTACCTTCCTGAAATCTCAGAACAATACTCAACATGATGGACACCGCTCTGATTACATTCATGCTGTATGTAACTTCCTCTCTTTTTCCTGGATGCACCACCCGATCAATTCGTTGCACTATTCCTGCTCCTTTATTGTATATTTCAGGACATCCTTGACATCAATATACTTCCTTACAGCAAGGAGCCTGCTTGTCTTCCGATCGTCTTCCCACCAGAGCCTCAGTCAGTCTTCTAGAAGACGATCCTGACTGAGTTTCGGGTGGTTGAAACAAGTTTAACCAATATTCGCAATTTTGAATCTTTTTATTTCGTACATGGTGGTGGAGCAGGCACGTTTGAAGCATTTCGGGAAATGTAAACTGCCGTAATTGACGTGGGAAATACTCCGATGACAACCCTGGCCGAACACAGCTGTCTGCGCAACATTGCACAAGCTGAGATCTTCATCCAATGCTTGTTGGTTGTTGTTCGCCATCTTCGTCCAAGCTTGCATGGCGGTTTCTCACGTTGTCATGGCTTTGGTCGTGGATGGCCAGCCAAAGGTCATCGAATCTATGCCATAGACTCTTGTTTGGCCATCACTGCGTGGCCGATGCAGTCATCAACTCCACGCTTCGTCGCACGAGGTTGTCGCAGACAAATTTCCTCATTCGACGAGGCTGTTTTGGATGTCCGGTGTGCCTTGTACCTGCGGCTGTCTCATCGACATTATCGTGGATCTGCCATCTTACTTTGCCGGTCGCTTGCAGAGATGAGCTGTGTTTTATTTTTATCTGGCACCTCTCATCCCACCTTCGTCCACCCTCATCCACCTTCATCCATTTAAGCGCGTTCATCCCTGTGCTGCATCGCCTCTCATTTCGCTCCCAGGGCTCCCTGCTCCTTGTTTCATCCTGCTGACGACCTCACAGCCAAACATCCCCCTACACCCAATCCGTCCATCTGATTGGCTCGTGGGACAACTTTTCGAAACATTATCATATGGAGCGCGATTCTAAGCGCGCTCGTGGCCAATGGAGAGGATGTCATGCATTTACAGACATAATTTGCGATGGCGAAGGCGCCAATGGACCCAAGCGAACAGGTGGTTTGAAGATGGGCTCAACGTACTACTACTACGTAGGTCAGCCCTTACATGAAACTAAAAACAGCACATTGCCACACGTTCTGATCATTCATATATCTAGTATGAGCTCGACAACGGTTCCGAGGTACATGATCCAACTGTCCCTTTCACGACCGCCTGTCCTTACCTACCCGGCCAACCTGTAAACCTTCTCTCGGTACCAATTGAAATCCAGTCTCCTCGATATCGAAGCGCTTCACTGAGCTCCGTAACAAGTCAAGGCATCATGACCATGAATCCCGCCGATAAGTTTGTTGCACCGCGACCACCTCCACCACCACCTAGTATGTCATCGAGACACAGAGCGACCACCGCTCCCACACTTCCTCCACAGAGGTCCTCTCGTTCAGCGTCGCCAAAAGCCGACAAGACCTCATGGTCACCACGATCCTTTTTCGGTCTTCGATCACCTTCACACGAACATGACTCTCGGGGACGGTCATCGTCGGAGAGTAGGAGATGCGCCCCTCGTTCCATCTCAATAGCTTCGACTACCTCGAATAGAAAGGCATCTGTTATGGAGATTCGTGATCCATCACCACAACCTCCTCGTCGATCTCCTCGCGCCATTTCACCACCTCGATCAATACAACGAAAACGTAGTTCATCTATCATCATTCCGGAGGAGGTAGCGGACGAAGAGGATGATGACAACTTTGCCAGTCAATCCAATCTTGGTGCGTTGTATGATAGAGGGATCTTTACACAACTATCTCCTCCACCATCTGGTCTTCGTTCACCACCTGCTCGAACCCCACCAACCTTGTCACCTGCTACACTTAGTTCTTTCAAGTCTAGCTCAAGGTCAAACTCCATCACCAAGCCTCTTCCAGAACTTCCAGAAGAGAGTGTGATGACGGAGCCTCTTCAGATGCCAACCATCACTTCGGTCGCAGAGTTTCCTCGATCTCACTTTTCCATTTCAACGATATCCACTTCGATGAGCTCTCCATCCGGAAGCACATTTGTCTTTAACGATTCCTCCATATCCGATTGCAATGACGAGGGTGATCTTATACCTGATTGCGAGAGTGGTGATGAGTTCACATATAGCCCCGTCTCAGAGTCCAATGATGGTCGAGGGTTCACCGGGTACAGCTTACCAGAAGATCAATACTCCTCCGAGCTCACTCTCCAAAAGGAAACTGTCTACAGTCAAGTCGCCAGTCCTACATCACGAGCCACCTTTGGAGGTGCCAACATCTCCACTCGAGCGGAGAACGATCTCGGAAACATGAGCGCGCTTGAGGAGTTGTTAAGCGAGGCTGGATATCTTGGGGAATTCATTGTCGGAAAATAAACGGATATAAAACGAGTTTCTTGTTTCTTCTTTCTTTTGTTCTCTTCGCTTCTTCAAGATGTTATGCATCGACTTGTCTTCTTTTCATGTTCGTTTATTCCTCAACATTTTCGGGCATTTTGAAAGAGCGGGTTTTTTTGGTCACCTTTTTATTTGGCACTTGCTGAAAGGGCATGAATCTACATTTAACATGGAGTTTGCGGGTCTTGGAATTTGGGATTGCTTTACAATCAAAAGGGGCTTGATATGAAGCGGATTTGGTATCGGCATAGCGTGGTTAAGAGGGTATGGGTTGGGTTTTCCTTTGGTGGGACACGGATTAGGGGATATGGATTGGAATTGGGAGGTTTTCATGGATTCTGGGATGATTATATGTGATGGAACTCGAACGAGAGATGGTTATGTATATATGGGATTTTGAGATACCCGATGATGAGTATGGTGAGGATGTGGGCTTTGGGGATGAGTGTATGAGTGTACGTAGGGAGGATGATGTTGTGTACGGAGTAGATAGCTGTTGTTGTACTGTGATGTGAAGAGTAGTGGAATAGAGAATGTTGCTACCAAAACCTTACCCCTAATCTTTGCAAAAGTGAAATTTTTATATTTCAACTACCTTTGCCTTATCCCAACCATGGGGTTGTGAAATGAGTCTCGGCTATTCACTTCTTGCTTACCCAGATGAAACGCTGAGCTGGCAAAGTGAGCCCTCAGCTCTGGAGGCTGACTGCTCTGCTGACCTTTCATATAGGTAGGGCTGAAATACCGAAAGAATTACGCGAGACCGTAAGCCGTGTTGCTTATGTGTATGCTTATGTGTATGCTGATACTTAGGCGCGTTATGGTGTCTTGGTTGTTGTGATATTATCTGGGGCTGAGATTTTGATGATGAGATGGAGGAGGTGGGGTGAGGTGAGATTTATGCTATGCGCTGATATATGGTGTTTCTGACGGCAAGGTGGGGGGGGTGATTGACGGAGTTATGTTTTCTCACTGCTGTAGATCGTTTTCTCGTGCTGGGTACTGTTTTCTGGATCGTCTGTTAGTTCTTTGCGTGTTTGTTTTTGTTGTTTTGTTGTGGATGTGGGTTGGGGGGTTTTAGGTGGTGAGGTGGGTTAACGGAAGGGGACTTGGAGGGGGGTTTGGGTTTGGGTTTTGGTGGTGAGGAGGTGAGGAGGTGAGGAGGTCAACTAGTAAAGTGTAAACTATAAACGTATAATTATAACACTAAATCGAAGAGTTCCTCAAATAACTTCAAGACACTTGTAACTTACTCAATACTACAATAACTAGTGTTCCAGTAGTACACCACTCACCTCATCTCGATTCATTGAAGAGTGAGATTGCGTTTAATGGAAAATTATAGTTAAGATTTGTTATATAGTGAGAGGATAGGAGGTCGAGAGGGAGGAAGGGTGAGGTGTTTTGATAAAGTGTTTGTGTAGATTGAGAGATTGTGTCTTTAGGGTGGAGACATTCTGTTTTGGATTGATGGGCTGGATGATAATACTACCTTCTTATTTTGGTAGAAGTATCCATCTTAAATGTGTGCGACCATACTGTCTGAAAACAATAAGATAAATCCCATATCGACGGTGACTAGATATGATGTATATAATGCTTAGAACCTTTTCCCATATTGATTAATATGCTAGTTTCTTTCGCCTGAATACCATTTTCCCCTACCCCGTTGCCAAAGAAGTGGAGCTAGTAGTGGAGTAGAATGTACACGGGTATATTATTCGACAGCTGATTTTCACTTGCGAAGGAGAGGGATCGCTTTGGCTTTAATGACCACTGACGGGATACCCATCAAAGTATAATAATGTTAGGGAACCGACTTCGCTAAAACCTGGGATGGTGACTTGCGTGATATGATTTTCCGATATGTTTATACCCTGGTATCTTACGGTGGTCTGTAGGATTTGAAGGTGGTGGTAGGATGTTTATCTTTTGGGGTTATTGGTTGCATGAGGATCCTCGTTACATGTTGTGAAGATCGAGTCTTTAGGAATTAAGTAGACACAGCTAATTATTTGTGTCAGAGGAAATCTGCGCCAGTGGGTCAAGGATTTTACTTGGGAAAAACGAGGAGTTTCGATGTAGGGGTCTTCAATGGGATGGTATTTGCGGAAGGGGTTTTTGAGCATATTCCAAGTCTAACGGGCCACTTCTTTACAACAATGGAATATTATCCTCTCAAAAATCTACATACAATCACACCCTTCGTTTGAGTAAACAAGACAATGCTTTTACTGTGAAGGGAAAATATTCCTCTTTACGGAAAGCGTGCTCGAAACTCCGGTTTGTTATTAGGGTGCCCCGTCAGTCTTGTAGCGCACTGGTGGTATCTGATAGTGAGGAAATTCAAACTTGTAAAGCCTCCTTAACTTACACTTAATATAGCTACTCAATGTGTCTAAAAACTGCAAATTCGATAAATATCCTGCTGGTAATAGTAAAATGTCGTCTTCTATACGTGTCTGATAAGTATTCTGAGATTATCTTCACGCTAAAACTACTTCTGGAACCGGAGCATGAATATCCCTTCCAGCTTCAAATGACACCGTTAACCTCGCAACCCTTAAGAGCCATCGTTCAAGTGATGTAATCGTCCCCTAGCGATAGATTGATGCTTGATCGGAGTACGTGCACAGGGTTTCTGACTCAAATATCACTACCAGTTATCATAATTCGCTTGCCCGTGAGGATTGCTGTAAACTATATCAGGAAGAACTGTATGATCGTCACTAGATGGGTTTATTACTATAAATTTACTTGTATTATAGAGTATAACATAAGCTTGCATTAATGAAGTTACTCGATATATATACCTGGTATTTATAAGAATAGGCTGTAGATCTTTTGACACAAAACTGACCAGCCAGTTATTATTAGTAGCTAGTATTTTTATGACGTTGACCATAACGCATCTATTCGTTCTGAGTATTGCGAGCCTAAGGATGCTATTTGGTGCAGAAAGGGATAGATTGAATGAATGTAAATGACATAGTCTAACAGACACCCGATCACCACAACCCTCACTCAATCCACCATCTTGTGTTTCTGCTACTCAGACGGATGTATCTATCCTGAGAGTTCACGTACTTACTGCCTATTCAAGCTCCAGCTCCAACTCCTTCACATACTATACCTTATTCCAGGAAATCTCTCGCTCAACATGTGTTGAGATGAGATGAGGTGAGGTTTTTCGTTCATGCTCCGGGCCAATGATTTTGAGGTCCTCGTACCTGGATTTCTCGGTAGAGACGGGTATTGAGTTCCGATTAATGGCTGTAGGGAGGGGAGTGTTGTTCTTTCGACGGATAAGTCGGATGGTTGGGTTGTTGGTAGAAAAATGTGTTGGTTAGGAGAGCAGAGGGTCATGGATTGGGTTATTTGATAGGATGGATGATGGGGAAAGGGTTTAAACCGTTTGGTGAGGCAGTGAGGAGAGGGGAGGGGAGGGGAGAGGAGATTCCTGCTTGGGTTAGTGAATTTGACTCATTGAGGAAATTGTAATCGTTCGGTCAAGTAGTCATCCAACCTAATACTACTAATCTATTATAGAGGTCTTTCATACTAACTGCATAGAGGCTTAAAATTAAAGAATGATAGACTAGAATTTTAAAGCTTGGTTTTAAGTAATAGAAGAGGAATTAAGCTTTGTTTGAGAAAAAGAATTCAAAGAACATAAACGCTAGCTAGTATAGTCATATAACTTTATTTCTTATTTAAAAGATAGTCTCTTCATATCTAGACCTTGATTTTTAGCAAAGTAACACCAAAGAATATTCTACTGTTTTTACAACAGACGTTCACAAGGTAATCGGAAATACCTTGACATTTTAGCTACTCTACTCCCCTGATCTAAACTCAATTGAGATTCTTTAACATCAAATAGAGGAGTCATTTTCAGAAAAACAATACTACGTAAATACCAACACGACATGCATACAAATACGACGTACATGTCAATGTGACGTGTATACCAACACGACCAATATACCCACAGGATGGACAAAAAAGTCCGGATTTTAAACTCGCAGCGATTAAGTTACCCTAACAACAACAACACACATAGCCTCCGAACTATTTCCTAAGATAATAGAAAGCTCTCTAACTCTTCCAGTGTTTTTGCTCATTTTTCCGAATCTTTGTTGTTGACTTATACTACAAACTACAGATTTGTAAAATCCGGACCTTTTTGTCCACCGTGTGATACCAAACAACGTACGTACAGATGAGAAGTGTATCAGAACTTAACTCATAATATAACCATTTTCTATAGGATACAACTACGAGCACTCTGAATGCATGTGATCTCAAACCGGGGCTTGGCTTACTATGTCGTCATGAATGCAGTTGGAATCACATACAGCACAGCTATAGTTACATTATGGACGCAAGACAAGCCTTAGATCGTCTCGTGCCGCTGCCGAAAAGGCTTGTCAGCACGACACCTTCTCCAACCCAGTCTTTCGTCTTTCCTTTCGTTTCTTCAGCACTTTCAACTCTATCTGTCTGCCAAGAATATTTAAGAACAAACATCAGCCTACTTTTCGTTCTTCAACATGCAAATCACTTGCCACTTCGCTACTCCCCTCGAAGTAAGTTTAGACTTCCCAGAGCGCAGCAACTAGAGCTAGGAGATCCTCCTACCTGATTCTCTCGCCGACACTCATCATTCCAAGACAAACCAAGCTAACAGAGATGCAACAATAGGAGGAAAAAGTCAAAACAGTCATCACGGAATTCTCCAACATCGGCGTCGAAGTGACCGAGAAATCCCGCAAAGACTCCGGCGTCATCTTCACAGCACCAAGCGCAGAAGACAAATATCAAGCCGCCGGCGAACTTCTCAAGTCATGGGTTCCCAAGCGCGATCCTATCGTTGGATACACTATGCTGTATTCGGGCTGATGTTCTTCTTCTTTATGGCGGTGGGTGTGGATGCCATGCCCCATGTGGAGGTTGCAGGTCCCGGTGGTGTTCTACACTCGGTTCGTGATGCTGCTCCTGGCTTACAGTCTTCCTGGACGTTCAACTGCTACAGTCCCGGTCAGGCGTGCAGGGGAACGGGAAATACCGCTGGGGGTAGCTCTGATACTACGGGATGCGAAACTATTGATTCCCGCGGTTGTTCTCAGTATAGTTTCAATGGTGGAGGTGAATATAAGCTGTGCTTGTATAGCGATGCAGCGTGTACAAATCTTATTGAGAGTGTCGATGGTGGAAATGTGGTGTGTATCGTTCTTGCTACGGCGCCGCTTTCTTGGAAGGTTGTTTCACGAGGTCATGATTGTTGATTTATTGTCACGAATCGAGAGTCAGGAATGAGCACGTTTCTTTATCCAAGAACTCTGGGCACTAGCGCAGGCAGGAGTTCGAGGATTGTTATGGATATTTCTTTCTTCCAAGTCCAGTTGTTAGTTCAGGAAGTTCACAGGGTTAGTATCACGTAACCAGGGTGGATCATGCTTTCCAGGGAATGATCTAGGTGATTTAAGTGATCTCTGAGATCGAGGGTTCTCTACAGACTGTCACTTCTGTTATTAGATAGGAGTTTCGTGCTCAACTTACTATAGCAATGATCTCTTGCTTGTTATCTCACCGTTGTTTGTAAAGACTAGCTTCCGTGTAAAGACACCAGGATATTTAGTGCATACTGTTTCACACACCAACTAACGAAGATATCCGTTCCACAAAGGTAGAACATAACGAGAGTTACGTACATTGAACACTAGAGACGAGCTCCTACTCCACCAAGTGCGACTCGGAACACCTGTTGAGCAGAATATTACAACCGAGAGATGCACCCAATCGAAGTGTAGAATCTAGCAAGCTTCGACCAATAGCACATAGTACAGTTTTGGGTAGTGTTTCCCGCACTTGATGGGATGGATTATAGTCTAGGCTAGCGCCTCTGTTATTACTCAACCTATCCACACCTAAACCCACAATCCCCCAACATCCCCACCTTACCACACAACATATCCCCAATCCTTTATTTTCCCCCATTCTAGTTTCTCAAACCCCCTTCATCCAACCCAAAGTCACTTACAAATTCCATACAGAATTCACACAAGAACCTCCATCGAAGGGGGTGCTGGAACATTGACAGTCCAGCCAAAAGTGATGAGATGAAGCGTACACAAGACGATATAACAATGACCATATATCTTCGATCGACCCTTCAACGTAGTATCTTATCATTACATTTCTTCTTCAAAAATGAGACATTTGTTTCCCTCGCCTTTACCAACCTTAAGCCAATATGATTCACTTTACACCTACCAATTCACACACATGCCATTCTTGGACACCTATCGATGATGATTAAATGAAAGGTAGCCTGATGTTTTCAAAGGCAAATAGGGACGATCTGCCTTGAATGTAGGTAGATTTATCTTAAATGTAGGTATAGGAGTTTGAGTTATTTCCTGGGGTAATGACCTGGACCTTTTCTCGATGGAGTGGAATACTTGAAGCGTCTAATTTAGTGTTGATGTATTACTATATTAATCGCATGCGTTTCTAATTTTTTTCCTATTGTTTACAACCTATATTTCTTATCAACTCTGTAAATCCATCTACCGTCTTTCCACACCAGAACCACCCCCCAAAAAACTACAAAAAAGAACGAGACCCCTCACAACAAAACATCACCATCATCCTCCCCCAAACCCCCTCCAAACAACACATCATCACCCCCATCACAGCGACATAACCAAACCACACAAAAGACATGTTCCCAAAATCATTATATTTAACTACCGTCCTATTATCTTCCTCAATTACACGAGTTGAAGACCGTTATTTTTAGAATAGAGTAGTAGAAGGAATATTTTCAAAAGAGATGAGGGGGGGTTTTTAGAAAAGGTAGAAAAGTAATCTAACCACGCTATTCCTAAAAAACAAGCCATGTATCCTTACCTTAACCCTCCCTCCCTCCTCCCTCTCCCCCTATAATCTTAATCATTATCACACAACCCCAACTCCAACCCAGCTAACCCCCCATTTCCAATCCCCACCCCAAGCATCCCCGTTATCCAGCGTGCAGCTATCTATCTGTACCAGCCCGAAAAGAATATCACTTACTCTACTCATTTGCCACCCTAGATCTTAACACCAACCCATGCATGATATCTCAATAAAACCGCCATCCCCAAAACATCTCTTAAGAAACATACAGCTTACAAATCTTCAATCATCCTCGCACTTTCCTTAAACTCAAGCTCGACACCTCAAAAGTTGAGCGAATAACCATACAAATACATATCATTAATCTATACACTTCCCCTCCCCTTCCCGTTCTAGACCTAATCACCATCACCGATACGTAACATTAGCAATCCACAACCCCAGCCCAATAACCCCAAGTCTAAGCGGTAAGCTTTGATACCCATCTCCTTTTTGGGCACGCCACGTACCCTTTGCCTTCCCTTCTTCCCTCTCCTCATCATTCTCTCGTCTGTACGGCAGTCTCAACTCCACCGGACTCCCAGGTCCGTTCCTAGACCCCCTAGCCTCAGTCCCGCCATCCACAATCCAGCTCGTCAACATCTGCGTCGCGCCGCTAACGCCCCAACTAACCCAAAGAAACAATACCGTAAGCACGACCATCTCGATCTTCGGATCAAATAGTCCAAGTCCCAGCAACCCCTTCGCGTCGCCTGCAAGCCAGATATGGTATTGCAGCACATACGTCTCCAGCGAACACCTTCCGAGCCACGCAAAAAGCGTGGAATGGTATGTACGGAGCAAACGATGCGAGTTTCGGAGGACCATAAAGGAGAGGACGGAGATGAACGATAAATATGGGTTCCAGAAGTTATAATCTTCTTTTTTCGTGTGTACGCTGTTGATTTTCCAGAAGAGGGGGAGGAGGATCGCTGCTACTATCGTGAGCCCAGTCCTCCAAAGACCTTGGTAGCGGTTTGTGAATTGGATAATAATTTCGAGGTATGTAGCTGGTGTGCGACCAGCTCTCAACTTCCGGGTATAGTCGAATAAAATCGCCATGATCATCCCCACATAAACAATATACATATCGAGAAAGACGCGGAATCTCCACTCGGTCACATCCCAAGATATATTACAAGACTTGAGTAGAACAAAAGCAAGTGACTCCAGAATACCGGGTATCATCGTAAATGCCGTTGTGAGACCCATGGAAAGTAAGATTTTCGCAATGAGGAAATAGATATTCGAGTTCAAGCCGCGACCGATTCGAAGGGTGATATAGATGATGACGAACCAGAAGCTGACGAGTGGTGCAAAGTAGTAAAAGACGTAATCGGTTCGCATGGTATATGGTAAGAGGCAGCTGAGAAGATTCAAACGAAGTAAAACGCTGGCGACACGTCCTAAAGAATAGTCGTCTTTTCGTAAAAAGTAGTTGGTATGACCGAATCCGGTCATGAAGAGATATGATGCAATGAGTAGTCGTACGATCATGTATATCCACAAGTGTTGAGAACCATGAGTATAGTGATAGATAAGGATAATGGCTTGCATCCACCCTTTCCATTCTTCGGTCTGCTCGCGAGCCAGGGAACCAGGATCAGTAGAGCTGCCTTCTTTGATTGCAATGTTGGTCTGATCGTTCTTTCGAATAGACAAAAGACTAAGCACTGCAACTGCCGCGACACCATAGACAAATTCCTGACTTCGAAACTGTCTATGTGCTTTTTCGAAAATTTGTGTTCGATCAGCATAGAAGCAATAACACAGCACGAGTGTGAAAACCGATAGAGCACCTGTTACTTCTATTGATGGGAGTAGGCGGCTAAATCTTCGAGGCTGTTTCCGACGTAATAGAAACAGCGCAGGTAGCAAGATCATTCCCACGAAAATGATCACGTCTTGAGCAAACCCAGCCTGCACATAATTATTGCAGCAGGTTCCATCAAATGGATAATGCTTCATCGAAGCGTCAGAATTACACCTCGAGTTCAGCAGAACATCTGCTTTGCGATGCGCAACATTGCTAACCACATGAAGACCACTTTCTTCATACGCTCCAGGTTGATTCCATGTCATCAACGAGTAACTCCAGAGGATATCCGCTTTCGAATTCGCCGATACCTGCTGCAAATAATCATTCATCTGATCCACCTTTTCAGGTGTAATCGTCTCCTCTCTGGAGGGCGACAGATCTTGATACCATGGAACTTGAACTGGAGCCAGTAAAAGCAGATTCGGCGAATATTCTCTTGAAGCAAAAGCACTTCTCGGTGAGGATGGATTCAGACTGTGATCCATATACGGTATGACAGCATCAATCGCATCCCTAAAATCCTTGTGATAATTCTCCTCGCCATGTCGCGCATACCAGAGTCCCGGCGCCCCCAACAAAATGAGACCAGCCGATTGTTTCAAGCCCTTCTAAACCCGTGTCAGTAACCATCCAATTGCCCAACTAGCAGCAACCAAACCATACCTTCGCATCCTCCACACTCTCCTTCCTCCCCACCGCCGTAAAATCCTTCAACTCCTCCCCCAACCTCGTCCCATTCAACCACGCATCCCACACAAACTGCAGCATCACGCCCTCGGCATAGAACTCCAGATCCATATGTCTATGGTCCCTCACCCTAAGCATATCCGCAATCCCCGCATCCGCCTTCTCGCGATCCAGTTTCTGCGCGACGGCCCAGAAGACCTGACGGGTGGTGGAGTCGCCCACGAAGACGAGGCGCTTGCTCTGGAAACACGCTTGGATGTCTTTGCGTTTGTATTCGCGCAGCATGCAGCCGGGCGGCTGCCAGTTCTTGAAGGAGGTGGGTGAGGCCCAGCGGGGGGAGGGGTCGAGCCAGTGGCCTTTGTTGAGGAGGGCAGAGCATTTGAAGGGGTCGGATATGTCTGGGTTGGTTAGATGGGATGGATTTAGGGGGATGGGGGGAGGTACCTATGTAGCAGTATCTGTATATCACGCCCACGATCACGAGAAGTAGGAGACATTGGAGAGCGCGATGGATAGCTTCATTTATTCGCGAGGGTTTGACCATCTTTAACGGTAGGGCTGAACTTCGTCCACCGCTTCTGGACTGCGAGTCCACATTTGACGGTTTTCGCGTCGTTGGTGCGATTTCGAAGGATTCGTGGAAAACAAAGCACCAGTGTGAAATATTCACGGATGAGAAAGAACCAACTCCCTGTACACCGAGAGATCCACGACGTACGGGGCTCGTGGAGTAGACATTGTCCCCAGTCCGGTGGCAGAGACTTGGGCAGAGGTTGGCACTGGGGGAGGAAGTGTCGACTCCGTAGCTTGGCGAAGGTGCTTGGCAGTCGTGCTGGTCCTGGTAGAAATGGAATCTTGCGTCTGTCAAGATCTGAATAGGAAGATGTTGTGCGACGTTCGGGAGGATGACTTCACAGTGCGTTTAACATGTAACAGTGGTACAAAACAAAAAGATCATTAGAATGTCTTACGATTTTTTTGGTTCCTATTCGGTTTGTTTTTTATTATAATTCGACAGCTCCAGTCCGTATCCATCGTATCTCTCACCTACAAGGATCAGATGGCGTACATATCGAGAAAAAGCAACCACCAAAAACTTACATTTACATAAACCTAATCCTCCTATTACCAACTCAATCAATCCCCCAGATATAATTCTCCCATCCAATTCCTCATCCCTATTTCCCTCCCTCTTCCCCATCCCCAGCCTCACCCCCAATAATACATTCATCCATCATCCATCATCTTCACTTCAACCTTCCAGCCATAGCGGATCTTATCTCATCACAGCATCCCCCATCAACGGGGATATCTCCTCCCCTGTCAACCCCACACGCCGCGTGCCCTCTTACTCAATCTGGCTCTGCCCTGTCTACGTGCCGAACTCCCGTCTTCGGTGAGGCTCGGCGTTAAATGCCATGCCGCCAGGGAAATGGCAGTCAAGAGTCGAGACGTGACATTTGGCTAGTATATTGGATACGGAGCATTATTTCGTTGTTTTGTACAGATGATACCTATCTTAAAGATCATTAATTAACATTAGAATCAAACAGTATACCTCTAGCTACTAGATTTTCTTTAGACAGTTGCGTCTACTAATTGTGTACGGGATAGAGATTGCTTGAAATGCAATTAAAGTCCAAGTTAAGACCTGATACGATTATTTGTAAAACGTAAATTTCAATATAAAGACTTCCTCTTCATCTAACCTTAACTGGTTCTCCAAATCAATCCCTTTTCATCACAAGAATCCCGTAGACCAGTCTATTCAACGGGCCTTCCCGCTGTCAACCTCGAAACCATCCAGCTTCTGGTAAGATTTACCTCACATGATCACCGCAACAAACATGATACCTTTTCTCTTGTAATACACAATTTTGTAACACACAAATAAATTAAATCCCCCCACCTCTACCCTAACCTCGAGACTAATGGTATCAATCACCATAACATCCACGCAATTCTCTTCTTTACAATAAACCGGATGTCTAGGAAACCCAAACGCAACACGCTTACGACCAAAAAAACACCACAGATGCAATATATTGTACCCTCCTCAAATTAAGAATCCCCTCCTCTAAGTCTAGTGCTTAGCTTTTCCGTTGGCATTTCCATTAGCATGACCGTTAATCTTTGCCTTTCCATTTGGCGTTCCATTTGCCTTTCCGTTTGGAGTTCCGTTTGGAGTGCCATTTGGGGTAGCCTTCAAAGTCGCCCTTTTGCTCGGGGTTCCAGCATGTCCATTAATTGCTCTGCCATTTTCAATCGCAAGTGTAGACTTCTTGACGCTCTTGGATCCGCGTCGGAGGTAGCTCTTGACGAAGAAACGAACGAAGAGGAAGGTGAGTGGGGTGAGGTAAAAGACGTTGAACCAGATAGCAAAGGTTTGTCCGCTGGTATCGATACATGGAACGGTTTGGTATTGAGTTTCATACGAGATTCCATCGCTTCCGGTGATAGGAGCAGATGGGATGCTAGTGGTCTTTGGGTCGACATTTCCAGCGAGTCCCTCCTCTCCAAGAGCGCGGAAGATGAGTTTCTTAATCATATCGACAATGGTTGCGTTGTGGGCTACATCGGTAGCAGATGAGACGACGGAGGAGGCGACTGAAGTTGCTGCTTGGAAAGCGGCTTTGACAACTGGGACTTTGACTGGGATTTCGTAGGAGACGAAAGAATGGATAGCCGCATATGATGCTCCCACCAAGAACTGGATAATTTGCATGGTTGTAAGACTTCGCTTGAGAGCTTGTGGGATTGGTACGGAGAATGCTGTCAGAGTGTAGTAAGTGTACTTTTAAAGGTTAGCTGTATTCTATATAGTTGCCATAACATCTGCAGTATGCGGATAGAATCTTGACTTACCATAAGAGCGTGAATTCCCGAGTTAACAAACACAAACATCCAAATAGGCGGTGACATATATCTCATTCCAGACCACATAGACATCATGGCTCCCGCATGATGGTAAGTCTGCAAAGTCGAACTCCTCTTTCCCTTTGCCAAAATAATGACCGTATCCAGAACCTCATAGAACTTGCTCAAGTAGAAAAACCACCCGTAAAAAGCAAGACCCTGATTCCATAATCTGCCTTGATCGGTAGGAGCTGGCGTTCCAGCCGCTGTAAGGAAGACTGATGATGGTGATTGCGAGATCCAAGACGAAGTTGTAGAGTTATACGCAACCGCATTTCCTAGCCCGCGAGGTCCTTGGATCTTGCAGAGACTGTCTACTGTAGCAGCGATACCTCCAGCGCCCAGCGGCGATACAACAGATTCTCTCAGCGCATCCCACATTCCGATGAACGTCCATCCTGAGTATACCGCCAGTAATATGTTATGAGCCACCACGAACCAGAAAAACGCTTTGGTCTGACTGATCCGCCATGGTTTGTTGCCTCTTGATCGATTGTACGCGTTCAATGCTGTGACGGAAGCAGCGTATACGCAGGCGATTGTGATTGGGACTTTCACATCCAGCACCGCGTTGTAGAGGGAGGGAGAAATCGAGAATGGCGGAGCGGAGAGGGAGGAGCCAGCGACGGCAGGAGGGAGAGCTTGTGGTTCATTGTCTGGAGGGAATTTGAATAATGAGCCCGGTGGCTTAGAGATGTACACTGATGGCGACATATCGAAGATTTGTATGAAAAGGCGGTAGGTTCGAGTTATCTGCTGCGTGGTGGTAGTTCAACGAAGAATGAGTCCCAGTCTCACACGTCGATGGCCAAGTAGAAAGACGAGTGACGTTCAACACAAACAGAAAAGCGGAGTGACGTTGAGCACAAAATATGAAAGCTCGAAGAAAGAAACCCAAGTTTGCCCGTTTATCCTTCTCCGGTTGACGTTTTGTAAAGAAAACCTAGTGAACAGCCAGCAGCATGGGAAATTTTAAGTCGCCAAGGCAAGGGTTCAGAAATGTTTGTGGGTTGAGAAAAACGGCGAGGGTACCTCGGTACACGCTCCGATGAATTGTGTTTTGACTGTTATTTCCTCTGGCCCCGATTCGCTTGACATGTGAAGCTATTCCAGACCCATTGACGCTGTCCATTTGCCTGTTTGTTGCACGTCGACTGGCAAAACCAAAAAATGTGTTGGGACGGAATAATGGCGATGATGATATTCCGGGGGTCGGACGTAGAGGTGGGCCAATCAGAGATGGCGCTGGTTGGTCCCTTGCATGGCCATCGAGAGCAGCACATGGGATTCTTTCTGGTAGACTTCTAGACTGATTCTTTGAGCCTCACTAGATCCTGCGACTTGTTCCTTCTGTAAGCATGCTCATCTACCGTTAGTTTATATATCATATTCACGTTGATACACGCGGCCTTCATTTAAATCCATCATTATCACACAGCTTTGCTACCTCACATACAGCCCACCCAAACAGCTGGGACTGACTCTCCAACAACAATTATCTGAGGAAATAGCGGGGTTCTCAACAAAATACAGCGACCAACCTGTTTGGATGTGCTCCGAAGAGGACCGGGCAGGGGCGACTGGCACCCCTCTGTAAGCGAGGATAGGTACTTGCCGAGGCAGCATCTACTGATCATATGAAAAGAATCAATGCCTACCAAGTTCCAACTCACGAGTAAACAATTCATCAAGCACTTAGCCTAGGGACCAGTGGACGAGATATTGGCAGTCTAAACGCAATATCTAACCAATCAGGTTCATACGTTGTCTTCATATCTATCTACTATTTGAAGTAGACAAGAGACATTCAGGTTTTATCACTAGGAGGAAGACTGATACCGAGCTTATCTTCTCAGAAGCATCTGATACTGCCAAAATATTGCGATTTGGTCTTAACAAAACCTCATGCTGGGTCTTTATTTCATCACTATTCATTGACTTCATTACAAAACCATCCCCTCACCCTACGCACCAAACTTAAACTTCTTCCCCCCCAACACCCCCCTCTTCAGCTCCCTCCTCATCGTCGCCTCCACTACATCCGGGCGGTTCGTCGTAGTATTATACGTACTATTCCCCGCCAACACCTCAAAGACCATCGTCGCATTGCCCTCTCTATACTCACTCGTCGGCGTTCCCTTCGTAATATATCCCGTGCTCAACTTTTCCTTCCCAGTCGCGATATCCATGCCGTTAATCGCCCGTTCAAACAGTTCTAATGCCGCAAGCGGTTGGTAGAAAGGCACTTCGTGGCCAGACTCGTAGATACGTGCGAAGGAGAAGTAGCCGGATTGTTTGACTTGTCCGTGGACGATGCAGTCTGAGGTGACGATGTCGGTGTAGCCTGCGTTGCAGTAGCCGGGAGCGTTTACTTCGGTGGCTACGGCTTCGTTGCCGAGCCAGTTGCAGCTGGGGATGTTAATTAAACAGTATAAATAATATGGGGATGGAGGCTTACTTGTAATCTGCGTCTCCGGCGAACAGGACCACGTTTATGCCTTGTTTGATAAGCTTCTGCAGAGCCTCAATGGTACCAGCTTCGCGGTTGTCGTCGCCAGTAGCTGTGAAAGCGGTATAAACAGCATTAGACGAGGTGGAGAAATTCTGGTATGCTCCGATTGCAGCTTGAAGCTCTGGAGTATTGAGGTAGCTGGTGTAGTAACTATATGGGAATGGATCTGGTGTGAGTTCTCGCATGTCGTACTCGTCTCTTCCTAGGTAGATGTCGTAGATGTTCTCGACCAAATTCGCACAGAAGTTATCGGCTGCTGCGCATACTGCGTCAAGTCCTCGAGCAGCACAGTCTTTGATTTGATCGACACAATTGCCTTTCCCGTAGAGATTGTTGTAGAATTGTGCTTTGACGCTTGCGTTGAATGGGTCGTAATCATACGTATTTCCAGGGGAAACAGTGAAGTTGTAGTACGCCTGGTATTGAAGGAGAGGATCATACCAACCATTTCTATATCAAAATTAGCGTGAAACATAGCAAAGCTCGAAGTATTCGTACCCTATCAGCACAGTCTCCAACTTAATCTGATGAGCGCCAGTAATGTTCTTCGCATTCTGCTCCTCAATATACTCATTGAAGACCGGACCGTAATGGCCGCCATAAGATTCCGACGAGAAATGGAATCCATGTCTAGAATATTGCGGGAAAGCTCCCATAAAGCCCTGGATCGTCTTCCAGAAACTTGGTGCAGCGCTCACGGTGGAATTCGCGGTAGAAGTAAGATTGGGGTAACTGTAGGTGGCGCATGTATCACCAGCGTAATCTGGGCAAGTGAGGTCTGGGAGACTGATAATTAAACCACTAGAGATTGTCAGTGTGGGTCAATTGAGAGGAATAGGGTAACACTGACGTGGAAGAGTCTTCATATCCATTTACAGGAGTACTGTAAGAAAATCCAACTTGCGCCGGGTGATCAATGTCTGTCAATGTATTAGCACTTTCATTGTATCCAAGACCTTAGTTTGGGGGACCTTACACAACATATTCGAAACATTACTCCAACTATACGGATTGTTGTAAACCACCCCGTTCTCATCAACCCTACACGGTCCATTCTCCTCAAAAAGCCCAATCATAGAACTCGACCCTGGACCACCATTAATCCATACGGTCAACGGCGCCTCGGAGGGATCCATATTCCGGGCTTCAAAGAACCAGAAGAAGATATGCTGATCATCTTCTACGTCCGCGTAGCCAGAGTAACTCTTGAGGTTGGGATCTAGCTCGCATATTCCTGTAGGAACCTCTTTGTAGCGTACATTAATACCTGCGAACCCAGTCTTGTTTATGAGATCTGTAGGAGGGGAGACGAATTGAGCTGCCGCTACAGAGAGCACTGAGAGCAGAGAAAGGATTGAGGAGCTCATGATGAATTGAGTACCAATTGAGCAACGTATACAAGCAAGGACACAAGGGAAAAGAAGTGCGAGCTACCTATCTTTAAACCACAGCTCCCCTGCGGGGTGGAACACCTTTCTTTCGTGCTACAGATACTGAACAAGCAATCTTGGCCAGAGATCTTAGAAAGCTTGCATCGAGCTTCTCTTACTCGGGTGGAGAGGCCTGCAGCTATGCTCGATGAGGAAGCTGGGGGAAGCTCCAGGCACAATCAACGGCCCAAGGTGGGAGAGCTCGGAGTGATTGCATCATGGCTTGTCGTGTGCACAAGGGTTACTCACTTTCTTTAGGAGGCCTGGGCTGATTTGTTATGTCGTACGCTCGAGTATCGAGTATCTCAATGTATTTTATTGCTTGTAAATAATAGCAATGGCTGATGTTGTAAAGCATACGATATTTATGTTTCAAGAAGTAAAATGCCGTTGGCATGTTAGCATACGACTCGGGAGGGAGACTGGGGTTTGCGGGGCATTGACGAACAAGCTCAAGCCCAAAAGCTTGTACCGAAAAATGGCCCGCGGGTCCATTTACAGAGGGGCTTTCGAACGCCACCGATAAGCTGACTTGATCGGATCATCTAATGGATACTGAGAACTCTCAAATAAGGAAAACATATTGAAAAAAGGGTGTGAAATATATGCTTCGATTGTGGCGCTCATACAGTCTTGATTCTAATATGTTACATCGCCTTGTATGTGAAATGACACTCATTGTACCAGCCACCGCCTCGCTATACCAAACCCGATCCGGATGTGCAGTTTAACCAAAATATCAATTCCCGACGCCATATATCATGTGAAACCTCGCTCTGATAGTCCACTCTGGTCTTTAAAACCACTCACCACCAAGCCATCTGTTGAGGAAATCCAATGATGCGACAGGCTGGTCCATAGGAACCATGTGGCCGGCGCCAAAGATTTGCATAAAGGTGCTATGATAATATTAGTAAATGGCCATCGCAAGGCACGATTTGGATTTTGGTATACTCACAAGTTTCCGCTGGTCTTGAACTTTCCATACTTATCTCCAGTATCCAGGGCCAAGTCACTGATGTTGGCAGCGTTGAACTTCTTCTGTCCAGGCCACTCGAGAGCCTCAGTCCAGGCTTGGTTACCGAGCCACTGGGATATTCTTTTAGCATGATTCAAATGAAGTTGGTGAAGATGTTACTTACGTTGCAAATGAAATCAGCGTCACCAGCGTAGATAAGGACAGGGATCTGCTCGAGAATACCTGGCACAAGACGGTGGAACGGTTGCATCCAGTCACCTTGGAACAGGAAGTTTCGGTTGATGTCAAAGTTGCAACTGTCATATGTGCTAACTTCAACACCAAGCTCAGCCTGGACTTCCTTCTTGTTGAGGAATTCGCTGATCCACCCAAGAGCTGAGTAGCAAAGGTTGCTGGAATCCTCACACTTTCCACGGATATCGTAAACGTTCTATCACAGTTAGTTATCGCAGTCGACATGATGGATTCACAAATCATACCTGGCCAGTTCTTTGGTAAGGACCGATCATAGCGTTGTTGCAGTAGATGCTTGCTGGAACACATGACCAGACGCTCTCGCTATCGTAGCAGTTTTGGATCAAGCTCTGGCAACGAGGAAGTGCGTTTTCCATGGCCTGGCATTCGCTCTCATCAAGGACAGCTGGATAGCCACCCTTTCCACATGCCATTGGCTTGTAGTACTCGTATTGGGTGAGACCATCAGTAAGACCGTTGCCGATCAAGACCGACTTCAAGTTGATGTTGCGGTTCTTGTGTGCCAAGATCTCAGAGGTAAAGACGGGGATATAATGACCGGCGTAAGATTCGCCAGCAATGTGGAAATCCTGAGTGGCATATTCTGGGAACTGTTTGAAGAAGAGTGTGAGGAGTGCGTAGACATCCTTTCCAGCGGCAATTGTGTTGCTAACAGATCCGCCACTGTATGAGTAACCGACGTTGACTGGTTGGTCGAGGAAGATAACGGATGCATTCGCGTTCCACGAGTAAGGGTTGTTGGAGAGCTTCAAGTTCTTGTCGATTGATGCTGGACCAAGTTCAAGGAAAAGACCAGTCAGAGATGAGCACCCGGGTCCTCCGTTGAGCCAGAGGACGACGGGGTCAGTCTTAGGATCGTTGCGTGACTCAAAGAACCCTGATGGCTATTAGCAACCGATCGCCGGCATCTGCAGAAGTTATGAACTTACAGTAAAACAAATGCTTATCATTTGCCTCGTCATCAAGGTAACCACTGTATTGCTTGACTTTATCAACACCGAGCTTTGAAGGATCAACCTTCTTGGCTCTGAGATTGTAGGTATCAAGCTTTCCATCAATCTCTCGCTCCTTCTCTCCCTTTGAGTTCTCAACCCAGACACTTTGCACATCGGCGCCCTTTACAACGTAATCCCATGTGCTGTCTGGCTTTCTGGTATGTGGCTTTGGAGCAGAGAAGAAGTTCGCCTTCTCCATGGCTTCTGGGAAGTGCATGGTGACTTCGTCCCAGATAGCCTTGACCTCGCCGGTCATCTCGTGCATCGACTCTGCTAGAGAGCCGAGTGTCTTCGACCATGCTTCGCTGACGGGCTTCGCAGCTTGCTGGAGAGGGCTTTGAGCGCTTGGGTTCTGTAACACCTTCTGTTGAGCAGTAACCGCTCCCAAGAGGAGAGTTGATGTGAGGAGCTTCATGGTTGAGATACCCCGATAGGAGTGATGATAAGATGGATGTGAGAGATAGCTATCACCAGGACTTGTTATCGATGCCCCGTATGATGTTTCTAATGAGGATGGTTGATGACAAGAAGAAGAGGTTACAGAGCTGGCGACGCAGTGTACCTTGTTTCAATCACTCCGTTGGCCGGGGAGCTCCAAGGTTGGGATCATTACGTCGTCCAACCGAGGGACGCCATTGCAAGAGTGGTGCCTGAGACAAGCCGTGTGAATCCCTGCTCAAGGGTCACATGTGTCACGTTGCGCTCGGCGACCACCACCATATCAGTTTCCAGCAGATATGCTTAGATTTGGGTTGAATCAGACAAGGTCTATCAGAAACCTTTTTCTCCATAAGGTATCGCTCTGATCAAAGATCAAGTTTGGAACAGAAATCAAAAATCAGTGCCTGACGGTAAGTGCTTAGCATCCTTCAAGACGTGTCACACCACATGTGGCCCTGGAGAAAATACCCCTCTATGGCTCATCCCCACCATCAGGATAAAAGACAACCCTCCAACTTATTGATTTCCACTTGAAGATAACACTTTGAAAATTCTCAAAATCTTGTCAAAATGCCTATCAACCAACCCTCCAACCAGATCAAGCTAACAAATGTCTCCTTGGTCCGACTCAAGAAGGCGAAAAAACGCTTCGAAATCGCATGCTACAAGAACAAGGTCTTAGAATGGCGCTCTGGAATCGAAACCGATCTCGACAACGTCTTGCAGATTGAAGGGGTGTTTTTGAACGTATCTAAGGGACAGACTGCACCATCGGCGGATCTCGCAAAGGCTTTTGGTCCAAAAGTGCCTGTGAAGGACATCATCCTCGAGATTCTGAATAAGGGAGAGCTACAAGTTGGAGAGAAGGAAAGAGCAGCGGCGCTCGAGAGAGTACATAATGAGGTCGTCTCAATCGTGGCGAGCAAACTGGTCAACCCATCGACTAAAAGAGTGTATACTACGGGTATGATCGAGAAAGCGCTCGAGATGTTGAGTTCGCAAGGGTCGCAAGCACAGCAGGAAAAGACAGCAGCTGCGGGGAGCGCCACTGGTACGGCAGCAGCTGGAGAAGAGGGAGAGGCCAAACCAAAAGTCAGGGAGCATACGTGGACTGGAGTTGTTTCTACCAAGAGTTCGAAGAGTCAGGCGCTTGAGGCCATGAAAGCGCTCATCGCCCATCAACCAATACCTGTCGCAAGAGCGAGGATGAAGCTCCGGGTCACTTGTCCAAGCGGAATCCTCAAGTTTACCACCAAGGCTGCAGGCTTGGTTGCCCCAGATCAAGATGCCGGGGAGGAGAAGAAAGGGATGATCAAAGATCGTATTTTAAGCTTCATCGAGCAGGTGGAATCGCAAGATGTTGTTGGATCCGACTGGGAGGTCATTGGATTTGTAGAGCCGGGCGCATTTAAGGGACTAGGAGATTTCATTGGGAGCGAGACAAAAGGTCAAGGAAGAGTGGAGGTGTTGGACATGGCCGTTACTCATGAAGATTAAATGATATGTAAGGTGATTTTCTTTTCTAGCGAGCATAAAATGGCGTTTTCAGCATAGCAATATATTGGTGCACAAACATGGCAGAATATGTTGATCTGATGTATTGTTCCGAGACTTGATATTTAGCAAATACACCGAGTTCTTGATCACACCGAAAAGAACCGAGAAGCCTGAGGAAACGCATCAACCCATTGCAAAGCCACACTCCATCCTGCCAATTTATCCCAGAGCGCACACCACTATCCTCCCTTCTTCTTGGAGACACCGACAGTGCGACCACGACGTCCGGTAGTCTTGGAGTGCTGACCTCTAACTCTCAATCCCCAGTAGTGTCGAAGACCACGGTGAGCACGAATCTTCTTCAATCGCTCAAGATCGTCACGAAGCTTCGAGTCGACACTATTAACCGATAAGTAACTGTTTGACATCCTGCGCATCCAATCCTTACCCGTTGGCCAGGACTTGCGAGTCTTTGCCGTCAACAATATCTCTTTGTCTGTTCAAGAACCAGGTTGGAATCTTGTATTCTGTACAGCCGTCAGCGCCATCATAGCCTCGATATAATTCCTACTCACGAGTTGGGTTCTGGATGATTGTGACGATTCGCTCGAGTTCTTCGGAGGTGAGTTCACCAGCGCGCTGGATGATGTTCAGCATTCGTTCCATACACTTTCCATTGTAAAACCCACCTTGTTGAGATCGACATCGGCCTTCTTGCATACTAAGTTGCTGTATCTTCTTCCGACACCCTGGTTCGATTAGATATAAGCTCGTTGGTTGGTGTTCGTTCGGTCGTACCTTGATCTTTGTACTGCGAAATTGTCAGCCGGTTTTCAAAATTGATATTTTAAAATTAGCAAACTTACAGAGCGTACATAACCTTCTCCTGGCCTCTCACGTTTGTGTTGAGCAATCTCAGAATCTAAGGGTATTAGCTTTGTTCAATAATGAAGATATACTTCCGAGAGGTTGAAAATACGTACGAACTGAAAGCTCGACTTTTCTCCACTACAAGACCGTTAGCCACACCGCAAATGATAAGAGAGTTAATGGAGAGGATAAAGATTCGAATTGCGTACCTGACGAGCGACATCTTGGGCGATGTCGTTGGGGTTGCTGTTGTCGTCAAGAAATTTGAAGGTTTTAGAGGGTTCGCGATACTGGACGGAATTTGTGTGCGGGAGGAATCGTCTAAAACGCTATGACTAAGGGCTGTCACGTGCTCGATTTTGATTGGGCATAACCCTTAGCACCTCAGCCCGAAACTACTTTCTAGGTTGTTTCTTACCATGAGCAATGTCGAAGATGACAATTCCGTGAATTGATATTCTTATCTTAGACGCCAAGAAACATTTTACTTCTTGGATAAAACGAACTCGACGCTGTTCCTCCAATTCCAACAAGTTCAAATTGTCTATACTGTACTTCCTGTTTTCCCTTGCCCCACTTAGAGGACAAAATAATGAGCAAGCCCAAACACAATATTTGCTCTATCACGTTGACGAAATATCACATATTTCCTCTATCGTTTTCAGTAAATAAAAACGATTCCAATTTCGGCTCGGATGAGTTTATATATCAAAATCTCATTTCCCCTTTACCATTGAGGTACTAGAAAATACAGGAGGTCCTGCCACATATTTTGTCTTCTGCAAGACCAGGAAAACACCCATAGAGGTGGCAGAGGCTTCTATTTTCAACTTCAAGACGGCAGGAAGAAGAGGGTTTTCTATCACTACTATGTTCAAAGCCGAGTCCAGGCGAGTCCAGAAATCTCGATCAATGAAAGTGGGAAAAGAAACAAGCGCTATTTTGTCTCCACGTTCGAGTGAGTATCGCGTCTCGCTCGTCACTTCTCCTGTCCACCAACGAGACCCTCGAGATACTTATTGTAACTCAATTGGAAGTTGAATGAATGTTTTGCTTCAACTCAGTCATAAACCTGGTGCAGCAGAGCAATATGATTGTCTCGGCCAACTTGAAACTCTCTCGTCGTAGAACTCTCGTCTCAACTCTCGTCGTACTTTATGCTTCTTGGTTCATGCTATTAACAGTATGCTCAAAATTTTCTGCTATACTTATTTAATAAGGTCGCTTGGCCAGAGCTAAATCTCCTGGATTATGAGGTATGTTGCTCGGATGGTCTATTTTGGAACAATCTTTCAACGTCAGTATTTTATTCTAACCGTGCATTTCAATCTCTCATTAAAACCACATGTGGGCTATGGCTTCAGCACACCACTTTATACCCAATTGAAAGGCTTAAAGCTGCTGTAGTGATCATCACTTCCTATTATATGTCCTGATTTATGTAACATAACCTCTGAGTATGGACAATCGTGAGTCCCATTATGTAGTCCAGCATGGATTATCTACTGTCTTGTATCCAATAATGATACATACATAGCCGAGAACTGGTGGTGATACTGCATGATCCATCTATCAAGCTAAGTAATTGCGTTATCTAAATGTCTCTTCTCAGAGTAGACATTGTCTGTCTTCTTATCCGTTCGAGTACCACAACTCATAAGATCTTTTGGAAAGACTTGGGACGTTTGATCTCTGAACTTTACACGCTTCATTTCTTTGCTACATACTTTCTTAGTTAAGATTCTTCATCAGAGATGTCTCCTTCGTAACCTTGCAGGCTGCTTTCATTATTTTAGCCACGGATGCTCTGAATGGAAATTTTAGCATGATGAAGAAACACTGCAAAGCACTTCTAAAAATCCATATATCAATTGTTTACCTCCGATCTCATTTCAAACACTCCAACTCAACAATGCACTTTGATTTTTATGTTGGCAAAAGTATCATACACTTATGCTCGTCAAACGCAAATTAATTGAATCCATATTTCTTGATGATACTTCACCAAAGATGTTGAACAATCCTACACAAAAATTGAGGGTAAATGAATAAAATGCTACTCACATAACGGGAGCATCAAAAGAAATTTGCTAGAATACATGACAGCCAGTTCGATTTGTCGCCGATATGAATGTATTGGCTGGTGGCGACCCACTACATTCATAACAAGCAAAATGGGACATTACGCTCCTGCAGATTTGATAAATCGACACTATATGGGTAAATCAAAAAGTCGCTGGAAGAGCTGGATGTTGACATGCGACTTTTAAAATTATATACGAGTTTGATAAAGAAAATAATAAAATAGTTCTAGTTGTCGACGTTCTAAATAGAATTCAAGTCTGGTCACTTTTCGTCATGACAAATTCTCTAAGACTTCGAAAACGTCCGATCATCTAAAAGCCAGCAGATACAACTCATCGCATTCCGGCAAATCACTCGACTAAATATCGTGTTCGCCTGGAAATGTAGAGGTTACTGGTGGTTACTTTGACGAAACGCGATAAGATTAGCAGGTGGATGCACGTGACAGGTCCATGATTTTAGCGCGACCAAGCGAATTCTCCCACACAGAATTTTGACGAAGGCTAACGTCAACCCAGAAATTTCCCATCGACAACCACGACAACCTCGAAAAGATGGTGAGTCGCGCTGTGTAGAAATACAGATTTCCTTTCAACCTGTCGCACGATCTGAGCTATTATCTCTGCCTCCCCTATAGCCGGCGCGCTCCACGGTTCCTCGCATCACGAATATTATCATCGAAGTATTGAGCGACCGCTAACCATTTTTTTCAACGTTCAGGTCAGATACGCAGCAACTGAGATCCATCCGACCAAGTCGGCCCGCGCTCGCGGTGCTTACCTTCGAGTTTCCTTCAAAAACACCCGCGAGACTGCACAGGCAATCAATGGCTGGAAACTCCAGCGCGCAGTCAAGTTCCTCGAGAACGTCCAAGAACACAAGGAGGCCGTTCCAATGAGAAGATACGCCGGTGGAACTGGAAGAGCTGCACAGGGTATGGAACCTCGAATTGTTGTGACGATGGAGGAAAACGCACATGGAATAAGAGGCTAACTGGGCAATTGTGCAGGCAAACAATTTGGTGTATCCCGCGCAAGATGGCCAGTCAAGTCTGCTGAGTTCCTTTTGGGTTTACTCAAGAATGCAGAGGCCAACGCCGATACCAAGGGTCTCGATACCGGAAACTTGATCGTTAAGCACATCCAGGTCAACCAGGCACCAAAGCAACGTCGACGAACATACCGTGCCCACGGTCGTGTAAGGAAATCCAGCAACGAAGACCCAATGTAATGAAAAGCTGACCCTATATCTAGATCAACCCTTATATGTCGAACCCATGCCACATCGAGTTGATTTTGACCGAGGGTGAGGAAGTTGTACAGAAGTCAGAGGCTGTTGTTGGACGTGAGGAGGCACACTTGAGCTCGAGACAACGGGGTGCTCGTCAACGTCGTGCTATTACCGCTGCGTAGATTGGGGTTTCATGAATTTGGGCGCGCATGGGTTTCTGATGGCTGGGGGTTCACCGTCCTCGAAGACGAATTTCTCTTGAATGGCCTGTACTTCAATAGCATATTGCTGGTCTTCATTGGGAAAACAAAATTCAACAAAACACATCTACCGTCTATTTTGAAATCGGTGAGGCCAAAAGTTCTAGTGTACGTTTGATGTGGTAGGTATTAACCATGCGCAATATTCTACATAATAGCTCCGAGGTAGGGATGTCGAATGACAGGACCCAACGGTTATGCATTAGTACCTATCAGTATGACCACATTCTGCTAAGAAGACTGTTTACAGGACATCTCAACAACCCGTACAATAAGCTCGACGCTTCCACGATCGTGGGATTGGTCGTAGCATTCCTGCAATGTTGTTCATTGTCCGCTTATGGCTTTGGAATGCGTCCAACCCTTCATCCTCGCCAGTCTCTGCCACGAAACCGCGAGCAAGAAACTTGAATCGCCAGTGATTATAAGCTCTTTAGATTCAATTTATTTAACCCAATGTTGAGCGCTACTGCTTCCGATGGCACCCGAAAACAAAAGTCCCATGCGCCGTGGATCAAACCGAAGTTCTGCGAAGTCTCCTTCCAAGTCAGTAAAGTCCAGGTAAGATATCTCTCAGCCACTTTTGATCTTTCCCAATAACGTATAATAGCTTCTCTGATCAATTCAGCCCTAGCATCTTCAAAAAGGCTCCAGAGAAAAAACCCAAGCTTCTTCCAAAATCCCGACAGTTCAGGGGTTATGTTCAACCACCAGTGAATGAACGTCTGGTACAAATCAAGAATTTCCTCGCCGATGAAGACCCAAATCGAAAGTTGGGATTTGGCGAAAAGCTTGCGGAGATTGACGAATACATTAAATACATTGAAGATGAGAACATCGACCGTGATGCTGGTCTTTTTCGCGATGTTAAAAGCATGTCAGAGGTTCATCATGACTGGGATCAACGGGTTAAAGATGGTCCTCCGGATACGACTTGTTGCGATGCGCCCTCTATCAACCCAGTGTCGGCCCGTTTGATATCGAGGGAAGAAGCTGATAGATTGAAGGAGCAAAAGATAGCATCAGGTGTGCAAAGTCAAATGCGAGAAGATCATCCTCCTTTCACTGTTGATAGACAAGCTGATGAAGATGAGTTTCTTCAAGCACTCACACAATCAGCCCAAGAGGTTACTGCTTTAATAGATGAAAGTACTAATTTGACTTGGGTGGAGGGGCGCGCATACGAATGGGCATTGAGAGAACCGGCACTGATTCCATATTGGATGCACGATACTAAAGGACTTCCTAAGAGTGGTGTCAAGCCTGGAGATTCTGATCCCTGGTGTCGAAAGCATGGTGGAGGGCAGCCACTGTTCAATCAACAAGTTAGGCCTCCCATGCAAAATCTACCGGACTATCTAGAAGCGGTGCAAAACAAAATCAATAGTTTGATTACGCTTGGCTCCAGGCGAACTGAGCAAGAGCAGGCGGAGTTGGAAGACTATATGGAGAGCTTGGAACCGAAATCATTGCAGAAACTACATAAACTGTACAAGGCAAAGGCAGCTGCATATTTGGAAAGACAGACGACATGGACAGAAAACACTCCCGACGATGAACGAGACTTCTACCGCACAGAATTTCAGTCTGCGCAAACGAGTTATCGAAGGAAAGCGAGGCATTGGCGTAGAAAATTTGGACCCGAGGGTGTACAGTTCATGGTTGAAGATCCGACGAAGAAAAACCAGAAGGCCCCAGGCGTCTTTTACTTTCCAGACGAGAGTACGCTGGATCCAGATGTGAAGGAAGGAGTAGATGCTATGAACGCGTCTATACTACGAGACACTTTTCAGTACGGTTGGAAGAGCATCCCTCTGGGACTCAAAATGACCGCCTTGGTGCTTCTATGGAAGGCTGGAGTTCTTAGCGAGAAATCTAGAGAAATTTACTTTCTTGCTACTGAAGACGGTTCACAGCAAGTTCTGCACCAAAAAGCGATTGAGCAATTTTCTCGGGATATGAATGAGATATCCCGCAAATATCAGGCGATTCGAATCTTGCGACCTGGAGAGTTGATACCGCCTACGAAAACCGAAGGAGTTCTACGGATTAAATTTATACCATCAGATGAATATCTAGAAAGTGGAAGAGTTTTGCTGGAAAAGCAGGAACATCTAGACGACGAGACTAATATGCCTGTTGACACGGATGTTGCAATCGACTGGAAACCGAAAGCACAACGACGGGGTATTCGACGGGCTGCAATTGAACTTGGCCTTAATCTCCTTTGTGCTAATCATGAACAACATCGGCCGAAAGACAAATTTAGGATCTTAGAGCTACCTTCACGATATATCTCTAAGGACCTGCCGGAAGTGTCTTTAACGATTCCACTAGAGCCGCATAAACGTCCTGTGGAAATGGACACATTTGAGTACACCAAAGAGGTAGCAGCTTACCACCACGATACCGACCTTGCATACAGTGAAGCACGGAAGAGAGTTATGTCTTACGATGCAATAGAACTGCCTCCACCAGAGAACTATAGAGGACCATTCGAGGTTGGGACCGCTGAAACAATGTTGAAACTCTTCCAAAAGAAATTAAATACCATGTACGAGATCTATAGGTCACTAGCTTATATTTCTGAGGTATACCCACGTCCTATTATCAATAGAATGCTTGCCCGAGTTGAAGAAGGCCTTCATCTCCAGCCTGGAGAGCAAAATGAGTTTATGATAATGCGCCCTGACGAGAACGGAAAAGAATTGGAAGTTGTAGATTTATCTCAGGCAGAAATTGAGCTTTTTGATGAACTCACCGAACCTTCATGGGATGAATTGCGAAGACCATATGATCTCGCCCAACTTCCGGGTTGGAGGAGCCGGCAACTTCAAGAGCTTCAGGAATTCGATCAAGCAGTCGACGAACTCGGAAACCAGATTCCTCTTTGGGATTCTGTGAAAGCGAAACGCGTATTAAAGAACAAAATTGAACTGTTCGAGCAGGCTGCGCATGATCCGAAAGTTCGAAGTAAGAAGGCAATGAGTGTGTCCAAATTGATGCAAATTCTCAATGGCCCGCGCCTGGAGCGAGGTGAGCTTCTTTGGACCGAAACTAGAGTAATAGCTTTTCTTAATGCCATGAAGGCACACGACGTCATTCAGTAAGTTTCAAGGCCTTTCATCTACATACCTGACTGACAATGCTAGTTTCGATAATGACGAGCCCCAGCAAGTTTCGCGTATTCCCTACACCGGTCACCCAGAGAATCGCTATGTCATCTCTCGCGCGGCAGCACCCAACTCTCCTGGTGTATATCAAAATACGGATGGTCATTACGTGGTGCGCTACGACGAAGATGGAACAGTTGGGATTCTCACTGTACAGCCAAATAAGTGGTACCACTTCCAGCAGATTGCGTTTCGTCTTGGTCGCTACATCTCTCAACTTTTGACTTGGTCTGCCGAATACAAAGCCGTCTATCTAGACCACGCGCAAACTCAATACGATCAACACAAAGAATGCGACGATTTGATCACTCTTGCGATCGGAGATGAAAATAGCCAGAGTGGATGTGCCGAAATCTCTGCTCCCAATATTAGACATCTGGCGTATGACCTCCATGCTGTTGCTCCAGATCTGGCTGAGGAGGCGGGCTTGGTCTTCCAATCCAAGGATTACGATGACACGGCGGAAGGACAGGCCATCGTCAGAGAAGCTGAAGAGACTGGTCTACCTCCACGTGCGCCTGTAGAAATGACGACAAGACAAGCTGCGAAATTACTGAACATGCAAGTTACCCAGGAGCTGAACAACAACTGGGAATCCAGGTTTCCAGAAAATGAACGGATTTGGGATTTTGCTGCTCACCGGATCGCAGCACAACCTCAAAAGTCAGATGACGGAAATACAGTCTTCGCAAAGCCAGCTGTGCAGAAGTTCTTTTCAATGAGAAGATTTCCTGTATGTTGCCAAAGTGAAGAAACACAAGAACGAATCAGAAACAGTGGCGTGGTTCTGCAGGAAAAGTCCAAAGCTGCCACGCAAGAAGACATTGAGGCACAGTATGAGAGCGGGATGAGCAGACGTGAAGAGAGACCTGGTGAAATTTACAGAGGTGGGAAGATGGAACCCATGTTTCCATTTGGGGAGACGCCGTACCAGGAGAACTTTTTAAGTTGGCAGATGGAACAAGCTCTCAAAGATGGTATCATTACCCTAAGTCAGTTTTTACGACCTTTACTAACACTCCCTAGTACCCCGATTCCAATCTCCACGTCCCTCTCGCTGGACCATGCCCACTTTCACCCTCCCTCGCTTCAAGTTAGTGACCTTATCTCCCAAGCCACCGCCTAATCCATTCGATCTTCCCGCTCTCCCGAAAAGTTTCGACCCTGTCTCTCAGACTGAAGAGGAGAAGAGATTTGAGGACATTGAGGCACGTAGAGAGGAAGCAAGGAAGGATCGAGCTCAAAATCCGAATAGTAAGGCGCCTAATCCGGATATATTGGAGAACTTTTATTCCCAAGCTGAGGTTGGGGATATGATTGAACGGGAGGAGTACATGGAAAAGTTGAGAGGAGCAGCTAGATTTAGAGAACCTGTTGAAAGGTGAGTTATTCTTACTTGTTCTTCTCAAATGAAACTGGAGGCAGGTTGTTAACACAAGACAGGCACGTAGAAGAACGATATGATGAAGTGACAGTTGAAGATGAGGAAATGGCAATGCAGGAACTAAGTGTCGATCCGGAGAAGCTCGCTTCGTCACTATCTCCAAGGTTATCGAGGGATGCTGATGCTCTTGCAAGTCCTAGAGTCACGGATTCCGACGGTGGGAGAGGAGTGAAGAGAATGGCGGAAGGACCACCGATGGATGAGGTATCGCCTAAAAGGGTGGCATTTGGGGGTAGGGAGTATCGGAGTGTCAGCGCTGAGAGTATCGATGAGAGCGAGGATAGCTTTGGGTAAACAATTTCGGTGATGAGTTGAGGTTGGAAAATGTTGGTTTGGGAGGTTTCAAAATTATCAATACTTGTGGTCAATTTCTGTGCAGGTTTAAGAATCGGTAGGGATTTTTGGTAAGATTAATGAGAGTTATTGGTTCGATGTGTCATTATCATCAGTCAACGGCGGTTTACTTCTATATTGAGTCAATTATGTCTAGAATGAACGCTGGCAGCCTGGTACTCGCTTAACACTTTGCCTAAGCATAACCACGTTACGGGAACAGGAAACTGAGGCTAATTGCGGAGCTAATAACCTTACGTATGTTTGATTACCGGGTAAGATCCTTCTCTGAGCCGACACAATACGCCGCACAAATCTTTATTGAATTATAAGTAATTCTGTTGAAAAGGAAAATATTGAACTTGGGCTAAGGGAAACGAATTTGCAGAGTGAGATAACAGAGAACTGTCTCATACTAGCCTTAAGACGACTTAAACAATCATGTCAGCCAACCAATGCGGTAGGAACATTATATTCCCAGATCCTGTCATGTAAGAGAATAATGCCGAGAACCTCACAAACTATGCTTACTATCGTAGCTACGAGTCATACTCTCTCTGTTCAACTCGAATATGCGTTTACGGAAATTGTCCCATGAACGATGCCATGAGCAAATGTTGCACAACCCAAAGAAAACCATTCCAATGCTGGCAATACTGCGCAGTCGAAGAGTCACAGTTTGACGCTTGGCATAGTTGTGTTGCAGCAGAATTAGGATACACAGAGGAGCAACATTGTCAAAGAGCGGATCAGTCCCCTCTCTCCACGGCAACTTCGATTCCGTGGTCAGTTGCACCGCCAACGCCGCCGTTGGGATATACACCGCCGCCGACGTATACGACGACTTCGACGTTGAAGGCTCAGTTATATCCTCGAGTGGACGGTAGCAAAACTGCAAGCGCTACCTTGTCTTCAACTGTTGCTGCTGTTGTGGTCAAGAGCAGCTCGGCTGGCCCAGCTTCATCGACTACCACTGCAAAGAGTGGATCAAAAAAAGCATTGGCGCTGTCTCTGGGTGGAATGATGACAATTGCTTTAGTAATTTCTGGTGTTGCTTTATAAATGAAAAGGACTCTGAGAATACGTACTTGGGATTAGGAGCGTACAAATTGCAATAGGAAAGTGTCGAGAAAAGCGAGGACGGCGGGAAAAAGGCAGAAACCACACGTTTTGAAGCCTCGAACTATTTGAGAGTAAGAAAAATAGACACTGCGCCTTTGAGTGATCGAGAAAGCTATCAATTACTTCTTTAATCTTCAAATTTTGGTACATTAAATCGTTTCGATTCCAGATGCTAAACTCAAGGAGATTTCTTTGTTGAAATTCTCCAAGTCTTTTGGAAAGACTGTTCTTATCCTCGATTCCTCGAATTTTTCTTGCCATGTTCTAGAATATACTAATCCCCGAAAAATTTATATCAAATATTCACTGTACTAACAAGAAATACAAATATGAGTTAGTGTCCGCAACAATTACTCGATTTGTGCCCTTTTCAAAATTCAAATGAACCGTTATTTTTCAATCGCATGTGACTTTGAGATTTCCCCCTTTGTCATTCCTCAAGAGACAATGAAATTGTGCTCTGTTCCACATTGAATGAACAGTAAGCTGATGCAAATCCTATAAATCCGAGGAATACTCTTGTGCTAAACTTTCTCCTCTTCATCGATTCTCATATTCCATCCACACAGAAATATGATGGAGCCCAGTATTTTCCAAATAAGCGGTGCTGAGGACTTCACGTTCCGAATTTAGCTCGAGATCGATCTCTCGACTCCCATCGATGACTACACCAGATCATCATCCTCTGATCGCGAAGAAGAAATATTCTTCCTTCTTGTCAAACCAGGACGCTCTGTAATCGAAGAAGACGTTTTTGAAGAACTTATTGACTTTCACCAAGAGACTCGTAGCCGCGACCAATTTCTCCAGGATGTCCGCGCCATCCACTGGGTCATCAGATCCGAAATCTCGAGTTATTCAACCCGATCGGTAAGGTTGGCTTCGCCGGTTTATAAGTATGGCGACCTAGCGAACGCTATGGAAGATATTTCAGACGTGTGCCTGAGAATTGCAGAGGCTTTTCCGCTTCAGGAGGGGAGATTTGACTTAAAATTAAACGGGCCTGGGTTGCAGGTTTTCGTGGGATCAGGAAAGGAGATGAGAGGGGAGCATAAAGTGAAACTTCTGAGTGTACTTGGACTTTATGAGAGGTCGTTAGATACGATTCATCGAGATGCTGAAGATAAAACACCCCTTATTCAAAAGGACGTTCCCTTTGGCTCAATCAAAAATGTTTCAGACTGGATCAAAGAAATCACCGACAGGAGAGTATTCTTCGAGAAGTTTGAGTCGCAGACAGACCCCCCACGGTCGTATGTTCTTCCTAAGCCCGCTGGAGACGTGCCAGAGCATTACACACCGATGTTTGAATTCAACCAGCATGAAGCAACATTGGACCATGTTGAAATCCAACGATGGATCCAACTATGTCTCACCATCTTCATCTGGACAGATAAACCTCCGGACAAGGAATGGGTACATATGCTCGCGAGTTACTTTGAGCCCCGCGATTGCAAACCATCCGTGAGGCCCACAAGCCTTCAGGAAAGCGAGACTGATCAGTCTACTGAAAAGTACGACGCCGGCCATGCAGAACCTGTCCATTATGCTGAGGCTCTTGATAATTTTCTCTTTCACCTCGGCTTCAATGCCAGTGAGTCGAGCTACTTCGTCAAAGAGACGGATACTGACTGTTCGGGTCGCTTTGTTCATAGGTACGATGGCACTCGCCGGTCCGATTTACTCATACAACCTAGGGAAGGGTATCAACCCATTGACGTGCGAGAGTGGTAGGTTTTGAGAATGGATGAGCCCCGCGGGGAGTCTTCGAGGTTGATATTGCTTCATCCTTTTCTATTCTCTGGAGTATGTATACCTTACTGCGTGTTGGTGTGAGAAGAAATACACTCCCTGAAAATATACATTTTTGATTTCAAAATACAATGAACCGTGCAAAATTTGAGTTTCGTTCCGGAGTGAAGCTAAGTGAGAAAAAAAACCAGAGCCGTGAGATAGTAATAGGCGAGAGAGCGTGCGGTGGCAGAAATCATCTTAACTCAAATGATTTGAATAGAGCTCAACGGGACATTTTTACTCAACGGGTTTAACTTTATATGTGATATTGTGTCAAGTCGTTCGATCAAATATGGTGTCTCATCTACCGACTGTCTTGTCCACCGTGTGAGGCAAGCCTGGTGGGCGAGCAGGGGGAAAATTTAAGCGAGCCCAAAAATAACAAAAGGGGAACTCGGTGGTCAGAATTTAGAATTGAAGAAATGGTTTCTCACATTTTAAAAAAACCTCCGAAATTCCCAGTCTTCATTGTGTGTCAAATGACACCAAAATTTATATCACACATCTTCTTCTCTGTAAGTCTTCTCACGCCAGGACAAATGGAATCGGAGGCAGTTGGACTTCACTCTTGACTACAGAGGACTACTACATCGTCAGTCTAAAGAACAATGATACAAATTGACCACCGAGTGTGATTGGTGGGATTGATTGCCAAATAAACTTATATACAAGCAGTGAAATGTATTTTCTAAACCCCACACGAAGCCGAGGAGAACCCATCGGCAGTCATGCGTAAAGGATTAAATTCATGGTTCTCAGAGTGGACTTCAACAAAGCTTGAGCCTAAAAAGTGATGTGATTGTGCTTGAAAAGCTGCGAGGGTTGGGGTCTTTATGCAGAGGATGCCTAAGGGTTGGCTAGCGTGCAGTGTCTTGTGCGTAAGCGATAACGGCGTGAGCTGAGACTTGGTCTTAAGTTTTTCAAGATCACATGTTAAGTAATATCGAGAGCCTGGTTTTGAAAATTATAGAACTTTCGAGATAAAGTTGAGCTGGTGTGTCGTCGTGACTCCGAAGGCTCGCTACAGACCGCTGGAGAAAGAGGGGGGCGGGACCTGGAGGCGGGAAACCTGCCACCTCAATGCTACTCAATAGATAACAATGCGCCGTCCCTCGTGTTTTATTGCACTTCTTTTTCTCTCATGTATGAATTATTCCATTTGCGTTATTGTAAATTGAATGAATATGGACTGTAGATAGTATTATCAGCGCGGATGGAGGGTGGGGGATGAACTACTCGCTTAGCTGAGCGTTCGCTAAACCTTGAGGGGGCGCCAACACTGGGCGAACCCCTCTCCTCGTCATCACCGCCAACTTTCCAGCACAAACCAGTCAAACGGGTTTGCTCCACCTCCACGATACACCCATGTGAGATTCGCCGTGCCCTGCAAAGCGTAGAGCTGCTCTATCCTGGCGTAAATTTCCTTATCCCTCATAATCGTCATAGCAGTCTCGCGGGGAAAAGAAGGTTTTCGTTCAACGGCGCAGTAGCTGCGATAAGCTCAAAGTCTGGAAATCCGGACTGATCCGGTTTCTCGCTCAAGATGATGCACAGTCTGCTTTGTCTTACGATAAGTATGCCCGGGGTGCAGGCCGCTACCCGTGCAGATATTCAGCGGGCCGGCGCCATGATCTCAACCACGGTCAGAGCTGAATACGAGTGGCCGGGAAGTAGTCGTGAGATAATAATCAGATGGCGTCCGTCTGCTCTTGTTGCTAGCTGATTCCTTTGCTCTTGCTGTCACTCTTAATTAAACACATGCTTTTCTGACATATCTCCAGCACTGCTTGTTTGTAGATGTTGCTCAGCTCTCTGCAAGCCACAGCATCTGATCGTTGAGACAGGGCACGCCGACAACTCTGACTGCATCCTCTACGACAAACAAAATGTCTCTCTTTTCATACATGCTAGGGAGGCCGCTTTCAAAGCATGAAACCTCACCGACGTGTGATAACAAAGGACGAAAGAAACTACAGAAGCCACGGACGTTGACAAGTTCTAGAAAAAGCGCAAATATCGACACTAATTTCTTCGATGCTTTTCGAGCGCAAGCCTGCTTGATAATTCAATCAGAAGAACCAGAAGAATCAGAAGAATCCGAAGACGAGAAGACACTCATCGTTGAGGAAACAGATCCTCTCCCCCATATTGCAACTCTTCTATCAAGCAACTCATCGATTTCGACTGAATCCACGCAAAGCTTCTCAAGTAGTCAAATGTCGCCAACGCGAGTACCCAGGAGAGCCAAAACACCAGTCATGTTCGTTGGGCAACTTGAGTCTAGCCCTTCTTACGATCCGGCAAAAGCATTTGCTCAACAGTATTCTGATCTACTACCACCACGATCATTTACTCCATGCGTTGAGGATGTTATTGTCAGACCACGACGGAAATCAATTCGGAAAATCAAATGCCAGCAAAGTTTACGTGACCTCGTCAAGGATCACTCTCGCTCTTCAAGACCAAGCAGCTCTTCGGACTGCGATACTCTTGTCGGGTCAGAGTCACCAAATTCCCCAAGGTCACCAACGGATAAGGAATTCCCTGAAGTCACACGTTTACATTTGGTCGACAAACCGCCGCCAAGACCACAAGCTTTAAGCGAAAAAGCATCTTTAGACATGATCAACGAACTTCACAACGAAATCGGCCTCGGAATATGTATGAATATGTTGACGAACGAGCTAGCAACTGCTCTTTTCAAACAGCATCCATCAGAGAATGCGGACCGCGCCTCTGGACTTCAGATCCGTCTCATGATTGAAGCTTATGAGACCTTACAGGATCACGTGCGAAATGAGCTTTACGATGCTTTCGTGAGTGGAAAGGAATTGGATCCTCACGTTCAAGAATATGAGGCTATCTTGGAGAGATGGCTGGATTCATTGTATGCTGTGTACGAAGTTGCTCAGGAGAAGAAACCTACTTGTGAGGTTATCAAGGAGGTTGAGGAGGAGGAGAATGATTGGCCACTTCGACGATCTCAGGATTCAGCTGAGACTTTTGTGAGCTGTTGAGTGGACTGCTGAAGGGAATTTTCAGGAAGCCGCGCATCGGAAAGGCTTCCAAAAAATACCACCAATTGTTGGACCCACAGAACAAAAACCACTATCCTTGAGAACAGTATGAGTTCAAAGTAATAGAGAGGCGATGAGATTCGCCACTTCAATGCCTATTTTAGGAATATGAGCACCGATTAGGCGATACAACTCACTCAAACAACGGGACCGAACATCGCAAGCGTCGCCTCTAGGACCCAGAATTGATGGACTCGTGTTAGTCGGCAAGCAGATTCGTCGATATTGCAAGTCCCTCGTATTTGCGCAGATCTCGCTTACCGTTTTGGACGGTAATACGAAGTCGCAACGGAGGAGTAAGCAGATATTGGAGGCGTGCATGCCAAGACCTCCGAAGCCACCCGAGTGAGGCGCCTGAGTTGAGATCGGAAGAGGATGCAGAACGTTGAGAATTAAAGTGGCGAGGATGACTTAGGAAGATTGGATAGGAATTATAATGTTTAACTTCTAGTTTGTTTGTTGGCAATACGTGCGATTGTGGAGAACTTGTTTGCAGTTTTCACATTCAGTCGAAGCGACAAGATTTATTGTAAGCTGACAATGTATTACGAAGTTTGGGACAGCCTCCTGAAGATTCAATGGTGGAGATGGATGAACATGGTTGTGAATGAATTTGGTCTAATGTACTCGCTCAATTATATACTGATGATGCACCAAACCATGTTTCCAACAATTTTCCAAGTCACCCAGCTTTTCATTCGTTGAATAACCCATAGTCAAGGTAATATAATTTTACGATGGTGCTAAGCAGGATTTAAATTTTGTTTCTTTCGGTGTTTCGTTTCGATTTTCCAGCTGCCAGACAAGACGGCTTGATCTCTGAAGTTTATTATTGAGCTTCCTGGCCCGCTTCAATTTTATTTACGTTCTAGCCTAGTATGTTTGCACTTTCTTTCGTAATGCATATCAATATTTTTATGCTGACGAGTAAAGCTCATACCGCTCAAATGGTGGCAGAAGCTTCAGTTATTGCTAATTAGGATACAAGGAGCCAGCCATATCGGACAAACGACTATTGGGTGTTTTGGCCATCATGATCAAAAATTCAACGCAAGTCATCCCTTCCTTAGCGACTTGCCGCGCACTCCTCGTGCCTTCAGAGCATTGTTTGAATGCTTTGATGATCACCGAGAAGCTCGTTCTCAACATTCCAAAGCAAAAACTTGTTTTGCGCAATCTTCTCTGTCTTGGAGCTATCCGACGCGCTTGCCTGAACATTAAATCCAAAAGTATAGCAATCGTGTACCCCGGATACATGAAAGTTAACAGAAAGATATTTATCGCCAGATAGCGAGACCATATTCTACTTCTTTTAACAATCGAACGCCGGACAAGAAAGAGGCAAAATATCAGTGTAGATAAGCTCACGGAAACAGTAGATATTATGAACGTCCTCCATGACAGTCCAGTGCCTGAAAATTCCTGAGTGTTCATTCCATAGAATGACATAACAGTTGAGAGTGGCAAGAAAACAGCAGCTAAGTATGAAATCCTCCCGACTGTATTTGCCTGCCGAATAGAGGCGCTGGACTCTAGCAAAGCCTCTCTTGCGGCTGTAATCTGAAGTGTATCGCGAACTTCTTGCTCTAAAATCCTCGCGTCCCTTAACAGCTTGCGATGAGTCTTTAACAAATCCACCACCGTGTCGGTCTTACAACATTTGTCTGCCGTTTCTTCTCCTATTAATTTGTTGTAATCCTCAATTTTGTCTGTAATTCGTTGGAATTCTTCCATGAGTTCCCGCAAGACTCTCCAAGATCCGAATATGTCAAAATCTTTTACAAGATCGCTCGGTGAGGTAGCAAGACTCTTGTAATAATAATAGCGATAGATATCTTGTTTGTATTGCAGGTCGTAGCCTGTGACAAGATCTAGGAACACAATTCCAAATATTTCTAGAAATGGAATTAAAAGCATGAGTGGTGACTTTTGAGCTTGCGCGATCCGTATTGCCCCCATAGATTTGCAAAATTGTAGTAGCTCTAGGAAGTTGTTATCATCGCGTAGTTCCGAGGCTATAATTAATCGTCTTGGCTGACGAAGTGAGCGTGCTCTTCCTTTTGGCTTGGTTGTGCTTGATGTTCCACTTGAGAACTCCAAGCCGTAAAACGTTCTGTCGGGAGTACTGCTGGTGGTACTTCCGTTGAACAGTAATCTATCGTAAGGTGCGAAGTGGTAAAACATGATCACTTTTCAATTAGTGGGAACTTCCACTAGAGTAGATGTAAGGGGCCTCACAGGTTTTGCCACGGTTTGGCATTAGTGCATAGGTAATCCAAAATCTGGGATTTGCGGAACGCTCGTAACGATCCAATCCAATTAGGAGACAAGTCTGCTTGACCTGGGCTGCCATTCTGTAACCAAGATCAATAACAGAATTACCTTGGGGACGTTGACTCCAATGCGATCTCTCCTCGTTAGACATCATTTGATCGAAGAAGAACGGGTGGATGTCAAATATGGCACCTATTTTCTCAATCAACCTTCCATTGGGCGCCGCTGGAGCCCTCCATCGATGTGCAACACTATCGAATCTTGTATGGTTCAGAGCAACGATGATCAGTGTCATTTGGCTAGGAGTGGTTTGGTCCTCCAATCCGACGAGGAATGACGAGTCCACCTGACCCAGTCCGTGCCAGAAGGTTTCGGTCGACCATGTAAGCCCATCGTGACGAAGTATTGCACAATTGTGTTTTTGAGAAGCAGCAGAATTCTCTGGATCGGGTTTCCACTTGCCCCATGTCTCCTCGAATACTTCTCGCGTAAACCTTTTCGTGTCTCTTCCCCCAAATCAAACTCAAGTTTCAGTGCCAAAACTTCAAATCTATCAAAATTAATACCGGTCTGAAAAAACATGGGCAAAAAATACCTTGGATCTTTCTTCGCAAGCCCATATACTCTTGCGAAATATGGATGCTCTTTGAGCATATTTTCGAGCGATTTATCCGAGGCTACAGGTGGGGGTTGAGAGGTATCTGTGCCAGCAATTGTTTCGATATCGATAACCGTCTCTTGTTGTGACATTTTGGGGAGTTCTGAGCAATCAGCGTAAGATTGTCGATTTCGATTGACTAGTCGATATCTAATACAGTGATAATAGATACATAACAAGAAACTGTGAAGTGCTATTCGATAAGGTTCTACAAATTTGTTTCCGGCTCTGTTTTCAAGAGTCAAAGATTTTATGAGGGCATTGCAGTCGTACAATAGTGGTATCGCAGAGTCGAAGCTGTCGGTTGCCGGCCAGAAGACCATTCTGATTCGAGTTGCAATGAGAGAAGCAGCAAGTTTAGCGCTTTGTTCAACCAAACCTATCAAAAGGAATTGATTGGCCCATCTAAAAAGCGATGTATATGGGAAGTATTCACAATAAACAGTTCAATGTTGGACATGAGACCGGGAACGACCACACTAATTCCAACATAGGTACATAGTTTGAGTGTTTCCACTTAACATATTGTCCTTTAGCCTTCACATAAACAAGATCAAGTAGTCAAGTACTTGTAAACAGCATCATAAGCCGCCTTCGGCTTGTACTGGGCGTCAAACATCAACGGGTTGTTGCTTGCTCTCCATGAGTCGGGGTCACGAACACCCCACGAGGTGATACCAACACACTTCTTCTGTTGTACACAGGCTTTGGCGACCTGAACATCGAGTCAGCTTGCTACACAGTATCATACAAAGAGGGGAACATACATTGACATAATCAGTCGAAGAAGCTCCTACGATATCGAGCTCAGTGACCGCAACCTCGGACACACCGCTATTCGCAAGGGTAGTGAGAGCAGCAGCAAAGCCTGCACCTTGACCAGATTGAAGATGAGCTTGCGATCCTGCATATCATCAGTACATTTCCCGAAGAACAAAGAAGAATTTTCACATACCAATGCCATCAATAGGAATCCCCTGTCCCAGCCACTTCTTAACCAAATTCGCCATCCCAGTAGTCTTAGCATAACTCCCCTGATCCAAATTATAATCATTGATATACAATTTGGCATCCGGATCGGTCGCTCTGGCGGTCTCAAATGCGACTTTAATGAACTTCTCACCCATCTTGGACATGAAGGGTTTGCTGGTGTCGAGTTGACCTTGTTCGTTTAAAACTTCGTTGACAACATCCCAGTGCATGATCTTGCCTTTCCATTTGGTCATGAGAGTAATGATGTGGTTTTTGAGCGCGGCTTCGATGGCGGAGGATGAGAGGGAGGAGACCCAGCCGGGGAGCTGAGAGTGCCAGCAAAGGGTGTGACCACGGATTGTCTTGTTGTTGGCGATGGCCCATTCGACTAGGTAGTTACCTCCGTCGAGAGAGAAGGTATTGGATGATTCTGAGACAATATTGTTAGTAAAAACACGGAGCTTCCAACAAAACGTAGATTTACTTTCGGTAGCATCCCTGTCACTAGAGTTAGTATCTCATACTTCACTTTGTTCGACTTGAGGTCAATCCAACGCTCAAGAACAGAGAAAGCACTAACCACTTCATGGAGTTCTCCGGTGTAACCTGTCCAAAATTGGCCTGAATAATTTTCGCATTACTCCCGGCAGTCAAACGATTCTGATCCGTCGCAGTTCCCCAGTACTTCCCCTTTGCCTTCATCGCAGCATCCAAACTATTAGCAGACTGTCTCTCCATAACTTCCACCACTGGAGAAGCCATGACTGCTAGAGGAGCAGCCATGAGGCCGAGAATGAGTGCTGAATACCGCATTTTGAGAGGATAAAACTAGAAAATGCAGGAAATTGGAAATATTTACTGGAAAGAACCTCTCGGAATGGAATATGAGGGGATTAAATATCCTCCATCGAAGCTCATAATATACGAAAATAAGAGATGGGTCCTGATTGGCATCGCATCAAGACGGAAAATCTGCGCACCGGCTACAAAGAAACTCAGATCACTTTTTCTTGGACCGTCATCACTTGACTTGATTCTTTATATGGAAGAAGAAGATTTTCCCATAACACTATGGATATGTGTTGGCGCAAGACCCAAGACCTGTCATGGAGTCGTGGGGCTCAGGAACCAAGTTTCTTAGCCAATGTGGGACTGCAGCCACAGCTATAAGAGGCGACACTTATGCTGGAGGAAGTTTGTGCGATCGTTTGTTCAGTTTGATCAGTTCAGCTTGGGTATTGGAAATTAGAAGATGAGCGGGTTGGATAATGGGAAAGTGGAAATAATACGATGACTTCTCCAAAGCGATCGGTCTACTGACCTTGCGAGGGACGGAGTCTTACTCGCTTAGTGAGAAGAGCCTACCACGTTGCGGCTTTTTGGAATTTTTATCTAAATGGCTTGTACTGCCTCACTAGGCCACTGCGCAAATGCAGTATTAAAGTCCATCGAAACCATCTGCAAATTCTCGCCATTTCACAAAGTTCGTCAGGGAACTCCATCCTACTCATCCCAGCTCGTCCCTTCCAGCAGCCCTCCAAAGTCAATTGCCCAAGTCTCAAGAGCGACCCCCAAAACAAATCACAATTCACTGTCCTACGGTTGAATCCATCTACCTCGCATGTGTAACTTACCCCGGATTTCGGCAGTCAAAATTTGCGGGGGAGAGTCCACGTCGTGCAACTTCAGGCTAATTCATCTATTAGCGCATATGGTTCTTGAGATTTTGAACTATGATACGGTAAGGGTATCGTGAATTATGACTTCAAGACGTGAGCCACGTCTCTCAAGAGTCAAATGAAAGGCAAATTGTCTTGGACGAAATAGCGATGAGGCTGTTGACAACCACACAGACGAAATCCAAATCCCCCAAAAAGCTCACCTCATCAACCCCAAAATCCGAGCGAACGCACACGAAGACGTCCTACCCACGTGTTCTCCACGTCCGCCAATTCCAGAATTTTCCAGATTGAAATTCGTCATTTCCATACCAAACTCATCTACTAATCTTGGCGTACTGTACCAGGATAAAACAAAACAATAGACCGGACCCGACTTCACCTCAATTAGGCAGTCATCGTTTTGGATAGCTGTTGCTCTTATTAACGACTGGAGCGCATTGTAAATAACTGAAACTTCAGAATGAGTGATATTCACCTCATCGGATCTCTCTATTATTCCATGACATCCCAGTAAACTGTTCTATCAGTTGCCACTCCAAAGAAAAGATGGACTTTTAGACTCATCCGAAGAACTCACCCTAGAGAGGGCATTCACGACACCCTGCAAGAAATGCCTTTCCTCTGGCGTAACAATATAACCAAATTTCAATTAATCGCTAGCCAACTGTCATCAAACGCTTCTAGAACAAACAATCGTTAAAACACAAACGCTATTCAGGCCCTCCCCACCCTTTCAATTTTCCACACTCCTTTCCACATTCACACTTGAATACAAATTCCTCCAGCTTCTCAAGTTCCCTAAGTCCCTCATGCACGTACATGAGACCTTTTAACATCTTTAGACCTCCACAGTTCATTTGTGTCCTCAGATTCTCCAGAGCCTGCTCTTGTTCTTCCAGTTTTTTCTGCTGAGCTTTGATCGTCCCGTTCATAATTACCATAGCGTTATAAAAGATACTATTATCGTCGTCAAGATATTGTTCCATCTCCGCCAGCGTCTGTTCATGCTCCGGTATGCTAGATCTTGCGGCTTTGCTGCTTGATACGGCCTCTGTAGCGTTCTTAGTATCTTGACTTGAAGTAGGCTTTGGAGGATCTTTATTGCTGTTCTTGCCATTCTCCTTCGCCGACGTCTTTTCATGCTTCGGTGTAATAGAACTTGCGGCTTTGCTACTTGATACGGCCTCTGTAGCGTTCTTGGTATCTTGACTTGGGGTAGGCATTGGAGGAACTTTGCTGCGGTTCTTGCCTTTCTTCTTCGCCAACATCTTTTCATGCTTCGGTGTGATAGAACTTGCGGCTTTGGAGTTTGATGGGACCTCCACAGAGTTCTTGGTGTCTTGAACTGAGGTGGGCTTCGGGGGATCATTTTTGCTATCCTTTTTCGTCTTAAGTTCTTCCTCAGTTACTGATCTCATCTGTCCAAATGAAACACTTTTTTTCTGACATTCCTTTCTTTCATTATTCGGAGAGGTGGTGCTCAGTTGAGTGACATCAAATTCAGGAAATAAAGGCTCGGGTAATGGAGGGTATTTCGATGGATGTTGAGAGTTCTAGATGAATCAAGAGGTGAGTTAAGAATGCCATAAGACAGTGGTTTAAAATTGATGAGTTTGCTTACGGATAATACTTCACTTGTAATCGGGACTCGATGTAATGATTGCCAAGCATTTTTTGAGTTGTCCTCCAAATCTTTGAACGCGGATGACTCCTCCTGTTGTTCAAATTATTCAGTGATCTTGAGAAAATTGTCAAGCAAAACATGAAAAGGATGCGTACAATCTTTCTAAGTTTTTCCCCAAGATTTCCAGGGCCGGCTGCCCTTTGAGTTGCAATAGAGATATCCGTTCTTTCTGACTCATCCCTTGGGCTGGCCGTTGATGGATTCTTGCCATGTAAAAATTCCCGTACTGAATCATTCAATCTCTCCTTCATATCTGGCATAGCAAACGTGACTGCGCGGTGAGAAACCCCGATGTCATCCCAATCTGTATCATCAGATTCAAGTTTCGCATTACTGTTATTTATTGAGCTTGCTTCGCACATTGTTCTTTCGATGCTCTGATCTTGACGTCCATCTTTTCCCGTCTGATATCTTTCGCTTGCCAAAACAGAGGCCGCCCACCCAGCATCCAAACTCTTTTGTTTGCTTTCTTGATCGCCTTGAACTCGAGATTGCTTGGAAAAACTTTGTCCCATCTTCGAGGATTACCTTGGATGTAAGAATGAATGGGATCTGCAAGACGTCAGTTTCAAGGCTCCTAATTTTGGACTTTTGTGTTTTCCTACATGGGATCGATTTTCGAACTAGATAAAAGGTGGCTAGCTTGAATGATCCAAGAAGTGAGTTCATAGAGAGTGAAGATATTAATGATATAGCGATCGGAGCTCAGTGATTGTAAAAGAGTGTTTTCTATGATACAAGGATAAGGATGAAGCGTGTCCACGACGAGCAAAGCAGGAAAGGTTTCCGCATCACAAGCTAAGTGGCAGTTTAAGCGACAGGCGCATCTTTGAACGAAACCACATTTCAACTCTCAGGTCGTTACTGCCTTCTAAGAAGCAGTGGCGACCATTATACTGGGTCACGTTTTGATCACATGCGTGACATAGTGAACAGTGAAAGTGCAAATTTAGAAGTGTTTGAACCCTTGGAATAGGAAATTATTGAGTTATTGAGCGACTGACGATACTGTAACTATATATGTATCATTTGAGAGAGTTATCACGGGACTCATTTTGGATTTGCGGTAACCACCACCAGTGTGTTGCAAGTCTGTCGGGACATCTCCTTACAGTAGAATAAAGAAAGCTATATTTGCTTGACTCTTTTGAGTAAAGAAAAATTGCAGTCTCCATTGTGATTGCTAAATAATTCCAATAAGGATGGAGTGTTTAAAAGCACTTTTCTTGCATTATCGTACTTGGAGGGTGTCCTGTCAGTCTCACACCGCACCGGTGTACTGAAAAAAATGTCTTCCAATCTCAAGCAACTTTGACAAAGGGCCTAACGAGGTAATATTAGTTTGCAATACAAGGCAGAACATATTGGACCTTTGCCTTTGTGGGCTGGTAGTCAAGTATGAAATAATCTGGCATGAATATCCCAAAAGAGACGGAAGTGAGATGAAATGGCTCTTTAGTTCTTCAAATCTTGTTGAGATATTATGTAGATTTCAAGCTTTTGCCTTGATACAAGAGACCAAGATAAGAAGTGATACAAACACTGAAGGTGGTTGATAGCGCATTTGAAACCAGGTAAAATCCTAGCGCCAAATCGCTGCATCAAACTGCGCATAATTCAAACGCTTACGAATGGAGTGAATGCCATTGCATGAAGGCCAAACCAACATCCTCAGCCTCGATGCTGGACAAATGTTGTATAATGGGACAGCCTCTACCACTTGTGTGACGTGTTGAAACTCGAAAGGGTCATTGAGGTATGACAAGAGCGACCAACAAAACCAACAGAAAAATAAGAGAATAATGAACAATCATTCCTATTCAAAAGCACGAACAGTGACAGAAATCATTAAAGATCAACTAACCTCGCCTATAACCTAACAATTACCATCTCGAGCCATCTCGATATTTCAAGGCCGAGATAGGCTATTATCACGTACGGCACAAACAACGAACCAACATCAAAATCTCACCTGTGAAACCCGCACGAGTCGGGTCTATCTGGACGAACCCACCTGTCAGCCCAACAACAGCCAGCGCATTTTTCCAACTCGTCGTCCAACTCACTTATGAAAATCATTGACCGTAGCTTGGTCGACCCAATGAAGATATTGGTGGATGAAGTCAATCACGATCACCTGATCAGACTCCAACAACTTGGCACTTTTCAGCTACTGACTACTTTAGGAATAGCTTCGTGGTGAAACAGCAGACGATGCAGATCCTCCTGTTGCAGCTTTGAACTTTAGTACGACCCCAAATCTCCCCATCCCCACGAACCACAATTCATGTCATCTCGAGATATGCTTTCACAGCGCGACGAAGCCGTGGAGCATGTTGATCTTGAGAGAGCTGACGAGTTTGCAGCAGCAAGTGAATAGTTGATTACGTGTACGGGTATGAATAATGAGGCTTTTACCTTTTCGGATCTGATTTAAAAATACATCAGGTACCAAAGTACACATGTCTAACCTCTTCGAGTGAGGCGTGGTTGTCGGAATCGGCGAGCCATCGGGTTGAAACTTGGCAGGCGGATTCATAGGGAGGAGGTGGTGATTGGTTCGTCTGGGTGAGTTTGTCTGCGATTGATGAAAAGGGGTAGCGAGGAGGGCAGCTCGTGAACTGAATATCATGTTTGAGATGATCATTTAGAGTTGTTATTGAATTGTTCAAGAAATAAACATGTAGTTCTCAAAGTCTAAATATCTGGGGGATCTCAAACTCCCTAACGTTAACCGCTTCCTGAGTTCCAGATGTTCTCGCTGTCAGTGCAGCACCAACAATCCTTCCCTCTGAAGTATATCTCCAATTCGCCGGCTAAGCAAACATACAAACACTTCACGATGCGACCAAGCGGCGCTTTTCAAAAACTATGCGGCCGCTCCAACATGGAATAAACCCAATTCGCGTGTGCAATTCACGAAGTCAACAACCATAGCCACTCCCAACCCATGCGAATCTCGCTTCTTTGCAAGTGCTGACTGCGCCCCAAGCTTTCTCTCGTACAGACCCTTGAATCAGAGCCCCTGCGCCACGGCACGACAACCAGAAGGAAATCCATCCTCCATCCTCCATACATAAACACGAATCTCTGCCATCGAGACCAATCTTTTCTTCCTTCCGACTACTCGTATTGCTTTTCCTCCACATCAACGAAAACATCGTCGTCGTCGTCGACCACCGACTATCGTTAATCCGCACATCTCTCAGCCTCATCTGCTTGATTGATCACCCTCATTCGAGTTCTCGAACCTCACTTCCGACCTCTTTACGAAAGACACGTCGTCTCGCGATCAACAACCGCAAATATGGGCGCAGGAAGATTCGCGTGCGTGGCATTGCCATTCGCACTCATGGTCTGCAGTATCATCTGTATCTTCATCGCCATGTTGTCAGGCATCGCCAACAAGAACCTCTACATGTTCGAGCTCGAAGCCAAAAATCTCTCCATTTCCACCTCAAACATCCTCGGAGTCGACCTCACAGACGGTGTGCAGAATGGATTGGGACAAATTAACGATGCGTTATCGCCAAACAGACACAACTTCAGTGCTTCAGAGCTTGGATTGTCGGATTACTACAAGGTCAACCTCTGGAATTACTGCTCGTATAACGCGACCAAGAAGAACGAGCAGACTTGCACCAAGGGCAAATTCGACTGGGCGTCGTCTTCCATCGATCTTACACACATCAAGCAAGTCGTACAACAAGTCTCCAACTCGAACAATGCTACGGTTCCCGAGCCACTGAACGGTTCCCTCAAAACCTTCAAGCAAGTCCATAAATGGACCCAAGTCGTTTACGTTATCGCCATCATCTCCTCCTTCCTCACCCTCTTCCTCGGCATCGCAGCCATCTTCTCCAAGGTCGCAAGTTGCATCACGTACATCATCTCCGGAGTAGCCACCACCTCCCTCATGATCGCGTCCTCCATGGCTACAGCCGAATCCGCCATTGTAATCGGCTCCGTCAAGACCGTCAAGGATGAATATCACGTCAATGGCCACATCAACACCTCTTGGCTCGCCGTAACATGGATTGCCGTCGCCTTCTCCATCGGTGCCGGTATCTTCTGGCTCGCATCCATCTGCTGCTGCTCCACCAGCTCCGGCCACAGCTCCCGCAGAAGCCGTCACGGTGACCAAGAGAAGTTGATCCCAACTGGCTCTTACCAACGTGTTGACGACCCTCATCACTTCAACGCTGGCGTCGGTGGTGGTGCTTTCAGCCAAGGTACCGCCGCTGTCCCTATGCAACCCATGAACCGCGGAAACGGGGCTTATGAACCTTATTCTCATCAAGCTATCTAAAATCGTCACGTATTCAAAAAATAGATGTACGGAATTGGTTGGAAAGATGTCTATGACTTGAGGGTTTGCTATTTAGCGTGCATTTTGCAACGGCGTTGGGTAGGACTGATCTTGGAAATTGAATTGATGGATAGATGGGGATATGATAGGATTTGGACTGTATGTGTAGAGGGAGGAAATACTTTGTTATTTGGAAAAGGCTTGCGGTAGTTGAATAATACCCTTTCTTGCACATCTATCTTTCTAGCATGGTGTTGACGTGATTTCGTAGCCAACACGCTACCTGGCTTGCTCCCAAGTGCGCACCCTAAGAAAGGAGAGAGTCGACCTCTCCTCATCCGACGTCAAAGGCATCAAAATCTGAGAGCCACGCTCTACATCTAACACACCACAAATCAGCTAGACGTAGCAGGAGCCGCTGTACCAGCAGCACTCGCTAGATCCGTCAACTCCTCAAAAGACGGATACGTCGACTTCCCATCCCTAATATTAACCACCGCCCCATCAACAACATACTGCTCGACCCAGCCCAGCGACACAACCGTATGCGTACGATTCACATACGGCTCCTCCTCCTGCTGCAGCTTCTGGAACTCTGGATCATTCGTGATCTTCGCCAGGTCGGCGAAGGTGCTGAAGTAGAATTCGACCGTCATGTCGTGGTCGTCGACCACCCAGCCGCGGTTGCGACGGGCGTTCATTTCTTCGAGGGTCTTGCGGTAGGGGAGGGGTGTGAAGGACTGGGTCGGTGTTAGTTGAGGAAGGGAAATGGGGGGGAAAGGAGTACTTGGACGTAGGACTTTATGCCGTGGGTTGCGTGCATGGGAGCGGCTTTGATGGCGTGGTTGTTGCGGGCGAAGTCGTGACCGGCTTCACTTGTGATGTTTGGGTTTCGGTAGAGGGATATGGAGAGGCGGAGGAGACGTGGGGTGGTTTCTGTTGTGCTTGTAGACATGATTGTTCTCTTGTGAAAGGCTGGGCAATAGTTTGTATGCTGTTATTGGACTTCTGATTTCTTTTCAGGTGTTAGATGATGAGTTGCGGAACTTGGATCTTGAATTAATATTGCAGGAGCGACAATGGCTTTATATATATACACAGTTCAAGTATTTGACATCTACTATTATAACTAACATAGCTTTCACCAATGAATTACGAACACTGATACGCTGAACAAGATGCCGAGGTTGATTGTTTAGATTCCAGCATTTCAATATAAGGAACGCAACATTATTGGCTAACTCATTGTTCGAACCGGAGAGCGATTACACCGTGTTCAAGAAACGATACTTCTTCATGTAAGCCTGTCCTGTACACAAATTCCGGGGTTTGGAATATCGGGACTAAGACGGAATTAAGCTTTAACACCATTTCGACAGAGTGTATAACGTATAAGAATGGAAACCATAAATTTTTGACGGTATTCGACAGTAATTGGTCCAATCCCAAAGCCGATTTTTGTAGTACTACTCTGCGCGCTATAATCGGCCGACATAAAAGCATGTTAACGGCGCAGAAATACCAGAGAACCGCCATTAAGTCCGCTCCTATTGTATCTACTATCTAGCGTAGCGAAATCAGGTCAGACACAAGAAAGTACCGAGGTTGTTTGGTTGATCGGAAAGCTGTTTTGAACTTATTATCTACGGTAGACCAGTGTGTTGGACATCGTACGGAGTTCTTCCGGGTATAATTGATATCGACGTTCGACCAACAAGGTTCCACGCTCTTTCCCTGACACAATTCATCTTATGGAAAATTTATTCAAACACAGAACAATTATCTTTACTCAGGAGAATTGAGTAAATATAGCTTTTGTTCAGGATATATCATCCATTTAGTAGGAGGTTGTGTACTACCAATTTTGCAACATAGTGGTAGTAGCAACTCAGAAACAGCTTCTCTTTACCAGGACATACTGCATCATAAAACCAAGTGTTGACTTCAACATGACCGTGCCACAAGCTCCGGAAGCAGTACCAACAGCTCTGAAGACGGAGATAACATCTATCTCTGGACAAGCTCATGAATTCCGAGTACAACAACAAGATACCAGACTGGTAGAGCCAAAAGAATCTCCCAAGGCATCTGAGCAATCAACTGCACTGAATTAGCGACTCTGGTTGACATTCCTGCCTTTTGTATCAGCACCCTACTTGCAGCTCTCGAGTCCACCGTCACTTCAACAGCTCTACCAACTATGGTAAATGATCTGAATACAGGCGACAACTATGTGTGGATGTTGAACGTATATCTCTTGACCAGGTAAGGAGTTTTGATTGTCCTTGTTCTGGCAATCAATCACTGATACACGTTTGATGATGCTTTCTTGCCTATATATGGACAATTCGCCATGGTATTTGGTCGAAGATGGCCAGCCATGATAGCTACTGCTTCCAATTGACAGAGTGGTTGCGGTCAAAGTATTTACAGACGAAAATAAAACAGGATTCATTTTCAGTCAGCACGACAATAGAAACGTGTAGTCGTGTGGATGAAAGTGGAAGCACAAATATTATAACTGTTGGTCCTGTTGGTTTTCTGGCATCGATATCTCGGTTACACGTCACCGAGTGACTCAGAAATAACCTCCGATTGTTAGAACAATAACTCGATCATCGCGATATTTAAACCTGTTAAATTGACTGCCTTAGACTGTTCTCTTCCAAGGAAGTATATTTGTAACATCTGTAATATTTGTGATTGTTCAATGGCAGTCTGCGTCTCTATCAGTTAGAGATAAGGGGAGAAGCGCTTGCGCCTGAAGTGTGCATATCAAGTATCGTAGTTAGATTTAATTAGAAATTGGTAAGCTCTTGTACTCAGGATTGCTCTTAGTTTCTGAGTGACCTAACGTCTACTAGAAAAATAAAGGTGAGTGACGAGTAGGTGTTACCCTCGGTTAACGAAGAAAGAATGGAAGATTTATACTCATCTGAGTATCATTATGATTATGAAGAAGAATACTTCAGTCCCCTCCACGTCGCTATATCCTCAGGTCAAATCAATGAGATCGAGGCAATCATTTCCTCCATCCCAGAATCCGACCGCAGCGCAGCAATCAACGCTCGTAACATTGAGAATTACACACCTCTCCAAACCGCCATGCTATCAGGAGATCTCGCCGCTGTGCAACTGCTCCTCAGGCACGGCGCCGATCCTACACTCTTAGCTCCAAACGACTATGGGGATCTAGATGAGAAATTTGACTCTTCGTGTCTCGCCGCCATGCTTGGGAACGTCTCAATTTTGAGACTTGTGCTAGATACGCAAGAGTCAATAGGTGCCGAAACATTATATCAAGCTTCTGAATGTGGACGTTTGGATTGCGTGGAAGAGATCCTGCAGCGCGTACCCAAGAATTGTAAATTCGCAGATGGTGTGACAAGAATGGCGGCAATTGAAAAGGCTTTGCGACCTGCGGTTGTGGAGTGGAGAGTCGATATTCTGAAACATTTACTGGACGCATCAGAGTTCAGTGACACCAAAAAGCTCTCTGAATTACTATTACTAGTTCCTTACTCCGACAATAGTGACCAGTATCACATCCCCAACCATCTTGAAAAATATACCCCGGAAGCAAAACTCTTACAAATTCAGATTTACAAAACTCTGATCGACGCCGATGCCAGAGTTGACGGCGTTTATCATGAAGAAGACTCCCCATGGCCCGGAGAAAGGAGCATACTACATATGATATTTTCAGAACGGGATCCCCCTATGGAAGTCTGGGAATTATTACTTGAACACGGAGCAGATATCCATGCGTTGAATAGCCGTGGTCAAACACCGCTGTTTCCTGCCCTCGACCGTGATAATCTAGAGTTTGTATCCAGACTCGTTACTTTAGGCGCTGCTATAGACATTACCGACAACGAAGGAAACACACCATTACACTACTCGGTACGCAATCCAACACCATGTGGCCAGGCTACAACAATTTTACTATACTCTCAAGGTGCAAAACTCGATACTCAAAATCGGGATGGGAATGCGCCATTACACTTTCTGGCGCGGTACTATAGTGCTGCTTATCTACCCTTCTTACAAGATCTCATGCCTCGTCCGGAAGTCTTCTCACTCAGAAATGCAGCGGGAGAAACGCCTTTTCAAATAGCAGCACAGGCTGGGTATAATATCTACATCATGGCCCTTTTATACTTGTTGACTCGCCCTCAAGATCGCGAAAAGGAACTCAGCACAGAACAATTACGTCTAGGCGCGGAGCTTCTGCCGAACACCCTATGTTCACAAATTCTTACCATCCTCCGATATCTCACCAATCATGGCGCACATCTCACTATTCCTATCACCGAAGATATGGTGTTCCAGCATCGAGTTGTTGATTGTTACTCGACTTCAACAGCATTTACAGGGGGCTTGGAACTTGATAGTTTCACGATTCGAGGTCGGGACTTCCATTTGCTCATTGGTAAAAGCGTTTCGGAGACCATAGTTGCCCTGCAGAATTGGAGTCGCGATGATAATCGAATCTTAATATTACGTGCGCCAGCCGGAAAGTACCCGGATAGTTTCGATCATGACAACCTTTTGCTGCTGTTTTACGAAGATGTTGTGACAACTGGGGTAGGGTTCATAACGAAGATGGAAGCGAGTAAGTGGGAGGTGGTGGAGAATGGACAGATGTTACTAGAGTTTAGGAAGAAGGTGGAAGAGGAAACGCTGGGGGGCTTGAGCTATGAAGAATCTTCTGAGCCTAGAATTGCTGATTGGTAGGGAGGTATAGGATAGGAAGGAGATTATGTAGTGTCAGGGTTCTTTTATACTATTTTTATAACGAAAAGTATAGATGAATAGAACAAGTATTATCATCTATCATGAATGTTTCAAAACAACCCAGTAAGCTGAAAAAAGAGAACATACGATGGCAATCGTGTGAAAACTCCGTGTGAAGGCTCTGTAGTTTTGTTGCTGATTGATTCGAGGCAGAAAGGAAAATTTATATTCTGACTAATAACTCCACTGGTGAACATTGGCTACCTGTGTATGCCAACCCTTCTGAAAGAGCTAAGAGAGCCTAATCCGGCGGCAGCTATCAGTGGAAAAAACGAGTCGCGGTCGAAACACGACATTAATTCAGCCAGATGGACACATTATTCTACATTTTATATATTGTTTTCAGTACACTAAATACCTGCACACTCTTTTGAGTGTTGGTTATAGTAGAAAGTGGCAGGTATGCTATATCGTAATTTAATCAAGCTAATAGCAATCGAAGCTCATGCCACTTGACTTGTACGCTGTAACCGTAGGTATCTCCTGTTTTCGAAACATGAACTCTGAGCCTCTGTCATGGGCCCTCAGCATAGTCTAAGGAATCCATGCGATATTGGAGTAATTTGACGAATTCAAACGACCGCTTAGCATCAGCATATCCTTCGCATGGATATATACGGCTGACCAATATGGCCGGGATTAGTCTGTGCTGTTTTGTATGGAAAAAACCTCCTCACCTAACAGCATAGTCTTGTGCTATGCCGTTAATTAAAGATTAGGTCCAAGGTGAAGAAACGCTCTAACGCGGCCGGTACCTCTTCACTAATTCGTCTGTATTGATATGCGCATCAAAAAGAAACTCAGATTCCGGCCTCCCTTCAAAAGCAGCGCAAATGGAACCCCGCCGAAATGTTACTTCTCGACGGTTGTATCCAGTACCCATGCGGTTCTTCAATTTTTCTTCCTTTGGATCGCAACCGTCTCCTAGGTCTAACCATCGTGTAATGAATATCGCGTTGACAGCACTTCCAAAACTCTTGAAGTCTACTCGGAACTCGGTATGACAATGGTTACAGCTAATTATTCCTTCATTGTTCTGATGAGTTGCAACCCTGTCCGAACGGGGAATGGAGACGCCGGCCTTGTAAAAGTTCTTGTAATCGCTGAAGTCGTGGTGACAGCACATTCGAAAGATTCCGCCCGAGATGTACCTTGCAACAGGATATGGCTTAGAAGCTGGAAGCAAGAGAACGACTTGATCACGGAAGAGAAGTACACCATCTCGGATCTTCGTCTTTGCGTTTAGCTGTCCAGAATAGCCGTGAGTGTTCAGAAGTTTACTCTCGCACGAGAGACGGCTGAGAAAATTTGTAGCATCGCGGCCCTGCCTATGCGCCTTCATAGACATCCGAAATATTGTTTCTGAAAATTCCGTTCAGATTTCGTTTTTAACATCCCATTCTCGGGCTCCATTCCAGCATTGTAGCCTTTCATTGCCTGGAATATGAGGAGATTCGAGATCGTGCGGCCCAAGGAATGGTGGATATGCATCACAAGATATTGAGTCGATTTTGACGCATTTTTGGCAGTATAGGTGTGTGGAAGAGTCTCTGTCTACCAGTGGAAGGAATTTGCGTAGCACTTCGATGTCTGCCTTCTTCGTTGGTTGGAAATAATGCTCCTCAAGAGATGAGTATAGAGTGCGACATGTAAGACCGAGGCTCATGACGTATTCATCAGGGAGGTAACTTGTGATGAGAAAAAAGAGCTCGTTTGGAATCTTCAGAAATGGTGGTAATGGCTGTAAGTGGCCTGATGGCTGTAACAAGTCGTCCATAGGAAGAGGTGGGTCCGACGTGGGCATATTTGTTTTGACACGAGACCCTTTCAAGCGATTGAGAATACACTGTTCAATAAATTGTTTGAGCCCCATATTGTGGGTTAAAGTGAATCAAGATCAATTGAGATGTGCCTGAAAGATAATTTTGTTAGACGAGAGAGAAGGGAAGATGGATACATGTTCAAGAAACCCCATTATTATAAAGAATTCCGATCTGAGTCTTGGCGTAGGTAATTCAGTAGTCCTTTGGTCAGATGATAACCTAACAAACTACTTAACGGGTTAGGTGAGTTAGTGATTTAGGGTTGTCAACTGACTTTAAAAGTATTGCGCCAGGAAGAGACGATACGTATCGGGCCCAAATTACGATGCGGGGCCAATATCGGAGCTCGGTGCCCAACCGGATCAACCGGGATTACACGGAACAGAACATCCCTAAATTCCCGAATTTCAGCTGTATTCTTACCTCCATCCATCAATAACAAATTTATGTGAACACGAGCAGATGTACGCCTTCGCTTTCCCGTTCGCCTCTTTGTATTTGAATGCCTAAATTGGAACTTACTTACATTCGATTGCCACAATTCCCCAATCTCCGTACGCTTATGTGATCGAAAGACGGATAAACGTAAACTCATAATCATATCATCTTCGCGACTCTGTCAAATTCATTACGCTACCCGAACCTTGTCAACTCTCAATCTCACATCACATGAACCTCAAACCCGACCCAACCTGCTTAAAAGTTCAGCAAAGATGTCACAAATACCCAAATTCTACCGCATCTTCTTCCTCTACATCGACCCCCTAATCTGCCTCTCAGGAATCTACATATTCTTCTTCGACCACGCACTCTACATCTCCAACGGCACACCCACCGCCATCTCCAGCTTCTCATCCACCGCTCTCACCCCATTCACCGATTACCTTCTCACTGCACTTGGCGCCTACTCCCTCTTCGTCTTTTGCATGCAAGTCCTCCTGCTTCACGGCTTCAAGAACGCGGCAAACGGAGTGAACGTGAGGATTTGGAGGATCGTCCAGTTTGGGATTTTGTTGATTGATTTTGGACTTGTGTATGCGGTTTGGAGGGCTGATGAGAGGGGGTTTTGGGATTTGAAGGGGTGGGATGAGGGGGAGTGGACGAATAATGGGATTTTAGGGGGGGTTATTGTTGTGAGGAGTGCGTTTCTGCTTGGGGTTGGGGGTGTGGGGAGGGTTGACTCCTGAAAAATGTGAGGTGGAATGTTTTGTTTTCCTTCACTTGATCCGACACTTTGCTTCTGCCTCATTTCTGTTGTTGTGTATCTCAGTTTCTTCTTGGTAATTGAGACAATTTATGAGGGATTCATCCCATGTCGTTTGGCCCCATGTCAGCAATGCTTAGCCATGTCACCATTTTAGGCGTGGAATCAGCTCAAGCCTATATGAGTCTCACGAAAACAGTATTTTGAGCTGCAAATTGTTCCATTGGAGTTAAAAATTCTACACCAGTCTTATTATGTTCAATGGACTTCCCTCCGACTTATCCTCACCCTGACATCGCTCACAGGCTGCATAGTACCCGTGCCCGGACGCATAGGAGGAATAACCCATTCTTTTCCAACAGGAGATATATCCCACAGACTAATGACCGCCGCACCAATAGCGATGATCTCCTTCTCCGCAAACGTTCTCCCTTTACAAATCCCCGCACCACCGCCCCAGGGTCGTAACTTTCCATAGCGAGCAGTCCTGGCTCCATTCTCATCTATCTCCAGAAATCGATCAGGCACGAACTTGTGAGGCTCCGGGTAGTTTGCAGCGTCCTTGTTGGCAATCGCATGCGCGGCGGATATCCAAGTGCCTTCTTTCAGATTGTGGGTATACTGACCGTCCGACAAAGTGATTGGTTTCCGAACATACCGAATAGATGTCGGCTCATCCACCATTCTGAATGTTTCATAAACCGATCCTTTGAGTAAGGCACATCGCGTAATGCCTTGTAAGTCGAATGAGGTGATTTTTGAGTCGGTAACGGTGACGTGCGATGATATTTCCTTGCGAAGCTGTTCTACAAGACCAGGTGTGGAGTAGATAAATAGTAAGAACCAAAACACCATAGGCTGGGTATTGGCGTTTTGACCCCATAAATTTCCTAATTCCAACTGGCCACGATAATCCATTGTCAATCCATTCTCGTCGTACAATTTCACTCGTCCACGAATGACACTACTGATGTCCGACATATCAGTATCGTCGTCGACAGGCTCGCCTTTTAGGTATTGGTCGGCACGCCTGTAGACTCCTTCCAATGATTTATGCAGCCTCGAACGAGCAGCTACACCGTCTTTAATCATCTTGAATGGAACCCACTGCGGAATTCCAACCATCATTAATGGAAAAAGATCGTTATCAAAGATCCAGAGATCATCAAGTACTGTTTGCTCGCGCTCCAGGAAATGCCGACCATAGAGTTGAGGAATAGACATGCAAGCCCCAAAGTCGCGCACCAAATGAAGCATGTCCGCTTCGACGGTCTGGCTATCGATCAGTTTTACATTTGCAGATCTCTCCCATCGTGCCAGATTTTCTGGTTTGGAGGAGAAGGTAACGAGCGAAGCGGCATTGCCAGGAATATCGCAAGCTTCCACCGCCGCAGTGGCGTTGGCCTCATTCACGAACAGCCGTTCCGTAAGTGCATTCATGCGGTGAAGCACAGTATGGAGCGTTTCTTTCACATCGGCAGTACTATGCGCCCCAAAGACTTTGGTACTCAACGCCCAGTCACGAGGAAAGCCATCGAGGATGTGAGATCCTTGAGATAAGAACTTATCCAAAGATGGTAAGCCGTGAATGACCTGATGCTGAGAGGTCAACCCAAATAAAGAGCCACCGTATTTTCGAAGTGAGGAGCTGAACCGGAGTTAGCGAATGCTCGTTCAGTATTTTAGGGTATTTACTAGATGGACAGGCCCAGTCCACCGGAAGATATCAGGTAACTAGCGGCGCCAATCTCAAGAGGCAGCCATACGGGTAGGTGCTTTTCTTTCGTAGAACCGGGGAGAGAGTAATAAGAGATAGCAAGAAGAACGACGATAGCGATGATAGATGCTGCTTTGTTTTCTGTAAAGAGCGTGCCGTACTTGTTCAGCGCATCCGAGATATCCAATTGTGCCATGGTGTCGTGTTCGGTTGCTCACAACTCAGGTGTCATAACGCTGCGCAAATGAGAGATGATGCACAATTTGACAGATGAAAGAAGCTAAAGGTACGACCAGACGTAGTAAGTCTTGAGATGAAGTAAGATGGGATCTCACAGACATACGTAAATATATTTCGTCTCTACGCCGCTGCGCTCAGACCATGTCCAGCCCTGAAAGCTACGCCGCACCGAAAATACCGAACCAACAACACCTTAACAGCCAGGACAACTCAGACAACTCCGACAATTTTAACTTCGTTTATCCAACGACATTGATAAAATGGCATTTTGGAGCACCGGAGCCATAGCTGGTAATCATGCAAGATCCCTAGCCATGAACACCTGCATAACACTCTTGTTGAACCCCAACTTTGCCCCTTGTCGAAACTTCGCGAGGGAGGCCGAAATCGTGAATATACGAGGCCACCGATATCATTGGATAAATGCTAGGCTTAGTAATAACCTAACTCTGATACGAATTCGGTACTCGTAAAGAACACGGACATGTAGGTTTTCTGTTATTACATGCTTGAGAGTAAGAAGAGACTTCAGAAGTTGGTATGGCTGAAAACTTGTGGAAGAAATACCTGAAGCTAAGAATCAAGTTTGGAAGAGATATGAGAATTTTCTATGGCGAAAGTCCACTTAATTGTCAGAGGCACTGATCAACTATGAGTAGTGTGTTTGCTATTGTCTTTTCTTCTTTAGTTCTTGAAGCGTAAGGAGGCTGTCTTTAGTTGCGTTGTTACATGCTACATTGAAGCGGAAATGCATTATATCAAGTACTTTTAGGGTCAGATTGACAGATGAGCCCGTTTATGGCGAGAGTATGGCTTGTAGAGCAAGGTCACAAACGCAAAACATTATGCCTATTCAATAATTTAAAGCGTATTTTATTAAGTGCAGCTCGCTTTGGAATAGATCTATCACTTCTTTGGAGTGGAGTTCTTATTCTCGCTAATGCTCAACATGCGCACCAACCATATGATTTTCAATATGCTACACCAACTGTCACTAACTCACTGAAGGAATCTTTTCGCTCCGGTATTTGACACAGGTTTCGGTCTCTATTTAGTTAATAGACCATCATAGTTTCCTATTCAGTTCTTATTCATAGGTTTCATGTATGATCCCTCAAATGGTGGCATCTGCTGCTGGTGCTACGAAAAATGAACCACGCTCACAGCTAGGGATGCAACTATAATTTCTTTGGTCGTGGTAATTACAACATGAACCGAAGAGGCTTCTGACAACATTTCATGATAGAACACTGGGACCAAGAGGGAAGCAACTTCTCTGGATGCTCCACTTCTTCGTCACGTGGGGTCATTTGCGCACTCGTGACAGACCATTTTGGGCTAGCTTTGTTTCCACACATTTGGAGATCTCGTCCGGAAGAACTCCTTAACTTCTTGTGATATCTTCACAATGCTTGCATGTTGTTTGGGGGAGATTCCAACTAGCTTCCTTACAATTGCTTACTTCCTCTATTTTGTTCAGGATACCGCGATCGGGCAGAAAACGACCCGTCGTTGTCCGCATGCTGATTCAGTGTTTATTATTGCGGCGTGGGCGAAGTAACGAATAAGCCTATACGGCAACTCATGTCGTTGGCCTGACTGGGCCGCAACACCACTTCTGGATCTTTCTTATCAGGCGATGTTCATCCAAGAGCGACTGTTATGGATTGTTCAGTTGTTCAGGAATTTTGACAGAAATTCAGTGTTTCGCTGTGGAAATAATTTGTTCTTGCAGCACCAGTCATCGTTTCCTATTGTAGTTATTACTTTATTATTACACGTCGCTTAGCCTCACATCATTGTGGTCACCAAGTTGGGGGCAGGGCGGTGCAGTGTACGCCTACAACACCACCCATTTCTGTCACTTTCAGTGGGGTTTTTGCCCTTTGACTCGGAAGGAATCTACATTGTCGCACCACCTATGCAATCGCCCTTTCTTTGGCGTTCGCAGCTATCCATCATTGGCCATTACCAATTATGTGCCGTCTGATTTCTGGATCAATATCTGCACTCAGCTTCCTTACACGTTTTCAGACCCTTTAATAGAGGCTGGAGGTCCCGAAAAGATTTAGGCTTCTGATTTGTGCTGTGGTTTTGTTGTATTTGTACGTGTGTAAGCCGGCCTTTACATGGAGCTGGTGTATTCCAACTGCATAAGGCTGAGCTGAGTTTTTTCTTGAAACACTTATAATACTACAACAACGCTGATCATTCCTTAAAATAATCTGTTTCAAAAGAGCTTGGTTGTTGGTTATCAAATATTCCTATGTCACGTTTTTTAATATCGATTGGACAACTATGAGGGAACACCATGAAGCGACCCATGTCAACGAATCTATGGTGTTTGGCGTTTCTGTCACAGATTAGCAACTTTTGGGGAACATGTACAGGTAATTTATTGTTGTTCGACTGGAATTGCAGAAACATGCTTTGTCAAAGTGTTTGATCTAACGATTTGTAGTGGAAGCACAACAACATTTATTAATAGACGACCATCGAGGCTTGAACCCTCACGAGAAGTGGGAAACAGAGTCAAGTATCGGGAGATTCCGTCCGACCATAATCAAAACACACGTTGTCACCAAGAATACACTTTCGGGATCTACCTCTCCGACATTGTTTCCTGTCACAGTAACGACTCAGCCGGCGAACGATGTTGAAATAGCTTACTCCCCGTTATCATTCACTCCACCTATAAGCATCTCTCCGACGGCAACTCAAACAATATCACTCACTTCCATCCAATTCGTTCCTCAGATCTCCATTAACTACCCTCCTTCAACCCTCGTCACCAATCCCCATTTCAAACGCACCGTCTCTCTTACCCCCGTCAGCACGACTTTACCTGCGATTTCTATCCTCGGAACCACCGTTCCAGCTGGCGCAACTATAGCCATTACAGACTCAACTCTGACCACTACCTTCACCTTACCGTCTATTGTCTCTGTCGGCCTATCTACCGGTATCGTCGTGAACGGCGGGACCTTGATTGAAGGCGATGAAACTACGGTGTCGGGAACGACGTATAGTCTGCCTACTGGAGGGAAAAGTCCTGTTTTGGTGCCCACTGTGAGTACGACGGTGGATGCTCACGGTGCAACGGGCACGGTAGGACAGTTTGGAAGCGGAGGAATGAGGGACAGCCGAGTGGGCTGGGTGACTTGGATGGCTATTGCGTCGATTTGTTTTGTTCTAGGTGTTGTCTGAAAGGAGCAAATTGTGGTAACCAATTGAGCGGTGGGTATTGAAAACTGTACACAACAGAACACCCTTGAGAATAGGGAAGTATTAGCATGACAGTTCTGGTCATAAGCTCTGTACCAAGACGAGAAGTCCGGCCATGCTTAAATTCTAGAGTACTCAACGTATGTCCATGCGTTACGAAACGGGTTGTAACAGAAATTCGTGATCGAAACGCGAGCACCAAATCTGGCTCAAGAAACTCCACGGCTGCATGGTGTTAAAGCCGTCTTCATTCATAGTCCTAGAAATCAAAGTCCAAGATCCACCTCTCAACCCATACATCCTCTTATCCACCGGCCACCCACGTAATGCAACGAATGGTACAAACGTTCTTGCTAGTGAAGAAAACGACCCAGACATACGTTGTCCTTAGGGACTAGGAAATGGCAGATCTTATTCTAGACCTAGAATTCATTTAAAGATTTGTTTCGACCAGATGCAGAGTTGAAAGTATCGCTGAGGAGACATGTAGAGACACATATAAATTGACCAGGCCGGTCATGTGTATAGGTAGAAATGCCAATTTCTTTCAAACTTTTTGATTCCTATCTGTGTTCCAAGAAAATAATTCAAAAATCCATGTATAATATCCCAAATCAAAAAACATAACGCCAACGCTATTATACAAAAAGCAAATAAAAAGCAGATCAAAAGCAGTACACTGAGTCGAAGAGAGTGGGCCCAGCCCATCTCACAAAATGACTTTTCTTACACAGTAACAAGAACTCAGGGAAAACAGAGAATTCCAATCATAACTGAAAACAAATTTAACTTGCAAATATAGGTATTTGGCGATCATGCGAATTCGATCAAATTGTCAACAAATGTACCGCAGTTGTTCCCGGTAGCCTCATATGAATATTGAGGATTTTGGGCAACATATCTCTGAGCTATAACCCCCTGTCAACTCTGGTTATTCATAGCAAGGAGTGAATTACTTACCCTCGGTCTTTATTTGCGCTTTGGTTCTAGTCGTCGTTTTCACAAACACTACCCCTGGGCTATTAGCAGTTGTCGGCACTCGGAATGGGCGCTGTCGAAATTGAACTCCTGTTGTTGCTGCAGCTTTGACCATGTCGAAAACTTGTGCGTCGGCCGCAAGTGTGATTATGCGTTGTCCTCGTGTTGCCCTGGGTCCTGTTGTTCGAACCCTCTCTGATTGAGTAACGTGCACTGAGATGAAATAAATGTGGCTAAAGCCAAGCTGCTGGGATAATGCTAGAGCTCTTGCATTCGTCTCAGTTGTTTTGACAGGAATTCTCATTGTGAATATGTAGGTATGTTGGGGAAGAATATCATTTTTGATACCATGAAAGTACCGATAGGCAGCTGTATATTCATAAGCTGGAGCAAGAGCTGGAACTCGTGCTTCGAGCTCTAGATGGTTGACATTTTCTGCTGGTGCAGCGTAAGTACTGAGTGACAGAGCAAAAACGAGTGTTGAGAGTGTTGCAAGAAACTTCATGTTGATATGTTTGCTAGTAGAATGGGTAGATTCTGACGGTTTTGTTAGGGGTTATGAGCTTAAATAACTTTTTGTGGGCTGTTTGCGATATGAGAAAAGAATAGGATATGAATAGATGGGAAGGCAATGTTTTGATGGTTTATATCTGTTGGGACTAGAGCTCTCTTTATGTGTGAAATCTATAATAGATGTTCCTTCTCAGTGACAGAGATACCTGCAGGATCTGTATTGTAGAAGGATGTTTACTCAACCTCAATACGAAGGCTCGTTACGCCGTGGAGGAGAGTTGAAGGACATTTTCAACTAAACGGCCCCGTGGACAGGACAAGTTACATGTGTTTTACTCTTTTTACGTTGCTAGTAAGTAGGTTGCATTGAATGGAAGTCAGGTGTGTTACTTGCTGGCGGGTTTGGGCTTTCGGATCCCTAAACATTAATCGCAGAGACAGCCACGCTCTAAGCTGCCAAGGAGATTTCCAATCTTAGAATTTTTGACTGGTGCTGGGACGTGGGGGTAAAGACTATGGTCACTGCGCTCCAAGAAACAGTATTGACTCTTTGGAATGAATTTTGACCACATAGGTCGTAGACTCCATACGTGGAAATGGTACTGAGATTTGATTTGACATCAGATGGGAAGAATAAAAGTCTAAGCACATGAGGCTAAATATGTAGGAAGAATCCAATCTGTCAAGCGTGTACATGGGCGGGAGCAAAGGTAACCTTCAAAATCGGGAAATCTACTTGGGGTAGGGTTAACTCGTTTCGCAAAAAAGAAATAGACGAAAAAGCGAATAAAAATGAAGCTCCAAGCCACAAAACAAACACTAACACCAACCCCTCAATCAACTAACCACCCTCACTCGGCTAAATCCATCTTGAAGATTAAAATCACCACTTGCTCATACATCTGACACAAAATTGTCACGGATGTCGTGAAATCCTCCGTATATTGATGTTCAGCCTTCACATTCTCTTCCCTGAGTCCGTCTTCAACTATTCCGGTCAATCAAAAGTAATAACTGACATATAGAAACATTAGAGAATCCCAAGATTTGACATTTAGATCATCTCGTACTCACCTGCCCTGTGAGTTGTATATTATTAAGTTGTTCTTGTCAAGTTGCCACATTGTTCTCGCGAACGCCACGACAAGAACAGCATATTTAGAGCCCAACATCGTACCCTCTTGCTTATAAAACTAGAACAATTTTTCACTTCCTCATCAACACTGAATAATTAATTTTCCGTGTTCCGACGGACTACAGAATCAGTACATCGCTATCCCGAGACATCTGTTTCTTCTTTCTTCGCTTATCTACAGTAGTTTCTCGAAAAAGTCACGCACTATGGGCTTTGATCCTCGTATTCCGAAATGGGAAGAACTAGGCCTTCTAAGCCCGTCCTCGATCGCATCCAGGCTTCACAAGGAAATTATAGGAAGATGTCTAAAAGAAGATACGCGTCTGAGAAGCCAATTTCTCTTATACTCGGTTAAAAAGGGAAATACTCAATATTGGAACGAAAGTAGCCTCAAGAATTTCCTCACAGTAGACTCTATCGAGAACATCGCACATCATTCGAACGTAGTTTACTCCGTCATTTTCCTGCTCTTGAGATATCTGAGCGAATTCCCGTTTGGGACAAAATTAAATACCTCGGATCCTGGTTTGATCACGTCGGAGGAACTTTTGCGCGCAGTCTTCTGGCTACTACCCGGAAAGGCAGAGCGGGCCCTAGGAGCGGGATGTTTGGGAGCTGCCGTCAATGTGCGAGCTCGTAGCGCAGCAGATCAGAGAAGACTGCTATTCGAAGGTCTCGCAGATGTTGAAAGAGACTTTGCTTTCAACGAGGCGGAAGAAAAAAAGATCGCTTCCGAAAAGGCAAAAGAAGTCCACGAGTTTCGTGAGGACTTTACTCTGCCAAATTACGACGAGGAAGACGAAAGATATCACGATATTCTTGATGTTATCACGTACACGCAAGACGAAATGCAAGAGGAAAGAATAGGTCCTTGTGACAGAGATGATTGGCGTCACATTGTCTCAAAGTTAAACAAACCAACACCGCTAAGACGACTAGCCATTTCGCGAGACCGGTTGAAAGTACTCTTTGAATTTGGTCTTGTTTCACACCTGACATGTCTGGGAGAGATAGAAGCTGCCCAAATAGAACGCTCGGCAGAATCTCTGTTGAACACATTCTGCCAAAGTACAAGCCCTCACAGCGTTGTGACGTGGCAAAAGTTTGATGATGCTTTGACGAAGAAAGCAGCATCCATATTCACGTCACTGTATCGAGCGTTCGACAAGTTGTTCCACGAAACTGGGTCTTATGAAGCGAATTACGACTTTTTAGTCTATGATCAGCCTATGCTTTCGTGCGATGATCTTCTTTCTCCGGTCGTATTGAATCAACTGACATTTGTTCTTGCCACGACCCCGAGCTTTGACACAGCTCCCATACTCTACCAGACCAACGCGAGCCAGAGAGTCTCAGCGCTAGGAGCTATCACAAAACTCGAAGACTCTTTGAAGACAATCTCGCGAGACTACGACTTCCGAATGCTGCTTATTTCAGGACACAAGAAGCTTGAGAATGAGACTTTCATTTTCGGTGCCTTTGTGAAGGATTTGGCCGATTCGTTTACAGTCGTGGAGCTCGAAGATAAACGTCGTGAAAGGACTTTTCTGTTCCAAGTCAGTCCAACACACGATGTCTTTAGAAGTCAGGTTGGCAAGACGGCGTTCGCAGCGGACGATGGTCTCTCTTTTGGAACTTCGGGATCGGGGTTCTCTATGCGTCTAGAAAGCGACTTGAGCAAGCTGCATGTCTGCCATAAGCTTGCTGGTGACGGGGTATATCAGCCGACTACATGGAGAGGCGACTGGGAATTGGAGTTAGAAGTTGACAGGATTGAGCTACGGGGTGACTAGCATCATTGACTTTAGAGTATCCCTGTCACGCTGCATTGCGTCAATCTAATTGGATCACCATCTTATCTTGACTGCCACTTGCATTGTTCCCCATAAGATCGTGGAACAAAAACTTTCAATTCTCTAAACACAAGTTAATTCAGTCAGGAAAAGATCCTCACATGGAAGTGAGCGAATTGAGTACTGCTAACACGAAGCGAAACTAGTGAGTAGATCAAACAACTTTCCTCCTTCGAAAGATGCTATAGCACACGAGTAATTCGACATGATATTCAACTGACTCAAACATTAAAGAACAACATACCTCGTTTGACTCCCAACACACTTCATCGACCACTTCATCACAAACCAATGTGCCAACTAATTTCATCCAACTAACCCTTCTCAAATATCCAAAAATCACATCTCCATCACTCCATCACTCCTTCCCCACATCTCCACTGATTTAACCCACCGCCCAAACGTCTATTTCATCAGACAAACAAATTATTATCTTCACGGGATCAGAGAAAATGTGGAAGATGCATTTCTCTCCCAGAACACAGAAAAGGTTGCATGATTGAACTCATATTTTCCTAGTTTCAGAGCTTTGAAGTGAGTATTCAAAGCAGAGTATGATATGAACCCCCTACCCCCCACTCGTGGTTCCAGAGCGTAGTTTGTCACCGATTTTAAGTCTACCACCGAATATAGATTTTCAAAGGTGAAACGCCATTATGAGAAGTAACTTCTGTTTGATTTTGTCGGTAGGTTTGGTGTTAGATTGAGCTGTTAGAGGCTTGGAGAGTTAGAAATTGTTGAAACTTGATAGGGCGTTTTGGGTTGCAATGCCTCGCTTGTGGGGTGGAATGTATCGTCCTGGAGTATTAATGGAGAGAGGGAACTTTAGTGATATATAAAGACCGAGGGCGGACTTTGAAGAGAGCACAATGTGTTAAATGTTTATATAAACTCTCTATTAGGAGTCTAGCCGCAACTTAGCACACTTGTATTTCTCAAGGCTAACAGGACGCTCCCGAGTACCATATAGTCAAAAAGACTTGCCAACATTCCTCTCTAGGTGTCTAGACCTTTTTAAAGGAGAAGATTTCGTGCAATTAATCACCGATTCGAATAAGTATAGCTCTTGGATAGGAAGCTCGTTAGTCTATAGCAAGCAGGTGTCCCGCTAGACTTGCAACACACTAATGGTCGGTATGACAAGAATATGACAGGGAATCCAACCAAGTGCTTCAAACTTTTACAACATGATTTGTATTCTGTAATTTCAAATGACAACAATTTAACAACGCCATTCCTACTTAATTCCAAACTCTAATTCAAATCCAAACCCAACCCTTCTCTTCCCCCTTCAGTCCATCCCCTACCTTCCACCAACTCCAATCAACCTCCCCAACCTTCCCCTCCGTCTAACCAACTCCTCAAACCCACCCTCCTCAACCACCGCCCCATCCTCCACAACCACAACCCAATCCGCAACCCTCATCATCTCCACATCATGACTAACACACACCACCGCCGTGCCCCTCCCCCTCAACCTAACCAACACATCCCTCACCCCCCTCGCACTCACCGCATCAAGCGCGCTCGTCGCCTCATCTAGCACCAAAACCTTCGGCCGCCTTACCAGCGCTCTGGCAATACAAATCCGCTGTGCCTGCCCACCACTCAATCCCATTCCTCCGTCGCCAAGAAGCGTGTGATAGCCATTCGGCAAAGAGACGATGAACTCGTGGATGCCGGCGTCGATGCAGGCTTGGGTCGCGCAGGAGAGAGTGGCTAGGGGAGAGATTTCGGGGAGACCGTAGATGATGTTTTGGTGGATGGTGGTGGGGAAGAGGAGGGATTGTTGGGGGACGTAGGCGAGGTGGTTGCGGAGACTGGTTGTGTTGAGGGTGGAGATGGGGTGGGAGGCGAAGGTTAGGGAGGTGGGTGAGTCGGGCGGGTAGAGGGAGAGGAGGAGGGACGTGATTGTGGATTTGCCGGAGCCGGAGGGACCGACTAAGGTTGTGATTGTTCCGGGAAGGATGGTGAGATTGAAGTTCTTGAGAGAACGTATGTGGGGTGGGTTGGCTTGGGTAGGAGAAGTTGAGGTTTTTGAAGCGGATTGGAAATGGACTTGGGAGTCTTTTTGTGCCTTGAGATCCGTGAGAGTTCTTGGTTGGTAGAGTGGCAAGTTGAAGCATTTGTGTTGCTGCTATGCATGAGGAGTTGAGCTGGGGTATGACAGCTATTATAGCTGTTGAATTTGTGATACCGAAAAGCAGAAGATTCGTGACTTGGATAATTTGTGTCACGTTAGCCTCGCTGTTAGAGATCAAAATAGAGCCGTAGTAGAATATCAGTGCTGATGCAGCTACACTGATCATATCTGTGAGACCATAAAGAAGGCCAGAGTAGGTCGCCCTTCGAATGCCAACTCTAAAAGTTGCCATTGAGCTTTGCTCATGCTTCCTCGTGAAGTATTTCTCAAGCGTCAGAGCTCGGACAACACGAATATTTGAGAAAGTCTCAGTAAACACGCTGCCGAGATGTGCGGTTGCTGCATCTGTTCTTTGCTCCCAGTGGAGACTAACAAGATGAAATATTCTGGTAGCAACAAACATGATTGGAGCTACGGACAGAGCCACCAGAGTGAGTTTCCAAGAAAGGATAAACGACCAAGTGATTGAAATCGAGAGTAGCCATGCGACAGTGAACACTGGTCCTGCAAAACGTCCAAGTAAATTTCGCATCTCTTCAGCATTTCGATCCAAGAAATCGTTGAGTGAAGCCGTGGAGTTCGCTGGCATATCGAACCAAGCTTTAGGCTGAGCGAGTACTCTTTTTAAAGCTTCGACACGAAGAGCGTTGACCCATTCTTGCCCACAATGTTCGAGGGCATAATGGGTAAAGAAGGCAGAAAACCCATCAACGATAGCAAGGCCAAGAAGTACAAGCGCCCATTTTGTTGCCTCCGCGGTCTGGTTCTTGGTCGTGTAGAATGTGCTCAATAATTGGGCGAACAAAAATGCGAACACCGGAGTGGCAGCCGCTACAATAAATGCATTTACGAACCCAAAAATAAGAACTATGCGATCTTTCCAAGCAAAGGTTGGCCAGATAGTGCTAAGAATGAGTCGAATAGAGGCAGATACGCCTGGGGGTAGATTGTTGATATCTCTTTTTCGCTTTTTGGCTTCCTTTTGGGCGTCTCGTTCCTCCATGACCATCTGCATAGTTGATCTGTATGATGACTCGTCCGAGATTGGGCGTGTTGCTTTGGCTATACTAGCATGCATGTTAAATGGGGAAGTAGATGGGGCCAAAACAGGACGTGATGGATCGTCTGAGTGCAGAGGTTCAACGTCTTCAAAACCAAAGATAGAAGTTCGTTTTCGTCGTTTGGACTGGGTGCGATAAGTACTGGAAGGATTGACACTTGGTTGGCGGCGTATGTCGGTCATGGGTGTAGATTCGGTATTATTTGGGCTATACTGAATGGATTGTTGGTACCCCTTGGACCATGGTTGATACTCTCTAGCCTCTTCTTCCTGGATCGTCTGGGGTGATAATTCTCCTGGCAAAACCTGCCTTGGAGATAAATGGTAATTCTGTGGAATCTGAGGGACCGGTGAAGGACTCCAGTGCTCTGTCAACTGGGACAGGCTTGATTGAGGAAAGGGGTTGCCTAATGAGAAGCGATGAGACGCAAGATTGGGACTTCCCATCGCCTGGAGCGAGGGCTCTCCGATGCCCAAGAACTTCGAAAGCCGCCTCGTCCCACGAGAACCTGTACGATGAAGCTTGTTAGACTTTACGACGTTTGATTGTTCAAAGTGTTGAAAATTCCCCGATATACCCAGGCCTTTAGGTGCTGTATTTTCGGGAATGCCACTCGTACCGAGAAAAGAGGCAAATCTCCCGGACATCTGATTCGCAAGCTTTTTCTTGTAGCCTTCCTCTACTACAGAGCCCTTTTCTAAAACATAAACATAATTTTCATGCAATATTTGGGATACATCATGGGTTATGATGATTGTCGTTTTGCCCCTTCGCCATCGTCTAATTTCTTCCATGACCCTTTCTCGACTTGCCTTGTCAAGTGCACTCGTAGCTTCATCTAATATAAGAATTGGCGAGTCTCGAAGGCGAGCTCTTGCAATGGCAACCCTCTGTTGTTGTCCGCCACTTAATGCTACACCATTCGAGCCAACAACGGTTGCATACCCATCTGGAAGATTGAGTATCGTTGACATGAGATCTGCAGTTTTGCTAGCGACTTCAATTTCCGCATTCGTAGTCCTCTCTCGTTTACCGAATGCAATGTTTTGAAGGATAGTCTCATTGAAGAGATGATTCTCTTGTTGAACAAGACTGACGTTCTTGCGAAGCCACTCCGTATCAAGATCGTTGATGGATTTCCCATCTAGGCATACGTCGTCACGATTCACCGCGTAGTATTTCATCAGAATATTTCCAATCGTGCTTTTGCCGGAACCGCTTTTTCCAATGACATACGTTGTCTCTCCTGCAGGAAAAAATAGCGAGACCCGCTTAAGTACTTGCTGATCAACGTTGGATGGATATGCAAAAGAGACCTATAATTATTAGATGGAACAATGCGCAGATACTAGTACTCACCCCCTTGAATTCAATATCTCCACCACGAAATTCGGGCTTGATCATTACGTTGGGATTCCCCGGACCACCGTATATTTGTGACTCGTATGTTAAAACTTGTAAAGTATGCCCGGCAGACATCCCCTTCTTCAGCACCATCCACTGTGGCAGAATTATTTCAGCCGATTGCATCGCGTACAAACAGCAGTAGAAGGTCGTAAGCACGTTTCCTGTACTGAGACCCTGACGAATTAAAATCAAGCCATACCAAAACCCTTGTACGAATAAACCAATCATCAGAAATTTCGTGAATCCATATTGTAGAGCGTTAGCCCTTGCCTGAACCAAATATTTACTCGCGACAGCTTTCACTATCGAACAGTATTGCCAGACTTCGGTATCTTGCCCATTGAAAGCCTTGACGACTGTAATCGAAGATATTGCCGTGTTGGCAGATTTTGATGCTCTTGCTAGCTCGGCTTTTTGATCTTCTATAGCCCCGCCGAGACCTCTCGATAACCAGGACAGAAGCAGCATGGCGAATGGTATAGTGGCGCATATCATCAACGTAAGTTTCCAGGAGAAGTAAAAAGCAATACCAAGCGCTATGGATGCCCCGCAGATTTCGGTGAAAACAAATCCTAGTGGTTGTGAGATGGCTAATTGAAGTTCTCGGATTTGCCTAGCAGCATATCAGTAATGTTGATATTGTCATCTTTAAAGGAACATACGTTTGGATCCTAACGAGTAAAGAACCTATCCCGTCTTCTTTCAAGTCATACCACTGCAGCTCTTTCTCCAACATCGAACTGAATGTCCTCGATCGGGCGCTCTTTCCCTGTAATTCTCCGAATATCATCCAAGATGATAATGAGGCCCCATTAACGACCCAACAGCAGCCTGCTGTGATAGCCACAGCTATGCACCATGTTGACACGTTATGAAGGAATTGCTGAGCTGTCAAACGGCCGAGCCCGAAACCAGTGATTTCGGTAAAAAGCTTGCCATATAGGATTGCCGTCACGGGTTGCGAGGCTGCAGAAGCTATCGACCACGCGGCGGCGGAGATGGCTGTTGGAATGTGTTTTCGCTTAGCAAAGGAAAATAAACAGCGCCAGGATGGCAAGCTTTGGGCTGTATTGTATTTCGTCGCATCGGGTTGGGATGCATCGGGACCCTCTTTGAAACCCAGCGGTAGGGAAATTGAGATGGAATCATGTTTTCGTCTCGCATTGTGTGAGTAATCGGAGACATACGACATCGTTTCTTTTGTTTGTTGACATTGACGCTCAAGCTGGTCGTATCCAAGGCGGAGAAAGGATAGTTACAAGATTGAAGTATGCCATTTGAAACGGGTAGGTATGCGGTTCGAAATATCTAAAAACGTTACGCCATAACGTACAATGAAATCTGTAACAAATTGTGGCGACTTGCCAGTATGGCCGTCTCTTGACCAATGTTCGTATTGTTCTCGGAACGAAATCGTCGAGCTTCCATAGCGTCTAAGCGAACAATGAGTTTTTCTGGTCCCCGACCTTTATTCACTAAAGAAAATGAAGAGTATCTCACATAAAGAAATGTCCGAGTGTAAAATGAAGATCACAAGACGTCCTGACCCGAAAATTAAAAGAGTTAATTGGTGGTGATAGCACGGGATAATACTGCATAAATTGTGGGTCGGGGCCATTCAAATCTTCTCACAGCTATTGTAATCCAGTGAAATCCCGAGATTGGTGAGACTATATCATTATTAGGAAAGCTGTGCGGTCGAGGTTGTCCGATTTGTATGTTTCCAGAGATATCAATATCTCGAATGCGGCGATTTTCTGCGGCTTCATTTTGTATTCGTTCGAAGGGACTGCGTATATATGGGTATCATTAAAGACTTTGGATTTATTATTTAGCGGCCTCCTTCTCCTTACTGTGACTCTCGTTGATCCAATCGTTAAGACCCTTGCGGTTTCGAGCAATTTCGATCGCGTAGAATTGCATACGAGGAACTGAAATTTGAGATTAGAAAGATGCTCTGCGAAGTGGAGCAAATTCGATGAAACCTACCAAATATAGAAGTGTCCTGCTCGTATTCAACTTTCGGATCTGTTCTTAACATGGTCCCGAAGTTGTAATCTTCCACCTTTTTTTCGTATGCCATCATGAATTTTCGCCAACGCTCTTTGCCGGTTTTGCTCTTCATCTCATCCTCATCAATAGGTTTCGCAGGGTCGAATTCGGGGAAGTCGGCCATTAAATGCTCGTATATCTCATCATCCATCTTTGTAAGTCTTAATTTCGATCCAGGCATCTTCTCGAGAATCGCCCAGTATGTGGACATGTGCTGCACAGCTGATGGCGGGGTCAGTGGCGGGGTAAATCAGGCGCGACAGGAAGGTGTGTTCGAACCTTTGACAGCAAACTGCTTCTCAATCTACAGATGTATTAGCCGGTATCAAGACAGTGTATGCGCCAAACTACCATACATCCTCAAAATTGTCTGCCTTTTCGGGGTCAAACCCGGCTGGTAGAGGGGCAGACATGGTCGTTTTCTGGGAGAAAATCGTTGGTATTTCGCGATAAAAAATTTATGACTGAACAGCAATCGTCAAACTAAATTAGGAGTAGATGTCAAGAATTTAAACGTGGCAGTTCATTACTTAAAAGAGATGGCTCACTTTTTGGGCCGATTTTAGTACGCGATTTGTCGACGTGCGCCAAGGCCAGCGGCACGGAAGAATGTTAGACCGACAGTTCCATACTCGACCTCGGCCTTCCTTGCTTCACTTCCTGCAGCTACATAGTTCTACGTGCGAGCCATCCGACTTCAATATTTCCGTAATGTTCTACGAACTTTCTGAATCGGTCGATTTCTGGTTGTTGTTGATTTTCTTCACTTCAACTACTTTTGGAGCTCCACGTTCTCACAGTTCCCTACCATGTGTTCAATCCGGACCGGTACATTCTACGCCATGGGAAATAATATAAGCCACCTTTAATGTATGAGCTTACTTAGGTACCCATCCGCCCAATATGCTCCCTGGGTAAATCGCACCGGACCTCTAGGATAACCTGACGTCTCAGCGCGCGAGTTTGCCACTATGTAGTCGAAGGTTTGAGAACGGTGTTTCTATGTCCAAGCAAACAGTTCAGTGTCTCATCCATGGATCTCTTTCCAAGGTTCCAAGGTTGTCACTGACTGAGCCATCATGGAGTTTGCATGCGACCATAGGGGGTCTATGGTATCTAAGGACTCAAAAGACCATAGCAGCTTAACTTTTCTTGTCGAACATTTGTGTATCAGCTAACAATATTATTGGCATACAGCTTCCTGCTACCAAAAGCTTCACAGAGTAAAAACTATAAAACTTTTCAAGGAAGTGAACAGTCATGTCAGTGGCCTATTGTTGATTCGCCCTAGTCAAATGTTGAGGAAATGAGAGCATCATATCCTGCCTGTCTGGAAGCTCTTCCACTATGTTTCGCCCTTTCTCAGTGCTGTCCTGACATTTTATATAATGTCAAACGTAGGTCAATTGTTTTTCAAAGCGTCTCAATCCTCGGGACTAATCCTCAATATGACATATCCTCATTGATAGTTTCGTTGTTTCCCATTCTCCTGGTCTTGTCAAAACGCGACGAGGTGAATCTCCAAGACGCGCCTTCCACATCAGTTCACCTTCCAAAACGCGTAGTAGGTCTCTCATAGGTATTCGACACCTTGCGTACAACAGTTCTTTCATACCTCAACAACCTTTCGCATCTCGCATCCTACCGATCTAGCTGGTAGTGTCGCACAAGTAAGGCCTTCGTAGGACTTCATCCGCAATACTTCTAACGAATATTTAGTGCGCCAGCCACCCTCGATGATGGCTGGCCTCATGCGATCAGAATCGTCGCTTTCTAGTGCACCCAGTTTTTCTTCAACCTTACGGATTCAGGCCACCCCAAGCCAGTCTAGTCTGAGAAGCAAGCCTGCAGATTCTATCCGGAGTGTTAAGTTATTCAGCTCCCGCACCGAGAAGCCTCGCGCAAGAAAGGAGCGGCGTGCCAAAAGAAATAAAGTCTCTGAAGGCGGAACAGAATTCAGAAAGGATCCAGATGTAGAGGAAGAAGAACCCCGACCAAAGCTAGACAGGACCACCGATTTGATTGTTTCCAACAATTTTCCATTTCGACCAGCAAGCTATCGAAAAGTCGCTGCACCGCTGTCTGAAGAGAACAATCAATGTCAAAGACTATTCATGCTGCCCTCTACCATTCGCCGAAGAATTTATGGACTTTGCTTTCCAGAAGAGCCTCGCCCTGTAACAGTTTCCCCTTCGTTTGCGACAAGACACGTTTTTGGGGAGGGTTACTTTGCCCAAGTATGGGATGTTTTGGAGGATGTCCGTGGTGGCCTAGAGTCTTTTAGATTTCTGCGAAAGGATCTGCTCACTTTTTTCTGGAGCGAGTACCATTTCCATGTCACCATCAACGCATTTACTGGACCTAAGCTTTCTCCACTGTCTCATATTTGGCTGCCCCAGCACGTAGGGAGTATCAAGAACTTGACAGTGGAGATTGACTACACAAGACTTGGTGGCAGCTGCAGAAGACTGGCATCCACGTTCGGTTATAACAGGGACAAGGAAGACAGACAGCTGACGGCCATATTCGAAGGCTTAGCTGATCGTAAAGACGGCTCTTCTATCGACGCGCTGACTATCTTGTGCAGGCGTTTCGCTGGCTTTCAGCCTCACAATGACAGCAAATTCAGAGAATTGCTTGGGAAAGCGCCTGGTATGTTGCATTACCTTTCGGTCGAGCTCGTAACAGAACAAATGATCCGATCCTAACGAATGTGTCTCCTAGTTCCGTATTGCCCCGAATCTGTATTAGGTATCTCGAGCTATATCCAGCATGTAGAAGGGAAGGTCCGACAACTCAGAGTGGCAGGATATCCGTTAGGATACACCAAAGACCTGCTGAATGTGTTTTCTATGTCTATCAAGAATCCGCGATATCCAGAATTAACAACTGGTGCATGGCCTCCCCTCCCTCCGCCGCCTAAAACCAAAGAGAATGTCGTGATCTCTACGCTAAATACTCCAATGTCAAGCTTCTCGTCGACTTTCAGTGGATTGAACCCTCCATCTGTCACACCTTCGCCTACGTCGACAGCTTCACATACAAACACAAATACAGCCACACCCACACCCACACCGTCCGCTTATCGTCTCGACCTGAAGCGGAGCCCTAGCCTTGTAGAGGAGTTTCAGAATGGTCTCCGACGGCAAGACTCCCCTACATCGGAATCAGACTATTCAAATCATTCCAATTATACGATCACAAATGATGAGAATACTTTGGTCGAAGAGACCGAGGATATGCTTTTAGCTGCTAGTCACCCATCTCAAACCAATCACGCTCAGCAGTATCAGAACCTTGTTGGTCCCTTCACCGTGTCAGACCAAACAAATGAAGGTCATCTATTCTCGAGCAACACGACACACAGCTATAGCCCTGCAACCCCACGTTCAAAAACCATGGGAGACCTACGAAGTGCTACAGGTAGTATTAGATCCAGAATGGCTAAGCCTAGCGTACGATTCGATCGACAAACCCCATCACCTCCATCTCGAGTATCCACGCCAAAGACACCCAATGGTATGAATGAAAGGAATGAACAAGACCCAGCGTTTGTTCGAAGCGTCAGCGCTTTACGTAGCATTGATCTTCCTCCCAAAGAGCCAGTCAAAGAGACAGCCAAAGAGCCAGCATCTATCTTCAATTTGGGACTTGGTCTGGATTTTATGGCGCCCATTCTTCCTAGCGTCTTCACTTCACCAGAGCCTTTCCTACGAGCGACCTCGGTACAAGGACTTCGAAGATCTAGCAGTGAGCAAACTACTCCGGTCAGATGTACCACTAGCATGAGCATGGCTGCTCTCAAGCGTGCAAGTGTTAAAAAGAAGTGTGTCAATTTTTACAACAAACTCCGAGGGCGAACTTCTGAAACTGCCTCCTAGTGTGCATTCCACGTTTGGATGTCCGGAAAGAAATTTATCACGAGATGGTGATCGACAAATGGATGACATATGGATGCGAGGGTTTGTAACCTTTTACCGGTTGTCGATATCTGGTTTTGGTGTGATTTTGAAGCGATTTTGGTAATTCTGGTACATAATAAATACGAGTGGCGGAAAAGCCGAAAATATCTAATATTGTACATCAAAGGCCGTGGGAGTAATCCTCTAGGTCGTCATCATGGATGTATTTAATAAAAATAGGAATGATTTTTGAGGATGCAGGAATGGTACGAAATGTGTGATTGTCGAGGTTTTTGGTGGCTTGAGCTGCGGATTAAGCATGTGGATGAGTTGCTAACCATCTAAATTTTGTAATTCTTCAAGTAAAGTGAGATCTGTTATACCTCTTAAGCAGTTCCGAGGTGATTTTATACCTTAGAATCGAGAAGTCGTCGTCGTAGTCGGAGGCTCGGGCCGGTGATAGGGACTGGGCCCATGTCAGACCCACCTTTCTTTATCGTCCCGCGATTTTTTTCCAAAATACTTTATCGAGAGCTCGAACTTTTTTGGTTTACATCTCGAGCTTCCCCAATCCAATTCTCCACGCGCAATGGATATCCACCGATGCCGATTCGTGCACTATCCGCCCTCGACAATCAATGCGCTCGCCTTCTCCCAATCTAAAATCACAGACGAGACGAAAACCGCACCGCCTCGTCTCGCAGTCGGTCGCGCAAATGGCGATATCGAGATCTGGAATCCTCTGAGCGGATCATGGCTCCAGGAGACGATTATACGGGGTGGAAAGGATAGGAGCATTGATGGCTTGGTGTGGACGCAGGATCCTAATGAGGAGATCCAGGGCGAGACTTTGATTGGGAAGTCGAGACTTTTTAGTTGTGGATATACGACTACGGTTACGGAGTGGGATCTTGAGAGGGGTGTGCCGAAGAGACACGCGAGTGGGAATCATGGCGAGATCTGGTGTTTGGCTGCGCAGCCGCCTCTGCTCGGGCCTGCTAAGGAGGGGGAATGGGCGGGTCAACATCTCATTGCTGGGTGTACGGATGGTGCGCTGGTGTTGTATTCGACGCAGGATGATGATTTGCAACTTCAGAAAATCTTGATCAGGCCGAGTTCGAAGAAGGCGAAGATCATTAGTGTGACGTTCAAGGACAGGAATATCGTGGTTGCTGGATGCTCTGACAGTATGATTCGCATTTTTGATATTCGGAATGGTGCATTGTTGAGGAGTATGTCGTTAGGTGCTGGTCCGGCTGGTGGACCGAAAGAGATTATTGTCTGGACAGTTAAGACGTTGAGGGATGGGACGATTGTTTCGGGCGATTCGACAGGCGAGTTGAGGATTTGGTCGGGCGAGACGTATACTTTGAAGCAGAGGATCAAAAGTCATAGGCAGGATGTTCTCAGTCTTGCGACAAGTGCGGATGGCTCGACAGTCATAACCGGTGGTATGGATCGAAGAACTGTAGTATACAAGCAAGTTGGAAAGGGAAAATCTCGGTGGGCAGAAGTCTCTCACCGCAGATATCATAAGCATGATGTAAAATCAATGGCAACTTTCGAAAGCAAGGGCATGAGTGTTGTCGTTTCAGGTGGTAAGTTGAACTTCGTACCCTGGAAAGAGTATATCTAACAATTATTAGGCCCGGACGCTGCACCAAATGTTCTCCCGCTTTCTCAATTCGGACTCGAAAATCAGCGAGCACTACCATATATACCCCAAGACTCGATCATACAAAGCTCGAGCAAAAGAAGACTGATGATGAGTTGGTGGGATCGAGAGATCTTAATATGGCGACTAGGAAAGTTCCCAAAAGCTAATGCTAATTCAGAAGATGAAGAGGAAGACCCGTCACGGACTCGAAAACTTGTGGCGAAGATTCTGTTAAAAGGGGAATCAAATATTACTTCTGCTTCTTTAAGCCGAGACGGTACATTACTTGCAGTTGCTACTGTCGACGATGTCAAGCTATTCCAGCTTAGAAACAAGAAAACTGAAGATGGCCTTCGCGTTTCAAAAATCGAAGTGCCATCGACCGTTTCCTCTGGGGCACGATTGATCCAATTTTCGCCAAACGGGAAGTGGCTTTGCATTGTCCGACCAGATAGTCGGATCCTAGCTGCTAGGGTCGTTCAGGAGGAAGGATCTTTTGTTTTACATCGAAAACTTTCGAAATTAAGAAGAATTGATCGCGAAGCTCCGAAGATTGTTCTGCTAGGTGGTCTTGGTCGCTATGATAGAACTGTAAGCAAGATTGCTTTCTCAACAGACAGCAACGTACTAGTGGTCAGCGATTTAGCGGGATATATGGACAGCTTCGTACTTTCGGGCGAGGAAGATCTTTCACTTGATACCCCAGATGTGGACGAATTCGGTTCAGCTTCCGACTCCTCGGATTCAGAGAGCAGTAGCGAAGATGAGGAAGAGATCGTTATCGCGCCACATAAACTCATATTTGGTCAACAATGGTTACGTAACCCATCCGCCTCATCGATACCTAAATTACCGTCTGCTCCTACCATAATATCCTTCAGACCAGACAGCTCTGCCAAGAATGGCCACGTTAATAGAGTCTCACCTCATCCGACACGCAACAATCCACACCCAATATCTCGTGCTTTACCAACATCCGCTACTACACCTGATCGTCTGTTCATCATGACTGCATGCTCTTCCGTATTCGAGTTTAATGTTCTGTCCGGTTCTCTGACTCCTTGGTCGCGCCGTAATCCATCATCCATCCTCCCAGAGGATTTCCGCAGAAATCGTGATCACGCTAGGGGATGTTTCTGGAATGTTACATCTGAACAAGCTCGCATCTGGTTATACGGAGTAGGGTGGTTATGGATGTTTGATCTGAATGTTGATTTCCCTCTTCCAAACGAGGCCACATCTACTGCTCTTGTCAACGGTAGTAAGTCAAAGGAAATCGCTGAAACGCCGAACAAAAAGCGAAAGCACAAGGGAGGAAACGAAATTAGCACAGGGGCTGGTTCCGCGATCGCTAATGGTAACCTCGAATTGGGGATTTCAAGAAAAATCCAGAAAGTTGCCGAGGGAGGAAAGAAGCAAATTAGAGAAGATATTGACATCAATGCTTCTCCATTTGATGAAATGGACCTCGACACCGACGCAGAAGGGCCAACAGCTCTTGAGCGTCTGAGAAGAGGATCTTCTGCTGGAGAAGCTCGCGCGAGTGGAGCGAAAGCAAGCTGGCGTACCTACAAGTATCGACCCATCTTGGGCGTTGTGGTATTGGGGGAGGAAGAAGGCGAAGCGGGTCTTGAGGTTGCTATTGTTGAAAGACCGATTTGGGAGGTGGAGCTACCTCCCCGCTACTATGGTGACCAGGAGTGGGAGAAGGACGGTTTGTGATACTCTGGCGTCTAAAATGGTACTGTTTAGCATAGTGTAGGCGTGTGGAGTTTAAACCAAGACTTGTGCATCGGCCTTGATGAAGGCTTGCCATTGCATAGTCTATAAATCTTGTGTTCTATATAATTCAGCGATAACGAATATTATAAATTCAATCGATACACAAATCTGGTTTCAAATTACTCTCACACAAAGCATTTAAACGAGATCTCATTCTTAAATCATTTCATAAATCCTTTCTACCAATTACAAAATACACGACCCTCATATGGCTTCAAAGTCACGGAATCCTTCACAGCTACCTCGTCTTCCGCACCACCAATCAACCGGCTCCATCCATTATAACCCTTCGCTTCGAAATTCTGTTCTGAGTCTGAAAGGTTCAACAAGACCAGTGCCTGTCTACTACCATCAGACTTGCTCATCGTATAAGCAAACACCTCTTCCTGGGTATCCAACATCTTGAAAGAGCCATAGATGAACACATCTGCCTCTTTCTTCCGTAACGCCAGCATCTCCTTGTAATAAGCGAAAACACTGCTTTCCGAGTTGAGTTGACTCTCAACATTCCACTCTGGATAATCTGTGTTGACTCTCATCCATGGTTTCGAAGATTTCGTGAACCCAGCATTTTTCGAGTCGTTCCATTGCATTGGCAAGCGACCGTTATCTCTGGCTTTCAAACGAAGCTCTTTCATCACATCTCTCATATCTGCACCAGGACCCCTCTGCTTTTCAATGGCAGCATAAGCATTTCGACCTTCCACGTCAATGTAGTCCTCAATGCCCCACTCCCTAGGCACATTCGCCATCCCGATCTCTTGGCCTTGCAACAAGAAAAGCGATCCACTCAACGTACATAGATACGTTGCCAACATCTTCGCAGCCGTCTCCCTGTACTCCGGAAGATCAGACGCATATCTCGAAAGCGACCTCCCGGAATCGTGATTATCCAGATACACGGCATTCCAGCCTTCGAACTTGGGCATAGCCTCCTGCCATAACTTCGTCAACTTCTTCAAGTAACTCGGCTTGAAGGCGTTATGTCCATATTTCCCATCCACACCAAAATCCATATCCACCACATCCCCCGTAAACAACATCTGCAACTCCCCTCGCTCCTTCGCAACATACATCCTCACACTCTCCTCATCCTTCGTAAATCCCAACTCGCCCACCGTCATACAATCATACTTATCCAGCACCTCCTGTCGAATCTCTTTAATATACTCATGCATCCGCGGCCCAGACGCGAAATACTCCGCTCCACTCTGGAATTCCTGTCCAGGATCCGTAACTTCCGCATCCGGTAAATCCGGGTGTTTGGACATGAGATTCATGGAGTCGATACGATATCCATCAACCCCCTTTTGAAGCCAGAACTCCATATCGGCGTACGTCGCGCGGCGCATATCCTCATTTGCCCAGTTCAAGTCGGGTTGCGTGGGGAGGAAGAGCGAGAGATAGTATTGCTGGCTTCCTTGGTCCCATGTCCATGCCGAGCCACCAAATACTGAAGCCCAATTATTCGGCGGTTTTCTCTCCCCTTTTTCACTGTATTTGGCGTCCCGCCAGAAATACCAGTCACGTTTCTTACTCTCTTTACTCTTTCTCGATTCTTGAAACCAAGCATGACGATCTGAAGTATGATTTACCACCAAATCCAGCAGTATCTTAATCCCGCGCGCATGTAGTCCTGCGATTAATTCTTCCACGTCGGACACGGTGCCGTAGGGTTCGTGGATGGCGCGGTAGTCGGAGATGTCGTAGCCCATGTCATCTTGCGGCGATTTGAAGATGGGGGAGAGCCAGATGGTGTTGATGCCCAGCGAGGAGAGATAGTCTAGTTTGGAGATTATGCCGGGGAGGTCGCCTAGGCCATCGGCGTTGCTGTCGAGGAAGGAGGCGGGGTAGATTTGGTAGACTATTGCTTCTTTCCACCAGGTCTTTTCTGGGGGTGGCATTGTAGTGTTGGTCTGTGGTTTGGTGTTAGAATGGATGTTGAGAGTTTGTGTTGTTTGAGGGAGAGGGTGAGGGAGATGGGACTTACTTCTGTTGATCCCATGTTTGTATGACGTGTATCAGCTGACTTGTTGAACAATGATAAAACTCAATTACTTTGATTGATTCGAAGATCTCTAGAAATTCGAAACATCAAAGCAACATATATATCCCCTCCTCCTCCCCGTGACTTGACCCTCCCTCAACAACCCGTCCCCCCTTTCCCTAGCCGAGCCGTTCTCGGTTGTATCTTTCGGTTGAATTAGACGAGTCTCCTCAGTCCCCCATCTTCCCCACCGTGAGCCCACCTTCGAAACATTCTTTCATCCCGAAAGTCTGGTAACCTTACACTTGCACAATCTGGGTTTCGTTGATAGTGCGGGGTCTCCGGGTTGTTGGCGTCGATGGTTGCATTTATTCTCGGTTTGATTTCGATGGTTAAATTATGATTGCTTGAGGTATTGATAGGGCAGCATATCATGTTTGAACGGGGCAAAGTTCTGAAGGGTGAATTTCAATTGGCGGTCTAAAGTAATTAGATCCGACAATACTTTGTAGATGATATCTGGGTCGGGGGAAACACACCAATGGTTTGTCAAAACTTTTGTGGCAACCAAGCGGGATTCCTTTGGTCGATAGGATTACATGGTTGAATTATTATTCGTTGTTAATAAGCCAGATGTGTCAATGTTTCGATTGCCACAAGGCAAACTAACATGTGGATTATGCAGGATTCGTATATTTAGTATCCCACCACGGGGTACAGCTGAGACTAGTGTAATGCAATTCTGGAGAGCGACTTCCCCACACTTGGGTGCAAACTGTAGAGTTACTTGTCCAAATACCGAGATATCTTGCACAGACAGCCTAACTTCATTTAATTCTCATTTTTGCTATGTCTGGATGAAAGATCGGGGGGAAATCTACGTCTTGCACGTGAAGACTCGGATGGAAGACGCAGAAGAAATTTGTGTTCAAATCATGTAATAAATGTATACATAATTTCTAAAGGATACCCATGCTAAACTCCTTCCCTAAAAAAACCTGTTTGTTTTAGGATCAAAGCCTACATCAAAACCAACACCCAAAAAGCTCAATACACACAACTCAAACAACAACAATAGGTCTCTCCATAACCTGCACCACCCCCTTTTCATCTACAGTCACATCTTCAGCCGAAGACTCAACAGAGCCCTCCCTTCTCGTAGGCCAAGCATCCTTCAACCCTTCCCAGCACCAAAACCCCACATTCTCCTCCTCAAACCCGCCAAAATCATAATCAACTCCCAGCGACTCTAAACTCGGATATATCCTCGATGTCAAAGCAAACCGATCATTTGCGTAAACCTCGATAATTGAGTTATCGACAAATAACCGGATATCAAGATCTTCATCTGGAAGGAGGGTGAAGCGCCCTATTTCGGTGAAGCTACTTCCTAGGTTTTCGAGGGAGGATTTGCTGCGATCGACGGATATGGTGGAGTTTGCGAGGTCGAAGATGATTTTAGTGAGTTCTTCTTTGTTGGGAGATTGACGGACGTTGAATGTGAATTCTTCTGTGCCGGTTGGCTTTTTGAAGGTTGTTTTAATCTCGTAATTCTTAGAGCGTATGCTTTTGAAATTCTCAAGTGGGATCTGTGTTCTTGAATCGCGGACTTGGGAAATTTGAGGGGCTGGTCTTATACCAAGGGCCGTCATTCTCCCAGCTTTTTCGTCGACATACCAGATATCCTCCTCGGAAATACTGTCAGCGATTGGTTTTGAAATCTCGTAGAGCTCTCTTGGATGAGCTATACATCCAGCCCAACCTTGCTGTTTGATTGTCTTTGCGTTTGCGGACTCATCTGCCCATCCCAATTGCAGTAGTCGTCCTTCAGCGTCGCGGAATATGTGGATTGCATACAGGATACCGAAATCAAGCATGCCATGGCTGAGAATGTTGAACTTTGGTTTTCCATTTTCGAGAACAAACTCTCCTCGTAGCCATAGGGTCAAGTGCCGATTGTGTCTTGTGCTAGGGATATCTTCCTCGATTCCAACAAGAATGTAATTGCTCTCGCCAATATTGAAAAAGCTCGCACATTCGAAGTTCATTCCCCAAATAAACGAGCTCGTCGGCGAGACCGGAGTATTGGTTTCTACTTCGAGAATCGTTGAGCATAAATCCCAGCCAAGAAGATTATTTGAAGAGTATAGATGAAGTGCCGAACCTCTCCCTCGCTCACCAGAAGCAATCATCATATAGTCCGTCGCTTCATCGACGCCCAGAAATCTCGAAAGCGTCGTCCAAGGTGAGACGAACGGATCTCGCCATCCAGTACTCAGTTCTCTCTTCGGTGGCACGGAAAGAAGCGGGTTATTCTCATACCGATGCCATGAAACGCCGTAATCGGTAGAAAAAGCCACAGATTGAGATTCGCAACCCTCGAGATATTCCTTTGACCAATGTATTGGAAGTCTCGAAACACTCGTATAAAACAAAAACAAAGCCGTCTTTCCATCAATAACCCTCGAGACTATAGACCCCGAGAAGACACCTTTTTGGTCGTAAGATCCTGCTGCACCGTTTGTGATCGGTGGACTGCAATCTGTCCATGTCACTAAGTCTTTGCTCTTGGCCATTCCCCAAGCAGAGTTGCCGCCTTCGGTGGTTCCTGGGTTCCATTGGTAGCAGAAGAGGTATTCTTTGGTTTCTGGGACGTAGACGGCTCCGCATGGGTCGTTGGACCATGAGTGGGGTGCGATGAAATGTGAAGTTGGTCGGAAGCGTGTGAATGACATTTTTGTTGAATGTGGCATTTGTTGTGTAAAGAACGCTTGAGGGAGAGTAAGGCAAATAGACAAAAAGAAGAGAGAAATTGGTCCCAATTTTGTGATATAGTCAGAGGTTCAAAACCGAACTGTCCCATGTGAAATGTAGATGAAGAGGGGAAAAGAAGTTCCGCAGATTGAGGTAGAATGATTGATTCAACCGAGATAGTAGAGCCAACAGCTACGGTGAACCAGTGTAGATCAGACCTGTGGAGTCTGGAGTATTGTTTCTTGGAGACTTCGTAAACATTGACACTGGGCTAGATCTGCAGCGGCCATCGGGTGTATGTCCTCGGTTAAATAGGGGTTGTTTTGGCCAATCATAATTCACCCAGACCAACACTTGATGCTCGTAAGTTCCTTATTGTTAGTAAGGAAGATATTCTCCGTGAGTATATAATACTAAAAAGCCTTAAAAACAATACAGTGCGGGAGACGGCCGAGGGCGCACCCCCAAAAGAGGCGAAAAGTGGGTTAGAACCGACCTAAAATACGCACCCCGTGGAGAACATTCCACCTTGGCAATCGTGGGGAAGATCAAAGTCCAAAAAATCACCCTATTGGTTCCCGCGGGTGTTTTTCAGAAGCTTAAAAATACACCCGAAGGAGGCGAACCCAACCCAGGAAATGTTTTTGCACTACTGATGACAGCCCCTCATGGAGAAGTGCATTTCGCACGAAGTCGAGAAGCATCTCCAATCCCCAAATCTGACCCCACCCATCACTGCGGCACCCCAGGAAATGGGATGACTAGGTTTGTATGGATGCGGGCCAGAATGTGAGTTGTGTCGATGTCGTGTGAGCGTTCTCATCTATATAATACCCTCGACGATCCTTTGAAATATCATCATTCCGAACATCAACACACTTCTCTTTGAGACTCTCTGGTCTTTAATCAATTTCACCTCAAGCTTTCGCCTCTTCTCGTTTCTACACTCTTTATCCTTAACAATGGCCGACTCAAAAGAAGTCATGGGCGGCGCAACCAACCAAGCTCTAAACACCACCATCGACATCGAAAAGAAAACAGAATACCTACACTCAGAACACTCCTACCCCGGCGTCGAATCCGCCGAAAAACTCCCCGTCTCCGTCGATCTCACACCACGAGAGCAATACCGCCAACTCTTCGCCGCCATCAAGAAAGACAAGCGCTTCGTGCTATGGGCTTTCTACGTGATGTCCCTCGTCTTCGGATGGGGTTACGATGCCGGACTATCTGGCGTTGCAATCGCATTCCCGGAATTCAGAAAGGATTATGGGAATCTTTATATTGAGGATGGGAAGTCTCAATATGTTATCCCAGCACTTTGGCAGTCTCTTTGGAACGCGGCTTCGACTATTGGGCAGGTGTTTGGCGCTTTCTTGGTTGGTCAGTTTGCGGATGTGTTTGGTCGACGACCTATCCTCTTCTTGGCTGTTGCACTGTCGATTGCTTCGTCTTTCGCGTTGGTCTTTGCGCCAAATCTACCTGTGCTCTTCGTCTCTAAGCTGCTTCTTGGATTTTCAGTCGGTTTCAGTACCGCAACTCCACCTCTCTATGTCACGGAGAACTCGCCAGCAAAGCTTCGAAGTACCATGTCCTCTCTCACTAACGTAATCATCGTCCTCGGTTTCTTCCTCTCATCGCTTACCGGATTCGGCGCTTCCCACATCAACGGTCAATGGTCCTACAGACTTGCATTCGTCATGACCTTTCTCGTCCCCGGCCTCTTCTTATTTGGAATCCCGTTCCTACCAGAATCCCCAGTCTGGTACATGAAAAAAGGCCGCGAAGAAGACGCACGCAAAGCCATCATCCGACTCTTCGGCAAAGACACCGACGTCGACGAGCGAATCTCAATCATCAAAGCCGAACTCCACGCCGAAACTGCAGAAGCCAACTCCGTCAGCCAAACCTCCTGGAAAGCAATCTTCAGCAAATCCCACCGCCGCCGCACAATCGTCGCTGTCCTAGGTCTCCAATCCCAGAACTTCTCCGGCGGATACTTCGCAAGTATGTCCTCTCCCCCCTCCCATAAACCCATAACTAACACCCACCCAGACACATACCAAACATACTACTTCGAACTCATCGGCCAAACCAACTCCTTCGGCCTGACCGCCATCTCCTCAACCCTCCAATTCCTCGCCAACTGCTTCGCAGTCGCCATCTCCGACGTGCTTCCCCGCCGCAAAGCCCTCATCGGCGGCGGCACCATCCTATGCGTCTGGTCGCTCATCATCGCCGGGACGTCCATGGCGCCTACCACCAATGCAGCAGCTAATACCGCGCTCCTCGCTTTCATGATCACCTGGTCCATGCTGTATACCGGCACGGTGGGCTGTTACGGATGGGCCGTCGCGCAGGAAACCGCATCCCAATCCACGAGACCAAAAACCATCTCCTTCACGGTTGTCTGTCAACAACTCACTGCACTTTTGTTGTCTTCGGTATTCCCATTCTTCATTAACCCCGACCAACTGAATTTCGGCGGGAAAGTCATGTTTCTGTTCGTCGGTGCGGAGTTCTTTATTCTGCTCGGTCTGTGGTTCTGTCAGCCCGAGACGAAGAATAGGACGTATCAGGATATCGATGCGATGTATGCTGCGGGCATTCCGGCGAGGAAGTTTAGCGAGTATGTTGTTGATGATGGGGTGGTGATGAAAAAGGAGAATCGAACCGGGTTGGGCGGTTGAGTTTGCATTTTGGAGCAGGATGGTGTTCTTAAGGAGTTGGGTGAGCGTTCTGTCTGTTACTTTTGTTTGTAAATATGATAGCTACGTTGGTAGAGTGTGTACATATTTTTGCTCTAATGAGGAAGCTGTATCACCATATTGTTACTTACCATCCTGAAAAAACTTTATTTCAGAGCAATTAATATTGTAGCTTTCCCCAAAACAACAGACACACCATTACATCATTCCCCAAATGAGTTGACAAATTACCGTATCCTTCGTCCACCATTTCGAGCAAACATCGTGTTTCAACTGCCACTCATCTCATCCACCGCGCGGCACACTTACATTCAACCCGGCCCAAAACTCATGGTAGCTACTTCAAACTACGAAGCGGAACCGTCCAAACCGTCGCATCCCCTCCCTCCCGCCCAACCACCATCACCCTATCACCGAAAACAGCAACTTTCCACACAGACTCAACACCCTCCAACACATCATCTCTGCTCTCACCCTCCTTCAAATCCAGGACTTTAACTTTTCCATCAACTCCACCCGTAATAACAATTTGACTATTAAACGATAAACACGTCACCGATCCTGTGTGTGCTTTTACACTCCACAGCTTAGTTAAATCATGAGACCAAGACGTGATTACACCGTTAAAGCCCGTTGAAATGAGACCTCTATCAGTTGGTCTAAGTATTGATATCGGTCCGTTATGAGCATTAACTCTTTTATTCTGGGTACTAAACGCAATATAAGCCACAGAATCTAACACTAGAGCACTTCAGCATACCTCGTCTCCAAATCCCATGACACAATAGACCCATCAGAACCCGCAGTAAATACCTCCTCATCCCCAACCACAATCGCATATACAACGCCGTCATGGGCGTTTAGGACGCTTCGACATTGACGCGTGGATAAATCCCATCGTATGAGTTTTCCGGCGTATGTGCCAGCGAAGGCGGCATCGTGCTTCAGAGCAATGGTTCGAATCGCATCCTGTGATTCATGTTTCAAGATAGCAGTATGTTTTCCGAGTTTCAGATCCCATATGATGATTCTGCCGTCTTTTGAGCCCGAAATTGCGGTAGATAAAGGATCTGGGATGTGGATGGAGCGGATTGTGTCGGTGTGTCCTTTCAATGAACGAACGAACTTTCTAGATACCATACGGATGTTAGCGTAGACCATTATTTAGATGAATCTTGAGTGTTATCTAAAAGAGGTTTCCTACCTCCTCGCTAAATCCCATACTTGAAGATTCCCATCAATGCCACCTGCAATAAGCACCGTATCCTTCACAGCAAGTGACCATAGACATACAGGCTTCTCAGCTTTAAGCTCTGTTATGTGCTTGCCATTTGGTTGGAATAAATGAATCGAGCCATTATTTAAAGTGACGGCTATTAATTCGGCGTCGACATGTAGACTAGTTGCAATAGTGTTGCTGGATAATTTGCAGCTGCTAATCCCGGAGGCATTGACTGTTGTGGGTATATTAGACATCGCGGTAGAAACGCCGAGTGTAGTTTGAGGAGCAAGCAGTCTACGACAAGATTGACAATAGGTTCTTCAAATTGAGATTCGAACTTCAAAAGCTTGACGCTGCTTAACACTTCTTGCTGTGAACAGCAACGCTACGTCATTCCAACATCTCATGCAAGATGAGCAAATGCCAGCTCGTGATGTTTAACACTATTCAGTATTTAGCCAGAAGCTGAAAATAACAAAGTGATAATGAAAGATGTTGGATCTCAAAAATAGTCGCCTATAATTCAAATCCACAGCAAACGATTGATGGACGGAGGGCTGGAGGGTAAGATCTCAGACAAACATGCAGAAGAGTATGTAAGCTTGGACATTTAAAAATTGCTCAAATGACTTGAAGGGTAACGTCCAACCTCTTACACGGTGTGTTGACAAAGTGAGAGTAATGGAAAGTCCTACTCTTTAGTAGATGTGCTCAAAGGGGATCCGGAAGCGATAGCATTGAGAAGAAAACAGTTTGAAGAAATCGCGGTGAAAAACTTTGTGCTCAGGTAAATATATGTGGTTTTCTGGCTAGCACCAACTCATACTTTCTTGCCGGTCATTGCTAGCCAATTGATGTTTCTCTTTACAAAGCCACCATAAACATGCTCAGGTGGTAAAACCATACGCGCACTACTCCAGTTGGCATAGAGCTTAGTCCTAGACATGCACGCGGCCAAGCATGGCCCAGCTCATAGAGATCAAGAGCAGGGGCTAAGTGCAACTAAAGGATATTGTGTTGTATCAGAAGAGTTCTAAGCAGCCATTCTTGTGGACAACGAAGCCATCCCGCTGAAGGTCAAGATGAAGGGAAGTTCCGTTGCATTATGTCTGGAACTGTACGTGCCGCTCAACTCTCGTTCCGTTTTGCGCGGAAGGCTATGTCATTGGGTGATCAGCGCCATGATAATACATATCAGAGAAGTTCCAGCTGTGTAGCTCTAAATTCTTAGACCAACATTCAGTCTCCCGCCCAAGAGTTATCTCAGTGAGTGCGACCATGTGACTGAAATTTGTCTTCTTATTTTGAAGTGGCTCTGGTATAAAAGCCGACATACGTCCAGAGTTCACTCATGCAGACATCGATGTGCACCAAAAGTGCGGCGTAAGCAGTCTAAGAGCCGAGTTGCAACGGGCATTTCTTGTTGGGCGTTCTCCGTCGGCATGGGCGCTGGAGGTAGTGAATGGCCTGTAGAATTGACCTGCGTAAATAACTCTGCAATTCAGGTGCGACAAAGCTCGATCTCTGTAAAACAGCCCATGCTCTGGTCCGCGCCGTATAGTATTCCCCCGTTAGACAGACCGCTCTGGGTGGATCTGCTTGAGTAGCCGTTGTTGCACGAGCCGAAGGACGGTCATCCGCGGTCGCTCTCAAGAGAGTAAGCTTTCACCATTTAAATCATCTTCCTCTGGAGGCATCTGTGTAGACGCAATCCAATCCTCCATCATAGCCTGGCCTCCTCCATTTGCGGCCGGTCCTTTGCCTTTCCTATCTTTCCGCTTGACAATCAAACAAAGTACCCGACCATAGATCGCAAATCCTTCATACGTAGTATCCATTGCCATTTTCTTTTTGTCATCGTTTGGTGCTTCTTGATCTTCGTCGTCCTCTTCAACGTCTCCATCTTTGCGTCTTTTTGTAAGGGGTTCAGAATCGAATGAAGATTCTTCGGAGTCTATATTGGTATTCGGTCGTGAGCGCTTTGATCGCCGAGGGTTGTCTGCAACGAACAACGAGTCCTCTTCGTCGGCCGCAGGCAGGGTTGCGAGGTCGACTCCATTCTCCTCGCTTTCCTCGGTGCGCAGAGCAGGTACATCATCGACATCGATCGCATTCTCGTTGGTGTCGCCAGTGATTTTGTTGGAGTTGGATTTCAACGGCTCCTTGGTCTTAATTTTGAAGTTCTTCTGCTTGGTGAGAAGAGAATGTCTTGTGCTGGTTTCGGTCAGGAAGATTGACACTTCGAAATCATCTAATTTAAATAAGCATATTTCTTCTAGCTTTGCAACGATTAAATGTACCTTCTGCTACTACATCCTTCACCCCTTTCTTCTTTCCGCCTTTGCCTTTGCTTCTCTCATTTTCTTCCCGGAGCTTTGGCAGTACTAGAGGGCGTACGCTTTCAAAGACGCGGGGCAAGACTGGAGCTCTGGAGTTTAGTAGCCATGATTCAGCGAGGGCTGGTTGATCAACATATATGCGACATTCGAGTACGGAGTACTTGGTTATGCGAAGATATCTGCGAATTGGTGGCATTGTAAAATGGAAAATGTAGATTTCATGTTGGCCGTCGCGTCATTGCGTGTCTGGGTGACAGCTCGCAAGGCCATGTATAAAATGATGTTCAGCCTGAGGCACCTCAAGATACGACAGCAATACGAGGTACATGAAGTGGGTCAATGCCGTCACGGGTATTTCCATAACTTCGGTGCCGACGGGAGGAGTCTGTAGCTGCATGAATAGAACGAGAACGTCATACGGCTTGTTTAGAGAACAATGCCAATAATACCTACGTTGAGTTATTTTCTTTTTCTCTCCTCATATCTCTCAATTCTGCTTCATCTTTTGTTGCGTCCAAAAGCGCACCTTCAATTTTCAATCGGTATCGGGAACCGAGCAATTCGTTCTCTTCCGAGAATACCGCAGAGAATTGGTGTATGTCTTCTAAGCATTCTTATCACTTGACTTTCTATTAATTCCTCTTAATTGCACAAGATCCTGTTTCTTTGTGAGACTCAGGAACAGCCGGGTTGTTAGGCGGTAACTAGGCTCTGGTATTTTGCGGGTGAAGCCGGGAGACTAACCAACGTACATCAGTAATCATTGTACTACCAACAATTTATAGAAAAGCGTCAGCAGTAGCAATTGGTTTTCCCAGCTGCAATCATGAATAGAATAGTAGAGTCATCGGCTAAGAGCTCTTTGAACATTCGGCCAAGTACTTTTTTCAGTCGCATGTTCCGGAGGAATGCTTCAACAACACATGAGCTTGATGCAACGAAAGGGGGTGAGTCTTCACGTCTTCTCTTTAGGACCAGCAAGTGCTAATGCTTTAAAGACAGAGAACGTGTAGTTATATTAGGATCCGGGTAAATTACTCGGAAACTGATTTATGTATCTACTAATACTTCCCAGCTGGTCCGGATTCGTCCTTGCACGACAGTTGGATACAAAGAAATTCCAACCTGTTGTTGTATCACCAAGATCGTATTTCGCCTTTACCCCTTTACTCGCTTCAACCGCGGTAGGGACTTTGGAATTCCGTACAACTTTAGAATCTGTAAGGGCTCGTCGAACAGGCGTCGAGTTTTATCAAGGCTGGGCAGACGATGTCAACTTCAATGAAAAACGACTTATCATTGAAGAGGCTGCACGAAGACCTACTGGACCTGCAGGAAGTAATATGATTCCTGCAGTAGAGCAAGGTGAAAAAGCTCTCGCTACGAAAAAGAAGAAAGGTCAGCTTTTTGATCTGAGTTATGATAAGTTGGTGGTTGCGGTCGGGTGCTACAGTCAGACTTTTGGAACCCCTGGTGTGAGAGAGAATGCATTTTTCTTGAAAGATGTTACAGATGCCATCAAAATCCGGAGAAGAATCTTGGAGTGTAAGTTGAAATAACCCCTCTTCGTCACGAGACTAACAATATATTGTAGGCTTTGAGACCGCTGTGTAAGAATTACCCGAGCCTCCCTTTACCCCTTAATTCCCCTATAGTCGTTACTCAAAGTCGGAAACATAAACATCAAAACTAACATCAAAAGCCTCCCCACAACATCACCTGAACTAAAAGCAGCCCTCCTAAACTTCGCCATCGTCGGCGGTGGTCGTAAGTCCTCCCATCCCTTATCCACCACCTACTAACACCCCCAGCAACCGGCATCGAATTCGCCGCCGAACTATTCGACCTCTGCAAAGAAGACCTCGTAAAAGTCTACCCCGCCCTAATCCCCCACGTTAAAATAACAATCTACGACGTGGCCCCCAAGATCCTTCCCATGTTCGACAGCAAACTCGCCGACTACGCACTCAAACTCTTCGACCGCGACGGCATCAAGATAAAAACCGAACACCACATCCAAAACCTGCAACCAGGACTCCCCGGAAACCCCGCCAATAGCGGAGGATGTTACACGCTCAAAACGAAAGAAGAGGGCGAATTTGGAGTGGGAATGTGTGTCTGGAGTACAGGACTGATGATGAACCCCTTCATCCAGCGTGCTTTAGACGACGTCCACATCTACCCAACACGCAGCGCCAAAATCTCCGCCTCGGAATCAACAGACCCAGCATCAACACAGTGGTCACTCAAACGCTCCCCCCGCAACGGCGGTCTCATGGTCGACGATAAATTCCGCGTCAAGCTCGTCCCACGAGACTCCATCGCCTCAGCGTCGACCTCCAAATCCAAGTCCCCCGACACGCCCACCCCGGAAGCAACCATGCACGACGTCTTCGCACTCGGCGACGTCTCGGTGCTCGAGACCGTGCAACTGCCAGCAACAGCACAAGTCGCATCGCAAGAAGCGAAATGGCTTGGCAAAGCGCTGAATCGAGGACTTACGGACGACACGCGCGGGTTCAAGTATTCTGATATGGGCGTGTTGACGTATGTAGGTGGTATGAAGGCGATTATGCAGGGGAAGGGTGGGACTGAGATAAAAGGGTAAGTTATGAGTGTAATTGATTCGCAGGGAAAATAAAGGTTTACTAACCTCAATGACAGGAGAACAGCATGGCTAATCTGGCGAGGTGCCTACCTAACAAAAACCATCAGTTGGAGGAACAAACTGTTGATTCCAATTTACTGGTATGTATTCCCCTATCCATCTTTTCTACCATCTCCCTTTTCACCATCCCCCATTCTTCCATCTCCCGTTCTTTCCACCCCCATTTCCTTCCATCCAACTTCCTTCCATCCCCCTCTCCTCAAATACATACTAACGAACCCCCAAAGGGCAATAAACTGGTGTTTCGGCCGCGACATATCTCGATTCTAGATCTCTCATACAACCATCTCCCCATCTACCCATCTACCCATCTACGCACCACCCCACAACCCTCCTCATCCCAGCCATCCACCACATCCCCACGACAATTCACCTTCTAACCCACCCATCCGCCTATCCACCACCAATATCTACTCCTCCCAACCACACCCTCTCTACCACCTCATCCAGAACCATACGCATAAACCACAACCAATCATCCAATCATTTCATCAGTCATAAAATTAGACACCCCATATCACTACCTATAGATCTCCTTTATTGGCGTGAGCCAGATAGCTTAAATTTTTCCATCTAAATAGCAATGTCTAAAATATCATACCATATAAATCACCATCTAAAGGGGCTAGAACCGCGACTTTCAATTAAAACTTACTGCTTTACCCCATCCTTAATTCCCCATCTTCAGCCAAATAAAGACATGTTCAGATAACTCATACATTCTACACTACCTCAACTAACATTACATTCCTCCCATAATCCCATCACCCACTAAGAATAAGTAAACTACCCACGTATTCAATACAAACCCATATTCCATACCTCAACATAAAATACCTCTGCTGTCCTTTCATTCACACCACCTCCATCACCTCCATCCCCTCTATAACCCCAATAACCCTCAACACTCAACCATTCCGTCCCCTCACCCCTCCCTCCGCTTAACAACCTCAAAAAACCCCTTCCCATCCAGCCCCTTCGCCTTACCTCCACCTTCTTTCCCACCCTGCCCCTTCCGCTCCCCACCGACCCCCACCGCAGCCCCAACAACCCCAATCTTCCCTCTAGGAATCTCCAATCTAACATCCTCACCCCCACCATCCCCACAATCCGCCTTCGCACTAACCATCCTCCCATCCCCACAAACGATAATATCACCAAACAATTCCGGGGGCGCTGATAGCGATGTCGTCGACGATGCTGTTTTGCCCGTGATGCTAGGAAGCGAGGAGCCGGGCGTGGAGCCTGGTTTAAGTTGTGCTGAGGAGGAACTGTTTGTGTTAGTCAAGGAAAGATGTAGGAGGTAGAGGAAGGAGAGGAGAGAGCCTACCTGGCGACGGAGTATTTAGGCAGGGCATTAGCATTTCCATTCTCAAGTTGTCCGTATCCCGTCAAATTACTCAATCCCATCGAAGACACTGCAGAGCTTTTTGCATCACATCCACTACCCAAAGTCAGCACTAAATCCCGTGAAGCATCCCCTCACAAGATCACTCACCTAACAGTAACAGTACAAGTAACAGTCAACACATCCATAAAACTAAACAACGTAACCGTATCCGAATACACGGTACTATGCCACGTTTCCGTCTCCGTACACGTTTCCGTGACAGGTATGGGACATTTAGCTGGTGCCGGACACGTTGCATTGAGAGTCTGAGGTCGAGGGATGGTAGAATTCGAAGGATTGGTGGTATTTTGAGGTGTAGGTGGCATGCGTGTCTGCGGAAGTGCTGATGAGGAGTTGAGAGCTGGCGAGGAGACGTTGAGGGATGGTAAGCTCATTGGGGGGATGGTTGCTGTGGTTTGATTGTGAGAGGATGGTGCGAGGGTGGTTGAGGTGTTAGATGGTAAGGCGGTTGAGATGTTTGCTGGTTTGGTTGCTGGCATGGTCATGTTGCTGGATAGGATCGTCATGTTCTTTGACGGGTAGACCATTGATGTGGTATTCTGCGGCCGTGTAGAATTCGTCATCGTGCCATTCCCACCTCCTGACGCCATAGCAGAAACATTAGGTTTCGAGATTGGCATATTCTCCCCTTGATATACTGGATTAGCAGGCAAAGCCGTAGTCTCTGCTCCCTTCGTCTCTACAACCCCCGAACTCTCACCACCAGACGCTTTCCCACCCTGAGAAGAAGCAGCCATACTCGTAGCCAACGAATCCGCCAGCACACCGATATTAGAAACCCCAGTCGTAGCAGCTAACAAGCTCCCTACCGCCGCGCTCCCGGCTTGAACGAGTTGATCAACATCGGCCGTAGGAACCGGACCGACCATACTCTGAACCTCAGCCATAGCCGCTTCGACATCGTTGACTTTCGGCGAAGCGGCGACAGGCCCAGCAATATCTTTGACAACACCCATCACAGCACCAATGGGCGAGGGACTCTTTGCTTCTCGCGCTTCAACACCATCATCAGATCTACAAAGGTCAGCACCAACCGCACTCTTCACCAAAACCAGCTTACCTCCAACCCAAACGAACCCACCGTTTATTCATCGTACTAACATCCTTTCCCCCATCCATAAACTTGAATCCTTCCCCAATCGATATCACGACCAGGACAGAGATTGCAATCAGCATTGAAATGGTGGCGATGGACGCACTCGGACGACGTGAAAAAGGCATGTTGTATCTGACCATGTAAGAAATCCCAAGAAGAGTCCAAAAAAGAGAGTAATTTACTTGAAAGAAGTAATTTGGTGGACCGAAAGAGCGTGGAGGACATCCAAAATGGAGAAGACCAAAATTTGTGATGGAGGAAGAGAAAGACAGTAGGAACAGAAAGCATATGGATGGGGATGGTGCCTCACGATACGTTCTTTCCCTGCAATTCAGATTCTCGTGTAAGCGAATCTTCCACGAGGTATGCGTCGCACTTTCCTCTACCTTCCAGGTGCTGCGCAATGTAATACTGCCTTGCGATGTTGTATTTGTGGAAGAGAAGAAAGCATTCAATTCATGAGACGTATCTACTGAAAGAGCTTTCCCGAGCAAAGTTTAGATTTTTGCCATAACACCCCATAACATGCCCGCTACAGAACCAATATCTAGTATCTCTTACCCTGGCGCAAAACATCACCAAACTCCTCCAAAGGACTTCTGATGAGCTTAGTCTCCTTCCATAAGTTGGGGGTCAAGTATCCGTATGTGTTTCCGACAGCGACGAAAGTAGCCTTGAGAGTGTTTTCGAGAGTCTTGGTAGATCCGGAAGAGGAAGTGTAAATATCATCGACACCGGCAAGTTGGAGAAGACGCTTGACGGCTGGGGAGGCGACAAGACCGGTACCACGTGGAGCTGGGATAAGCTGGAAAATGTTAGCATGTTTAAAATTGAGCTTGAATATGTGACTTACTCTGACTGAGACGGAACCACACTTTCCAGACTCCTTGGTTGGCAAAGAGTGAGGAAGACCCAAGTTTGTACCCCAGTAACCTCTTCGGATTGGCAGAACGCTCAACTTTGCGATGATGATAGCAGCACGGATAGCAGTTGCGACTTCCTTTGAGGTTTTGATACCGAGACCAACGTGTCCCTCAGAGTCACCAATAACAACGATAGCCTTGAAACGGGTACGTTGACCGGCACGAGTTTGCTTCTGGACTGGCTTGATCTGTTTTGGGAAGATATCAGTATTGATCGCACAGAATCAACCGTATTTCCAGCACGCAGATTCTCATACCTTCATAACCTCATCCTTCAACTTTGGCAAGAAGAAATCCACAATCTGGTACTCCTTGATTGGGAGAGAGTGTAGGTAGATCTCCTCCATCGACTTGATCTTTCCATCTTTTACGAGACGACCAAGCTTGGTAACTGGCTGCCACTCCTTCTCCTCGTTCTTGTTGGCACCGCGACGAGGTCCACGTCTTCCACGTCCACGTCCTCGGTCACCACGGTCTCCTCCACGGTCGCCGCGCGATCCAAAGCCACCGCCGCGAGCAGCAGCTCCACCTCGAGGTGCGTCAGCCATATTGAGTCGAATTGGTCGTGGTGGTGATGGTCAATTCGGGGATGTTGTGCGGTTGGCGACGATTGAATCTCGAATTCGCAAAATTCTGAGGATTTTCGACGTGGAATCTTGTGTGGGCGGAATGGACATTTAGCCGAGCGGCGCTAGCACTTTAGTCTGGCTCGAATTGGGGAATTTGGAGGGGCAGTCACATGACCAGCCTCGAGTCCTCTGCCTCCATTTTGGGCGAACGGAGTGGCAGCCCGAGATCTGGACTGCACCGCTCATCGTCTCCGAGATGCGCACCTCACTGGATCGTCGACATATGCACATCCAAGTGATCATGTGCAGCAAAAACAATATCCAGCAATCAGCAATTCTGAGTAATGGGAGATCCCCAAGAGGGGCAAAATTACGAAGTGATATTTTCGACAACCCAGAGGTATCATGTGCGCAACGAGCAGCCCAGACCATCGGTATCCGATGAACTACATTTTTACAAATCCTTATCCCTATGAACGCCTCGCTCTTCGTCTCGCTGCTACCCAATGTAGTGTTTAGATATAAAAATTCCTAGTCATACACGTTGACTCCCAACTCATCTTCTCCCAGTCCTACTCATCACCTGTCCCTTTTCCTTTCCCAGCCTCCCCAACCCATTTGCCAATCCTGGACGCCGGGAATGTTGATTGGAGCTCTCTTGGCGAGATTGGCATGTCTATCTCTCGTCATTTGACGCTGCGAAATTCATATATTGAAGATCGTGATGTGCATGGCCGTTATATTATGACTCTCCAGATCAAGCGAGATCTACGAGGTGTGTGGGCTGTGAAGTCCTCCACCCTTCATGTAGGCATCTTTCTTCCGCTCATGATGATGTTGCATTACACCCCCGGGGTATGCTCTATTCGCCATGCTGTCCTTTCCCTATGCTCAAAAAATAATGTCGCTATGATGATGCTACCAAGAAAATGTCGTTTCTCTGTAATTGAGGGTTCCATCCTCTCGTGGAATGGCCGATGTCAGTTGCACCGCCAGCCATCGTTCTTCTGAATTTATATGCAGATATGTCACCAAGTATCGCGCACTTTCTGGAATCGATTCTGAGTCCTCGGGGATACCTTCTCCTTCAATTTGTGAGAGCCACGCGCATAGACGAGCAACGGTGATGGTGTCGAAACATAGTCCTTCTCTTCGTGCCTTTGACCATAATAACTGAATTGCTCGACGACGTATTCTGATGTCACGGCATTTGATTGCTGTGATGGCGAGAGGAAGTACAGTACCCATATCGAGCGTGTATCGTGCCGTATTGGTTGGTTCGTCCGGCCGTGTGATGAGTTGGCTGGACTTTGTTATGATTTCGTGAAAAAGCGCGGTGAATTCATCATACAGCATCTCCGAATGTTGAACGCTAGAAGCGAGCAACACCGTGGCGAGATTGTAGTAAATGCTGAGAATGTTTGTTACGTCCGTCAAATTGGCTCCTGCCTTGATTTCCGCTGAGTACACCGCTTGAAACGCTGACCTCCACTGATTGAGTTGATTTGAGTAATGCTCGTGTTGTCGCATCCAGAAATGTGAGTTCAATATATCCGGATTTTGTTGCGCGTGGCCAACAGATTTCAAGTAGAATTGCGCGATGCCTTGCATGAGGAAATCCCATGATTCCCGTGCTTCCTGGACACTACAGAAGGAATCGGTCGTTACAACATCCTCCCAGTCACATTCGGGCATGGGGAACGGCGGTGGAATGAACAATCCTTGGACGTCGAGTCGTGAAAACATCCGGCCTAAGTCATCAACCAATCCATCCTGAATCTCTGACAGCGAGTCTTGCGATAGCCTCGAACTTTGCCCCTTTCGTGCGATTCTCCAATCCGCCAACAATCTCGAGCCGCCTCTCAGATGCGTCAACGATCCATTATAGCTTCCTTGCAACGCCTCAAATGTCATGAAAAGCACACAAGCCGTTAGTGAGATCCTCAAGTGTCGTCGTCCATCCGATAATAGTGTTCTTAATGCTCCAATCGCTTTACTGTATTTGTCTAATGCATAACTGTGATGCTCATCCATGTGGTGGTGATCGATGTCCGGGAATCCTGAGAGCGACAGTCGAGTAGGGAACGAAGTTACCTCCAATGACTTTGCGAGCGCGCCCAAAGCTATCGTAGCGTAACGGATAGGCGCATCGGAATGACACAGCTGAAGAACCTTTTCTGTCCAAAAAGTCGGATCGAATTCTCCACCAATTTCGCCGGCGGTCTTGTCGCAAAAGCGCTGAAAATACCGTCGCTCCTCAGCAGTCCCCGGAATAGCTGTCGATGGTGCGTATGGCATCACAGAAACTGGTCTTGGGTGGATGGCTACGGGTGTTACTTGCTTCTCTGAGTCTTGCTCGATCGTACTATATCCACCGCATTCCCGACCCAAATTCTGACATCGGATGCATCCTGGCTTCGTCTCGTCACACTTGACCCGACGCTGTCTAAACACCATTAGTATGATGGGGATTAGAGAATCACTAGGTCCAGTATCGATCCAGCGACTCTCTCATTGTTCTCGAGGTATACATACTTGCATGTCGAGCACCCCGTCTTCGAGCGAGGGCCGCTCTTTCGCAAACCCTGACTCCGTGAAGACTGCTCGGGTGAAGCTTGGTTGGGGTCGGCAAATTGGTTGAAGAATTTGTAGACATTCGGAAAAGGATGCCTCAATGACATTGTTCTTGTCGTCGAACACAAAGGAGCGAATGTGGTTGCCGCATCAATGTCATCCAGAGCCGAACTCGGACGGTTCCACCAAACATACGATTTGTAACAAGTCGACGGGATCAGAGCGACTATGAATCAGTAGATTCGAGCAATTCCAAAGAACGTGTTGCATGTCCAGACTCTCTGTGTTCATCAGTAAGAAAAGACGATTTTCAGTACGCCGCTAGAGAGCGTTTGGTCGCGGTGCCCATGACAGGAAGTCTAGCACAGAGATGATCAGACTCGCCCGCGCTGAATGCGTGCCATCTCGCTTTAATGGCTAATCTATGTGAGTGTGATGGGTGAGCCAGGGGGTTCAATCTGGCTAAAAGGAGATCCCCAGCAATATGTGAATCTAGAGGGTTACCAGTAATCAGACTCGATACATGATGTGACCATTCCGGAACATACCTGGCGAAGCTGGGGCAATGGGTGGACTCAGAGTGCATTCCCCTCAACTCCCCCTCCCCCAGACCGCAATAGTCGGTACCAAGCGTTGAATGGCAACCCAGGATATATTTTGGGCTCCCGGCCAGTCAGAGCAGTGATGGTAATTTAAAAATCCAGGGTTTCCTCACGTGTTCCGGCAATATTCTGCACGGGGAGGGAGAGGAGACCAGTCAGAGGGGGATAAGGAGGCCTCGCTAAGCCTGCCCTAGCGAATTTACCCATGAGAACAGGCATGAGTTGTCTCCTGAGCGGTTTCCCCAGGTTGATAGACACAATCAGAACCTGAGAACCATGCCTCTTGCGGGTGCGCTCGAGATGAGGTCCGCTGCTAGGCCTGAAGCGGTAACATCACCGGCTGGCCCAGCGAGCTTTGGAAAGTGTCTCTTTGAGTTGTGTTGCAGTCGACCTGTTGTTCTGCAACAACATTCATTGCCTTATCTGACCGTCGCCCTCATCTCTATGCTGCTACTTCGAAGTATGCATACCCGAATACATACACAACCCATCGACAATCCCTCTTGCCAGCCTCTCTTAGCCCAGCTGCTCTTGCCCTCGACTAAGCACCGGTCACCCGCCTGAAGGCTTCCCGCTGTCACTGACCACAATTCGCTACGAGGACACCCCCTTTGCTCAGTCCTGTTGAGCCAGCCGTGGCTGCTGAGCATCTGGACTGGTTCTTCATGCGGAAAAGCTGGAGCAGCTTCAACCGACCATGATCATTGGGCGACACACGACGGGCGCCCCTCTTATGCGTCGTTAGCGCTTAGGATCCTTTCCCCCCCTTCTCGGAGATCTATACCGCTGTCCCGGATCAAAGCAACTTGAGGCCCAAAAGCACCAAATAGAAGCTCCTCATGGCCAGCACTGCTCCGTACGCCGGAGGAACCTTGTCCCATTCCGAGCTCTGTCTGGCTGGGTTGAAGCTGCTCTACTGAGGCTATATATGAAGCAGAAACGAACTCCAGTAGTCATGGCATCTTCTACCAGACTTAGTCAATCATGTGAGCGACACATTCTGGTCTCCACCACCAAAACTACTTCAACTAAAGACGCCTCGACGAGTTGTTTGTGCTTTACCTCCTTGGCAGTGTATCATGACCCAATAGAGAGCGGAGGGCGTTACGGTGTGTTTCGTTTAATTATGATATTATTCGTCTATCAAGGTCTACTCAGCGCTGCCGCTTCGTTCGCCGAATTTCAAACCATGCCATGTTCCCCGGTACGATTTGTGCCCCCTCCTCAAGATTTCATGTCATGGAGAGACAAAGCGGCAGGATCAAATGCGATTTAGCACAATACAGGATGCTATAATTGAGAGAGGTTCTGAGAGAATAGCTATTCGAGTGCCGCCCTTCGTCTGCGTCTTGACTTGTCTCAAAACAGTGAGCTGCAGTCATCTCCAGCAAAAGTATCCAAGCCTCATGTGGTTCTTGCTAAAACTCAGTTTGTGGAGTCTCCAGCGACGGGATACGTGGATGTCAGGAGTGGGTATTTCCACGATCGTGGGGTTGAGTATGCACGTCGTAACTCCTCTCCGAGAAGCTTTACCCCCCTAATTCGTTCCTGCGTGTCTTGATACAACTTCAATCTCTCTTTTGAACTACCCCACGTCAGCCTTACCCGTTATGGCCATTATTCATTGGCGATATCATGCCTTCAGGTTCAAAGAACATGTCAACCACGTGTAGATAACAGCGGCGCATCTCATCTCATGTTTCTAAATGTTTCTAGATCGTTGGTCTGACAATGTTCGTGTTCGAACTTCCAAGTTAGACAAGGGAAGATAAAAGCTTGATCTGATTTGATGCATCAAGTCTTGAGCTTCTCTGGAACTTGCCTCCTAGCCATAATCAGCAAAGATCCACGAGGAACCGGACAAAATCTATTGCAGTTAACTTTTAGCGACTAGTACCTGATGTTTCAAAACAAAGCATTGAGCAGTTTTCATTAATCATTCTGAATTGCAGTCTCTCCAGATTGCCTGCAGGTCAACAAGGGCGGTACAACATCTCGGTGCTCTACGAGGTCGTCCAGGGCCCCAAAGTGGCAGTGTTCTAGAAGAGATGAAATCCAACATCGAAATCTTAATTGCAAATGCGAACCTGTCATACCTTGGTGCGCCACAATTATGGCATTCTGATATCGTCAAAACCACGATCCATCTGGCCAAGTTGTTGGCATAGAGATTGGCCTCAAGGATAGCCACGCTTTCTGAGCAATGCATGCCACCTCTGTAATCTTGGTTGCTCGAGATTCCATTGATAATTGGGCGGCGGACTGTCTTGCCGCCCTCGAATGGACCAGCCTTCTCGGATCTCTGCCGGGGACCTCGTGGCAAGCAGAGTTGCGCTGAAGAATTTGGAATGTTCGAACCAATGATGATCGACTCGGACGAACTATCTACTGCTTCTTGCTTTTCCGACCTGAAATCAAGATGATAGAAGAGATCCTTCCCGCGTTGCACTACATCTCGGATGTCTTGTTTCGGTAGTTGGTTACACCAGCCGCATGTCAAGCATAAACTTTTCGTACCTTCATGTCAGACCAAGTCCGACCGCGAGGCTACAGTAACTACGTCGAATCCTTCCTCATACGTTTGTTCGGAAGACTCGTGGTCTTGTGGAGGAAAACCAACATTCTGATATTATGAAACTTCTACTCCCTTTCTAGAACAAGTATACGAAGTCAGCATTACGTTTTGAAAACGACCCTCAATCTCGCGCAACTGGTTATTATTAGTTTGGAAGCCCTTCTATGGCTTGTTTCATCCTACTGTGCCTTCTCATTATCTCATCAATGATGTTTTGGAATCTTGAATAAACCGTTTTTGGCCAGCCCAACTTCGGGTGAAAGGCTCACCGACTTCAAAATACATGAAGGTACAAAATGGTACCAGAAGGCAGACACTTTGCGCCTTCGGTCGTACTACCATTTTTGCCAACTGGTATATGGCCGATGCGGCGTTGCATTTTGATGGCTTGTTAAGCGGCCAGCTGGTTTGCTTCATTTGGTAGGAGGCGTACACTCCTATAACAAAGACCTATCGATCATTACTGAATTCGACTCTCGACATACACTGTAGAGCACTGCATGTATAGATATATTTTGAACCTATATCTTTGTTTCTGCCTTGAGTTTTTCAATAGTCAGATATGTAGGACAATTAAGTGGCCGATTTTGTTTACTTCCACGATCTAAACAAGTCAATCGATTGCTTCGATGCATATTATGTGCCTAGCAAATACGAGGACGCGAATAGAGCAGAGTTGCATATTTTGCGCAGCTGTTAGTCCGCTACCTTCAGACTTCGTATTGAGAAGCTTACGCGTAGTTAGTACTTCGCCGCTGTAGCAGTCAAAGCCTTACTATAATACGCGTACGAAGTATCAGGCACTTGAACGTTCCGCGGAGTTCAATTCAAACAATATGTTGCCAATCACTAAATCATCAGAAAGCTCAGTTGTTCTTGAGCTACTGCCAGGGTACTGCATCTCGAATTTGGATCTAGCTAAATCCTTCTGCGGGCAGTCCACAGAGAATTAACGCCTTCAACAAAATACGTACTACATTTTCGGGTGCGATCGCGCCTGCTGAAGAACCTTTCTGTTTCTTTGGTCGAAAAGACTATTTGCCTTCCTGCAGGTACGACTTCGCACGCATTCAATTCTATCTTCGGCCTTATTAGCATCTTCAAGTGAAGCATCTCTTTCGCTGGACGAAGGGAGCAATTCGTTCGTCATATGGCATGCTGAAAATTGACCACGGATTTCTGACCTTACACAGAAAGGCTCTTCGTCTACCTACTGCTGACAACGGTTCGAACGCCAGGGGTTCAACTCACTTCTTGTTGTCAGGGCGAAAAAGCGTCGAGCTCATTGTTAACTTTAATGGGTCTTTGGTGGTTTACAAAATCGACTGCGACTTGATGTTAACGGATTAAGCTTGCATAATCATGCAACTCATCCTCACACATCTCCGCCTTAGGGAAGCAGTCTTTTATTCAGCATAGGAATACGGAGTAAGCCTCCACGAACTGTGTTTTGCATACCCACAATTACGATAGATACCCGGGAACGGAATCTCGTATTATATTTCATCAAAAACAACAGGTTATGGTAAAGAGGCAAAGTACCAAGTACACACAACAACCCAATAACACACAAGAAGTAGAAATACGAACTAATGTATCAACCACCTTACCTCTGTCCAAGCCCAGCACATCTACAACTCTCATCCTCATGTCTCGGCCTCTATCCCTCGCACTCGGCGACTCTCACGATCTGGTTACACAAGAAAATAAGCTATCCTATTCTCACTCATCATTACTAAGTCTAGCTGCAGCATCTCAACACCAATCAATTCGCCCTACCACTGTTTCGAAATCAGCGCCGGCCGCACGATATGTGTGCTGACGGGTCGTCGGGTTCGGCGCGAACGTGCAGGTGCTGGATTTAGAGTTATTATAAAGCTTTTTGGATGATGGGAGGTGGGTTTGTGGTGTTTCGGAATTTTTGGTCAGGGCCTGTTGGTTTTCTAGAGAGGTTTTTGTGAATACGTCTTCTGGGATGTGGATACTTTATGGGAAGTTGTTTACAACGTTCTGAACTCCCTACTGTTTCTCTTTACAAGCAATGTATATAAAAAAACACTCATCTGAGTGATCTTATCACATTGCCCTATCTTGGCTTTTGAAAATGTGCGATTGTTTCACTCAGAATGGGAAGATTTCCATTACTGTCTGCTCACTCCACCAATACTACGTCGACAGATTGCTAGAAACCGATCGTTAAAAACCATGTACCAAGTATCACATAGAGCCTTCATATAGCTCAAAACCTCACCTCCCTGAAACTTACTTCTTCAAAATCCATGTCTTCAGATGCAGCCACATTCTCAGTCATACCTCCACCGCTTCGCCTTTCCAGAGCGAGTACGCCACGAGATTCCCACGTGTTTCATTTACATCGCCGTTGTAGTTTCAGATTGTGGATCAATTTTGGTAATGTATCTATCTTAACGCTTCGCAGTTTCTAGCTCATTTTGGTGACTATATGCCTAAATAGACTGCTGCGCTGTTCGGCTTTACTTGCGAGATTGAAGTTATGGGAGTTGACATATTTGCTTCCTTGTGCCGGCGAGATGTTTCACTCGTTCTGGGTTTGTGAGACATAAATTTACAAATGTTGTAGCTTCGTTTTGGTGGCAATTCATGTCCAGCAAGAAGTCCGCATTTGAAACAGGTTGGGGGATTAAGAAAACACTCTTTTAAATCCCAGTAATACGATTCTACACACACAAGAGAATAGTTGACAGAGAGCCCCATCTACAAGGGACCGTTCTTGAATGTTGATTATGTTTGGATGAATAAAAAACTGTCTTTTGTCATCAGTAAAAAACTATGTTTATGAAACGCTTATGGGAACTTTTTGAGCTCTGGTTGATCTTGCTTGGATTTCTTACTACTCTACCGGCAAGCAAATTATGCACCATGTTGGCAATAAATACGTCCCATCTACCTTACTATTACAATTTTTTGGGGGGGTGGGGAAGGACAATCCAAAAAGTTATATGATGAACCATATGTTCTCATATTTCATTTGTTTCCTGGCTTCTTATAGTGTTGTTCAATAAAACATTCACTTCGTGATGTTGAAACAAGTATAACTAGAAATGTTTGTCAAATCTTATCCATGTTCACCCTTCTTTACCAACAACAACAAACTCATATTGAAATAAACATTGGTAATACTACCCATTCATGTGCTTGAGAGTTTTAGGTATAGATCTTGTTGATTGTTAACATTTCAAACAGTCCAAGGACCATGGACCATGGATGACTCCCAAAAGGTTCCTGTGTCTCAATACACGGCAAAAGCAGTTTCTGATGACTGTGAAAAGTTGCGCTCTCATCATTTGGAAATCAGACACTAGTCCTACTCTCCCCTTTGAGCAGTAGATATGTATATATATATAAATCCCTAACGTATTGATTGAAGTATTTTCAAGCAGATTCTCACAAAGCCAATTTCCTGATACCAGTTTTCAATATCGATAAACAAAATTCTATTACAGGTTTCTAAAGCGGCTTCATAAGACTTTTAAGACAATGCCATCCCAGCTACTAAATTATATCACGGTATATGACTACAACAACCTTCCTAAATATCGAGACCTTAGGGACAAAGATCAACGACAGGGCATCAAAAGAGTTGCTGAGACAATGTGGAGCTGCGTATGTAGAACATTTATTGGAAAGGGTCTTACGCTAACGTAATATCAGTGTAGAACTGCTTGTCATCACTTCCTCAATAAATTTAGTTGGAAAAAATGTGGCGGTCTTCTGGGACAATGTCATCATGGAAAATGCGGATCGGGATGCCATGAAGTCCAAGTGTTTGACACCACAAAGACTATCTAGTGTCCACGATGCGACTTTGATATTGAAACAATTCGACTTTCAAACTCATAGAAGGAGAGAATAGTTTATTATAAGGATTTGAATGAAATTTAAATATTGATGAATTAACAGTCTCTCGTGGCCAAGTATATTGTGATACCACAACCAGCGAGCCCCCGTTGAAAAAGAAAAACGGTGGCAAAACGTATATTTGGAGTGTCTAGGTATGTTTAGAGACAGTCTATAGAAGTACTGACAATCAATTACCCTGAGGCCGTACGGACAGATACTGTCGCACAGTCTTCGCATGGCACCCGAGACTTGAAGGAAACACGACTGACGGAGAGTGGCATCAGACAGGTATGCATGTCATTGCTTTTGCTATCAATTTACTATTTATTTGTCATAACATAGTAGACAACATAGGAGAAGTCACGACTGTGAGACTTATGTAACTTATAGACCCCAATCTTGAGACACTACTGCCAGGACCTGCTGTTCAAAATTAGTCATGAAGGTAGTTACTTGCCTCACATTCTCTTGAACAATTATCATGACTAATTATTGAATTACTGACAACTAAAAGTTTAAGAAATGAATACTCCAGCCTAAAAAGTGTAACATCACTGGACCGATTCTTCATTAATTTACAGTAAGCGAATCGTCAATATCAATGATAACAACAAGTGACAAGAGGTTAATCCCTCATCGAAAATAACTAAGATGGTAATACATGACAACAATCTTTGAAGATTCGTTTTAAAAGCCATTGCGTCGTGACAGACATTCTATCGTCGATAATCTTTCGTACATATGTCTCATAACAATATGAGCCATATGGGATTGTTGTATAACGATTATCTCAAACACACAGTAGAGCAATGGAAATACCGATTAAGCGGAATATACTAGTCAGAGATGCATTCATGGTATAAAAGTTCTCTTTTGTTTTCTCAAAATCTTCCACATATCATCCAAATCATCCACGTAGTACGCAGGCACAGAGTTCCTTAACGACTCTATCAACTAACAATTTCTATTCAATCAACGTCCATTCGACATGATGGTTACCCAACTTACCCAACTTCTGACAGGAAACTCGAGATCTCATGGCAATTGCACGACGCTAAAAAAGCAATCAATAAATCGAAAATCCTCGTTCTCAAATGGGGATTTGGGATACGACCAATCACGGCCATTTACGTTCTATGATCTTCGACGAGAGATAATATTTGCGCCAGAAAATACAACTCCCCACACATTTTTCGCAAGTGAGGGACTGACTAATAATTCCCAAGTTTTACGTGAGTTGAATAAGAAGAATTTCGAGGACACGAACAAGCGAAACCAGGAACTGAATGTCGCTCTATCAAACTTAGATCTTGAGAACCAAGAGCTGAAGACCAAAAATGAGCAAATCACCAAGCTTCTTGCCGAGCAAAGAGAAAACTTTGAGCTCGAAATTTTGACTCTCAAGCAAGAGCTGGAGACATCCCGTACTAAAGTTGGAGAGTTATCGGCACATGCAAGGGCTCATGATGATTATGTTGCTGAGCTTAAGGAAGAAAACGCCGATCTCGATTTCAAATTGATAGATAAAAGAGCCGACGATGCGGAAATTTATTTATCAATGGAGCTTCTCTCCCAAAGGACTCATTTGGTCGATGGTATTCGGAAGATGGATCTCTCGGAGCACGAATCTGTAGAACTGATTCGAAAATTCTCAAGGTTTCCTTTCACGATTTACACGAGTGATGAGGATAGTAGTGGCTTAGAAAACTTGTCACCGGAAGAACTCGCTATACAAAAATATGTCTGTGGGACAGTCAAAGATTTGACTCGATATTTCATCAACTACGCTCGCACTAAGGCAGTACCAATTGGTTCCAAAGCTGCTCCCGACTCTCAAGAAACTGCATTTCAGAACTCCGTATCTTCCTCGGGAGAATCTCGCTATACAGTATGCTCCGCTACTGGTGGCGATGAAGATAACAGCAGAAACATCAAGCCCTCTTTGGAGAATGGCTGGGCATGTGTAAGTTCTCACTTAATTCCCTCTACTTTATGGCAAAATTTGACGAAGTAGTAGTACCATACCGTAAACAGAGCCGGCAAAAGCGAGCCTTGTGGATTTCCAAACGAGTATGGAACTAAGCAATGTGGGCTCTGCAAAAATGATTTCACTCCTCACGCTAGCGAATTGGGAGAATGAAGATATATCCTAGATGTTGAAGTGGCCTACTTATGAATTTCGTTTTAAGTTTGATGGTAATGGGTAACACAGTGTATTTGGATTTGTGGGCGGGGTTTTGTTTGTCAGTTTTGTTTCTAACTGTCCTTGGTAGTCAAAATCATGAAGTCAATATTTTTTTTTATCTCAGTGGAAGAATCTTCTTACATTTTCCTGAGAAATCGACCTAAATTCTATTGAGAAGGTCTAAGACAGGGAATTCTTTTGCAACTTATAGTGGTATCCATTGACGGTATTGACTTTGTCCTTCACATAAATGACGTCTTGATGTCTATTTGTCATCCACGAATTAAACATTTTCACGCACTTACTCAAAGACATAAAGAAAAAGTCAAATTCAATTCTTGAAGAAAAAGAATTGTGGTGTTCCTACCAATAAACGTGACGATAATCGACACTTCTCCTGTGAGTCTTTCGGAATGTTAGTATCGTATATTTCCTTGGAACACTAAAACCTAGTGGTTAACCTTTCGGGATGTTCTTGTGGTTGTCATAATGACAAGTTATAGCAGCATCAATTGGAGAATCGAATATAGACAAGATATGCAATTTATTAAACTCATCCACGACTTTCTCTTTCTAGTCACCCATTTCTCTTCATCACCCTTCTCATCCAGCAATTCCATCACAACTATAGATTTTCGTCTTCATATCCACTCTTCATTACCCCTCTCGAGTATTATCCTCAACAGTGCAATGTCCGGGATCGCAAGGTGAAGCTCCGTAGGGACCAGGGTGATAACATCCCTTACTTTGACAGGGCGTCTTCGAAATATCATTTCTATGAGAACATCGTGGACCTCCTCCATATCACATTAGTTTGCAATTGTAAACACAACTAGTTTAGAACATGCATAAAGATTTGTGGACTTGGCTTTAACTTACACATCTCCATATCATACCCGGACATTTCTCTTTGAGTTGCAATTGTTTCGTCTTAATGTTTGTTGCTGTGGACTTGAGGTTTACCGTCAAGGCCTTTGGGGGGGTCTTTCTTGGCTTTGTTGTCCTTGGTCGACGAGCTTAACAACTTTGATAATTCTGTTGCTAGATTCTGGAAATCAAGTGACTTTGTCGTCGAACCTGTGTTAGCTGCTAGGCTAGGGACCTCTAAAAGTGACGCGGAGGATGATGTACTGGCAGATGAAGCGCTAGCGTTTTCATCATCTGAGGACGTGCTTTCATCTATCGCTTCATTATCGTTGACTTCGCGCATTGGGGAGAGGACGGGTAGAAAGCTACATCATAAATGTGGGATTCGAGTTTTATAACCATTGTATGTAGTAGCCATAATGAGGGGAAATGCAACATACAGTCGACCGAGAATTGTATTTTCTTCGGATAAAACCTTGATTTGAAGTAATTGCTGCTTTCCGTGGGTCTTCGCGGTGGGCAAGAGATGTGATAATACTATCACGGGAATGAAACTGAGTTGGGCGAAAGACATTTTGGTGTTAACAGAATAGGCTGTTTTTCGTTAGTGGATATTGGTTTGTGTTGAATAATTTGTTGTTATTCTTCACATTCTAAGAAGGTTATATTTATATTAAGATCCTCCTCTTTCTCTGGTACTATCAGCCCTACATGAGTTGACAAAACGACAACTGTTCTGCCACAATAGATAAACTCACGATGAGCTGTTGAGGCTGTTAAGATTCATGAGGAGATAATTATGACATATTTTTTCCTCCGTTATGTTACATGTTTCTCAGGATATGAATCCGATGAAAATCGGATTATCTTGGTCTCACCATCTTTGTGATTCATTGATCGTTCATGTTGCAGCTCGAGTCCGATCCCCGATAATTGGGTTTGGGACTGCAAAGATAACCTTGCTATAAGAGTCTGTCTGGTGTGCACAAAGCTCATTGATATTCAAACCAATGTTCAGGGCAGTTAAAATTCTTCCTGCGCTCTACTGGCCCTCTTGACGCGAGAAAACCTCTGTCGAGAAGTTACATACAGTAGCGAGTCGACATTCTGGGATCTCTTTACGTTGGTTCCCTTCATTTCCTTAGATAAATTTTGGCTATATTAGTGTCATTCGTCCCAAAAGTTTGATCCGAGCTTTGTGGAGTATCTTCTATCCAATGTGCAGATTGACTATAGCTTATCCGAAGCGATTCTAAAGTGTAGTCCATCCGTTTTTCATAAATCAAAACCTGTGGAAAAAACTTCTGCTAAGGACTTGTCTAAAGAGTGGTGCAAATATCTCTCTATGCTTGTCTCAACGCAAAACGGGAATTCCAAGAACATATCACGAATTGCGTTGCAAGTTCATAATTATGGAGTTATTACTGGAGTAGTCTTTTTCGAGAAACTTATATTGAATTCTACCATAAGACTTAAACTATGACAAAAGATTACCACAGATATATAAAAACCAATTATGGACCCATACAATGACTACCAATCGTACCCGAGAACCTGAAAATATAATAGACCAGAAAAGTCCTACATATTGCCAACCGGTTGGCCAGTTCTTACTCGCATAGCCAGATATTCTAAGAAGCTCTGTAGACTATCCGAACTCGTAGAACTTTTACCAAGTTAGCTGGGACTTTCAATGTAAGACAGTATGTGACTTACAATTCGTCATCTGTCTCGCCATTGGGACCATTCGATTCCACACTGACATTACCGCCATCGTTGTGGTTGTTGTTTTGAGAAGAAGCAGAATTGGAAGCTGTAGGCACCGATGGTGAGCCAGGCAAATCTTGTTGGCCGGTCGAAGTCCGACGACGACGTCTAGCCCCTACACTGGCTCTAGCGTGATGGGCGAAAAATCGAAGCAAATCATCAACTGTCCCATACGTATACTTCGAATCCCACCTGTCGCCCTCATTATGGCTTGTAGTCTCCTCAGAACTACCACTTTCTTCTTCTTCCTGAATCTTCTTGAACGCACAACGCGCAAAACGCTCCAGAGGGTAGATTGAATCATCCATGGAGAGCGGGGGCTGTAAAACCATTCCCGGGTATCTATGGATCATATTGACGAAATTAACACCATCTGCAAGCACCTCTGGAGAGAAGAACACTCTCGCTTCGTCCACTTCTTTTTCCAGCAGCTCAGAAATGAGCTCAGCCTTTTCGCTTTCGAGCTCGTTCACAAGATTTTCCAGAGCCGTGAGTTTCTGTTCTTGAGCTTGATTCTGTGTCGATACTTCATCAAGTTGCAAAATGTACTGTTTGTTTGCCTCTTCAAATACGGCAGTCTGGAGCATGACCTTTTGTCTCTGCTCATTGAGCATCTCCCGAAGTTCCTCATTCTGACCTACAAAGACGTGGAGATTACTCAGGACCATGCGTAATACTCTCTCGCTAACGAGTGCATCACTCTCAAGTTTTTGAATTCGGCGGTTCGCTTCAACCAACTTTGTCTCGTATTCAGAAGCTGTCTCTTGAGGCCTATCTTCTGGTAGGTCTTCATCTTGCCTGAAGGGACCTGGAGGGGATACGGATCCTGTGGATGACACAGCTCCTCGTCGGCACTCCTTAACAACTGGAGTCTTGAAACGGTAGTGAGTATGCCCTTCTTCCATTAATGGAGCCAATGTGGGTAAGAATAGACGAGTCAGCCCATGATCTTGACATGTGAACCGTAGATCTGAATTCTGAAAAGTCTCTTTGGTGGCTTGGTCAGGCATGTTGATGTAGGGATACTGCTAGGCTTGCAAATGATAATTGGTGATTTGGTGGCTTTATCAAAGGGTTCGGATTTAACGAAGTTTTCAAGATCTGCGGAATGACTTTCAATTCTTGATGAGTTGAAGATTGTTGTCTGCTTTCTTTTATGAATTGCCTGGAGATTAGCTTGACTTTATAACCGCCCTTGTTTTACGACACCCACATAATAGTACGAAAACAGCGCTATCTGAGTCTTCATTACTATGAAGGATCTTAGAACACGGTATCTCATCGATTAGCTCTGATCAAAGCGCTGTTCAAATGCTAACTCATCTTCCACGCGACCGAAATCGCCACGGACTTCGTACTCCGCCAGAATTTGTTGTCAATTATCCACAAAAAGTCTAGAGTTTTACATTTTGTTAGGAGCACTTTGCAATATAGGATCTCTAATATGCATTTAGCTCGGTAGGACAGCTGTGTAATATCTTGAAATCTCGAAATCTCAGATTGGGTTGACATGATGTTTGTTTGCACTTTTACGAACACAACACAACACAGTACATGATTTTGTATGACAAGTTGACAACATGTTTTGAACTGAGGTCTTGGACTGAAGTCAGAATTTATAGCACACCAATGGGATATGACTGAAGAACGCCAAAACAGTAGTACGTACATTTGGCTTCTATTACCCGAGTCTTTTACTAGTTCAGACAAACAAACAATTACAGAAGGTTGTTTTATTATGCTACTCTGAAGTGCGCACAAAATGTTCGTCAACATGTGTCACATGGTGTTCAAAAAGCTGTCCCTGAGTCAAAAGTAAGCACGATTAAATAAGAAAAGAGGGAATAAAGGAGATGTCAAGGTGAGTATCTCTAAATTGAACTGCAGTGTTCAACTCATCATTTCCCCATAGTATTCAAAAATAAGAAGAAGAAAATACACACAAAAATAGAAACCTGACAGCCTAGGGACCAGTTCAAATTCTAAAACAATGGGCATATAACTTATACTAGTGACACGACAGATAGTTAACCCTTTACTTAGAATTATACGAAATTACTACTGGTTTTCAGCTAGTACCAGTAACCTTTTTCTAGGATTCTAAAGTCTATCTTAAGCGTGGTTTCCTATTTTTTTCTTGACGTATCTTAATCCGTAAATAATCCTGAAAGTACTGAGTGTCCCGCTTAGTGAGTGCAACACTGAAGAACTCTCAATATTCCGAATCATGTCATCCAACCCAACAATAACTCACTAAGAGTCACTACCCAGCTCGAAATACTCCATTAATCTCGATAGCTTGGCCGATGATGTCATACTCAATGGAATCACGCTACATTAGCAATCTTTGAATCTCCAAGCACTCACCTCAAAACGAAGGACATAAAACACCTTCATGTTCCACCCCATTCCCCATAAAATCCATTCATCTCTTAACCATAGTATCAAGTTCTCAACCCAATCATCTTTCCAACCTCCCAAAATGATTAACAAAACCTCACCCACCTCACTAACACCACCGTTTTCACCACCTCCTCCTCACTAGTAAAAGAATGCTTAGAAAAAACCAAGACGCGACGGTCTAAAACGTTCGAAAACAGAAACCTAGAAACCGAGGCTTGCTGGTATAGACGAGAGGGGTGTATGGGATGAGATTTCCAGAACAGGCTGTACTGACCCAAAGTTTTGATTGGGCTTGTTTGAAAGTCTTGTAAAATTACTGCATCATGATCTCTGCTTCTACACGCCCCCTCACTCATTCCCATCTCCATGCCAAAGGCCGATCCCTAGCCAACCCAAAACCACGCACTCCGAAAAACAAAAGACCCCATATACACCAAACGCCGCCCCCAAAATCCACATAAGCTTACTCCAAGCCCAAAGAAATAAGCACTGCTAGTCACTCTTTCGACAGCGCTTCCCGTTCCGCATACGTCATATTCCAAGGCTTTCTCTTTTTCGCGCTTTCCATAAGTTCGGTGCGATCTAATAGTGTATCACTATAATTCCATTAGCTCAATGTCTAAGCAGCAAGGGGACGAGCGAGGACTTACCGACGATTCTGTACGGGGTGGGCAGCGCTATTAAGATCGTCCAACTGACTCCTCATGCCAGCGGCGATAGATTGAGTTTTAGAAGGTTTGGAGAGGGCGTTGGCAGCGGCAATGGCACCGACGCCCGCGAGGGCGGATAGAATAAGAGTGCGTGAGCTCATGGTTTGTCTATTTCGATTTGATGGGAAGTTGAGTTGAGTTTTGTTTTTGTGTTGTATGTTGTACAAATGATTATTTGTGTGCTGGCGGTAGCGAATGTGGCGGTGAATTCGATATATAATACATTGTTGAAGAGAACTCGTAATGACGATTCGGGATCCGATTCTCAGAGAGGCCAAAGTCGTGTGATGTTGTGTGGTAGACGTTATGTGGGTGGTATGATTGGGTAGAGGAATGAGCCCATTCTGATCGTGATTTTTGTCGGATGCAGCCGTAATCGCGCAACTCTATGCGCAAGTCATCCAACAACAGCAGGTTCGCCAGGCAAGAACAACAACATCATTCCATGTAACGTAAAACTCAGTGTCATAGCACTGATATTGACGAAAAAGATGAGGAGGTTATATCGAGGAGGAGGATGTGACAATCACGTGACCGTTTCCTCTGGTCCGTCTGATGGCCGATGGCGAACGGAATAGGCCGGGTCTTCTATGGCAGTCCCATATCATATGTCTCTGGATCCTGAAATACGTTCGCCCATGGGTCTTGCCAATACTCTCGCTGAAATCCGAGCGGCATCATCCACTCCGATTCGATGAAGGGCATGTTATAAAAGCCGTTGTTCAGCCCACTACCATTCGCAGGCATGGGTGGAAAGCCACTCTGCGTCATTGTAACAGGTACAATTTCTGGGTTTTCCATTGGGGTATCTTTGATATCCAGATTCGAGAATTGCTGACCAATTGAAGCTGTTACTTGATCTCCTTGTGCATTCCGAACAGCTCGCGTCGCCACGAGAAGCATCGTCTTTGTGAGTTGGTACGAGGGGTTAGAGTCGCGTTCAGGGTCGTACTTTTGGTAAAAGGTGACAATCTTCTCCAAAAGCTTGAGGTCTTTTATTACTCGTGGGTTGGTCTTATTCTGGAGTATATTCATGAATAGAATATCTACACTCCAGGCGACGTGATTAAGCAGATACCTATGAGAGTAAGTGTCGGAACTTGGCTAGAGAGTCGTAAGGGAAACAACTTACCGAGTGAAAGGATGCGAGTTGTCGTGATAGTTCAGAAGCGCAATGGATGCCCGAGCAGCTCCGACACATAAAGTCACACTTCCAACGATCTTTTCCTCGCGATCGCTAGGATTTTGAGTCGTCCAACCATGAAACACAACAGAATGCACGACAATGATGAGTTGGAAATAAGTATAGTGAAGAACTGTTAAGAACATCAAGTTGTCGGAACCAAGTTTGTCAAGTGGATTCTGGGGTCGCAGTGGCTCCGGTACATTATCCTTCCATTCGTGTAACTCCTCGTCAAGCTCAACAATATCATCATACAGCTGTTCTGGGGATTTCAAGACCGAAGTGTCGGAGTATAAGAGTGCATATGCTTTGCTTTGGATTTTGGCGAGACGGACATGTTCTCGAAGGAAATGGAACGAGTGTCCGCTTACAGTAACAAGGCCAATGCCATCAGATGGAATCTCCGGAGGGAGCTCGATGATTTGATGCAAGCTGTGCACGGGTGGCTTTGTGAGCCGGAGTGAGAGGTCAACATCTAGAAGATAGGCGTTCCAGAATAATCGACGTCTCTGCTGAAAGTCTTCCTCTGAACATCCCGGTGCCTTCACATTGTAGTGATATTTCGCAATCAAAATCTGCTGAATTGCTGTTCCCAGTATCGTTGTTGCTGGGACGTTCTCAAAGCCGAACATAAAGTACAAAACCTATGGGATAAGCTGCTGAGCTAAACGAGGAAGAAACCACTTACAATGGATAATAAAGCACCAACGCTCACTTCGTCAACTGGCGACAACATCATGGTAGGAATTAAGCTCATGGCATTATAAACGTAGTGGTCATAATGATACTTGTTATCGAACATCGAAGTAATATCGGTCTCATGGCGGAGGCAGTGGGCCACCATAATATTCATCGCGGCGTACCACTAGAAATATGTTAGTATTTGGAGCAGAACACGATTCGGCCAACTTCTCGCGATGAGATGGTATGTGTTGAGTGGATGAGTATGTGAGGGCACTTACTCCAAGACTGCTATTAGGATTCCCAGCTAAGTAGGACTCTAATCCTCCCATTATAACCTCTTCCCGAAAAAGATGTATGTCCTTGTTGAGCTGTTGAAAATAAGCTAACAATCGTCAGAATAAGCTCAGCATTTCCAATGGTGGATACGTTGTACATACTCTTAGCACAAGCTATTAGTACCTCATTTGGCGGAAGAGGCGTTCGATCCGCCATGAATTGTAGATCTCTGGTCTTTCTGACAGGATTAAAATTGGACATCATTTGACCGAAAGAATCGTCGCCAACTAGCAAGTTGACCCACTCAACTCCCTTCCGCGAAAAAATGGAACAAGCACCTGTGAGAGGTCAATTCGGATACTATGAAGAGATCATAAACTCGAACCTTGATAACCTTCTTCTGTTTCAATCACATCATGCCTCTGACGGATAAGGGCTGTATTGAGATTTACATCATGAGGGGTCTGTTCATGTTCTGGAATAGACCATGCGAAGTCGGTCTCCTCTATAGGCGAGGATTCCATGACGATAGAGGGGCCACGCTTGACAGATCTTTGCCTGACCGGAGTGTCGTGACTGGCATCAGATACTGCAGGAGAGGCACTATCATCTGGTCCATTGTGAGCGAAATCGGAAATCAGGCGTTCCATTTTCGCCAGCCTTGTAGCCATATCTTTGTAGGCTCTATATGATAGATTAGTCGGGCAAGGAACTACCAGAACAGCTAGTTGACTTACGATCTTCGAACTACACGCTTTCTTTCTAATGGATATTGACATTGTTCCTGATGCTTTTCGCAAGCTGTACAATGCGGCTCCTTCCTATCGCATTTGACCTATCAAATCGACATCAACAACAATGGCCAGTAAAATCCAGAAAGGGATCATGATTCCGGCACGCACCTTTCGCTTGCGGCAGTTCACACAAGACAGGCGAGCTCTTTTCTCTGATCCCTGCGGACTGGTTTCTATCGAGTGTCGGGCCATTGGCCCCTCGGCAGGCTTTGACGTCTCCATTGCTCTCCTCCGGTAGTAGGCGCCGCGAGAATGTCTAGGTTGAAGACTTTGCTCATGCACAGATCCTCACCGAAAGCTTGCAGCCCGCTATATCATGTCAGAACAGCGTTAAGGAATAAGATATTGAAGCCGGACTCGGGCGAAAGCACAATCAGGCGCAAGTTGCCAATGAGCGATGTCAGCTGACCGTCGGGCAGAAATCGCCGACCAAAACCTTCAAAGTACCGGTCGAGACGGCGTTCGGAGTACTCGCAGAGCCCGAGCGGAGAATCATACAATAAAAAAAAGGTTTCGGGAGTTGAAATGTAAGGCTGTGTGGTGGTCTACTCTGCCTTGCTGAAAGTGTTGCAGACAGATGATTGAAAGAAGGGGTTCTCGAGGGTCCTCGACGGTAATCAGCTGCATAACCTTATTCCCTTAGGTCGAACTCGGCCGAAGACTCTTATGTCAGGGACGGATTTCTCCCACCGCTGACACCGACCGCGATTCTAGAACCAGAAATTTCACTTCGGGACTTCCCAGCTGCCTTCCAACTCATGGCTATTGCAATGTGCCTAGCTGCAACCATGAGTCACAGCACGCGCGGCGCATATTAGAATGAACTACAACGAGTTAGATTCGGCACTCAGCGAAGAAGCCCTCAAAAGTGCTATATATCTAATGACATACAGGCAATAACTGGCTCCACCAAGTATTCTCAGCATCAAAATCATCAAGCACTTGCGTAGTATTGGACCAGCATAGTCTGTGATATGTACTTCTGTGCGTCAAGACACGGTATTGGGGAAAATTCCGTTCCCATCGTATTCGCTTGACATCGCCAACTATCAACCTGGAAGGTCAACAACGTTAAGAAGCATATCCGGAGTTAAGATAAGAGGAAATTGCTAAAGCCGCAACCCATTGTGTGTTCCTCCTAAAGTCAAAGTACGGTTTTGTGTAGCAAGCAACCAATGGTATGAGACATAGTGATTTTGTGACGACGAGTTTGGACGAGTTTGGAGGGCGCCAGAAAATAGGTGTAGGTACAAAGGGAACCTACCAGGCCAAGAACCCACTCTTTGGATATACATTTTATGGTCGGTCTCATATAGTAAATAATGAGTTAACGCATGGAGCGAAATACTAATACTTCTAGCAGGGGATTCAAAAAGCGACCAGTGGTTACCTCGTCGGCATGCCGCGTAAGTCGTGAACGCTGCTAACTTGACCCTTCAAGTACATATCCTGATATACACGAATGATTTCCAACGTTGCCTACGTGGCCAACTTGTTGCATGTGGGTTGAAAGAAGCTAGCTACTGCTTTCCGTTACCTAGAACTCGGAATTTGCTCTTTGGAACGGCACTTGCAAAAGAGCAACACTATTCTCAAAGACATTCGTGCAGTCAGTGGCTCGTGTCGAGACATTTGTGACGATCCAGATCAGACCAGTTCTTTGAATTCAACATGGTATTGAAAGATCGTGTTCGGCTCAATCGAGTTCAATCACGCTGAATACTCGTTTTCGCTGGGGTATAGGAGACATCGGAGGAGGTTGTATTTCCTCGAAATCAGCAGTATCGCTTGGCGCTTCATCTTCGTTGTCTTCGTCGTTATCGTCATCTAAATCTCCATCAAACAACTCATATATTTCTTGCAAGCCTTCCTGTAGGTGGAGAAGATAAGTTAGCATTTGTATAATGAATATACTAGTTTAAATTCCACTCAACAGCAAGAGAAAGTATTTGTGTATTTACCATGTCAGTCTGCCAATCGCACTCATTTTGCAGGTCGACCAGCTTCTCATATAAGCCCTCCTCTTTATACCTGTCGCGTTCCTCTTTCATCATGCCCTTTGCCAACTTAAGCATGCTTTCCGCGAAACCCCCCAGAGTAAGTCCATCCTTCATGAGCTCACGTCTTATCAGATGTTCCCCGCACAACATGATGCTCTTGCTAATCTTTCGCAGAACTTCAAGGGCATTTCTTCGCGTTTCCCATCTCGTAGCCGGTCCGGCTTGCTCCATCACAGCAGTCAAATTTTCTCCCAATGTGTGGTCGACGCGCCCGATCATATCCCATTGCGCGTGGCTTGATAATCGCTTGAATTCTTTATTCAGGGTGTACCAGCAAGCCTTCGAATGATGATCAAACGTTGCAGGAGGACGATTGGCTTCTTCGGTAAGGCGAGATTTGTGCGCAGTAATAACGTGTTCTGCACTCGTGGGATTTTCCGAACATATCTGCCAAAGTATTGTCTGCGCTGTCAATGGTGGTAGTTTGGTTATCATGTCCCAGAGCGCTGGATCGGGAGCGGCATTGGGACGCGTCTTTTTCGAAGATGGTAATTGTGATAGGACGATCGAATCGGGCCCTGAGAAAGACTCAAAAGAGCGTTTTGAGGGATTGACAGCCATTGGAAGGTCCGAAATGCAGTGAAGTTTGTTTTATTACTCAATTGACTATTTGATGAAAGGCTGTCGCAACACAGAGTTGATAAGAAGCTCTGTCACGTATCCACGTGATGGCTGAGATGGTTCCCCTGCGAGCTTATTTTGATCCACTTTCACCTGGACATGGCTTTCTCGAGAGGATGAAATTTCGATATATAAAAAATGGTATATATACAAGTGTAATTGCCTGGCTTATAGAATTCTCTTCACAGACTCTTTGCTCGCTGTTTCAACAAGTTCAAAGGTCACCGGAAGACAACCGCATCAATTTGGCTTTCAACTGCTTGATCCCCATACAACCCCCTTTCAAATAATAATATTTACATATTGACCACTTGGTTCTCTCTAGCTCCCCAGACCTCCAACTGCCCCCAAAACCCCTCATTCGGCTGAATCTTCCCTCTCTTCTCCCTCGCCAAAGCTAGAGCTTCATCCCTTCCAATACCACGACTTCGCATCACTACACCACCATCAGCCCAAATTCGACCATCACCACCCTTAAGACTTACGATACCCAACAGCCACACTCCCAGACCTACTAATTCCAAGCCCACAATGAACCAATATCCCCGAAGTACCGATATGCTTCTCAATAACAGCATAAGTCTCAGCCAGAATTGGCAAGATATCTACTTCTCCTTCATCTAGGATCTGGTATCTTATGTGTGTTATGCCACATTCTTTGTATTTGGCTGTGAGCCAAAGTGGGAGGGGTTTGTCGATGAGTGAGAGGACGTGGGTGATTTTATATTCTTTTAGGGTTTGGGTATTATATGTTGAGAGAATACTACGACCGGTAAGTAAGTAAAACAATGGAAAAAACAAAGGTTACATTACTTGCCTACCCACAAATTGGGAACAATTTCGTCCATATTCGTGTTTTCTGTTGTATGCGGTTGTGGATTATTGATTAGCTCCGCCATATTTGCAGACCCAAAACAGGCATCCACGAGACGGCCTATTTTTATAAATCCCAACCTTGTGTATGTCAAGGACACTCGATCTATTGTTTGGGCTCGGTGATATAGATGCTCAAATCTTATACCGGGTGTCGCCTGGTTCAGGCGATGACATATTCTTTCGCCTTCTCTACCTAGGCAGACATTATACGCAATGGGCAGTAAACAGTTGAATCATCTAAGCCTATCGTTTAACATGCTCATACATTGCCGATGCTACTTGAAATAGCTCCGAAGGATTCCTGATATGATCATATGTCTCGTAGTTTGAATGCCTAGACTACTTTGACATTGTCTAGTATTTGAGTGGGCATGCGGGCTGGCACTCGTATTTTGTCAACTATCAGACAATGATGACAGCAAACGCTGAAAATTGCAAGCACCTAGGCAGTCATGTAAGATACTGAGGGGGTCATATATTTGAGTAGAGCCTTGTCTTTCCGCACATCAGGCGGAAATAGGAAGTGGACTTAATGGTTGTTTGATATACACTATTATACACAATAATGCTCCATAGAGTCTTTGATAGATATACAACATATCAACATTTGCGATGCCAACGAATCATCAAGCTCGTGTTATCTGATCAGTTGGAGTGGCATATGCAATTTCTCTCAACAGAACGATATCGATGCGTCTGTTGACGGAGGGAACATTTCGCAGTAATCTACTGTGACAACGAAGTACACATTTTCGTTATATCCTCTTCTCGTTTCGGCAATATTTCGAACCTAGCCTCAAAACGTCGTCGAATCAGGCAACGCGTTCTGTGACTTTAGTACCACCGGATGAGAACTCGACATCTACCTCCGCAATTGGCATGCCATGATTTTCAACAGCGTCCTGCCTTTGAATTTCGGTATCGACCCTGACTGGATATATTCCTAATATTTCTCCCGCATCGCCAAAGTCAGTGAAGCCACTCGTTGTGTTCTGATAACCCTCTGAGTCGCCCGCAGGCAACGTGATAAAGCCTTGTTGGAACATATACCCAATCAACAGTCCCACACTAGCTACTAAGCCACTAACAGTCGAGATACTCCGCCAGCTTGAGCTTTCCAATTCGCTAGCATGTGTTTTGCCGCCATGTTGTCTCATTCTTGTATTCCTCCTAAGCTGTCCGACAACGGGTATTGAGTCCGCAATTGATGACAGGAACACACTTCCAACTCCAACCATACCACCATTATGAGGTGCAACCCATGGCAATGAACTCTTTCCACCCTTCGATGGGGTAAACTCGTCTCTTGTTGTCAGGAATGCATCATCTGCATCTACTGGCCCCCCGAAGACCAAATTACTCAAGTTCTCCACCCATGTACATAAGTCTGGATATTTCCGTCTCATTGCCCGGGCAAGCCACGGCTGAGGTAACTCGGGCACCAACATCAACGAAAGGTATCCAAGCGCTAGACAGTCCAGACTCGAGAAACTTGTATCTGACACCAGAAACTGTTTGTCGCCCTTCAGAGCTTTCAATGGTTCAAAGAAATCACCGGCTAAAGCATCAAGCTTTATTTGTGCGCCGGTCTCTGGAGATGCAGCAAGTAGGCTTGATAGTGTAGTTTTAGGTTTTCGTAGGCTCTGTGGTATTATGGATTGTTCGTACGTCTCAGGGCCATCGTTATCAATGTCGAGGGCGGAGAGGCCCAGATGTGCGGTTCGTTCTTTCGCCGCCGCTCGAATAGCTGGTGGCGTGAGGTATGGCAGAGGAAAAGATTGTATGGTGTTATACAGTGGACGTGTCGACGATGTAAAGTTTTCGGAGGAAACGTAAAGAGAGAGGTCTATCAGGGGCTGGCCATGAGATTCCACGAAAGAAGAGAAGCTGTTGTTAACACGTATTAGCAATACTCTCTAAAAAGTATGTTCCGTTATGGCACATCAACTTACGCAATACAGTCTGCCCCCTCCTGTTCCGGCAATCCTGCATCAAGTACCCATTCTCCAGAGGAAAATTGAGCGAGGTAATGGAAAATATTTCTAAAGCCACCAATCCAGATGTCTCCGTTCCTTAAAGCTGGCAGCTCATCTGCAAGAATAAATTACTAGTTGGAAGGAAACAGACATCGAAAGAACCTTACTGGTAGGACTCAAAGACGGATCACCAGTAGCTACGAGTGTCCATTTACCTCTGGGGACAGCTTGTTGGAGATATGCAATTGCAGCTAAGCAATGAGGGTCTATGGACGCAAGAGAGAACCCGGGCCCCCATACATGGAGCTCAAGCACCATGACAATGGCTCCCAATCGAAGGTATAGTTTTCGAGCTGTGTTTCAGCGAACCTCAAGCTCTCCTTTTCGTGTCTCCGCCCAAAGTATTGTCCGACAAATAGACAGAGATTTAACAATTTCGGCGGAACTTCGAGACCAGGTCTATTCACTAAAGCGCAGAGAGTAGTAAAATGAAATAATCGAAGGGTCGAGTTGCTTTGAATCCAGTTCCATCCGTCATCGTCAAACGCGCCGAGGTCCCTGAATTATTTTACCAAGAATCCACATCCAAAGTAAATAAGCTATCATGTGACCTCGCCTCCTTTTCGCGTTCCATCGCAACAGGAAGTGTGCCACGCTCCTTTTCAATTCAACCTCTTCACTTCAATGCCCTCGTTGTGTCAAACAAGGATACAACTCACTTTGGACCGTTGCACAGAAAACATGTTGCCCAACATAGGCGTTCATATGGCTGCAAAGCACCTAGTGTCTACGCCTTTCCACTGCATCCCACCCACACCACCGGTTCCTCCCTTCCAATATCAATTCCGCCCCATCAGCCAACATCCGACATATCATGCTGTACCTCGATTCGAGACGGCTCAGCCCACTGTGAGCATCGAATGAGCACAATGAGCAGATATCCAAATAGCTCGGCCATGACGCCGTTTCCACACGCAGAGCAGACGGTGGAACGCCAGGTTGGTGGAAGCAGCAACCGTCATTCAGGCACAAGTCGAACCTCGACCATGTGCCCCCAACGTGATATAAGGGTTGCAGCCTTGATGCATATCGTCTGTCCAAATCCCCTGATAACCTCATCCCGAGCACTTTAAGCTAACATACAATAGATCTCACCACATGATAAGCTTACTTATTCATGTCCCCTTGCATGAATTGGCGGCCGCTTTCAATCTATTCGCATTGCTGTCTACATGGATTTAGACCTGTATAGCAGCAAACAAACAAACAGCCTTCGGGGACTGTGAAAGCGAAGCGTGTGGCTCGGGGAAATACTCCTGCACCTTCACCGCTTTTGAACATCAATATTCCTTCGTTGAAAGATATCAATTTGTGATATATCAAGTTCGCCAACCTCCAAGACCCCTGGCGATTAGTTACACGAGTATGATTGCGTTTTTGATTGAGCATACTTGACGATCAATCTTCAGCTCCTTTCATCATCTCAAGCGAATGATCACGAGGAGGTTTTGTCCCCCAATAGAAGCAATTTACCCCACAACTTCGTAGCACGGAGTACCAATCCCGCAATACCAACACTTTATCCAAAACATTTCTTTCGAGTTCGTCCCACTGTTAAGCGTATCAAACCGATTGTGTATTCAAATACCCCTCTTCGTACCTTATCGCCTTATCAATGGCCATTACTGCGCCCCTCTCAAGACAGCGAATGGCCGATCTGTTTGTTCGCTAAATTCGTTTGACTTGATCGAGATATCAAGTTCTTACTTGACAGTTCCCTACCTGACTCACTTCGTCGGTTTTTCCTTATCTAATGCCATTTCTTCTTCCAACCAGCTACCATCTAGCCGTTCTTCCCGCAAAGGTTGCATATGATTTCACAGCCTTGTGGACACAATCCAAAGCGTACGAAATCCTTCCCGCAACTCCACGGAACCATTATGGCTCCCGCCCCTCCCAAAAGCGTAGGATGAATACGATTCTTACCGCATTTACAATCCCCAATTTCCAGAAGCGAGTTCACCATAGAAGTTGCCTTGTTTTGTTGCAATACGAATATTTCTTCCTTCCATTCTCTCAACAAATCCTTCCCGCACAGGACCCGTCTTGCAGCAAAGGTCTCCAAGGGAATCTTAATACGAAAGGATCTGTAGCTATCTTCAATGCCCCTTTCTTCGGAGAAATACCTCAAATTTGGGGTTTTGTCCCAGAAGATCATTGCATACAATGCAGGTGTGCCACCTCTACATCCGGTATCCCATACTTTGTAATCGTTTCTGCGCCTTCCCACGTGTGGAAAACTGCTGGGCTCGTCTGCGTAGTCACACCCTCAGCAATAATTATTCCATTTACAATGACGACGACCAGCCTTCCCGAACTATCCGCGCACCACAAAGTATAGCTTCATAACTTTCATATTGGTACCTTTTGTGCCTGGATCTGCCGCGCGGAGTCATAGTCTGTAAGCATACCACCAACATACCCCCGCTTCCAACGTGAGATTACAACTCTCTCAAGTTTCTTGCGCATACCCAATTCAATTTTGATCTCGCTATACTTTCTTGGAATTTCAAGCTCTAGTTATATGGCTAGTTCACCGCTTCATAAGTCTTCCAATCTTTCGTTTGTTGTACTGCATCAATTTGTTCGATCCACTTCGTTCTAGCCAGCCAAGCTGCATTATCGCTGTCACCTGAGTTCTTCGTTGACGGGAGATATTCGCTACCAAAAGTTCCACGTGGAAAAGGATCCAGCACACAAGTATCTGCAGGGTCAAATGACGTTTGGGCGCCGAGTGGATGTACGCACAAGGTGTGACTTTGTTTTCCAGTCATTTTCACAAGAAGGGGGGTCGCTTTTGTGGTGAGCGCTAATCGAGAAATGCAACGCATGAATTTCTTTGACGTTGAGGATTTAGAGATCTGACTTTGAGCTTGGCCATTCAAAATCTTACTTCAAAGGTGTGGTGAGCTGGAATGTTGGTACTGGGCTATGGTTGGTGGCTGTCTGTTGGTGATTTCATGTCAAATGAATCGAATAGAGAAGATCAACAGACACCTGAAACAAATGGCGTGGACACCGAGTTATACGAATAATACATTAGCGCTTTTAGAGCTCGAATGCTTACTAAATGTTGAAAACATACTATGATGAATACGAAATTGTTATAGCACTCTCAAATAAAGAAAGTTATTGACTTTGCTAGCACTGTCGAAAAAGGACTCCATACCATAACCACTACCAACACCTTCCCATAACTGAACTATCTGTCATGACCCAATTTCAAAAGATCCCTACTCCATCACAGCTCAAGAAACCCACACGAAGCCAGTATATACACACCTTGAAATCACACATCGTACATCACAGCCATAACCCTCCCATGCATCACACCCATCCATGACCCCTCCAAACTCCAATCCACAATCCACCCCGCCGTCCCTCCCCTCCGCCAAGCCCACACAAAAACCTCCTCGTGACACCCACCACCAAACCCAAACCCAGCAATCAGAGGCACAGCACAGGAACCTCTACAGCCGCTCCCAAAAGGTTCATCCCACGAAACCCAACCCTCACCAAAAAGCGCTAGCTACCCAACTTATTCCACAAAACCCCCCCAAAAAGCGGTGTACAGATCCAGACCCCCCTCTACCCTCCAAAAACCAAGAAAAGAAATGCAAAGTACCAAGCCAAGGCCCAGCTTCCCTTCTAGAAGTATCAGCAGATACAAAGCTGAGAGAGGACCTACTTTTATATGCAAGTAATGCGGGTTTCATGTTTGATCAAAGCATAAATCGAATGATTGCGCCGGTGAGCAATGGGTCGTGATGTAATACATAAATCATCCTTACCCGCTCCCGCTGGTCCTGGCCGGTCCGTTGTAAGCGCGCGGAACATGGAAAGTAATGTTTTCACATAGGCAGATTTGTGATTGAGGAGGTACTTAGTGCGGTTATGGAAGGTGGAGAAAGGGAAATGGAGTAGGCGAGCATGAAATCACGATTTTGAATAGACAGAGTGTGCAATGTTAAAGTATTGTATTGATCGCATGATGAGAGCTAAATCCTCAATCACCAGTATGTTCTCGCTAGCTAGTAAGCACGCTGTCTATTCCCTGAAACCAGCTCCGGATAGCAGCATGCTCATCGCTCTCCCGTAAATCCGAAATCCCATACCAATATGAGACCAAGCCAGGCAAAATTAGACAGCTTGATGGGTATACATCCTAATCCCTAATCCCGTGTTGGAAACGAATAAAAAAGCAGATAAAAGCAAGAAACTGCCAACAGGCTAGTTCTGGGTATTGTAAAAACTCTGTGTACGGATAATGGTATGTAGACGCGCCGGATAGTGTTACAGTCGAAGGAAATTCGATGAAGAAGTGATTAAAAGGAGAACTGGCGAGGGTTCGGTAAGTTCGGAGCCAGCTTCGAAAGCTATGCACCCTGCCACGCTCCAGTAATTGCTGAGCCCATTGTGCAGTGCTTCGCCCGCTGCGGATAATTTGAAATGTATGTATCAATAGAGTTGGTGAAAATCGAGGAACCGCTGCGCTGCGCCGCAATGTTTGAAATGTGGTGGGGTGACGCAGAGATACCCGCTCGGGTGGAAGAGCCCCAAATGGCTGTAAGGCGGAAACGTGGAAGGATTTTGAGATATTATGCTCGGATTTGTTGGGAGAATGATAGCAAATGGGCTGTGGTTATGGCGACTTTAGGCACATCCCGGAGCGATATTGTGTGCTGCGTATTCATGTCGGCCTTTGCATGTTGGTGACACTGAATGCGGTGCAACCGTTGGGGGCGGCCGCTTGTGCTTATTCGAAGTTGCTGCGGCTTGCCTTCTGTCATGTCAAGCCAGGCACAAATTTGTTGGCGTGATGAAACCGTTTGTTGACGCGAGATATTGCGAGGAAGAACGGAATATTGTATGTTTATTGAAGAATATGCTTTGGTAGTCCTCGTGGACATAGCACTGAAACGCAGACGTAATTCCCGATTCGCAAGTATAGTGTAGTGGTGGATGTACCGTAGAGAAGGATTGCTTCTATTGTCGATTTTAGAATCGTATTGTTGGACTTGATTCTACTCTACTTTGGTAGAGGAGGAAGAGGACGGCTCGGTGGTGGGCCTGGGCAAGGAGGGAGCTGTGATGGTCGGTGGGCTGGCATGTTGATGATTGAGGTGTGTTCTTTGTATAAGCTCGAGCTTTTGATAAATCAGGTCTGTTTTTAACAGAGTGATATGCAATGGCGAGCAGCGAAGTATTGTTGTTGTTGGCGAGAGAAGTTGATTGAGTCGAGTCCAGTTGAGCAAGACTGAGTGGGAGTTGGCAAGACTTATGTAGTAGTTGCTGAGGCAGGAGCGACGGTACTCGAGTGGATGAGGTTGACGAGGCCGAAGTGGTCGATGTTCAAATAAAGTGTTTCTTGGGCTTGAAACTGGTCGGTATGGGTCGTAATAAAAATCTGATATTGTTTCTCCTGGGTCTTGGGGGGGTGACCCTTTATGTACACCAGCAAGTCTCGTACTCTCGGGCATCTGGGGAAATGAACAATTACTCACCGTGTCCGGATCGGCATCGGTTTAGCAGTGCAGCCAGGGCTCAGTAATTGCTCAGAGGCCTGTTCACAGCCTGACATTTTTACACTAATCTATCACTTTACAACTCCCCAGTCAGTAGTCGTGTTTCCTTTCCGCTTTTGTTGCAAGCCTGCTCAGGCAGCAGGGTGCTAGTCCCTGCTGTTGGCCCGCTGGGCACTTCTAAATCGTGAGCTTCGCAACAGCGCCTCAAATGAAACACGATAGCGTGGGAGGCCTGCTCTTCTGCTGCAGGCGGTCTGCTCCTTGCTGCACCAGACCGTTGTGGCATGGGAGAACGAACTATCCAGGCTCATGACAGTGGCACTCGTCAGTTCGCCAGCACCGTGCACGAGAAAATTTCCAAGTGTGTTCGATGTTCCAAAAAGGGGGTCATTACGATGCTTGACCGCTGTACAGGTCCACCTCTGCTGCTCGACCATCGCTCGAACCTGACGTTGTGTAGCGTAGACTGCCCCTTTTCGTAACCATCTGTGCGCCTCCAGAAAGAGCTCGTGGACTTCCTAGGTCCAGATGCCCCTGACTACACTACAACTAACCTTACTGTATCCTCGAGCTTGCATCTAAACCTGTTCACACCACGCGGCGCGAACCAGAACAAGGAATCGATGTGAGCTTTGCACGTCCAAAACTCGATGACAACAGCTCAATTGTCTGTCTTATTAATTAGCCGAACTTCGTGTGGAACGGACGCGCCCCTATTTTGGAACCCGAATGGAAGAAGCACTCGAAGGCCGTTACACGATGCTGCCCACCAGTGAGAACTCTTGGACACAAAAATACCTGCTTGAGTAAGTAATCCGGCCTGAAGGCTCAGGTGCTGCACAGTGCTGAGGCAGCGGAATAAGCTGGGAAGGCTTGGTGATTTCTGCGGGAGTCAGCTCTGATCGTACCTTAATCCCGGTGTATTGGGAGGTCAGCTGTAGTCAGGGGTAAGCCGTTCATCTGCACGACTGGATGCAGTTTAGTCCCCGGGCAGAAAGCCGTTAATAGGAACAAGTTACCAGGATGGAGGGGTGAATCAAGATATCGCTATTGTGCAGTTTATTTTTATCGACAGCATCAATTTATTGTTGAGTACATGGCATGGCATTGCGGACGATCAGGCATTGCTGGAGTCAATATAATGAGAAACATTATTGCGCATGATATCTTGCAATAAACATGGCATATCACGAGCGCCATTGGTTGTCTCTGAATTCCGGATTTGGGTTGCGTCTATTAGAACTTTCCTCCTACTCCAGCAGGATCAAAGCGAATTGGCTGCTCGTTCTAGCTTTAGCGAGTTGTGTGCAACCATTACGACAAGAAGTCTCGCATTATTGAAGTATAGCGTCGAGAATCTCGATCAACAACATAAGTCTTGCCAAGCTTGTTTTTCTACACTATCTTTATTCCCATCAATGCTAAATAGTCTATAATCCAGCCGGCCTTGCGGAACTAAACCCCTAGACAATATTATCGCGAAAAGAGTATTAAAAAGGTATATAAGTAGAACTCTTAATTATATTACTTACTCTTCTACTTAAGGTAGAAGGTTATATATATATAGATAATTATACTAGAGGCTAGAGATAATTATATAATATTATATAATTAGTTATATAATATATATTTAACAAAGAGTACACTTTAACGAGAGTCCGTTAAGCTAAGAATTGTCATATAAGGTTTAAAGCCGAGGATGCTGCGAAAGTTAAAATACCAAGGACTGATTCGGCGACGGAGAAGATCTCCTCGAGAGTTTAGCTGTTCTAAGTTCAACCAAGCTATCTCTACAACGACGGCTGACACCAGACATCATCCTTTTGGTCGGCTGCTATCCCCGAAATGGTTAAATGATGCTAGAGTGTATCAATCCATAAACTCTATCAGCCTTATCCAGTCTAGCCAGAAAACGGTCTCTTGAAAACATGGAAGCAGTCGATGCTACAGTAACCTCTGGATTTGAGCATTTGTCTGGTAGCAAGTATGAACTTTGAAGACTTATTAGGTGCCCGGAACTGGATTACGCTGAAGGCCTGCCTATCAATTACAAAATCAGCAGTTTTACTGAGGTTTACTGAATCTGCAACCTCGTCAGGCAATAATACAGGAGGAGTATTGCAACGCATTGCAAGCGCCAGCTAAGCGCCTTACATGCCTTGAATGTAACCTAAATCCAAAGCGATCACCCATCGACAGATGTGATAGTGATATACCAATCATTATCTCCGAGATGCGCATTTTCAGATGTGCTTTGACGGCTTCGTATACATCTTGTCTCAGTTGTTGATTATCCTCGTATATATCTCGTCATCTGCGCGTAGGAGTTCGTGAAGCGACGTTGTGTTATCGCGAATCCTCGTATTTGATGGAGATGAGACGAGAGTTGCGTCGAAACTAAGTTTAGGTTTGTGGGGAGTTGGGCGGCGCTTATTGTGTACTTTTCCCAAAATACGCTTGTAGTTTGTCTTGACTTGCATGTTTATGACGGAAGGTGTGAAGATTTATGGTTTCCCCAATATTGGTGACCAAAAAATGTCAAAGCACACCTCGCACAAACGCTTTATGTATGCAGACACCACGTTTTCATAGTCTATAGTCGATAGTCCATCGTAGGAGAGGGTATTCAAGACGACAAATGTCACTAGCCCAGTGACATGCTTCTAGATATGATAGATATGAATAATGCCCGAGGGTGTGGTGTGGTTCTGTATGAGACTTGCATATATATCCGACAAAGCTATTAGTTGCGGTCCAGGAACACGACCAAAAAGAGCAATCCACAACTTGGTTTGTGACTATCGACAATTCCATGGCTGTTTCTCTTGGGTTGGCTCCTGCCTGGTTGGGCTTAAATAACAAGTACATGCTTTTTCCGGGAGGCTCGTAAGTTTCCCAACCATCTGGTGCCTTTCAGCCGTGCATGTCTCAGCCTTTTTGCGCCGCTTCTCCGCAAAATGAAGATCGAATTTGCTTCTTCGAGATCTGAATTGAGATTAAGTCAAAGAGTGAACACTGACATGACGCCAACGGATCTTGGTGGTGGTTCGTGTGAGGATTCCCAGTGAATTGGTAAGGGTTCAAGGGAAGAAAGCTCAGTCGCTTCGCCTGTTGCATATTCGGAGTCTGTTATTATTATTACAAAGGCGTATCTGACGAGAGCATGAAAAGGCATACAGCTTACAAGGCTGAAATCTGCGGCTCTTTTTGGTGAGCCCTTGTAAAGTTATTTTCTTGCTAATTATATCTGCCTCACATATTTCCTACACCAATAATTTCCATCCGGATGCAGGTTCGAGAAGTAGAACCTGCTCGGTCAAATTCTTCGCTACAGCAGATCAATTTGCTTTTTTCTTACCGGCAAACCGCATTATTTGATCATATGGTCAACTCCGGAGAACGTCCCCTGGAAATCAAGTACGAAGAAGAAAAAGCATATAATTATCTTTTCCGGCAAACGTGAACGGGACATTAGAATATGGGGCCGGGAGACTAGCATCTTGCATACCTCTGGGTATTGTAGAAGAAAGAAATTTCTTTTGTGATAACATCGATCATTATCAACAACGTCAGCTCGGCCATGAGATTCCACCTTGTCTTCGGCTCTTCGGGATGCCAATCGCGCAAAGAAACTTCGGAACGTCCAAGGTACTGGGCTTCACCGCTACCTTTGAGCCAATCATACCCTTTAGATGGACTTCCATGAAGAACGAGACGATGTTGAAGTCGGGCAACGATGACTCTTCCCTCCTGACAACAAATCGGAGCCGAGGATGCATGCAGATGTATAGAGACATGCCCACAATTGCATCTCGGACTACTGCTAGGCGGACGTCAGACACATCGTCGGGTCGAGCTTAATAAAAGACACTTGCACAGGGGAAATCATTTGATGCGCAACCACGCGGACGTCGGACAGGTCTGATCGAAAGCGGTGTGCCTAGACAAAAATGCTCTTGATATTTTCTATGGAGCTGGGCTGGATACTTGCTTAAACGGCAAACGGCTTCGTACTAGACGGCGCCGTCCGTACTGTCAAGCTCACAATGACCTCAACTCGTGCTTCGGGTAAACTAGCTTGGCTGGTAACTTTTATACTTGGAAGAAAGACTTTTCAGTGTTGCTCAGTTGATTATTTTCTGGGCTAAGTCACTGCTAACCCTCCGGAACTTTGTTCCTTTAAGAGTATCAACCCGGCTTTCCGAACTCTAAGCTGGGTATGCCTCACACAACGACACGCAATAAAGTTATGGCAAACGAGTTCGGTCGAAAATACAGCACCAAAAGTGATTGACTTTGCCGCATGGACACTTGCTGCAAGCTAAATATTCGTGGCACGGTGATTTTGTTAGCACTTGGGTTTTTCGTGTGGCGATATATACTTCAGTTGCTGCAGAATTTATGTTTAGGTGATCTTGCCCGAAAAACTATTCTTCAACTCACGGACTTGCCACCCCCTGTCGATCAGATGCGTTTGAAGCGAATGTGAGTTTCTCATCAAGATGCGTCGCGGCGCCCAGACATGGTTAGGTCCTTTTTGGTATTTCATCGTCGTTTCGAAACAAGATTCACAAGTAAATGTCTATTTCAAACTGATAGACGCGTTTGCGGAATATCTCTATCTCTTCGTGTCCGTTTTTAGCAATCAAATTACGAGTCACACCATATCGTATCCCAATTCGAGGGTTACGCTCCGGCCTCGCAAAGACAATAGAGCTCCACCTCGGCATACCACAACACCATCACAACTGTCGTCAGCTTCTTCAGGGACGTGGCTGCTTCGAGCTGAGATCGAATACCTCCAAGTCCAAAATTTCAGTGCCCTATTACTCGCCTCATAATATCTATCGTAAAACAGACCAACGAAATCGGTGCACTGTCCCGTTGCTGCGCAGTGAACAGCCTCCACCAAATCGAAACCATCACGCAGTTGCCCCTGCAGAGAACAATTTCTTTTTCTTCTGGAAGCCCGGTATTGACAGACCAGCAGCTGGGTTCCTGCAGCTGATCACCAAGCTAGCGCCCACACACAAACTTCTGTAATTCTTCGAAAAAAGGAAGCTCAACAAACGTGTCGAGATACGGGGTTCTCCACCTGTGATTCTTCTGGAATGAGATGTCGACGTCCTGCTACTGTTTATAGTATCAAACATCTACTTTTCATTACCGCTTGTTGGATTTCCTAGGTTCTGGTGGTTTGGAAAGGACCCAAGACAGCGGGAGACCGTCAAAGGGGTCTTCTAGAAGCAGCGGTGTCGTTGTAAAACCGTGGGTAAATATCATTTCAAACTCTTCAAACGCATGCCGAGATGCGATCTGTCTTCTCCTGGCGCTCAGATGCACAACAAATGTAACTTCACCGCCTGAACGAAATTACAAACGGAGCAGTTCAGATGAAAATTGTCCATCTTCCTGAGACAAATCTAAAACCTGTATGGAGTACATCTTTTAGGGCATGGCATATGTTTAGTTGGTCCCGGCAATGAGGTAGAGCCCCGTCTCATCTCACCTAATTGTTTTGTTTGCTGACTCAACGATAATCATATCCCGCGTTTCTACGGAGTCATGTTACACCTCGTCTCTCCTCCTTCCTCATACCCTTTCCATGCAGAAGCTGGGAGTTTGCATGTAAGCAACACATCTTGAATGATTGGAGCAAGAACGACTTCAAGTTGCAAATTGTCTCTGTCCCGAGCACACTACAAAAAAAGTAACCTCGGTCAATTTTCTCTTTTTCACATTCAGCGAAAGTCTCCTATGCAATTTGAACTGCCGTCTTCCCACGCCTCAACCACAAAGGAGTCCGTCGAGAAGATTTCCACGTGGCGCGCACAAGGATTGAGACACCCCTTGTCCAGCGGAAAAGCACAATTTAGGGCTTTGTAGAGCGGTGAACACCATGACCTCATCCCTATCCTCGTCTCCAAACGAAAATTCTGTCATGAGCATCTCAATGGCAGCAGGCCCCTTGAAAACACGATCATGTGCGTGAAAGCGAAATGAGGAAAATTGCTGAAACTTGGAATCGCTTGCCGAGCCTACGTATTTTCACGTATTCTTGATTATTCGCCCTTGTAAAAGGCAGGTAAAAACAGCTTGGACGAAGAAGCGAATAATAATTTGGCCACATAATGCTGTGGCATTGAAAGAACATTCTGAAAAGGGATATCAGGGGACTAAGCAAGGTACTTTCGGAAAATTAGTATGCTCGAACGGCAAGGCGGCTTGAGAAAAAGCCCTGAATTCAGGAATTGCTGACGTGAGGTTGCAATGTGAAAAGTTCGAATTTTGACCGAACCGCCGAGAGGCTTTCAGGATTTGGAAGCATGTCAGTCAAGAATCTTCAAGCGCCCATGGTGTTTCAGCGGGACTTTTTCTCGCGCTTAAGTTGGCAGGCGAGCACATTGTTGCACTCAAGGGGAAGGATCAATATTTAAGCGAGATACATCTTTTACAGTTCTCGACTAGACCATTAAGGTTAAGGCTTCACAATTAACAGCCGTGGGATAGGAAATTGGCAAGACTCGCTTCATTTGCATGATACGTCTTTCGTTGAACATGTAGCTCTATTTCCATGATCCAGGAGAGGAAACCTTAGCACCAGCCGCCAATATTGGCTGTAATGCTCCCTGAATTTTCACGCCAACTGGCATTCGCTCCTACAGCCTCCACTAAAGCTTAGTCGGGTCGAAAATTGTTCACCCGTGGCAATTTAATAGTTCTCGTTAGATTTCTGAGTACCTTGTCGTAGAACTGGGTTTTCATTCCAGGAAATTATATCACAATACACTCGTTGTCATAATCGTGGAAGCATTCATCTTCTTGACATCTGGAACCCGGCTTCACGACGGGTCCGTGGAACTCGTTGATGTGGCCACATATACATTATAAATCAAATAAGCTTTTGGAATTTGTGTAGTTTAAATGATTTAACAAAAGATAGAAGTGACAGAGAGCTTCTTACACATTTCCAATGGCCACCACGTCTTTCAACATCTTTACCATCTCGAGATTTTGTCTTCAATCTCTGCAAAATTCTGTTCCCAATGTTCATAATTTTCACTCTTTTCTTGATTTCTCGTCCGATCCAGAATTCTCAGCGCCGTCAGGGTTTTCTGAGTGGAGAAGCGGCTTGGTTGAATCAGCTCCTACCATTTTATTGTACCACTTTCTGGTTTTGGGAAAACGGGAATGGTAGTTCGGAATACCATGTTGTTGTTGAACCGATTCGGGAGCTATTGCTGTATTCATCGATACTTCACTCGATTTAGAAGGAGATGAAGTGTCACCTTTTATCAATGACTGTTTTTGATTTGTACTTGGAGGATGAACTGTGGTACTTCTGGAGGAGAACATAGCTGGTGAACAGGCTGCCGGTCCTAGCTGATCTTGGGCTTCTTGTATTTATATCAGAGATAGGTGACGGAATTTTTGATACATGGATCATCTTAGAAATGAAAACATCGCTTTGTTAGAAGACTTTATTTCAATCAAACAGTAAATTTCGCAATCGACCTTTGTGATAAATGTAAACTCGTGAAGTATTACTTACTTGACTTTGACCAATTATGGAGCAATTGCAGCCGTAAAAGGTTAGTACATCAAAAATGAGTGTTTATTTTAGACATGATTGTTTAAAGGTACTAAAATCGCTAAAAGTTCTTTGTGACATCCATTGAAAATGCAAACACCTTGAAGCTTTCGCTTAATTTACAAGAGAATCAAAACAAGCAGGATAAAGATTTCTCAAGCACAAACAGTGGACATGCGTGTTACCATCTGTCAAAGGTATCGAAGATCATGTTTTAAGTCCTTCAGTGGAAGACATAAATTACAAAGCAATGGCTATCCGAGTTCTTGTTAAGATTGAAAAGATTGAAACTCTATATTTGTGCTGAACGAGAAAGAAAGTTAGTGAGAAAGAATGGTTTGGGTAGTTGAATCAAGTTAACTTTCAAAGGTAGTCACCTAGTGACAAGACCGTATTGAGTAACTCACAACGCTCAAATCTGAAGGAAACAAATCAAAAAGCTAAGAGAACCCTGCGATATAGCAGAAAACAGCAAATGAAGAGCCAATACCACTTTAAATAAGAGAATTAAAACACTCAGCTCTGCATCATCCTACAAAAAGCACAGTAGGACAACAATGCATACCCTTGTTGAAGTTTTGTTTCTCGAAAAATGATGATCTGAGTAATTGCTATCCCTTAGATTCAAAGCAAACATTACAGCTTTACATATCTTTCCATTTCGTCATGAATTACACACTGAAGATAGATTGTAACTCCCAGTAAAGACTCATTACTGCATGAAATGACACACTGCATGAAATGACTACAATGTGAAAGACTACTTAAGTCGTGAAAAGGATGATAGAAATGCAAAACCCACAGCATCTTTCATCCATTTCTGTTTCTTAATTCAGTAAAACTAAGACAGAGCCAACATCTCCAACATGGGTTGCAATAGCTCAAAACATTCAGAAGACAACACTTCATCCGCGAATAGACCTTCAAACAACAAGAAAGACAATTCTCGCAAAGGCAGATGGGTTTGTGAAGGTCCGGCTCCCTTGGACGACCCCGAATTCTATGATCGCGCGGACAAGTCTCGTACTGGGCCGGAACCGAATTCTGAGATTACAAGTTATGTACCTCAGTGCCGCCAACCTAATTCAGGTTCGGCTGATGTGTGTGTGAACTGCGGCAGGCAGAGACCATGATCTAGGATGACGATATGTATTAATTAAGTTGAATGGAGACAATACACTGGCGCACTTTTTGTCGAAAGATAGTTTGCAGTTGAAACGGGCTTTTGGAATTTTCGGTGCCGAATAGACGGTTGTTATCTATCGACGCATTTAACCCTCATTTGTTTATAAGATTACTATATTTAGATCACATTGTGAAAAAGAAAAAAAAAGTCTTCTGGATTATATTCATCTGGAAATAGGAATGATCAACGTTGTCGTTGAAGTGGTTCTTGCCCGGTAATAAGTGATGTAGACAACATTGCTGGTAACTGTAGTGTTGTTCCAGGAAGTCGTGGAAAATACAAGCAAATAACATCCGAGACAAAACAGCTAACCGAGTTGACTTGTCGCAAGATCTTCCAGCCAGTTACTCCTCAGTCCTTTTGCACTCTAGACTTTAGAGGACGACAATACATGAGCTCACAAGAAAAGCATTTCATGTGCCCGCATAAGACGCAGTTCTCATCGATCACCTTATTTCTGCTCCTACAACCAGTCACTGGAATGGTTGGAAGGGACTTGTGGCACTGTCATGTCTTCGATATCAGCAACTCAACTCTAAAGAATTATGAAGGCCAACTTACGCATCTCCAAAATTCAACCTTTTGCTTTCTCACCGCTGGTGTATGTCCTCCCAGTTGCTCTTGACGATGCTTGGACATGGATCTGGGAGGGTGCAGGTTTGCCTGATGTCGCTTGTATGCGTGATACAATAGATACTGAAAGATCTCAAGCTTATCTAGCTTGAAAAGTTCCAAGTTGTCCATTCTCCCGTGGGATGACAGTCGAGATTGGAGATCCGAGCGCTCGAAAAGGGATTCTTGCTTTAGAAGAACCCATGTTGTGATGATGAGGTTGGAGATGCGGTCTCCCTTCGGACACCTGGTGCTCACGGAGTCCATGTATTCGACAAGTTGTGCGTTACCGGCAAGATGGATCCTATTGTCCACAAAGTAATCGAGTTTTTTCAGTAGCTGCGAAGCATAGGTGTTTCTTCTGCAAAGATGCAGGAACCTGTCAATAATGTCCATGTCTTGGGAGGTTGATAGGATGACAGGCCTTATAATGGACTAGAAAATGGTATTAAAACTGGGATTTTTGCAACTGATGGACTGCAATCAGAATACCAAGTGAGATATGGTGAGATATGGCTGTCTGTATCTCCGAAATTTGTTCTGGATACGAATCGACGTGTTTTGCTGGTTGACGAGAACAGAGTGTATGCACGTTGATTGGGAATGAGTTGAATGGATGGAGGCGTTTGAATTTGTACTAGAAAGCTGCCCAGCAGGTATTGATGATCTGAAAGGAAGCAAAGTAACACATTATTCCAAACTTGTCACCTTTTAAGATAGCAATGACTTTTCTGGAGACGCTTGGATCAAGGAAGCACCGAAACCTTTCCAAACCTCATGGTGAAAGGAATGGTAAGATTTCTTTCATGGCACCTGGATCAATGCGTCTAGCACGGCCATTTTACAGAATGAAACCATAGAACAAGTGTTTTAATCTTAGAATAAATCAACACATCCAACATTTGGGGCCGCGCAAAGATCAAAGCAGGACTTGACACAAACAAAATAGAGGGAAATGGGTTTGATGGTCCACCATGACGCCCAGCGGAGAAAGTTCGTGGACGCAACACAGAGAACGATCTGTGGAGTTGCAGATTCTGACTCTAAAATGAAAGAAGAAAATCTGGGGAATGATTAGAATATCAATGGTGAAATGCGTCAGATGCCTGACTGTCTGGATAGATAGACTTCTCAGGCGTACATTGTTTGTCACCGTATGACACTTCGCACCGTGTCGTCAGACCATGCTGAGAACGACATTCAAAGAGCCATCTTGAGTTTAAATAGAGCAGACTTCAAGAACATGAGATATAAATACCTGAGTTTGCTAATACTCCACGCAACCTTCAAACATTTTAGGTCAAAATGAACAGCATCCCCAATACAAAAGCCAGCACCAACGAGACAACTGATGATCAATAGAAGGAACGTCCTGGAAACAATGTTTACACCCACTGGCAGTGTGTAAGAAACCACGTTCCCAAACCCCCACCAAGATGGCTAGGTTGTAGAACATACTAACATTTGGGCGAATGAAGATCAACGGCGCTCCTCCACAACATCTACCATGTGACATGCTGAATCCCCTTGAAGCGAACTTTTGTCAGAAATGCGGTCGTAAGAGACGAGGTCCGGTAGGATGTAATACATCTAATTGCCTGCCAGTCGGGAGTGGAAGGGTTCATGGTACATAGAATTTTAGGTAAGGAAAGATAAAGAGAAAAGGTGACATATTAGTATACCAGAAGGACATAATATTCTGATAATCCACGAAAAGTTCAGCTGTCTCGCTCTATTAACATACTGTGAACTCATTAACGCTCTTTCGTCTCCTTATCATAGGAGTCATTGATCTTATTTGTGGCAACTCAGATCATTCTGAACCATAAAGTAATATCCAGATTATCCTCTCAGTCTGAATAGCCAGTATCGATTTTCTCTTTTCATTCTCTCGGACCAGTGCCAGTCACCTTTGTACGGTAGTTCAAACATCACCGTGACTTGCCATACAAATTAATGTATCCCCGAGCCTGTCTCAAGTTGTAATTGCCTCTTCAGTTGTCTCACACCTATCAATTCTTTTATCAACATTCATTGTACCAACAATTGTCGTTGAAAAGCGGTCAAACTATTCATACGACTGCAGTGAATCTACCGATCCGTGGGGAATATCCCCGAATTCTTTTGGGACAGCTGATATTGATACTCCTTCAGTTCAATTTCTTGTTCCTCCTCTGGTTCGGTCCATCTATCTCCAAAGGCTTCTTCAGTAGAGTTAACGGCCAAAGAAGGGTATTCGAAAGGCATCCAATCATGGTCCGTTGTTTCAAACCCACTATGGGCATTCGGTGCTGTGAGGAGGGAGCTGTAAAAAGGATCCGGAGCCTGCATAAGCGGTGATTGTAGGAGATTTTGTATACTCGTCGGTTCGTGAGCGCTGTCAACGTTAATCTTGATTTGAATTGGAGCCGACACGTCCATGTTTGATGAACCGTATGGCGTTAGTGATCTTTTCGACGCCGTTGGATATGAGACATCTGTGGTGCTTGGATTTGTAGAATTTTGTTCTACCACTGACTCAGAATCATGCAACACCGACTCCGAAAAGTGGTCGCTTACTATCTTGAGGAAATATTCTGAGCTAGGATGTTCGTTACCGGCTTGTTGGGCAACTTGAGTTTTGCCTATTTGTGATTCCACTTCGGTTGGAGCTGTTAACCAATAGTCGTCGTAAATACTTGCAAGTTCCCTTTAATAATGTCAGTATACGAACTAAGAGCTCGAAGTCGCAGTAGGTTGACCCTCTTACCTTGGCTCAACAGAAGTTGGAATCAATGTCCGCTTCATGAATAAGTCGGGTGACTTTATCCGGGAAATGTCGGGCTCTAGAAACGACACGTCGTGTAATTCATCACAATGTTGTTCAAGCAACCCTAAACTACTAAAAGACGGCACTCCAAAGCGGCTGCACCCAGGATCGGGGCAGCACCAAACATTAGGCGGGTCTCTCCAAGCGGTGGGTTGTTCTGGCTGATGTATAGAATATAGGATGTGAACTTTGTCGAACAAGCTAGGCGCTTTATTATTCTGAGCCCAAAGTTTGAGCTGTCCCCAAGTTTCAATATCTGGTGATGGTACTCTCCAGCCAGCCCGAAGTAAAGTGTCCGTAAATACACGCAACTCATTGGGAAAAGCTTGGCGATCCTTGGCAGGTATTATGTTGCTATAAGACTCCCGAATATTGGAATCAAGGTGCGGTCCTTGGATTACATCAACGTATGCTTCTTGATTCAGGGCAACGGTCTGCCCCTCTCTTATATTTGGAGTCAGTGGTCCATTTCGCGCGCCATAACTTCCATGAAGGGATGTCTCAACAGCCGCTGCCACATGCGGATGTTCTCTCAAGCTATCAGCTAGGCTGGGTCCTACAGACAAGGCTGCATGATACTTTTCATTGTGCTTTTTTAGGAGGGTCCGAGTCATGAATCCACTAGCAAAAAATGCACACGAAGGGTCTCCGCATCGAAAACGACGTTGGTGCTGTGATTCGTGGCTGTCTCGTTTATACGATGATTCGAACCCGTCCGAACTCAAAGCACAATGTAGGAAACGACAAAAGAATCCAGAAGAGCCGAATGTCCCACGAAAGCTTTTCAGGACAGTTTGGTCTATATCGGGATAGGCTATCGCCGCATCCTTCTCTAAAAGAGACTCGAGGGTAAGTTGATAATTTCTCCGCAGGGTACTGAAGAAAGTAGAATCTTTCTCGCAAGCGTCCGTCGATATTACTGCAGATCGTGAAGCAAAATTAGTGCTGAAGTCAACTTTTCCGTTTGGGGACTAACCTTCTGGGGATTTATCTAGACTATCCACATCAAGTTGTTTAAGTCGAAAAGCTAACGTATCATTAATGAAACTTTGGATTTCGGGATAGTGATCAAGTTGTGACAGTGCACGTCCTTGCTCATCTTGAGCGAGGATTAACGGATTCGGCTTCCAACTGTCTTTCCTAAATTTTAGAAGGTACTGGAGTTGGATCAAGAGATCTTGAGATAGATTGCAATGTTGCAGTGTTCGCGAAATCAAGTATGCCACAACATGCTTGTGCCAAAATTTATCGGCATATGCTAGGAGGCCATGAAACCCCCGTACGATAATGGCGGCTCTCGAGACCTCAGTAGATTTCGACGGAAGCAGCATTGTGCAGGAGTTGAGGAACGTAACACATGAGTATGCGATATCCAACTGTGCCTTCTCGGTCCATATAAAAGGTCGTGCCCCGTGATAGTTTTCTTCGAGAATATATCTAAGTTACGTTAGCGCCGCTACGGATACACTATGTCAGTGGTAGTACTCTTTAGCCGAGAAATGAACGAAATCAACAGTACTACCAGGACCATCTTCGATGAGTGGACGGCAGAGGTCCATTATTTGCGCTTGAACTCGGGTATATTCGTTCAGAGATGTGTTCGAAAAATCCAAGGCGATGCCATCCAGAAGTTCGTGACGTTTCAGCACTCGATAAGAGCACGCCATCCATCCCAAGATTCGAATAGCCATATCCCTTGCATTGCGCGAGTTTTTAGGATCCATAATTCTATCAAGAATGCGACCGTAGCTGTCACCTAGTTAGCCTAACAATTCCACTGCCTCAAGCACTATAAAGCGCTGTCCGCTGTCAAACCCCCATAGCATGGCAGAGTAAATAGAACGCTAGACTCTTTTTACCCACAAAAGAAAGATGCAACCTGAATATGGAATATTAGGAAAGGAACATCTCACGCTGCTTTGAGGCCTTTCGGCATGCTTTTGACGGTCTTTTCTAGCATAAAGTCACTGTAGCAATCTCGAAGCTCATCTATGACTAATCGAACCCACAGAAACATGCCTAAAACTGTATGTCAGCATTTTCCAGGGGCCCTTATGTCGCACCTCTCACCATTCGCTTTCTCGACGAGCATTTCCTCTAGCATCTCCCGTAGTCCTTGGTTAGATGTCTGGATCTTAGCCATTTTGTGCTTTACAAAAGTCCCTATATCCCAGTTCACTTCCTCTCGTTCATCAAGCGATATATTGGGCTTTGCTTCTAACTTCTTTCGAATGTGGGTTTCCCTCCTACTTGATAGTAAAATTTTGCATTGTAGACCTTGGCCTACGCATACAGCTAGAAGTTCTTTTAAAATCAACTTTTGGTTTTCCATGGAACATTCATCTAGACCATCAACCACAACTCTGGTATATCCGGTGATTGCCAGAAGTTTTGGTACCAATTGTTTGAGCTGAGACATCACACATCCTAATCCTCGATAGACATATTCATTCGCAACGAGCGTAGATATGCTGGGATGCTGTCTTAATATCTGGACACATATTGTGCTAAGGATATTTTCACAGACGTTCCCAGGATCTGAGCTGTGACAAAAGTAGTAACATGAAGTCAATCCTAGGACATTTTTCAAAGACTCAACGAAGTAAGAGCACATAACACTTTTCCCTAGCGATATGATGTTTAGTCAATGGCCAGCTGCACATACCTCGCTCAAAGACTTACCTGATCCAGGTTTTCCATCAAGCCATAGACATAGATGAAGATTATCATCTTTGATCCAGGATCTGTAGAGTTGGTCTTCCGTGATCCACTCGCAGGTGTTGAGGTGACGTCGTCTAGAAGTCCGCTCATACTCTATTTCTTGGTTCTTTTCATCAATTGACAACCAGGAAATGGAATGTTTCATGTGCAGCTGCCTTGTATTTTCTTCCTTGTCTTTCAATTGATCAAGTTCCTTCTTTTGTGCTCGTTGGAGTTGATCTTGGATTGCGCAGCGGGATAGTTTCGATTCCACGATGTGGAAGGAGACGGCTTCTTTGTCAACAAAATCTCGCTGCTGCTTAAGTGACTTGATGATGCACTCAAAACGGCCGCCAAAATCAGTCCATAGAGAAGAGAAGAGGAGATGCCAAGCTATTGTAATATATGAGTTTACTTGTTTGATCACGAGGAGACATAATACCTCTTCTTGTCAAAAACTTGTATGCCCGTTGATGGAATTCAAGGATGCTGGAATAGACCGTAGCTAGAACTTGTTGGAACTCCAGATTATCATCAAAAGCCGATTTGTATCGATCGAACCGCGGAAGAGCAGCACCGATATCGGCATAAGCGGACAACAGAGCTTCAAAGACGTCGCGGTGATTACTTGCGATCTGGTTCCCCTAAGCATTTGATATTTAGAAGGGGAGAATTCCAAACCTCAAGCATTAATTTAATGGGTGCCTGCAAACAGTTAGGAACTAGCAAGTGCAAACTCAAGCAGCTCTTCCAGACGAAAGCAGGCTCACCCAGACATAGGGCATGTAAGGAGTCCCATTACACAAAACTTCAATAACTTTTCTATATTTTTCGATTCCCCGAAGCAATGGCTCTACTCGACGTAGGTTCTGAACCGAACGACGCTGCCTCTGCTTCACTTCAATGTCCCGGAGTGTCGCCCAGACATCTTCGAGCTCGGTAGACGCAAACTTGTGTGCGTCGTCGACAGAAACTGAAAGTTTGAGTTTCTCAAACGCATGCTGGATGGTGGTTCGAGGGTCGGCCATAATTCGATCGTGAAAACTACTTCTCCTGGCACGATCATGATTTGATTGTTTCGAACCACGTCTTATATTGCAACGAGAAATGCCAGAAGATGAGGCTTTTCGCAAGGCACGAGACGCCCGCCCGCCTCGCCATTACACCCAATCATCTGTCGATGATACTGTGAATTTGCTTAATTGTTGTGCAACACTTGTGGCTGTGCGAGGCTGGGGATCAAAGGTCGAATTGTCGACGTCGTGACTCCATTGTAGAAGATGGTGCTGCTGATATTTTTGCTCGATCCCGATCTTTATATTATTTTTATTATTGCTCAATTGTGATCATTTCACTACTCTGTGACGGCGCCTGAGAGTGGTTGGGGAAGAAACGGATCGAGAGCCCGAGAATTTCCAATAAAATCGCGAAATGGAAGAGTTGACCCCACCCTCCAAGCGCAGACGACTCGACGACAATCTTAACCGCAACTACTCAGGAGACCGACAACCTCAAGACAATCCAACAATACCACTAGATTCGATATATGCTACTCATTTGCATGATCGGCGGACAGCTTCACCAGGAAACCAGCGTGCTAATGAAGTCAGTGCCGAATACCACGATGGATCCTTTTTCACGGATACCTCGAGTGCGCTGAGCCATAATTCAACACAATGCTGTTTTGGCATGGTGAGGCAGTCCTTATTCTTCAAATGGTTCCGTATCCAAATCGTGTTTTTGGACAACGCATTTCTTCGCGCATGCTGAGAGATTCGCTTTCTTCGTATGCAATCTAACGAGTGACTGGAATCAAGTGATACACGGTGAATAAAAACGTTGGATCTCAACAATACCGACAGTTTGCTTATAATTTGTTGAATCGCCGCTGACTTTGCTTGCTAGCTATGCGATTTCCCTGTTAATCCCACTCGTGATCCCGATATTACCCCCCAGACAACTCTTCCAGTCGATTTTCGACATCCGAATCAATTGTCTTCCCCCTGTGGCACAAATGCATTCGATATACAAAAGAGGGAAGAAGCAGCGTTAGTTGCAGAATTGGGCACTATTCCAGAGTTAGCTACGCAACTTTATTGCCATATAAAGAATGAGGATCTTGTCTCTGAGAGGTATAGTTTGGGAAAGTGCAAAAGACGTCCGAAAAGACGACGATTGTGGTATCTTAACATAATCATATACGGCAACAGAGGGCTCGAAAATCAGGTGGGAAATTATCTTTCGAGGCGTAAGATGTATCTTCAAGATCCGCTTGGGTGCACACGTTGCGTGCCCTATCTCAACCCACACATTCTTTCTTCAGAAACCGATGAAGTCACCATGACTGACTTCTTTGATGCGGTTGGTGACCTTTCGATTGAAAGAATGGAACCAGGGATGGACCTACTTGCCCAATTGATGAAGGATGAAATTCCCTTACCGGAGACAGAGGCACCGAAAAGCGTCAAATCCTCATCCTCTTTATTCCGGTACATTCAATTATATTTCTTCTTTGCTTATACTACTGAATCTATTATAGGCATCAGAAACAAGCTTTGACCTTCATGATAAGGCGCGAGGAAGGCTGGGATTGGGACTGCAATACCCAGGACTTGTGGAGTCGGCAAGGCAACACACAGGGGCGAGAGCGGTGAGTTTGTCAATGAAGTTTACATATCTCGTGCTAAGTAAGAGGTTAGCTACGTTAACAATGTTACTCAATGTGCTACTTGGGAGAAACCCCCAGATTTTCGGGGTGTCTGCTCGCAGACGATATGGGTCTCGGCAAGACGTTGTCAATGATCTGTCTTCTTGTCGCCAAGCGAGATCGAGTTGAAACTTCTCCCTCGAACGAAAATTTCATAGCCCTGAAAGCAACCCTGATAATCGTTCCACCTGGCTGTGCGTAAAACGTCAAGCCATTGAAAAGACGATTGCTAATCTCCCCATAGTGATACAAAACTGGGAGAAGCAGATCCGATTGTAGGTGATTTACAATAATAATACAAATGTTTTGACAAAATTGACTCCAGTAGGCATCTCGAACCAGGAAACCTCACGACTTATGTTTACCACGGCCAGAACACGCAGGAAGTCGATGAGTTGTGTCATTATGATGTTGTGATAACGACATATCATACTGTTTCCTCAATCTGGAGGAAGAACAAAGATAGCTTGCAACGACGGAAGACATTGTTCTCGTTCTCATGGCATCGGGTGGTATTGGACGAAGGTAAAAAATCCACAGTGCTCCAATCTATGATTGCAATACTAATGGCCGTAGCTCATACCATCCAGAATTCGCAAAGCCATCTAGCTCAAGCCTGCTACGCACTCAATTCTCTGAGAAGATGGGCGATCACTGGCACTCCGATACAAAACAAGTTGACGGACTTTGCTAGCATTGTTAAGTTTCTACAAGTCTATCCATATGCCGATGCCAGAACTTTTGAGCATGATATATTGAAACCATGGCGAGATGGAAAAGGCACAGACCCACAAGGCTTTTTGAGGCTCAAGGTTCTTGTTCGTGCAATCACCATTGGCCGCACTAAAGCAGTCATTGATCTTCCTCCGCGCCTCGATGAAATCCACCACCTTCACTTCACAGAGGCCGAGCGTGACAAATATGAGTCTGTCAAAACCACATCCCGAAATCTACTTGAGGAAGCCATTTCTTCGGGAAGAAACGGTGGCAAGACGTTGAATGCATTGTCGCTGCTCAACCTATTGAGGCTGATCTGCAATCACGGTCTCCTTGGGCAACATAGTCTCGACAAAAGACTACTTTACACAACAGGACATATATCAACTAAACAACAGTGGCCCGACGAGCCTAATTTGAACATCAATAACATCCTGGATGGTTCTCGAAGGTGTCAAAGTTGTGGTGAACCCCTACTCGAAGATCTACTCGAAGGACCAACCTCTTTCGGTGGAGCTTCTGATATAGTTTCGAGCGCCATGAATCCAATGCACTGTATGAGATGTAGATTTCAAAATACCGATGAACCTATGGGTTATTCTCAAGAAGTCATAGCAGAATTGCCCAGCAGCATCGAAACTTCGTCAGCTCCTACTCCAACGGCAGAGACTGACAACACTCATACACTTGAGTTAATGTCAACCAAAATCAAGGCCCTGGTACAAGATCTGTGTAAACATGCCGCAACTGAAAAAAGGTTGATATTCAGTGTTTTAAGTCTACAACAGCAGCTGACTCTACCAGTGTCGTTTTCTCTTATTGGACCAGCACGCTTGATTACGTTCAAATGATGTTTGTCGACAAAGGCATCACGTACACGAGGATTGACGGCAAGACTCCGCTTCGTGCTAGGAACCAAGCTGTTCATGCATTTCAAACAGGCGACTCGGTTCGAGTTATTCTAGTTTCAATCACTTGTGGTGGAGCTGGGTAAGTGGAAGCTCCTCTACCAATGTCATTAATTAACAACTCCTAGGCTAGACTTAACTGCCGGTTCCCGAGCCTACCTCCTGGAACCACATTGGAACCCCATGGTCGAGGAGCAAGCTCTCTGTCGAGTTCATCGTGTTGGTCAAAAGCGCAATGTCACTACGATCCGATATCTTATGCGTGATTCTTTTGAAGAGGTACGATTTCTAATCCCACTCTCATGTTCGTGGCCTAATTCCTCGATAGCAAATCGTCGATTTGCAGAAGAAGAAGAAATTGCTGGCGCAAGCTACATTTTCACAAGATCCCCTGACAGAAGATGGGATTGGCATGGGCATGTTACAGGTATGCTACATCCTGAGTTACTATTTGGCCGAGTCTAACGTTTAGCAGTATTTGAAGTCTGTCCTTCAGTGAGGCAGGCCCAGGAGCAAGAGTAAATCATAACGAGTTGCTTTTCGTGGTTCGAGCGTGGAAAGTGCTATGTAGTGTTCTCGCTTCTCGAAGTTTCGAACAGAATTCTAAAAATGTTTGATGAAGCGATAGTATGTAAATATCTTATGTACCATGACCTAGGAGGCGTTCAGTTACGATGAAATATAACGACGAAATGGCTTTCTAAATAAATCCATATCTAATCCGCATCAGCTGCTGCCACTTCGCACGTGTCTCACGAGTCAACTACTAAGTACAATACAATACGTCGAGATTTCGGGTATTCTATGTTTGTTACAATTAATAGTACATAATTACACCTCACGGCTTTTATGATACATTTACAACCTCCTCGCACCGCGCACACAATTCATCAACAGGTGCAACAAATCTCCAACATCTGGGACATTTGGCGTCTTTAGCAGGAACAACCCAAACCTTCGAAACACCAAACGTATCACCAGCCACATTGGCCTGAAACTTCCATTTCGTGTCCGACTCTTGTGAGATCTCAGAGGCGTCGACGGAAGAAACGACGAACATAGTGGCTAATTCGTCTGCTAGTTTCTCGTAGACAGAATACATTTCAGGGGTAAGTGCTAGAATGACCGAGCATTCAAGTGATGACCCGACGAGCTTCTGGGCTCGGGCTTCTTCTTGGGCGAGTTTAACCGCTGTGTTTACTGCCCTAATAAAGTGGATGTTCGATTCCATTTCTGCATCCGACGCAGAAACTCGATACGGGGCGTCGAAGAATGGACGACACGCGGGATGGTTCTCACGTTGCTGAGTAGCAAGCCACTCCGGACGATGAGCCCATGCTTCTTCGACGAGATTCGGCGTTATTGGCGCAAGCATTTTCATGAGACCTAGGAAGATATCTTCTAAAACTCCACCACCATCTCCACAGTACAATCTATCTTTCATAGCTTCTAGATAAAAGGCGGATAGATCGGTGTTGATCCATTTATTGATTGCCGTGACTCCTTTGTAGAATTCGTAGTTGTCGTAGGCGGTTTTGACTTCTATCATTACGGCTTTCAGTTGGTAGAGAGCAATTTCGTCGAGTTTAGTGAGGGGAACTGAGCGAGCGCTTTCGTGCATTGATCCTAGGAGCATTTTGATTATCATGCGGTATTTTAAAAGGGCGGTGTGATTGAATTTGAGGACTGGCTCGCCAACTACGACGTCTCTTGTGTAGTCGCAGCTTGCGGCCCAGAGGCGTAGAGCATCTGCTCCAAGTGCTTGAGATATAGGGCCGCTTGACTTCTTTTTGATCTTGACCTGGAGAGTGTTAGTGGAGCTAGAAAGAAATCGAAGGAGATATTTACTGCTGGAAGTAATGAGCCATCCATAATTTGACTTGGTGCAATTACGTTCCCAATGGATTTTGACATTTTCTTTCCTTTCTGATCCAATGTAAATCCATGAGTGATCAAAGTCTTGAATGGTGCGTGTGAATGGCCAGAAGCGCTTGCATAGGTCAGAAGACTAGATTGAAACCATCCTCGATGTTGGTCAGAACCCTCGAGATAGACATCAGCCTGCCCTTGTGTCTGAGTCCAACTTGTACCGCTATCGAACCATACATCCATAGTATCTTTACCACGTGTATATGACCCTTTGAGACCGGCGGCAACCCATGCTGGCTCAGATAACGAGTCTGTCCACCAAGCATCGATTCCTCGATCCTCGATTGTAGAGATGATGTGAGCAACACTCTCGTCAGTAAGTACAGCGATGCCATTTTCATCGTAAAGTGCTGGAATGGGAACGCCCCAAGCACGTTGGCGCGACATACACCACTCACTGCGACTCCGGATAAAGCTCTCAAGTCTAGATCTTCCGGTTTCTGGAATGAATTTCACATCCCCTAGGGATTGCTGGGCACCATCTTTGACCGTTCCAACATCGGCAAACCATTGTTCAGTTGCTCTTACAATCGTGGGAAGCTTGGTTCTCCAATCGTAGGGATACTTGTGCTTGTATTTATAAATAGCAAGTACTTTGTCTCCAAGGATTTTGAGCACCTCTTCACCACCATCGGATAAGACCGACCTTCCAGCCAATACCGAGGGATCATCAGGAAAAGCCGAATCTGTAAAGCAACCCGAATCATTTACAGGAGCTGCGGCTTCGATTCCTAATCGAGTACAGACTTCATAGTCATCCATACCATGTCCCGGGGCCAGATGTACCAGCCCAGAGCCAGACTCAGCAGATACGAAATCTGCGTGGATGACTGGCTGAGGGACCGATGCCTTTCCTCGAAGTAGGTTGTGGTACTGGATACCTTTCAAGTCGCTCCCTAACACTGAGTCGACGATAACGTCAGTGCTTTGATCAGGGAAACACGTCGTTTCCACGTGAGAGAGACGGTTCTCGGCAACAAGATAATGATTAGAACGACTCTTGATGATAGTGTACAGCAGATCGTCATGCACTGCAATCGCTCGATTCGCGGGCAACGTCCAAGGCGTCGTTGTCCAAATAATAGCATGAAGGTTCTTCAATCCTCCAAATTTTGTTTGCAGTCTTTCTGGCAGACTCATTATTGGAAACGCAACATAGGCTGCATGTGACAAATGGTCGTCCTTGTATTCCAACTCCGCCTCTGCCAATGCTGTTTTCGAAGACGGTGACCAATACACCGGCTTATACCGTCTGAATACCAAACCCTTCTTGGCCATTTCCTGGAAGATTCGAAGCTGTTTAATCTCGAATGATTTGTCCATAGTCTTCCATGCTCGATCCCAATCTGCCATTATTCCCCACTGTCGGAACCCTTTTTTTTGCTCTTCGACCGCATTTGCCGCAAGCTCTCTTGCTACGGAGCGCACTTTGACAGCATCTAAGTTCACATCTTCGCCGTTTTTTGTTCGCTGTCTTTCGAGTGCTTTGATCTCAATTGGCAAGCCATGGCAATCCCAGCCAGGTACGTAGACGATTCTTTGGCCTGCGATATTCGCAATCAGCGAAATTCCAGCTATAAGCTTCACGAGTAATTTCTAAGCCAAGAATTGGAGTCCTGGCATACCGTCTTGTACCTTGACCCGGCAAATGATATCCTTCAAGATCTTGTTGAGCGCATGGCCAATATGCAAACTTCCATTTGCGTATGGCGGACCATCATGTAGTACGAATGGCTTTTGGGCAGAGCGTTCTCCACTCTGCCAGTCATAAAGGTCATCGGTGCATCGTTGGAGATATTTAGGTTGGTCTGGTATCAGAGGTCGGGGTCTGAAATCGCGCTTCAGTAGCTGGCCAATTGAGTATAGAAATATTTGGCATTTTGCTTACGGGAATGAGGATTTCGGAAGTCTCAGTGTCGATGACCAAGATACCGCCGGACGTACTGGCATCGTCTCTGATCTGTTGTCGCATTTTTGTTGATATCCTCACACAATATTTTGGGATCCAGCAGTTGTTGCCTGATGGTGCACCCAAAGTTAGGCATCAACTTACCAGACTTATTACTGTGTAGACGCTAGTCAACTCCCGTCTGAGCAGGCAAATGAATTAAGCAACTGATGTGTGTATAGAAATTCATCAATAATAAATCTATTTGTGGTATCAATGGATTGTACGCTTGCTAACCGCATATGATGCCCCATTACCTTTATTGCACCAACCCATCGTACCCAAAATGCCCACCCAATCCCTTACGCCTTCCATGCATACCCAATTCGTTGTAAATCGTCCACATTCAAAAAACTGTAACACCACTTACGACCCCGTTCGCAAGAACCTCGAAGACTAGTCCAGGGAATCCAAACAGTGTCGTACTTCCCATGCCCCTAATGTCCTCCGTCGTTCCACCAACTGCATCCGGCCGTTTCCCTCCCAAGCTATCTTCCCACCCCCCGAGCAGCTCACAACTACTACCTGGACTATCGCCCCAATCACGGTTCAATACCATCCCGCGTTGTCTAGCCTTTGCTTCCTCTTCATTTTGATAAATACTCTTCCACTCTTCATGAAGTCTAGCCTCAATACTCTTAAACGGGGTCTCCGAATCTACAACATCTTGACCTTTCTGTAGCGGAAGGTATTGTATTTCCCAGCGACATCGCCGGTGCCTGTTAAATGGGTACGACCCGGGAATATTTCCGTGGAGGATAATCTTTGAGGCCACCAAGCGCGACGGTGCATCGCCTGGGGCGATGATGATCGGTTCGGATTCTGGATTGGTAGCCTTCTTGGATGGAGGATACTGAGAATGTGATGATGGAGCAGATATCAATATATCAAATCCATGGTAGAAGTAGTTGTAGAAACACTCTCCAGAGAGATTCCCAGCAACTTCGCTTTCCTCGGTATCGTCATCAGAATCATCGGTTGCAGTGTGAGCTGAGGATTGATCTGTGTCTGTTGAGTCGTCTTGCAGCCGTAGATCGGTCAAGTCTGGTCTCGCACGGTTATTTGTTCCCCTTCGAACCTTGTGGATTGACATTCGACGATCGTTCTTTCGGTATATCGCATCAGGAGGGCCGAGTTCAGCCACCAACTCTTGGGGAGTTGTCTGGCCCATTTGTAGCCAAAGTGGAGTATATGTTCCAGAGCGTACAAGCTCGACCTCACCCGCTCCATGAATACGTACCAAGCGAATATCAGTGGGTACAGTCTCCTTCTTTTTAAAAAGCGTTACGAAAGTATCTGTCGGATCAATAGCTTCGGTAAATAGATGCTCGCGTGCCTCCGGCCATGATTTGCCGCGGAATATAGCCATCGATGAGGCGGGTGGGCTGTTGGTCGATGCGAAGAGCGATTCTATCTTTGAAGGAGACCATGCTGACGACTTAAGTGGAAAAGAGAATGCGAGACCTGGATATGAAAGCACATAAAGTCCAATTCCACTTTCGTCTCCGCTATTCGGCTCAATGTATTCCCCCGGGTATGCCAGTCCCACTACTCTCGAGATGTGCTTATACGTGGGACCGCTGGGATGAATGACTGCTGAAGAATCGCTTTGGGTTGTCGAGATAGGCCTTAAGATGTCTCTGTCTTTGTAAGTGAGGTGGCTCTTTGTGAAGTCCAGAACCTCTATTAAGCGTAGTCGTTGCTCAGGCCCATCGAATCGTAAACGCAGGCCATTTGAAGGCAAGTGTAAAACGACGGGCTCTGTTACTGGTGCGGTGCTTTCATATGTCAACTCTAGCTTCGGAAAGCTTTGTGGTTCTGCCTTTAGTCGAGTGAGGATATCGTGGAGGGTAGCTCCAAGAACTAGGATACCGAGGTTAGCAGCACACATGTTCTAGATTGCGAAAACCTTACCAAGAAAACCGAGACCCTCATCAGGACGAACCTGGGCTGTAAAAAGAGACATTTCTGCTACATCAAAGACTGTGTTGTAATGCGCAACATAGTAGTAAACAGGTAGACATGCGTCTGAGTTGTAGCTGTCGCAGCGCGACCTTCTGACTACAGGCCCACTTTAACTGTCGCACTTTGGAGGGGCACCGTTGTCCAGTCAACCAGATGACCAACCCATTGAAGCTTTGTGCGCTCTACTTTGGGCGAAGTGTATCAACAATATTCATCGCCAACTAACATAATATTGAATCGCACGACAAACCGCATCCCGCGGTCAAAACCAAGAGTTCGGAAACTCATCCTATATATTTTTTCTCGGACGCCCGCATATCTCAAATTAACGAAAAGGCTCAACTCAACAGTATCGGTATTTCAACGCGTCTAGTCAGTCCAATTGCCAAACTTGCATGGCAGGACTTCCTCGGCCGACAATTGTCGCGCCTCTACGAAAGAACAGTATGCATCCTCCACCTCGGCCTTCGACCACGAGAGGGCATTCAGCGGCACCGCCCAGCTCGCGAATTAATAGAGTTGGAGCTATATCACCCGCAGGATCAGTAGTTTCAGTCGCGACAACGAATGGAGGAACAAAACGCAAGGAACGAGATTTCGACCATGACGACGAGGAGACTAATATCAACGTTGTGGTGCGCTGTAGAGGTCGTAATGAACGTGAGGTTCGAGAGAATAGTGGTGTAGTGCTGTCAACAGATGGAGTCAAAGGCAAGAGTTTGGAATTATCTATGGGGCCAAGCGCCCTTAGCAACAAAACCTACCATTTCGATAAAGTTTTCTCGTCTGCGGCTGATCAAGGGATGATCTATGATGATGTTGTGACTCCTATTTTAGATGAGGTTAGTTATCTTATGGTTGAGATTTTATACTATGCTGACAACAGTAGATGCTAGCAGGATATAACTGCACAATCTTCGCGTATGGACAAACAGGAACCGGGAAAACATACACGATGTCGGGAGATATGAATGAAACGTTCGGCATGCTATCCGACGCAGCAGGAATTATCCCTCGAGCTCTCCATGCCTTGTTCAACAAGCTTGAGCTTGACGACGCAGAATGTTCTGTGAAATGCTCTTTTATCGAACTTTACAATGAAGAGCTGCGAGATCTGCTTTCACCAGATGATAACGCGAAACTCAACATTTACGATGACAAGAGCAAGTCTGGACATGCGATGTCTACAGTTGTACGCGGCATGGAAGAATCCTATATCAGAAGCGCCGTTGATGGTATCAAGCTTCTCCAGGACGGCAGCCACAAACGTCAAGTTGCAGCAACCAAATGTAACGATCTGAGCAGTAGAAGTCACACCGTTTTCACCGTCACTACATACATCAAACGGACAGGCGACAATGGTGAAGACTATCTATGTGCCGGAAAGTTGAATTTGGTGGATCTAGCTGGTAGTGAAAATATTCAGAGAAGTGGCGCGGAGAACAAGCGAGCAGCCGAAGCTGGATTGATTAATAAAAGTTTGTTGACTCTCGGGAGAGTGATCAACGCTCTCGTTGATCGGAGTAGCCATATTCCGTACCGCGAATCGAAGCTCACGCGGCTGCTTCAAGACTCTCTGGGGGGCAGGACTAAAACGTGCATCATCGCGACAGTATCACCTGCAAAAAGCAATCTTGAAGAGACGATCTCCACTCTAGACTACGCCTTCCGCGCGAAGAACATCCGGAACAAACCGCAAATCAATCAAACGATCAACAAGAAAACGTTATTGAAAGAGTTCACGTATGAGATAGAAAAACTCAAAAGCGAGCTTATAGCTGCCCGACAGCGCAACGGGGTCTATCTGGCAAACGAAGCTTACGAGGAAATGACGGTCGAAAGGGAATCGAGGCGTATTTTGTGCGAAGAGCAAGCAGCTAAGATCGAAACAATGGAGACAAACCTAAGGAGCAAAGTGCAGGAGTTGTTTTCGTTGACTTCAACCTTTATGAATCTGAAGAAGGAGAATGAAGGCACCAGAATAACGCTTGACGAGACTAAAAGCGTTCTTGAACAGACCGAGTTTGTTCTGAACAACACTCGTCAAAGCTTGGTAGAGGAGACTTTGCTTCGAAAAGCCCATCAAGAGACCGAAGAAAAGCTTAGCGCTGTAGGCAGCGAGCTGATCTCTACTCTCGGAAAAACAGTCGTTGATGTTGGTGGGCTACATGACAAGAACAGAAGGAAATCAGATCTGCAATCTCTGAATCGCAACATTTGGGGCCTCTCCCAAGCCCAAGTATCCGAGGTCACAAGCATGGTGGAGACAAGGGTCGAAGACTTCCGAACACAGCAGCAGGAGCTGATGACGGCAGTTTCAGACAGAATGCAGTCGTTCATCGGAGAAGAGTTAGAGAAGCTCTCAGCTACCCAGTCCTTTCTGGAATCAGATGTGGCCACTTTTGGCGAATCTGAAAAAGAAGTCCTAGGGCAGTCAGTTTCCGCAAAGAATGAGATGGATAACGTCCTGGAGGAAATCAAAACTCTACGGGAAGAGGTTAAAGGCAGAGTTGGGTTGGGACTTCAAGGACTATCCGCGGCTGCTGCACGGATTTCTGAAGAGGTCATTGGCGAATTGGGGGCATTTCACACACAGGTATGAGGAACCCATATTAGCAGTAGTATCTTCACTAACCTTTATCAGCTCCATGGCTCGTATAGCTCTCTTGGTCGCGACTTTAAAGCCCTGTTCGAGGAACTCCTCAAACATGTCAATGCCCAAAAGGAAGAAGCCAACACCTTGCGGAGGCAATTGACAACTGCCAGCGAATTGGCTATGCAGGCCAATATTGCTGCAGAATCGAAACTTGACGAGGTTCTTCGTCAAGAGAGAGAGCAAGCTGCTACGGATCGTCAGAATCTGCTCTCGCAAATAACTGGGCTCGTCATGGCTCAAGGCGAGAAGCAGGATGCTCGTCTTGCGAACAGCATTCATGGTGTGCGACAGGAGATTATCGCTTCAAAAGACGCTTTCGAATCTTCACACGCGGAGTATGGTGTCGCTATGGACTCCTGGAATGATGATGAAAGCAAACTGGTCGAGGAGGTCCTGCGATCTCGGGAAACGCTCAAATCCAAGCTCAAGGAAGATTGGGTGGTAGGTAACGAACTAATCTATGAAATTCAAATGCTAACTTTACTATACAGGCGGCCAACAAGCACAACTCTTCTCTCCAAACGTCTACGAAGTCTGTTCACGAAGAAAGTGTCCGCATCGTCAATGAACAGATGAAAGATATTGAGATTCAAATGCAGGCCCTTGATGATTTTGTCAGCCGAGCTCGATCTCAGAATGCTCAGCATCACGACAGCCATGTTCAATCGCTTCAAGCCCTATCTACCACCGTCAAAACATCGTACGGCAATGTTGGTTCACATTTCAACGCTACGTATGAGCGAGTGCGTGATCTCGGAGATGAAATGTCAATTAGGACAAGTTCGTTACAAGATTCGCTAAAACCGCTTGATACGGTACTAAGACAGCCGCTTGCCGATCTTCGCTCGAACATCGCGACTACGGAATTCCAAGAGTATCAACCTACCGGAGCAACACCCCAAAAAGTTCAATATATGTTCCCAACCGAACTGCCGAAAACGGGTACGCATGAGCAATTGCTTGCGGCTCTGCGCCGACCAATGGGCTCAACTTCGGCTACCAAGAGCCTCTCTAAATCCTCAGCAATACCAACTGTATTTAATGACATAATGGAGGGTGTAATAGACACTGCCGCGCCTTTGACAGGTCCCAGTATCGAAGCATCTACATCTGAAAGGCCTGTGACAAGTGGTGGTCTCCGCGAGGTCGACTCTAATGTTACTGCACGGTCAATAAATATAGAATTACAAAGCTCAACGACCCTCATCAGCGACGTTTCTAAGGACACCAAGGAGCTTTTTCGAAGAAGCGTAACGGGTGCCGGCAAACTGCCGGTGTTGAGGAGTAAAAAGTCGACCAGCAGTATTCCTCCGGCAGAAGGAAGAGAAAATGTGAACATCTTGGCACAAAGCACGGGTCGGAGGAGAAGTCCAAGAACGGGATAATGCAGAAAAGTGTAGTTTGTACTGTATCAATAATGCCATTCAGCGATGGCGTTAGACGTAGTGTCGGGTTTATCTGCGAATCGTGGTTCTCTCACGAGGTGTTGTCGGAGTCACTTGGAATAGGCGTCTGGTTGTTCTAAAGCGCCTTGGCCGGACTTGTGTGTGCTAGTATTGATTTTATAGTCTAGCTTCTATTGTTATTCCGGAACTCAGGAATGATAAGTTTAATGTCCTTCATTCTTGTCTTGTCCCCGACGCTTAAATTTTAACTCTTATTATCTCGTTTCCGGTAGTGCATCTATTGATTCATTTCTTACTGGACCGTGGCGTCCATCAGCCTCCTGCTTTACCTGCGATACGCTTGTCAGAACGGTTGTGGCTTTGATCCTACTTTTGCCACGACGCCCGCAGGCGGTCATATTAGCTGTCCCGCCGTAGGGAGGTACTAGTGGTAACTGACGGCTCATTTATTCACCACGCAGCAGTAGCATTTAGGTTCAAGTCTGCTATCAGACTCACAGAAACGCCCTAAACATTTGCAACGTATTTGTTCCAAAGCTAGAAGTAGCGTAGCTCCCCGTAGCCGTAGTTCATTTCACATGTAGGATTTCACAAACTGATGCTGCATCCCGACTAAGTATACACACTACTTGTGTATCTTGAATGAGCAAGTTACTTCGTACAGGGCCGAATAAACCACAGTGGGTCTTCCGGAAGGTACGGTAAACAAGGGCCATTGAGCCAATAACCAGGTGAGAATCCTACTTATCATTACTGTGAATATTAAAGTCAACCTTAAAGCACAGACGCCCCACTGTGGTTTATTTGGCCTTGGAGGAAGTAATAATTCATCTTAATCCCAACCCCTCTGTCTATCGCACTGTTTCAATAATCTAAGCACCATGAACTACGAAATTAATCCGTCTCCACGGGGAATTTTCCTATCAAGGTATGAAACGGGAGATCTCCGACCTTATTTTCAGCCTTAGGGAAGCGAGCAGGGTGGTTTCCCCGCAGATCGACGGATTGCCTCGTTTCCATCGATTACGTGGCGCAAGCTTTTTCTAACGTCGAACACTGAGTGAGGCTTTGGGTTTAACTTCTTTTCGACTCTGCTCCGGGAGGTGTGCTTTGGTCGATGCGGTTTTGATGTTTTGGTGGACGCCCGCGGGCGGAGCAGAGAGAGTTGTCGTTGGCTGGATGTGGCGCCCGCGGGGCGATGACGGCCCCCCTTAGATGCTTTTGGGTTAGAATGGTCGTTCGTCCGTGTATAGTTCAAACTTATGGTGGTAAGTCCCGTAAGATAAGACGGAACGTGGTAAATTCCTCTCTTGGGTCAGATTAGAAGCTATCAATTTACTTTATAGATAGTGAAAACGCCACCTTGATGGCAGGCTCGCTTACGACGGACAGACAGATCACGACTTCGGGACTTGATCAACAGTACTTTCATCTGCCGTCTTGCTGTGTCTTGTAGGTTGTTTGATTTTAGTCTTAATTCTATGTTGTTGGAGGGATTGATGACAATCTGCTTTTGATATTTCCCGGAGCTCCTGACGTATCTTGTCTGAGAAAACGAGGACGTTGTTTTGTGGACGGTCGAGAAATTGTCTTTAGCTTCTTAGACCTTGAGCACCATACAATTACAAAGTAAGTCGAATGTTACTGGTAACGGGCCAATCAATACCATAGTGTTTTAATCCAATAGAAACATTCACTTCACTGGTTTTGGTTGTGAAAAATCAAGAAGATGATAATCATACGCCATATGGCATTTCTCTTCTTGCACTACGCTTTGTCTTTCTGATGGCCAGGCCGACTTCTTGTCAGATGGCCCAACTTATTCTCTAGCTTTACTACAGATGCCGGTTCCGCGAATCTCATGAAGAAGCTGTTGATGCCTTTATTGTCGCAGTTAAGAGCAATAGCACAGCAAATCTTTTATTCACATCTTTGCAGACACCCTATCGAGGTGTACATGGCATATAAATAACATCAGGTTTTTTGCAACTTGCGTCTCCTTCACTAAGGAAGTCAAATTCTTGTTGTGAGCAACGATATTAAAACAGTAATTAAGCAATGAATGATTACAATGTAGCTGCCTCATGCTGGACCTACTCCATAATTGTTGCAATTCGCAATTTGTTCACTAAGAAAGTCAAATCATGGGGGTTTGTAGTTCATCTTGTCAATGCGGCAGTCAGGGAGGCGATTGTCAAGGATTATTCACACCGAACTCGATCCTCAATGGCTACTGCCTGAGACATTGGGACCTTTGTTGCAATTCGCAGTTTGTTCACTAAAAAAGTCAAATGGTTGTCGTCCAAGCTCTCTGTTATAATTTGGATTAGATGGCTTGGTCAAACGAGCCTAAATGGTTTTGTTGCTTTTCGCAATTCCGCTGTCAAAAAAGTCAAATACTTTATTCCAATGAAAACAGGCCTAAGCAGGTTAGAACAGCGTTTAAAATTTCTCAAAAAGTGGTTTGATGCTCTATGCTCTTCGTACTTGCCGCTGTCAAGACTTCAACTTGCCGGAACTTGCCGAGTTGTTCGGCAACCTAGTCATTCAACTCCTTACATTCCATCCCAGCACGAGTCGGTAGCGAGGGTAACACAGAACCGAAATTACTAGATCAGTTTCGATACAGAAATTATTCCTGGTGCTGATCATCTCACTTCTGGGGCCCTCATTCGGGATCCCATCGCTGACCCCACATGTCCCACATACGATGATCTCCCTTGAATCCTCCTTCCGAGTCTATTTCAACAACAATATCCACTATATCACATATGCATCTGCATCTACTTACTCTCTTAGTCTACAAAGAGTCGTCTACGATCCCGATGTAAACATCTGTTTACCTCCATGTTCCCGATGCTTGTGAAGTCAGTGGGTGGAAAGTCTAGAAGACTCTAATAGATCATTTAGCGCTTATTCACAACTTCATAAGCACTTCATCAGCAATACATGAAAGCACCCTATACCTCCTTTGGATTGTTTCCGCGCCTAAGATCACCCATTCCGCCATCCGGGTTCTTGCCTCACTGTTTCTTGTGTATGAATTTTGGACTCAGGATCACTCGATGCCGGTCACATCAACTATTGCCGAATCTACCGAACATCAAACGCTTCAGCCCTTCTATCGGTGATGTGACTTTGTTCGGTTAGACTAGCGAACTGCATTGGTGTGTTTCGGACATGTTTCCTTATATAGAGTCTCTGGAAGTTGCGTTGGAGCTTTCTTCAGGTCCCTTCAGGAAGTTCAGGTACCTCATAATCTACCTGATCCTTGGAAATTAGCACAATTTTGCAAGGCTTCTAGCGGCATCTAGCCATCTGTCTTCTGTGCGACGGAGGTATGGCTGTTTAAGGGTACAGGTTGCTCCACAAACATCCAAACTAACGTTGCCAACGACCTTGGCTCCCACAAGGCAAATGTATGGGTGTTTCGAGCCCCTATTGCGCCAATGCTTCTCGGCTCTTGATCCGGACTTGTGACGGGAGATCAGCCTCATCACGTTCACATGATTGTGTGTCCGTATCATTTGTTTAGTATCCCAATTCTGTTGTGCAAGGACTCACTTCCACATGGTCATCTGGACTTCTGCCGATAATGAGCAGTTTAACTAACGAAGGAGGCCGAGTAATAGCATCCTTCGGCAATTGTTTGTTGAGAAAGGACCTAACGGAAGATGTTCTGGATCTGAAGGGCTGTAGAAAAGCAGCGTGGCATCAAAACGGAATCTAAAAGCAGCAAAAGGATTAGACGATGGTAAGCGAGGAGCAAGACTCCATCGTGTTAGCCGCAAGAGCGCGGATACTTTAGGTCAAGAGGCTATGAGCGGCTACATCCTGAGTTCATGTAGCTTCTCGGAATACTCTTTTAGCGAGGACCCTTTTGTGTACCGAAGTGATGGCTTCCCAGGTCTCTCTCCGCTGCAAAACAACTCATTCGCGGAGTAGTATGAAAATTGTCATATTTTGACTCTGGAATATCTCACCTGAGTGATTTCTACTCCAATAAGCACTTGCGAGCGATCCTAGTGGTGAAATATCACCTCAAAACGTCGTATTACTGAAAACAGCGGCGAACTTCTCAAGAACGTTTCAGCCGCATTGCAGATTCAAGTGCTCTTCTCTTGTCTCTTTCGTTGCTTTAGTTTAGCAGTGTTCCATCTTAAATCATTGCGACATGAGGACCATTGCTTGAGCAGCAGTTCTATAGCGTAATAAAGGGGTATGACAGAATTTAAGCGAGAAGTTCCTCATTCAGTACAACCTGAAGTCGTGATCTTCTTGTATCGTCTCCCATATGAATTTACTCAAGCGTAGGTCAGTTTATCTGAACATAAGCAATTTTGAAGTCTAAAAATAATCCCCCCTGAAGCTTAAAATTAAGCGAGCTATTCCGACTCCTGACGACGACTTAACAATGTTTGCTTGACCCAGCATCTAGTTGATGGATTATCGTCAAGCTTAGAGTAAGTACTACTGTGTTCGATAAAGATTGTATTTTTGTACGAAGGGAAATTATCTATTAAAGGCATTCTCAAGCTGTTTTCTAGAATAGAGGTTAACCTTCTAATGGCGCGGACTGCCGTGCAGACGTGTCCAAGAGAATGGTACAGCAATTCTGCAACTGACACTCTACAGCTTATATAATTAAGCTAGATATAAGATCTCAAAATATTGCTGAGCAGAAAATCTATCGAATGACCTAGATGACGCGATATCTTCGCCCCGGGAAGCTCAAATCATTTGACACTGTTAAGGACCCAAAATAACATGCACAAGATTCGAACCAATGGAGTGTACTGCAAGAATGTTTGAAACTAGTTAGCTCTGCTGATTGCTCAATCTTCCGTCTCTTTTGGTCGGCTAGATTGCTTTCACTCTGTACACATCAAAATGTCCTAAGCAAGCTATTAATCAGCAAGCTACACAAACTTCAAGTGCAATCTATCTCTGATGCTGAACTAGACATTGCCATCAAACTAAAATAAATCGAAAGAATTAATTAATTAAGCCAAGCTTCCAGTTCTCGCTAACCCACGCCTCATTCCATGATCAACGTCCGTCCACCTTCCCATTTCACACATCAAACCTCCTCGCAAGCCTTACCGGGCCATCTCCAACCCCTACCATGTTACCGCATCATACTTCCAAGCTGTAGAAGATTACCCTAAACATCCCTCAGACCCCCTGCTTGACCATTAAGGCTCCAAGCACATAGACGCTTCACGCTCGCGCAGCGCCGTCAAAAGCCGACCCTCGTGGTCGAACGTCCACTCACAACGCTCACCGCCGATGTTTGGTCAATCACAAACCACACCGCATAAACTCCTTAAAGTTTAAGTTTGGACGCAAACACGCAGGATAAACTTTAATAAACGCCACCGACACCTGTCAAAAGCGTCAGTGCCAGCTTGGCAGAGGCAACTTCGGCTCTTGTCGTTGTGCATGAATATTGCCGATGGGGTTGAGTCATTGATGATTGCAGGAGAGCACAGGCGAGAAAAGGTGTGTGTGATGCCAATGGTACGGAGGGGATGATCCGATGTGTAGATGTGTGAGATGCCGATGGGAGAAGAAGACGGAATCATAATGAATCATAATTGAATCTTAAAAGTCGGGAATAAGTCGGAGATGAGTCGGGGAGTAGAGACAACATTCAGATTCAATGTGAAAACTTCAGGTAGGTAGAACAGTGGTAAAAACTATACTAAATAGTATTGTAGCTAATCGCCGGTACCTGGCATCGTTGGTAATGGTACAATCAAACACACTATACTCATCGTTCCAATACAAACATACACAGCAGTACAAAACCCACTTACCTAAAACAGCACCCGGCATCCGGCATGCACCATGCTCTGCCTGCTTTGTGTGTGTATCCCCATTGCTTCAACCAACGCCCAAGAAACCAAGTGGCTCGTGAGCGCAACAATGGTACTATAGAACCAAACGCCCTTCCCAAAGCAAACGTGCTCAACCAGAGCCGGTGCTGATGAGGCCCAAAAGATAAATTTCTCGTGGCCGTCTTGAAGCGCTCCGAATCCAGATCCCCCACCACCTTTGTAACACCACAAAGATAAAACCGTAGAAACACAAATGATAAATATACAAAATCAACATTAAAATTCATAAATCATCAACCTCTTCGTAATCAAATCTCCTCAAAACGACAAACATCCCTAAATTCAGGATACTTGTCCGCGAAAGGCTTCTTCATGCTCATATTGTTGATATCACTTAGGTGTCGGTCCATCAAAGGACTGACCATGAGTTGTCCGTTTTCATAAATGAGTGCCATTCTAGGTTCGTGAGGAAAGTTGACCGAAAGGTTGCTTGCGTAGTCATTCTGGAACTCCGGGTTATCGTACCGATCCTGATGCTCGATGACCTTTGCACGGAATAGGCCCCAAGGTGGCAAATCCATCCATGCGGGATGAGGGATATCCAGTTGGGCCTGAGTTGGTGCTTGCCACTCATGAAGTTTTGAGAATGTTTGGAAATTAGGCGAGATTTGCCATTGAACGAAACGATACATACACATGAATGATGCAAGCTTCTCGGGAATAAGAGCAAAGCCACGGCTCGACAGTACCTCTGAATAACGATTCATGACTTCGGCGATGTTCGACGGTGGCTTGGCAGCCGGCGGGGCACTCTGATTGAACAATACATTTACCGAAGGAAGATTTGGTCCAAGAAGGTCTTCACCGGATAGATTGGAATGTAACGCAAGGTGGCGTTGCGAGTGAATGACATTGAACATTAATTGATCGACGAAAGTGACCGGTGCCTTGAGCCTGGTCGAGAACTGCCAAGCATACACAGAGGGTTGCGTCTGCCAGCAAGTTGTGTTGGTAAAGGTCGGTTGGTTGATGAGGTCAGTAAATCCTGACGTTTGGAGATCGGCAAATCTGGATGGTTTATCAAACGCGGGGTGAAAGGGCGCCCAAGCTGGAGTTGGTTGTGCTATAGCCTGCGACGTCTGCCCGAATACCATTGGATCCTCCCAGACAGGCGTGACAATGGGAGTTGTGATGGCTTTCGATGGCTCTGGTTCGATAACCTGTTCATAGCATATTTGAGCGGGTGTGTTGTGAAAAGATCTTGTTGGGGTTGAAGTGTAAGCGCTTCCCGTAGCGGGTACTTCGTGCGGATGTGCGTCGATAGGTTGAACAAAGGAAGTCTGCCAACCACTGGGCTGATTCTGTTCCGGAACCCAGTCCAAATTTCCTTTCCTTGGTATCATCAAGTCCTCTGACAGCTCTGTTGGAATTGGTGACGGAATATGTCCTGATTGTGCTGCTATTTGCGCCCTGAGCTTTTCTACCTCGAGCTCGAGCTCTTTATTTCTTTGAAGTATGCGCTCCATGGAACCGGATCTGTTATTCTCTTCCAGCTCCTTCACTTTCTTCTCCAGGTTCTCGATATGTTCCTTCGTCCGTTGACGGATGTTGCGTTGGGCTTCTCGATCATTGGCACGTTTACGGGCAAGCTGGGCTTTGCTGAGATGTGTGACTGATCGCTTTCCTCCTCGGGCGCCTGTTTAAAACTTTAGTATCTGACATCTTTCAAATAGGCGCCACTCCACTTCCTAAGGATGGAGAGCAGATTATTAACAAGCTACGAACCTTTCTTTCTTGGTTCCTCCTCTGCGGTCGCAGGGCTGGCGGAACTCTGAGGACTTGACATTATGTCTATGGATGTAACAATTGGCACGTTGAATAGATCATGAATCATGCTCTTGGGCCTGTGTATATGGGAGGGTGGTGCACACACGCTGCTGTTGTGTGTCTGGCGGTGGAGGGGTACGCCGGTTGTACCACGATCGTGTAACAGATTGATCGTATCGATTCGTACTTGTCCGAGTCACACAGGATAAACCGTAGCGGGATCGTGGGCTTCGAGAGAAAAGGTTGTGAGGGGCACAAGTGGGTGGACCACAATAACTGTTGGATATGGTGAAATGGATGTGAGGAAACTGGGTGAGTCCCGATCTTATGAATGGATCTGCTGCTGGGGTTGGAGCAAGTAATGAGAGGAAGAAGTTGGCGATAGTGGATAGGGAGGAGTGGAAGGGTGGCTCAAATCGGGGGTCCTGGGGCTTTGAGAGGTTGTTCGAGATTAGATATATGGCCGTGAACAACATGCATCATCCATTATTGTTCTACCTTGTACCTGGCAAGCAGCTAGTTCGAGTTCTTCTTCCTGGTGGGGGGGGGCTTGGAGGGTGGCGTGCGGCTAGTAAATCGAGCGCATCTCAATACAGAGAGCACAGTATTTGCTCCGTTCTAACCTCTAATGTCTTCCTGGCAAGCGGCAGTTAGTCGGGATGTCTGCGCGTGAGGAAGGTGCTCGAGGGCTCGACGTCGGAGAGGGAGAAGGTGGACGGAGAATGGCCAAGGAATCGAGGTCGAGGACCGTGGAACGGGAGCTGAGCACAGACAGCTGGACGCTAGTAGTGAAGCTAGCAGGTTGGGGAGAACTAGAAGAAGACAGAGGAGACACACATCTGAGGAAAAGAGGGAAAAGGAGCAAAAGCAGCGGAAGATATACCCGTCCAGTTCCAATAACAGCCGACCTGTAAACTCAGAGAGATGAGAACATCTGAACAAGCGCCGTACTAGGAGAAAGCTGCACACGTGATGCGACTAGACGCGGCAATATGCGAGGTTCGGAAAGGAAGGAAGTCGGACCGCGCGTGGGGCGGCTAAGTCGTCTAATATCGTTTGAAGATGCTGAACAGAAAAGCCATGTTTGTTGAACATCTTTCCCATCACGATCGTTCGGAACTCAAAGGTTGACGCGCACACTGCTTCATAGTTCGTTCAAGCTTATTATACAAATTCCGTCCTATTCCATCCTTATTTCTCAGCATGCATGCGCCGATTTCCTCTTTGCCACGATTAGTCGAGCTAGAGTTCAATTATCAATCAGTCATCGCTGGGTATCGCATCCGTCAAACAACCACACGATTCACCGCTATTCTACCTTTTCTTTTCACATCCACAAATGACATCGCCTTCACTTCAAACTCTGCTTCATCGGGACGAAGCTCATTTACATCATCCACCCTGCAATAGTTTTACGCTAATTAATTCTCTGCCGTTCAACGAGTTGGAAACAAGCACTATCCATCCGAAACCTCCGACGCTCCCGACACTCCTCCGAATTCTGGCAATACGGTACTTGGTAGGTGAGTTCGTGGCCTAATAATACATATGGCAGCCTAAGCTCAACAACTCAAGGCACTTGTCGTCAGCTTGTATTTACGAATCTGAAAACACGTCTCATGTGGCACCGAAGCAACCAATTTCAACCGGCGACGGTTGATGCCGACTTCTGTTAACTACCAGCCACCTGGATACACCGCCTGTCCACCACCATCTCAAAGTCAAAACTAACAGCTGGCACTACTTCGAAGTAGTATGGCTGTTTGGTCATGTGCTGAATTTGTACAGTATGAGTTCAGATTAGCTGGTCGGAGCAAACACTTGTTATTCCTCGTCACCAGCAACTTTGGACTAAGCATCATCTACAGAAATCGGGTTAACCGCGGTGAGGCTGGAAAGCGGAAGCCATCTTCAAAACAGCCATTGCCATCTAGCTACCAATTTTACTCCTTGCCTAGCCAAACGTTTTGAGCTCTCACGAGTTCCTAATGGGCCGGCCATGGGTGCCAATTAAATCGCTAGATCTGATCCGAACTGATCTCGAGCCGTATATCTCGACGTGCAAAAACATCTATGGGTAGCCATCCATTTCCGCATTTTACCGAAGGTCCGCTTTGCTTTGGATAAGAACAGTAAAAGTGGCGAGCCAGACGGGCTAAGAATCCTCTGAGCTGTTGTCCTCAACTATTGTTTCTGCCAGTCTGGTCACTATTTTCTACTTCGCACTTCGCCCTTGAATGTTGTCAGCCTGAAAAGCTTTCCCGACCCAGGGGACCGTATCTGCTCTAGCCAATCTCCTCTCACTCAACCATTGTGGCCTGGTCCCAGTGGCTCGTCGCCCACATTTGTTACTGTATTTAACAAAACCCAGGTATGAAATACGAAGTATTCCGTGATTTATTCCTTGTTCACTGCAACATCTTCTGGAAAACTAGGTCAATCCCTTCGCTGTTTAGGTATTAACACATGCCGATGCTTGAGCAACACCCTGTACTGTATCTTGCTTGAGGACGACAGTTGTCTGGAAGGACTGCCGAGCCTAAGAAGGGGGTTTGACGTTTTGATTCGCTCATTCAAAGTTGCACCACGAATAGAGCGTCAAAAGTGGACGCCTTCGGCGATCTAACTCTTTCTCTCCCCGCTAGGAACTTTAGTCCGTCTCCGGCATACACCACGCTTTTGTTGTACGCAGCACGAGTATATAATTGTCGGCTATAGTAGGGCGCTCCCTCGTCACTAGTTCCTTAGTCGGTAAAAGCGAGACTGTACTTCTAGCGTATACGTACTCGCTTAATTTCTAATTAAATTATAACTCTCTCTAATAAATTACTATAGGTATAATATTATATAGTTTTAATTAATATTTCGACTTAATTTACTTTAATAGTTATTTTAATTATAGAGAAGTAATACTATTAGTTAACTAGTTTAACGCTAGATCTAATTAGATAACTATATACTTTTATATTAGTTTATTAAAAGTACTTAATTCTATAATTTAAATTACTTTTAATTAATAACTAATAAGATCTAATTTAGATCTAATTAATTATAAGACTTATATTATTATTATTATTATCTTTAGCCTTATTCTATTTAGTCTTTACTTCTTTTATTCTCTCTATAATATTATCTAGCTCTTTTTCTATTCTTCTTTATTACTTAATTCTAGCTCTTTCTAATATTATATTAATCTTATTCTTCTTAAACTTAACTAGCTCTTTATATCTACTAGATTTTAATTTAAGTTACTCTAAATATTAATCTTAAAAGAAATAAATATTAAATTAATCTCTTTATTAATAGTATATAGATCTTAAGTATATAGTAGTAGTTATAGCTTTATATAATAATTCGAATATTCTATATACTATAGATAGAGGTTTCGTCGAGTTAGTATATAAGTAAGTACGTATAAGATTATTAGATTATATACTTAAAGGTATATTTATTATAATAAGAGTAAGTTAAATAGATAATATACTATTACTATAGTAAGTTAAGTATAAAGCTTCTATCTAAGAAAATTATAATTATTATATAGAACTTTCTTTTCTTAAGTTCGATAGGTTCGCTAGTCGAACTCGTTAAACTTCTAGCCAGTTTAATAGGTTCGTCTAGTAAACTTATCGAACTTCTCTTGTCACGTAATAGTACCTTAAACCGGGGCCTATCCGCTAATATAAATACTACTAACTTTAACCGAATTAAGCTATTAGACAGCGGCCCTAGAAACTACTTAGTTCTCGTAACCTCGTCTAATCCTAAGACTTTCGGTCCTAGGAGTATTACGACGTCGAGGCCGACGCTACTCGTAATACTATCCCCTATTCGGACTAGCGGGTCTGTACGCTTAAGTACGACTAAGAAATACGTCGGTTAAAGGCTATAGACTTCTCTTCCTTCTAATATACTACCCGACTATATAACTAGACGTTCTAATATTATAGCCCTCGAAAAATAAATTAATTTAACTAGAAGAAAGATAGCGCCTTATTCTCGCTATAAAAAGACGGGAAAAGAGTATATAGTCTCTCGGGACCTAAAATATAGTCGTTATAGTACCTATATATCCGCGGGAAAGTCGTATAATATTAAAGAGATAAATCGAATACCCTTAGTTCGCGACTAGGAGAGTATCGAGGTTTAGGAAGAGAAACTTTTCCTAGAGGACAAGTAGACTAAGGCCTAGATCTAAGAGATACTAGCTTATTATACTTATATCCGCCGGTAGTAAAAGTTCCTTTAGAAATAGAAATAGAAGATAATCTCGGCGGGTCTTAACTCGCTAGACGAGTTAGACGAGTTAGAGAAGAAAGAGCGCTAAGAAGAAGAAGAGAAGAAGAAATAGGAGAAGAAGGAGGTAGAAGTAGAACGACTACTAACCTACTCTACCCCGCCCGACGACTACTCTAGATATAACCTATTCTTACTTAATCTAAACTTTAATCCTAGGTCTTTCTAGGAGGCCCTAGATACTAGTAGTAAAACTTCTTAAGCCGCTTAGAGTAGTTAAGGTTATTTATTAGTTTCTATATATTTTCTAATTATAGGTAGTCCTTCTATTTTATTAGATAACGTAGTTTTCCTCTAATAAGTTTATAGTCTAAAATTTTCTTAACTTTATACTCGGCGTTAGAGTTAACTAGTTCTATTTCTATAACTAGAGCTAGTAGCGCTCTAGGCGGTACTAGCTTAAGGAGAGATATATAAAATACTAGAAAGATATTTATACTCTTAGGTAAAGTTAATTTATAGTTTAAGTATCCCTTAAATACTTTAATTTTAAATAGTTCTAGTTTTTTATTATCTAGTTTATTACTTAGTCGTTTTATTTAAATATTACGTCTAATTAAATAAACTCTATCTCCCTTCTATAGCGTAGGCTTCTAACTATATTCTTTATTATAGTAATACGTATTTCTTTTCGCGATAAACTTAAGTTCTTTAATAAGTTTTTTATAGAGAGAGGAAAGATTATTAATAAGAATTCTTTCTACCTAGTTATCGATTTTCGCG